CCAGAACCACCAAGAGATAGAAAGGTTGCTGATATCAAAGATATACAAATTGTTCCTTGGTGCTGATGTGATCAATCGCTAAGAGAACTTCATTTCAGGACGCCCACCGTATTGCCGATAACGAGAAAACCAGATGATGGGATAAAGCTTGATATGGATGTTGTTACTTGTTGCTGATACAATCCACCCACAAAAGACTTGCATTGGCGGACACTCTTCAGAGAAATCGCCCGTTGCTTGGTAACCAACCACCAGAAATGAAATAAAGATTGACGACACCAATAGATAAACGCGCTTTTCCTCATGGCTGACATGATTCACCTATAAAAGATGCACCATAAACAATTGTCCAAACTCATCCAACAATACTTAGCAATCATAGCTGTGATCTTGTAAACTCCAAAGCACCAAAAGACAAGAAGCTCTCTGCAATGGTCCCTCTAAATAATGGTAGGCGTTTCACCAAAGGTCTCCAAAAAGCATGAGAATCCTACATACCTGAATCACGCAATCACCACCCGCAGACTTGAATCCAAATAGGCCATCAGGATGTAAAGTAATAACAAAAGCGCACAGCCAAAGAAACGTCATTGTACCGGTACTCTCCTGTGGATCGACGCGATGAAGTGCATCAATAGAGATACCCATCTTCTCTCTAAAGGCAAGGAGATCAATAGCCGTAAAACGATGGAGCCGTGCGAACAGAGGATGCATTTTAAATCCCTAAGGCCGCAACATGAGTCGCACTGTCCCCGGGCACAACATGTAGAGCTCCACAGGAAAGTACAGTACAATGACGTCCTTGACGTGCAGCCTTGATAATAATCGAATCGCCGAAAGAGGCTCTGCCACTGTATGGTGTTTGGTAAGTTCACTTGAATCCAACCAATCCCACAATGAACCTCTTACCTTGTGGTATTTCTCAATAGCATCATTGCCTCAAATAAAACCGTATATCCAAGTCATCCATATTGTCTTGCTGCTGTTTCACTGTAAGTCTCGTTAATTAACAGGTTTCGCTTTGTAGATCCAATACCACGCATACCATTGAGCCAACCATACAGCATTCTTGCTTTGAGATCCGTATCCTGTTGCTGCCAGAGGTACCATCATCCAACATGTTCACCTACCATAAACGCAATGTGAGATAAGAAGCAAACCCAACCCACACGCTTTTGTTGTCAACATACCCAAAAGAGGCAATGTGAAGACGTCTTGAGAACTCTCATTGTGGATAACTCGGTAAGGAAGGCACACGACGCCGTGAACCATGGTGATCACAAGGAATTGCAACCAAATACACCATCCGAAGGCAATACAATAATCAACCTGCAGCGCCAAGGTATGCCACCATATGTACCATACTCTCATTGGATCCTGAAATTGGCATCATAAGAGATATCCACCTTCTCTCTGTAGGCAAGGAAATCAATAGCCGTACTTGGATGGAGGCCGTGCGCACAGCGGATGCATTTTTAAATCCCTGAGGCCGCATCTTGAGTCACACTGTTTCCGGGCCAAAATTCCCCAGGAGAGCACAGTACTATACAATGACATCCTCGACGTGCTGATTGATCAAAATAATCGCCCAACCAGAGCCAGACCTAATATTTCTTTCGTAAGCACACTTGAAGGGACAAATTCCACAATGGACACTTTACCTTGTAGTATTTCTCAATACCATCTTTGCCTCAAATAGAAACCGTCTCTCCATGCCATCCATATTGTCTTGCTGCTGTTTCACTGTAAGTCTTGTTAATTAACAGGGTTCGCTTTGTAGATCCAATACCATGCATACCATTGAGCCAACCATACAGCATTCTTGCTTTGATATCAATGTCTTGTTGCTGCCAGAGGTACCATCATCCAACATGTTCAACCTACCATAAACGCAATGTGAGATAAGAAGCAAACCCAACCCACACGCTTTTGTTGTCAACATACCCAAAAGAGGCAATGTGAAGACGTCTTGAGAACTCTCATTGTGGACAACTCGGTAAGGAAGGCACACGACGCCCTGAACCATGGTGATCACAAGGAATTGCAACCAAATACACCATCCGAAGGCAATACAATAACCAACCTGCAGCGCCAAGGTATGCCACCATATGTACTATACTCTCATTGGATCCTGAAATTGGCATCATAAGAGATATCCACCTTCTCTCTGTAGGCAAGGAAATCAATAGCCGCACTTGGATGGAGGCCGTGCGCACAGCGGATGCATTTTTAAATCCCTGAGGCCGCATCTTGAGTCACACTGTTTCCGGGCCAAAATTCCCCAGGAGAGCATAGTACTATACAATGACATCCTCGACGTGCTGATTGATCAAAATAGTATCGCCGAAAGAGGATCTGCCACTGTATGGCGCTTGGTAAGTTCACTTGAATCGAACCAATCCCATCATAATGAACACTCTTACCTTGTGGTATTCCTCAATAGCATCAATGCCTCAAATAAACCCGTATCTCCATGTCATCCATATTGTCTTGCTGCTGTTTCACTGTAAGTCTCGTTAATTAACAGGGTCTGCTTTGTAGATCCAATACCACACATACCATTGAGCCAACCATACAGCATTCTTGTTTTGATATCCGTATCCTGTTGCTGCCAGAGGTACCATCATCCAACATGTTCAACCTACCATAAACGCAATGTGAGATAACAAGTAAAACCAACCCACACGCTTTTGTTGTCAACATACCCAAAAGAGGCAATGCAAAGACGTCTTGAGAACCCTCATTGTGGACAACTCGGTAAGGAAGGCACACGACGCCCTGAACCATGGTGATCACAAGGAATTGCAACCAAATACACCATCCGAAGGCAATACAATAATCAACCTGCAACGCCAAGGTATGCCACCATATGTACCATACTCTCATTGGATCCTGAAATTGGCATCATAAGAGATATCCACCTTCTCTCTGTAGGCAAGGAAATCAATAGCCGTACTTGGATGGAGGCCGTGCGCACAGCGGATGCCTTTTCAAATTGGCCTTGCCATCGCATCTTGAGTCACACTGTTTCCGGGCCAAAATTCCCCAGGAGAGCATAGTACTATACAATGACATCCTTGACGTGCAGCTGTGATAATAATAGTATCGCCGAAAGAGGCTCTGCCACTGTATGGCGTTTGGTAAGTCCACTTGAATCCAACCAATCCCATCATAATGAACACTCTTACCTTGTGGTATTCTAAATAGCATCTTTGCCTCAAATAGAAACCGTATATCCATGCCATCCAGTAGGTGCCGCTGCTGTTTCATTGCAAGGCTCGTTAATTAACATGTTTTGCTTTGTAGATCCAATACCACGCATACCATTGAGCCAACCATACAGCATTCTTGCTTTGAGATCCGTATCCTGTTGCTGCCACAGGTATCATAATCCAACGTGTCCAAGCTACAGTAAGTGAAGTGTAAGGTAACAATAACATTCGCTTTTCATGTCGACATACCCATAGTAACAATAGGTTGCGACCCTCCCTGACGACAACCATGGAAAGCATACACACGACACACGACGCTCCCTTTGGATCTTGTATAAACGCGAGAATAGTAAACTACACGTGAACTTTAGTATCTCAATGTCCAACTTGAATGATAAAGGAATGCAGCGATGGAACGTACATGTTGTATTGCAATGGAAGCTTGAGTCATGGGCAGATCGCGCGCGTACTTGCTGTTGAATGTCTGCAGCTGGAATGTGTCGCCGTTGACCACATGTTCAACCCAATGGACGCTGTACATTGTAAGGAATGCCAGCAATTAACGCGTTGTAGATTGTAAATGGAGACAAGCTTACCTTTTGTTGTGAAGTGGAAGTGAAGAAGAATGGCCTCTTTGTTCCTCCTGTTCGCTCCAATTCGTGCACTCCATACCACCCCGCTTACTACAGCTATTACTGTTTATACGTACCCTCAACAATATCCTATACTCTTGGCTCGATAAGAATGATCACTGCTCAAGGCTTCAACTGAGAACGGCCCTCGTAATCAAGCTATTAGGTCTGTGCGCATTACATCGAATTAGTTATGCAACTGCACTCCTGAACCAACTTGTGTAACCCACTGTGTAACCCCCCTACCAATCCATGTACACTGTACATAAACTTTGATATTGAGATTGCCCTTCTCGAACCTGTAACTTTCACACAAAGTGATCTCAATCATGGTGATCAACTTTGTTCTCATAAAGACTTCAAGCTTCATTATGAGGATTTGGAATGGGAGGGTATAAATGTAGGAAAGACTATGAGCGAATGGGAGATTAAACAGCGTATACTGTTCATGAGCTGAGGTGTTCGCCATTGAGCAGGGTAGCTTGTTACAAAGACTATCTCTTTTTGTAATTATGGATCTTAAAGGGGTTGAAGGCTCCTGCACATTGTATGTAATGTGATGATGATTGCGTAGACGTGTAAGCTTATTGTAAAATCATTACTCTATAGGTAGTGTTAAGCCATTCAACAATGAATCAACAGTTTTTGAGCGAAGCCAGCATCCTGGGCCACTAGTATAGCAATTATTTACATGGAAGTATTATGATAATGACTATATATGTATATATCGAGGATTATTGTCTCTATGAAGAACGATGCTTGTAATGGACGTCTTCTTGTTCACGTAACTTCTCTGCAGCCATTTCAGGTGTGATGTCGCGTTGTGGCTCTCCCAGCATCTCAAATCTGAAATGTACAAGGTGAATACCCAAGTTATTGGCAATGTTGATAGAACTTACCCCACTAGAAATTTCCGGACAGTAGCACTTCTTAATAAAGGAGGATAAAAATGAATATGCAAGTGTGCTTCATCATGATTGCCTCGCACAGGTGATTGATGAATACCCATTGAATAGGGAAAAGGGCATTCAAAGAGGTTATCGTATCGACACGTTATGCGACGAAGCACATCTGCTAGTTCACGTTGTTGATCATCTGTCATTTTGGACAAACACTGTATGTGCGTCTTTGCCAGCACCAGGGTTTCAAAAGGCCACACAGCCCAAAAAGGGACGACCACCATAAACGAATCATTTTCAACAACGATGCGCTCTTTTTCTTTGAGCTCACGATTTGCATAATCGCATAATAAACATCTTCCATGATGCGTATCACGATAAGCATTGAGCGAGTCGAGTTCACGTTGTGGCTCGATAGGAATACGTTCCATGCACCACATTTGGCCATGCGGGTGGGGATTGGAGCATCCCATGGCTGAACCCTTGTTTTCAAAAATCTGCACGTAGTTGATGTAATCTTTTGCTGTCATATCACGGTAGCATTGGGTCCATTGTTGGATGACACCAAGGATTGTGTCAACATCCATCTCAGCCATGGTCAAATCATGACGTGGTGAAAAGCATACTACCAAGCAGTCGCCTCGCACCCCTTGTACTCGAAGCAAGTCATCATCCATGACATGGTTGGCGGATGGTTGGTCTGGTCTTAATGCTGCAAAGTCGTTTCGAAATACAAACGTGGATGTGTACTCGGGATTTTTGTCACCATGAGCACGTGTGTTTCCAGGACACAGATAACAATTGGTATCGTACTCGGGTTTCTTTTCTTGGCTCACTTTTTCTTGTTGACCTTGCCATGGACGTTGTGTGCGGTGTGGTGAGCAAAGTACCCACGTGCGATTGAGTGGGTTGTAACGGCGATGTGTATCGTTCGTTAAATCAAAGGACATTGGGATATAGGATATCAAACGGGTGAAACAAAGAGAAGAAAAGAGATAAAGAATTGCGAGGGTTCAATGTGGGTCATTGTTATTCGCGACTGCATCATCATCACACGCAGAAAATCGCACTCGCATAGGTGGCATAGCAAGAGGTGCTGGGGTTTCACAACAGGTCTTTGCCTTTGTTGTTGCAGCATTGATTATGTAAACCAAAGAATGATGAAGCACATGGCCACCACAAGCTGTGTGAGAAAAAAGGTAGCTGACGTACGTGATGCATTTCCCAATCATCACAACCTAAAAACCAACACGCTATTATTGAATCATGATCTCGTCGCCTTACATAGATATTTAGCCGTCTCCTTGTCATTCACATGGAGTTGTTCTAGCCCACTACGCCTGGGTGGGTGATAGACACATCCCTTTCATCCTACCCGTTTCATTTTGGTTCCATGTTTCCATGTATGTATTCCCCTCACAAACTTGAAATCCATGAAATGGTCAATTGTGTATAGTATTCGGTATCAGATGAGTATTGCTGGTGAAGAAAACACAAAGAAACATCGTACATTCTTTGTTCCGAGATTGCTTTTCCACCGGTCAAATTCAAACCATGAGTAGGGGTTGGGGGCTATTCGAGGGAGTCTACGACGAGAACAGGTAATAAAGCAAGACCTCCTGCCACTTAAACATACAATGCATTCTCAAGATCGACATCCCTTGAAGCTTAGGGGATTCTACAAGCTTTTGTGCTGTAAGAGAAAAAAAAAGATCGACGCCAGGGACTTTTAGTATTTTGTGTCAAAATTCTACCAACATGGATACATAAATACATCTCCCGCACCACACCCCCCATATGCCATATCCATCAACCATCATGGCAGTAGATACCACATGTTTTGTGGTGTGCAAAGGCGTGAATGAAAGTATACACAATCGCAACATTCTATGTATAGCAAATAGAAAAAGGGATGAGGCTAGTAGCCTGTAGTTCATTTATCACCGGCAATGACAGGAATAACGTATAAGCTAGCACGCAGAAATAAAGAGAGCAGGCCTCCTCATTGACCATGATGATGCTCTCTATAACTCCTGTTCTCGTATACAACGGCTTCTCCCTATTCTTGATCCTAGTTTGAACTATAAAATAGAAGAAAGAAAGATCGACGTGCTCAAGCAAACCAAAAAGACATCTTCTTTATCCGCGTTCCTTATTATCCCCATATACAAGCGACTGTGTTGTGTGCTGTATTCCCCTCCTTTCATTTATACCATGTTGCCAACATCCCAACGATCATCCGGTGACTTATCGCCATCATCCACTGTCATCATGTCAGACGCTAATAGCGGCGACTTTAACAAGGAGAAAAAACAAGAGACACAATATCAACACCACGAAGACAGTGAAGGCAGCGATGAAAACAACGACGATGGTGGCTATGGATGGATTGTGGTGCTGGGCGCCTTTTTAAGCATGTTTACCGTCTTTGGTGCCATGAACAGCTGGTAAGTGCTATAAGACCTCGCATACTTTTATATGTGTACCCGGTATTAATTCTAACCTTGCATACATACTTTAGGGGTGAGCATTTTGGGGTTAATAGCGGCAGCAGGGATGGGTTGACGGTGGTGGTGGGAGATCGACATCGCTTTTGAACTGACATGTGTATATGTGTGTGGCTGAAATACAGGTGTCATTTTGAACTTTTATGTGCACCATGGGCAATTGGAAGGAATGACTACACCAAAGAGCACAGCCTTTGCTCTCAGCTTGATTGGTGCCACCACATCCTTTGTCTCGGGATTTTTTGCGCCCTTGGTACGTGTGCTGGAAGCCAACTGGGGATTTCGACGCACCATCTTGTTGGGAATTTGCCTCGTCAGTGGTGGTCTTATTGCATCAGGATGGGCACATCAAGTAAGTATACTTTACAGAAAACAGAAATTTGACATTGACAACTCATCTACGTGGTCCTACTAGGTATGGCATCTCTATTTGTCACAAAGTCTTTGTTTTGGACTCGGCTATTCCATCTTCTTTTTGGTAACCTAGCACAATGAAAGCGTTGTTCATGCATGTAAATGCTTAATATGGTCTTTTTTTTGTTCCCAGGTAATTTCGAAAACGGTGCCAGAATGGTTCAGCCATCGACGTACAACCGCCATGGGCATTGTTATGAGTAGCGGTGGGCTTGGTGGACTCACATTCCCCTTTGTCATTACACCTTTGAATGAAACCTTGGGCGTATCATGGTACGCTTTAAAGAAAACATGCACGTGAGTTTTTTATTGACGACATGATGCAGGACATTTCGTATCCTTGGTGCAGCCTTCCTTGGTATCAACCTCTTGGCCAGCTTCCTCGTCAAGCCCAAACCACAAAAATCATTGCCTTCGACCACCACCTTGGCTTCAGTGCCATCCATTAAATCCTTTAGTAGTATGATCCGCTTCAAGTTACTCAAGGCAAACGTCAACCTCAGCTTGTGGTGTATTGCCGCTTTCTTGCAAGTCGTGTACATGAACATCCCATTGTATTTTTTGCCATGTAAGATATGAAAGAAGGGGGGATGGAGGATACATGCAAATGTTAACAACCGCTTTTTCAGCCTACGCCACGCAACTCGGATTGTCAACTACACAAGGATCATCCCTGGTTTCTATTACAGCGGGTGCAACCTTCATAGGCCGCCTTGCCGTGGGGTAAGGTTTGCTATGGAGATTGGATATATGTATATACTTACCATACTCGGCTTTTTTTAGTGCATTAGCCGATCGTATTGGCAACATGAATGCATGCATGATCTTTAGCGTAATTAGTGGTGCTGCCTGCTTTTGCATTTGGACCGTTGCTTATGACTACGCAACGCTTATTGGCTTTGCTGTTGTTTTTGGATTATTTGGTGGATCGTATCTCACTACCAGTACGTATATGTCATTATCTTTTCTCCTTTTAGCTAACCCCAAACTACCATTTTCTAGTGCCACCAATCGTTCAATCCATTGTCCCTGAACAATTTCCTGAAGGGTTAGCACTGGTGACATTCGTCACAAGCCCTGCTTACGCTGGACCATCCGTGGCTAGCAGCCTTGAGAACATCAGTCAATGGGAACCATTTCTTGTATACAAGGTGTTTTGTGGATCGGTTTGCATTGCCAGTGCCCTTTTAATCTTGGCACTAAAGATACGTATCCATGGTCGACACTTGCTGGCCAAGGTTTAATCTTCCACCATTCAACCATACACGCACACACACACACACACACACACACACACATCTTTTGTATGTATACACTGTTTCACACAAAATGTATCTCCTTGTACAAATAGTCTCCCACACACAAAATGCATGCATGTTTGTATACCTTTACAATAGCCAATACCACCCACTAATTATGCGCATGAATTTGCATTCGCAAAAAAAAAGGCTTTTGTATTTTTTCACAAAGGGGACATTGCAAAGGGGATTAGGGGATTGGGTGAATTGGGGAAAGGGACATTGGGGGAAACAAATAAAGGGGAAGAAAAGTTGTTGAAAGGATGAAATGAGAAGTAACTGCAAAGAGCAGAAAGTAGAAGATAGTTGAGAAAAGAAAGAGAGATGGGGAGAGAGAAGAGAGATAGCTAGAGAGAAAGAGAGAGATAGAGAGAGTGTGTGTGGATGTGGTTGAGAAGTAATCGATTGTGTCAGTAATGAGGTAATTTGGATGTGCGTTGTGAGGATCAATTGGTTGGTCAATGTAACAAGGGCCAAGATCTTCAATATGGGGGTTGAGATCGCTTGATGTGGAAACTAAACCGATGGATCTGGCGAGTGCGTTGTGTAAGAAGAAAAAAAAGATGAATGAAAGAAAAAGAGAAGGAAATGGCGATGGAGATCCTTAAACATATGACAGGATTGCTTCTCCAGAACGCCGAAAAGAAAAAGTATATAATACAAAAAAGTGTGTGGTGTGAAAGTGTGAGAGTGAGAGTGTGTGAATGTGTATGCAGAATCACAAAGGATTGCTAGACGGCAAACCCCAACAAGAAAGCAAAAAACAACATGTACAATGAAAGAAGAAGAAAGGAAAAAAGAAGAAGAAAAAGGCTCGAGGAGCGAAAAGCAAGAAAGCAAAGTGACAATGCAAACACAAACAAAACAAGGATGGGGGATTACCGTCTAGGCGGATATCTTGAGCATGGACCAAAGGCCACGTTGGATCTCGGACAAATCGGTTGTTTCCAAAGGATAAGCGGTTTTCATGGGAGGTGGAATCATCATCGTCATGGGAGGTTGTTGATGTTGAGGAGGAAGAGGAGGAGCGGCGACATGAACAGGGAGATGAGGATTAGGTTGTTCACGAAAAGCTGGCATGGGCAACGCACTGGGAGCAGGAGCATTACTAAAACAAGGACCACAGTACACTTGGATACTTGAACGACGATCATTGTTTCTGTAATAGAAACCCCGTTTAAGCAAATGCATAGCATAGAGTCAATCATGATCATCAATCAATTACCTCTTGTTGGTAGCGGTTGCCATACCAACACGTTGATGCTGTTGCTGTTGTTGCACCTGCTTGGGTTGCTTACGACGTTGCTGTGGACGACGGCGACCATGATCGGAATCATCAGATGACTCACTGCTGCTGCTGCTCGAAGTGGTACCACTGCTGGCAGAAAGCTCGGGAACAGAGTCATCAGTCAAGGCTTGCTTGACACGACGACGACGAGATGACTTGTTGGCAGATGACTTCTTTGATGTCGCCATGGTGGAATCTTGTTGCTGTTGCTGCTGCTGCTGCTGCTGCTGCTTGATGGGCTTAGCAGATGGGGATTCCGCAGCCTTGGCGGACTGAGCTTGCTGATGTTGCTGCGACTTGGCATGCTGGGGTTTCTTTTTCTTGTAACGGGGTTGTTGCTTTGGAGACTTTGGAGTACAAGCAGTGGTGATAGCAGCGTCAGAGGCAGCGTTGTTGTTGTTTCGTGCAAGTGCGGTTTTGTTGGCCATGGGAGATAATTTGCTTTTTTTTACTTGGATAAGGGAAGCGGAAGACGATGATTGAATATGCGTGAAATAAAGACGAGGGAAGATGTTTATGTGATGCTTGACAGATATATGTTGTTGTTGATTCGTGTACTATATCGGTGAGTGCGTTATGAACATGTAAAAGTGTGTGTGAAAGAAAAGAAGAAGCAGGGGGGAACAAGAGCAAACAATCGCTTAAAAGGGTTGGCAGCACAACCAAATTCATTGGTTCAGGCTGAAACATTTCGATATATGCCATTTCCACTCAGCGACCCCCACTTGTTCTCCCACCCCCCATAACCCCCAAATTGCTGTGTTGTGTTGTGCGCATGGGTTAGCAAAAGCAGCAATAGTTTATGCCTTGCGTTTTACCATGGTATCATGCTCGATAACATAATGGACATGTATATGCAGCATGTATGTTTATCAAGTAAACCATGTCCTACTCTTTGTTTAACAACTTGGATATCGCACCCCTTATTTTGCAATCGTTGCATATCATGGCAATGTGTTACAAAAGCGCCCTGGTCACGCATGAAGCTAATGGCTCCGTTCATCACTCCATCTCAGCGAGAATGTCATGAGAGAGGGAAAAACTATGTTAACCTCCCTTGTACTTCCTCATTATCCCCATCCCTCGGTGGAATAAAAGCAAGTATAACAAACTTATGTACCCATGTGCACACACAAAGTGGCTATCCAATCATTCCTTGGATGGGTATACTCTTAAAAAAGGTAGCGATAGTTATTTGTGATCTATTTTAATATACGGCTACACCAGACACCCCACCTGGTGGATTGCACATGGCTTCGTAATCCTGCTGCTGCACTGCACTCCTCTCGGTAACATCCTTATCCCGCTCCTCTCCTGATATAGATGCTGCTGCTCACTTGGCAATTTCGCCGTAAGCAGATACATGACGGCTAACTGCTGCAGCTGATGTAAATTGGGAGCAGCCATAACAATAACAATAATAATCTACTAAATTTATCCACGTAAGGCGTCGAACGAAAACATCCATCATCTACGAGCAGCGTGTTAATTAAGCAAGCTTCATTAGGACGCATGTTTTCTCGGTGTGCTGAAAGTAAGTTGCAACTCTATCCTTTTCGGTAATCCATCATCTGCACAGGCCACATTGGTTATTACAGCATGAGAAGAACTAGAATCCTCCCCCATACAAAGAACAACATCTTGGCATTCATGTCAACCTTGACATCTTTATCGGCTTGTTTCAATAGCAAGGCGGGCGGGGGAATGCTATCATCTCATACCCAGCCAGTAGCTGTGGTGTGAGGTTTAGTTGCGTTTTTTCCTTGTTGCTATGCAGAAGCGGTGACTCAACTTGTATAGACCAACGCAGCAACTGCGTGAAATTTCGAATACGTCATTTCTCACACAAGTGCGTAGATAAGCCATATACACACACACATGGTACACATTCTCCTCAGAGACTTGTCTCCCTCTCTTTGAGCATCTTGCATATGCCGCCTTATACCGAATCAATGCTTACTTGGCTGATGATGAAGAAGACAAGTGGAAACCCCGCATGATGTTGATCGACATATGCATTTATCCATGTCTCGACCCACACCATGAACAACACCAGCTCCGATTCTGCAGCAGATGACTGACCGAAACAAGGTTGAGCTTTTCGAGTAGTTGTTTGATTTCCGGGTAAGTCTTAAGATCTCTCACATGGTGTGCATAATAAACTGCATTTATGGGTCTTGCGCCGCTTTCGATATCCTTTGAATGGTAAATGTTTACTTGTGTGCCACGTGGTGTGTAGCGAAAAAGCATTGAGGGAAAATAAGGGGGAGATGAGAGTGAGAAATGGTTTAAGCGCACCATTACGTCAATTCATCCAGGCGCAACTTTGTAAGGAGGAGGTAGCAGGAGGATGAGAAAAATCCACTTTCAGAGCGGGCTTGATGAATGCTTTACTCACAGATGGCTACATCCTTCATCTCCTACTATTAACATCATTGATTTGGATATGTTTTATTGTAGCTTTTATGGACAATTACAAGTCAAGTCATCTATGATTATGGGATGGTAGAGTAAGTATGCTTGTGTGGGATGGAAAAGTATGTCAATGTGTGCCGCAGTCACCGCCTTGGAACGACTTGAAGCTGTGTATATCGCTTTACTTGCAGACGCACACCTTTCTCTTCTTTCCAAAACCGGCTCCACAACCTCGTTCCTCCAGTATGCCAAAGATCAGGACGCAGAGAACAAAACGGCCTCCAGAGGGCTTTGACGACATCGAGCCAACGCTAGAAGAATTTGCAAGGAAGATGAAAGAGAGTGAGTGATCGATTGTCAAACGAGCGTCCAAGACACAGGATGGCGATTAACCACAATGGGCTTTTCTTTCACCTTTCAGTCGAGAACGAACCACACGAAGGAAAACGGATAGTGGAAAGCTCATGGCCCGTGTTCCGCATTCACCATCAACGATCACGGTACATTTACGATCTCTTCTACAAGCGTAAAGCCATTTCAAGGGAGCTGTATGACTACTTGCTCAAGAACAAGTATGCGGATGCCAATCTTATTGCAAAGTGGAAGAAGGTATTGTGTTGTTGCGTTGTTGCTATGGGCGATCATGACATCCAACTCATCATCCAATTCTATATAGCCGGGCTTTGAGAAGCTGTGCTGTCTCCGTTGCATCCAGCCACGCGATACCAACTTTGGCACCACTTGTATTTGTCGTGTCCCCAAGGAGAAACTAGAAGAAGGCAAAAAGGTTGAATGTGTACATTGTGGCTGTAGAGGCTGTGCTAGTGGTGATTAAACAATAAAAAGAGGGATCAAAGGGAATTAGAGAAAAGAGAGGTATACTAATGGCTCGATGAAACGATTGGCATGATGTCCATGAAGGGTATGAATGGGTGGATGCATGGGTGTGAGAGAAGTACGCCTTATCGATAATGATCAGCATTGTCTTCTATATCCAGCAAACGACTTACAACCATGCCGTCGATCACTGCATGAGGGATTTAACGTTACTTTTGCTTTTATCGAATACGACATCTGTTATTATTGCTTTGGTATGCGTGGGGTAATAGCTTTCTCATTGTTACATTGCTATGGTGACACTACCGCGTACGTGGCATAGTTGTATGACAAAAAAAAGATAGCTGTGAGCAAAACAAGGAGGGCTAAGGGTGCATAGATCGCCATTTTTCATGGTACATGTGATGCCAAACGAAATCAATAGAGAGGCATGAGCGCGTTTCAACACAAGAGAAGGAAGATACACAGTCATCAGCAAGTTGTTTTTTGACTTTTTACTTATTGTATGCAACGATTACAGTCAAAGGGGTCGAGACAAAAATAGAGAAGACGATACAGAGGGGGGAAACGATGAAACAATGCGCGCCTACTTTGACTCTTCCTTCTTGTTCTTGGGGTTGTCGGGGGAAGTAGCCCAGTTTTGAGCCTATTCAATGACACAATGATCAGCCGATTTGTCGTCACGTCAATAAATCAACCATCCCGATGAGAAAGACTTACCGCCTTCTTGAAAGCCTATCACAAGGGCGCAAAAAAAGGGGAGAGAAAATAAAGTGCGTTAGAGGAAAAAAATTTACTAGTAAAAGGGACGCGCGTACATTGGGCAACGCGCGTGCACAGCACGCAAGCGCGCTCTTGTTACTTTTTCAATCAAAAGAACAAGAAAAACGCGGTTGCCCATGATTACGTCTCACAAGCAAATGATACTTACCTCCTTATGAGCAATGCCGGGGTTGGCAGTCTTGACCTTGGCAAGTTCTTCCTATTAATCAAGCCCCCATGTGATTAATTTCATTGTTCAAGCAAGAGAACAAAGAGAAAAAAGCAACTTACCTTCATGAACTTGTTGTAGGGAGAGATCTTCTTGGCTTTAAAAAGAGGGATAGGTATGTGTGAGCGTGTGCGAATGATCAAGGAAACACGAGGGGAGATTATAATAGGAATATGGGGTCATTATGATGAGTAACCCATGTCCATAAGACATACCGGTAGACTTCTTAGTGGTTCTTTCCTTGGCCATTATGAAAAGTTGTTGAGCAGGGTCAAAAAAGGTGGGATACGATGAAAGTAAGAGAAAACCGAGAGGTTTGTTATATAAGAAGAAGAAAGAAAAGGAATAAGAAACTCTCAATTCTCTCACTTTACAACCTTTTCGGCTGGTGCACTCACGCGTCCGCGGCCACCTAAAAATTTTGGGGCCAATCAGAAGCCTTGGATGACTATGCTTATCGTGTGTTATGTGCCTCTCATATCGCCCTATACACCAAAAAGGCTATTCATGGTTTGCTTTCCATCTCCCCCTCACTTTCACCCAATCGACATTAGACTAGTGTCGCGCCGTCTTAACGTACCATAGGCCATCATCACACAAAATGACATCAGGTCACGTAGCAGGAGAAGCAAAATGACTTGTAGGCAACCCATCCATGTGTGTGGGTTTAATCTATGCATGGAACAGCACGTCGTGGGAGGCGAATGGATGGCTGCCAAGGAGAAAGCATGCGGAGCTAACTCTCCTTAGCACTAGCAACAGCGTTATGAGTCAATACACAAAGGATGGGTATAGTATGTGGACACAGCAACATCCCATCACCGCACCATTCACACCACAAGAAAGCAGAGTGAGCCAAGGCTAAACCAAACGACAATGACGGGGAGCCCGATATTGACTAAGTAGGCACACGTATATGCTAACACTCTCTTGGCTCTGCGGCGAGTTTCGGAGGGATATAGGGATTCAGACCAAACCATGCTGTATTTGTTGCACAATTGCTTACTTTCTCGTTTCCATCAGGACATAATGATTCATTCACTGTGGGTCAATAAGCTGCATCCTCATCATTCATTCTTTCCTTTCCCCCTGTGTAAAAAGATTCATCAAAGTGGACGTCTAAGGATGACCACAAGTCTATCCATGATGATGACGGGATAGATTTACTATTTTGATGATCGCACCCATGATGCAACGTATATGGATGTATCGTTGCAACAATTACTGTTTCACATTATTGGGCGTTGTACTTTCACTATACTCGCTCACATTCTCTATCATCACTCCCCCATTAAGGTTACATAATAGGAATCATCCTAATACGCCCAAGCAAACAACACCATGATCAACAACCATATTCTCACACCATGCAACATTATCCATTTCCATTTTCCCCCATAAACGCACATCCAAGGATCAATTGAGTGAGAAGAAAAGCTTATATTTCCATTGATACAATCATACGAAAAGTATTTACTTCTTCTCGTCACCAGTGGCACGGGCTAAAAGAGGAGGAAATGAATGAATGAGCAACCTGGGCTATATCACTTGTATGAAGGAGGCTGTTTTGGATCAACACTTACTGTAGATGACCTGAGCGTGGTGCTGGACGAGAGGCTTGATAAGACCTTGGGACTCGAGCTCACGGATAGCGATGCGAGCAAGGGAGCCGTTCAAGCGAAGACGATCGACCAAGACAGATTGGGTGATGAGCTTGTAGGTGGGCACTTCCTTGAAGAGACGCTCGTAGGTGGGCTTATCCAAGACAACCATGTTGTTTGCCTTGTCCTTGACCTTCTTGGCGGACCATTTCTATAACGCAAGGTATCGCATGAGGAAAATGTTTTGTTGCAACATGTTGGAACATACCTTCTTAGCCTTCTTACCTCCGGAGGAGGAGCTGGGGACAGCCTGTTTACCCTACAAAGGAATCGATTCATGTCAGCTCTTCATCCATCTACGTATTGATGCATCCATCCATCCATCCATCCATGCTGTGCTGTGTATGTTGCGTCTTTGGATAGATGGGTATGTGTATGGTTGTATAGGATCACTCACCATGATAATCAGAGAGGGAGCAAATGGTGAACCGGACTCACATCCCGTTTTCAAAGGCCCAAATTATTCACACTCCGGAAGCACCAAAGACCTACTCCTCCTTCAAAGCCGCTGTCAAGTACACGCAGTCAACCCAAAAATCTTTATTAGTTGATTATATTGTTTACTCGCATCGTTGAAGGATAAAATGCATTGCTTTGATTGAAATTGTTATTGCTGTTGTTTGATGTGGTCCCATTCGAGTCAATCATACCCCCCTCTCCTCCCGAGGGAAAGATGCTATTATACGTTTGAGCCTGTGAAGAGGATGATGGCATCATTAAGGTGCTCATACTACTTGACGTTGTAGAGCTAGGCGATATGCTGTTGTCACTAATAGACATATTGGCATGTCGCTTTGGTGGGTGATGGTCATTAGCATCACCACCACCAGTGACATCAATAAAGCTGTCGACGTTAAAATCAGTCAACGCGCTATGAGTGGGTTGTACGGATGGTACATGTTGTCGATGTTGTTCGATCATTTGCTGGTGCTGCCAATATTCCATGTTGCCAAGGAAACCGGTATCCATGATTTGCTTTCCAAAGTTGGTATAACTCAACTTCTCAAGATCCACCGACCAATAACTGCCTTTGCTTTTTTTCCTACGACCACCATCACCATAGCTATGGGATGGCCGTGGTATTTTCATGAAACAGCGATTGAGAGAGAGATTATGGCGGATAGTATTCTGCAAGATGACTTGTTTGGTATGTGCATTGATGTGGTACACTGCATAATTGTTTACCTGCCATCCAGTTTCATTCGCCTCATACAAGTTGGGATAACGGGATTGGATCCAATCATAAATGTCACGTAAGGTAAGACGACGTTCCGGGGAAGTAAGGATAGCTTGTGCTATCAAGGATGCATAAGAATGAGGCGGACGTCTACGTTTACGAGGTGCTGGTTTAGGAATCATGATAGGGGATGGATTGCCAAGCATCATGGCAGGATGATTGGATAGCTCAGCATAGGGCTGGTTATAGTTTGGGTATGCGTTAGGTTGCTGCATAGGTGAATGGGCGTGTGGTGGCATGTTGTATTGATTTGGCTGATGCAAGTAGGGTGGTGGTGGATGTTGGCGTACTCTAAAGCCCGTCGTATCCTTGCTACTTGCGTTCGCTGACATGGTATAATAGTGTTGTGGCAATGCCTGCGGGAAAGTGGTTGTTGCATCTGCCACATTTTGCTGTGTGCATAGCTCGTGTTGCTGTTGCTGCTGGCCTACTTTCCATGATACAGGAAACATTTTACTGCTTTTGGGGCGCATTGTACCATGAGTATGAATAGCTCACCAAAGAGGAAGATCTATCCTCTTGTGTCTTAGCGTACTTACGGCTGCATAGCTGCATCACCTCTTTTCATTTCATCATTTCTTATATGCTGCATTGTTTCTTGTGTCAAGACGATGGCTGGCGATGCCTAAACTTTGAGTCCCTTATTCAAGCTCATGCTTCTATCATCTCGGAATACCACTTTTATACCCATCAAAACTGTAAGTTCTTTTCGAAACGGAAATATACTCGCATCCAATCATCCAATGTTGCATGAATATAATAGACAAGGTTGCTAACCAATGAAAAAGACGTCATTTCATCATCTCGAAGGACTAATCTATCCATCACAAAACTCGATTTATCAATCATGTTATGATAAAGAAGCTCAAGCAACAACCTATGCAAATAACCCAGTAGCTCTTCTTGTTTTTGCTTTAGTAGCTCTAGGGACATGATCCTTTGACAGCCTGATAGGCAAAGGTAGCAAGCTACTATATGAATAATATCTTCCGATTGTCTTACTAACCATAACAACTACACACCTTGTGAGCTATACTGATACATCTAAAAGCAAGACACCTATGAAGAGTAATCCAACGACGATGATACGAAAAAGAAAAATCATGACAAGGAAACAGCAACCGGTGTCAGATGAAACCTATCACCAGCATGATAAACGTCCATTTCTTCTTGAGACATCATCATCTTCCCAATAAAAGCAATAGATCCAGGTGTTGGGGGAGACCAAATCAAAGCATAGCTAAGCGATAAAACCGTTTGTCGCACCATTAGCAAAGAAAACATAACACTAGATGGCGAGTTGCCATCGTACAGGACCTGTAATTGCAACCTGGTGACAGGCTTATATATATATGGATGACTGGCATTCATTGTTCTCGTGTTTTCATTGTTGTTTTATTGCCACATAGCAAACATACGTTCGCAAGTCGTCCCATTTTTGCGGTCAGCCGCCTTTGATTATGAAGCAAATAGCTGCTGCAGTCCTTTATTGCCGAGATACCACCTATCGCTTAAGCAAATTCCAGCATCCGCAATCATAAACATTCTCAACGCGTTTATCATCATCTCCAATTAAGGGCCCACATCATATGTAAGCCCCCTCTTTATGCATTAAGAAGATGCCATTGATGCAAACTCATGTGCATGCATGCATCTGCTGAAACCAACAACCGATTCGTACAAATAAACGGCGTGTGTGTGTGTGTGTGTGTGTGTGTGTTGTAAGTGCTCGGCATTGTTCGTAAATTTCCATATACACAAGCACGTTGCCATGGGAAACCTGTGGACCATGGTGAAAAGGCGTGGAAGGATACGTGCCTTTTGAGAACATACAGCATCAATTTTTGTGTTGTCTCCTGCTATACTATATGCGGAATGCATGGAATAGCCCGAAATGAGATCAAGAACACAATGTGTTACATGGAACTTTACGCGCTGTCCTTTCAAGCTTGCGCTTGATGGACAACCAGTTTCGAATTCTAGGGGTGCCCACGTTGTCGGCTGGCTTTTGGCAAGTGCTTTCCAGGTGCAAAGGATCTTCTAATTTGGTATGAAGCCACTATAAAGCACAGCGACCTACATGCGCAATTATAGTTTGTTTCTTGAATTACTTCATCCACTCAGGAATGGGATGGCATGAAAGGCTCGTGTGCAGATCAAAGAATATGAAACAGGATCGGCTATCCTCTTCGATTATCACCGAAAGAAGCATTGCAGAAATGGGCTGACACGTTGATTCATCATTCAAAAGGTGGATGAATAAGAAGTTTAACGTGCTACAAGCATGTGACACCCAATTCCTTTACCAGGATGTTGGTCGGCAGTTGAGAACTTTTTTCCATAGCAACGGCATGTGCCATGGCAACGGCCCAAAAGGTAAAAAGCGCAATATGGGAAAACGAAAGCAAAGGTGATCAGCAGGTACCCCGCAAATGGAAAAAAGCCCGCTTTTCCCCAGGTAACTATGTAGGTAATCCATCACTTTTCCCAAGGTATTGGTATCGTATACATGAGATGCTGATGTTGCTATGGGAATACTTTGTCTATCCAGCGCAGGTGCCACAAAAATGTATCACCCATAACAATATTTTTCATCCTCTCGTTGCTATGCATAACATCCCGAATATCCCAGCTTAGCCATTTTCACACACTTCTTTCTTCCTCTTTTCTCCACAATTTCCTCGACGCCCGCGACCAACATAAGAGCTATCGAAAAGAAGGGCGAGTCGTGGACAATACAAACATATCCACACACACACACACACACAAAGAATACAACAACACCACGTTGTGAGATATACATACAATTGTAGAAGTTGCACATGGTCCAATTGTCTGCCTATGGGGAGAGAGTGGTGGATCGACTTAGTATGCTAGGCAACTGGCTTGCCGTCATTGTCTCCATCCGCAACTTTTTTATATGCTATCATCAATATCGACGTACCCGAGGCAAAATGTAAGCATAAAAAGTCTACTATACGATGTTTAAGATACACAAGGATCTCATTCGTCGGTGGCAATAACCATCAGCCATTGCGTGAACATTGCTCAGGTCGTAATATTAGGCGTGCATCGGTTCCTTTACGGCATCATCCCGATTTTCGAGATTACCACTTGCGACTATTACCCACTTCTTATATCGTAAGTCAACGTCCTCCCTTGATTTTGGCCCATTTCGCATTATCCAACATTGACAACTTTACCTATTCATAGATTTTGGCATATTAGTAGGTGCATTGTAGTTTACAACCCATTCTTGATTCCGCCATCATTCACACGCTGACATCCGATTCGCCCCGTATTAGCCTATTTACTATTTTACGTGATCATGTTCATGCGCCTTATTATTCTCGAATCCGATCGACACTCACTTTGGATCAAGGCAATTGGCATTACCCTTATAGCAGTAAGGTTTGCTGATTGGCCATACGAATTGACATTCCAAAACGTGGTGCACGATATTATGAATCAGCAAATCCAAGCTGGTGGCACCTGCTGGGTTCAATGGTATTATAGTTGGCTGGGCCCTTATTGCCCTGATTTGTTTCGTAAGACACGAAATTCACTGACAGTGACACACATCTACACCATAATGCAGGGGCAACGGTGTCATTATCTTCAACTTTGTCGGTGATTCACTAGCAAACCTATTCCTCAGTGGCATGTTTGTACGACGCTTGTATTTGCATATCCGCATGTCCAAGACAGTGATGAGCCGGCAAAACCGCCTCATTGAGCACATCGCACGCAAGTCTTTAATTTGTCTCATCTTTACCTTCGTCGTCAACTTGGCTATGAATTTGCTCAAGATTACCGAATACATTGGTGATCGGTCGGATGTAAGTACAACAACATGGATGGGTGTTGAGCAACATAGGAAACATGCTTATAGCATGGTGAGCATAGGCATTCACGGTTTACTTTCAGCTGATTGAATCCACATTACTGGTGGAGGCGTTACGCGTGGAAGGTACACCATCATCGGGGCAACCGGTTTGTGAAAATTGTGGCCTGGTAAGTTTTGTACATAGTAGGAGGTATAACAAAAAGAGAGACTATCATGCCATCCTATCCTTATTGGTATGCAATTTTAACCAACACATGTATATCAATAGGCCCTTCAGAGCAATTTTCTTGAGAAGCAGCCAAAACATTCGCACCACGAAGAAGGAAATCATGGCAACCCTTTGAGAACAGCGGGTACCAACGAAAGCATCTTTCGTGAACTTTCATTCTTTGATGCATCCTTGTACAATGACGAGGTGGTATTACGCGACACTAATAACAATAACGACGCTAATGGCAAAGGCCACGAAAAGCAACCAAGTTCACCAACCGTAAGCGTTCTTTCACCTCGGCCTATGCAACAACCCGCTATACCCCCACCGGTAGCAAATCCTATATCCTCAAATAATGCAATGGATCGCAGGCGGCCATTATCATTATCCCAGGTTCCAGAATGGAGCAACAATGATTATCGCATGTTTTGAAACGATGAAAGCAACATTGTATATCCTCTACCCAATATAATAGACCTCATCTACACGCAAACTATTGACACCAACATCTCGCTTCAATATGCAAACGATGGGTTACGAGATCCTAAATGAGTTGATCTGGAACAAAAACCCCATACTGTATTCTGAGATGATTAAATGTCATCATCCGTCGTCGGAAAGATTCATGTGGTGCACGAGGTATAAGCCTATTGCAATCGGCACTGATATGATAGGTATATCTTTAGCACCCAAGTTAAACTACACGTGCCATGCATGCATTGATGACAAATGATAACAAAGGAATGTTGAGATAAACATGAAAAAGGAATGCAACGTCAAATGGCTCATTGTCTTTGAAAGGGCTAGGTGGGGATGAGTGAGTCGACAATATTACTTTTCAAGGGTTCAGATTGCACTTTGAGATAAAAATCGCCGTGAGTGGATCAGCAGCCCTCTCTTTTTTCCCTCAATCGAAACAAACGGCACATCTCTTTCGCCTCCCGGAAAATTAAATGTCAAAACAATCTGAGGACGAGAAGGCTATATCAATCATAGAAACGGTGGTGCCCATTCGAGAACAAGAAGATGCCAAATCGGAGGCGGTATCTACCGACGACTATTATGATGCACGTGTTGATCAAGGTGTTACCGAAGACAGCAGCTTGAACGAATTTGGACATGGCAAGGGTAATATCCTTACAGCATACTTTAATGTGGTATGTGTGGTAGCTGGCACTGGTACATTAGGGTTACCCAAAGCATTCGCTGTGGGTGGATGGCTCGGTATCCTCACACTTTTGCTCGCACATGCCATGGCCGTATACAGTGGTATTGTCCTGATTCGATGTTTGTACTACAAGCCTGGTCAACGTTTGCATGATATCAAAAGCATCGGCACAGCTGCGTTTGGTCGCATTGGTTACCTCATTGCATCAGTGTTGCACTTGCTCATTATTTTTGGTTCTCCTGCATTGTACCTTGTGCTGGCAGGTAGCAACATGCATGAATTGCTTACTCACACGGTAAGATCTCGAATGCCATTATTATGCTGTTTCCCAATAGCCATTGACCACATCAATGTTATGTGTATCCTTAGTCGGCAAAGCTTTCACAGCCAATATGGACCATCATTGTGGGTGTCTTCCTCTTGATCCCATCGCTTATTCAACGTACGTTACATGAGGTGACAGCTACATCAGCTATAGGTGCCGTATGCACGATGATTGCTGTTTTCGTTATCATCATTGTTGCGCCCATTGATCTTGCGCAGCATCCCGACCGCCATCCTGTTCACGATGCTGTCATATGGACGGGCTTTCCCACTGCCCTGTCAACCATAGCCTTTTCATTTGGAGGAAACAATACCTATCCACGTATGCTTTTATCCCCTATCTCATGCCTTTTTATGCTAACATGTGCTCTAATAATTAGATGTCGAACATGCTTTGCGTAAACCACATCAATGGAAATACGCTGTTACGGCAGGGTTGACGACATGTACGCTCTTGTACTTCATGACGGCTGTTCCAGGCTACTACGTGTATGGAAGAGATACCCAATCACCCATCTACAACTCACTGCCAATGGGTGCAGGTCGTACTGTTGCTACGATTGTCATGACGATCCACGTGATTCTTGCAATCCCTATCTTCACCACGTCCTTTTCTCTCGAGTTCGAACAATTTGCGCGTGTAGATGAACATCGTATCGGTAAACTTGGTGCATGGTTTGGTCGTGCCGTGATACGTACCATGACCATGGTGATCCTTGTGGTATTGGCGGTGTTTGTAAGTATATGTTTGCATCATGCTTATATGGATGATTGATCGCCAAGCCCTTTACTAGGTACCCTTCTTTTCGGATTTCATGAGTCTCATTGGTGCTCTCGGTAACTGTGGGCTTGTGTTTTTGCTCCCTGTTGCATGCTACCTCAAGCTCACTGGATGGCGCAACAAAAAATTTTACGAACTTGCATTTTGCTTGTTGACAGCATTTCTCGGCATCGTCGGATGTATCTTTGGTACCATCGATGCTATCAAAGCACTCGTTAAAGATTTCCAAGGCCAACAGTAGCCATAACGCATCTGTTATTTGTATTCCCTAATCCCTCATCCCTATTGTAAAGTCCCCTCTTTGTACATATTCTCACAAACAAAAAAGAAACTACTGGTGTGTACATATGAAGTAGCTCGTTTATTGCTATGACCAATGTATTGGCTTCGTCTTTGCATAGCTCGTAGACATTGTTGTGGTACCCGAGGCATGTATTATTGTACTATGAGATTGCTTTTTGGTTTATTACATTCGATTGAAAAGAACGATTGGTGACAGAAATGGGATGGATGGAAAGTGAAATAATGTGGGTATGATGAAAACAGTGCCAAGTGAGTGAGTGAATGAGTATGCTTCCATGTAATACTTATGCCTTTTGTGCAGCATTCCTAGAAGAAAAAAAGGTCCATGTAAGACACAAGCTATCCAAAACCAAAACCCATTTTCCTCCTTACATTGTATCCAATTGTTCCTTGAACTTCTTGTTGATATCTTGACGCTTGAGTTTCTGGGCAGCTGTCAACAAACCGGATTCAATGGTCCATTCCTCGTGACACAAGTGGATGTCAAACAACATTTCAGCAGGCTTAAGGCTTGCTTCCTTGCCAGTGGCGAGAAGTGACTTGAGAACAGCCTTCTTGACCTTGTCATCGTTGCAAATATCTTCAAGATCCTTGGATGCCACATCAAGTTCGGTAGCAAGCTTACGTACTGAAGCTTCAACGGGGACAACCAAAGCAACAGGGCGAGGACGAAGTGAGTCGGCGTAAACGCAAATATTGTTGACATAGAGACAGCTCTTATAAAGAGATTCGAGTTTCTCCAATGCGATGTATTCACCATTACTCAACTTGACAAGGTTTTTCTTGCGATCAATAATGGATAGAGTGCCATTGGGGTTCCATTGAGCGATATCACCCGTCATCAACCAACCATCCTCAGTCACCGTTTCCTTTGTCAAATCATCACGCTTCCAGTAACCCTTGGTAACCGATGTACCACGGACCCAAACTTCACCTTGAGGAGTGGGGTTGGTGGAAAGATAGCCAGCATCAGGTACATCCACAAGCTTGATCTCAACACAAGGTACAGGAGCACCCACGTGACCATAACCAAATTGCTCAGGAGTCATGATAGAGCACATACTAAAGGATACATGTAAGCATGACGCAATAAAGGGAAAATGGCACATCGATAAAGCACTTACCCACAGCCTAACATCACGACGTTCCAAGACAAATAGGAATAAGTAGTCAGCAACCATATCTAAAAAGTGAATAAACACACTCCGATCCTAACAACTTACTTTCAGTCATGCCATAACCACCTATTTAAAAAGAACAAAGCAATTAGTTGAAAGGCTCTTGGGATTATGCAATGGGTAGCGTGTGTGATTCCTTACCAAGAATAGGGCAAACTGTCACTGATAAGAATTTTTGTGTTTCCAAGGATAAGGGAGCACCACCCGACAATGCAAAGCGCAAACGACCACCGACTTGCTCCTTGATCTTGTTGAATACAGCCATATCAAGGAATCCAGTTGGAAGATGACGTTCCATGAGCCAAGCCTTAGTAGCAAATGCCTTGTGGAAGATCTTTTGGGCTTGAGGAGAAGTTTGGTTGACCTTGGCAAGGACACCTTTGCGAATGGATTCCCAAACTTGTGGCACACCGGTCATTAGGGTAGGTCGGAATTCTTTAATGTCGCCCTTGCAGTTGCGTACAGATACATCGGTCAAGGTACGCACCGAAGCATAGCCAAGAGTGACACCCCAAAAGACACAAAGGTTCTCGACAACAAATTCCAAAACGTGGGCAAGTGGGAGATAAGCCATCATGCTGTCATTGTCAGTGATAAGGTGACCAAGAAGCGCCTTCACACCAGCAACTAGAAACAAACACATACAATTAGTATCATGCGATGATAGCCAATCCACATTTTATAATACATACTTGCACCAACAATGTTCTTGTGAGTCAATACAACACCCTTGGGGTTGCCGGTACTTCCGGAAGTGTACATGATACAGCACATATCTTCAGGTTCAGGGGCACGTGCTTCCTTGGGTTGCTCACGACCACGAGTGATAAGCTCATCCACCGATAAGACGTTTTCAATTTGGGCCACCTTGGTCTTCTCGAGAACCTCAGGCTTAGCTTCACCGTGATAAATGACATGCTTGAGAGAGGGGCATTGACTGGCAACCTTGCCAACAGTGGGCAACAACTCGGCGGATGTGAAAATGGCCTCGACCTCGGTTTCGTTCATGGAATGCAACAAGCCCTCTTCACCAAGCGTTTCATAAGCAGTGACAATGGTCATGTTTTGCGTAAACAAACCATGTGCCGTCAAGAGCCAATGCATCCTATTTTCCGTGTCATTCATTAGCCTATGCCTCATTGTTATCCTCTTTGAACAATGGACTTACGTGGTAGGAGCAAAGATCTCAACCTTTGCCTTTTCCTTGAGACCAAGAGCAGCGAAACCAGCACCAAGATCATGTGCACGTTGAGAAGCCTCCTTGTATGTCAGATATTGGTAACCTGACAACTGAAAGTACTTCCACACTTTCTTTTCCTTCTTCTCGACACCATCAATGACCTTGGTAACCTCCTTCTCTTCTTCAATGATCTTCTCAATGTTGCGGTAACCAAAAGCCTTGCGATCGGGATAGCTTCGAGCACTGTGTTGAAGGACGTCATAAAGAGTGTGGACATTGGTTGCTGGGACACGAGCAACGCCGTCAGCGGCAAGAATGGAGCGCTTCACATTGCCACCATTAGGTTGTTCAGGACCGACATCGACAGCGTAGACCTTCATGTTTGTGAATGTAGTAAATGGAATGGGACAAAAAAGAGAATAAGGAAGGGGGACGAGTTGTATCAAGAGAGAGTTTTTAAGTTGTTGAGGAAAGGGATGGTGGCACAAAAAGAGGCGGAGTCGGCTTGTCAGACGCGAAAAGCGAAAGAGCTTTGTCTTACTGCATAGCCAGAAAGGGAACAACAGAACAAAGGAGAGAGGGATGACATAACTCAACCATGCTTTGAAATGTCAGCCATTTTATTACATCGTTTTCTCGCTTTACTCTTCATCTTCATGATCCATCATCATCAACATCGTCGCCATGTTGGCGGAGGCTCCTTTCGCTACTTTAATCATGTTGCCATGAGACTCACATATTCCATAACTATGTCCTTGATGTGCGAGAACTTCATCAGAGACGATCTTTCTATGACGCGTGTCAAGTAATGAACAATGCTACTACTCACGATGAATATTGCATGGTTTTGAATAAGCACATATTTGCACGCCAGCATTTGCCTTGAAAAGGATGTTGCGCACAAGCCATGGATGCTTACAATTTTCACATGTTTCTACCACACGAATCTCGGAGTGTAATGCTTGCTTTCAATTGATGACTTAATGTCGTACCTGATCTACTTGCTCCTCCTTCTCCTGCTGCTCCCTTACAACTCCTGATAAAAATATAATGAGAGGACTGATATCAAAGTTAAGCTCAGGACATGTACCCGCTAACCTGATGACATTACGGATAAACAACGCTACACATGAAATCACCTTTTTCTCGATACTAGAGTTCTACTAAATGCTGGTGGGTGGATATCACCGACATACGCACGATGCATATAAATCCTGCTCAGCTCAAACATCATTGCATATCACCGCTAAATTAGCATGGATGTGTTGGAATGGACCCATGATCTATCATAGATGTGATCTACGACAACATAATAGAAGGAGGTTGGATGCAGGTGTTCTTCACCTAATCGCCCGTGAAAATAGTTTTTCCATGAGATAATAATAATATTACCTAGCGATTGTTGGAACGTGGTGTACCTTTCCGTTAGCACCCTAGCATGCAGGGATTTTTGCTCGATTGGCTATTTATGTCAACATGCTACTGTTTACGGAAGGTTTCATCATACAATTCCGAATTTTGTTGGGCATCACTTTGATTCATTTCGTTTTGGCCTTGTTGCACAATCAACATGGGCAAGATGTCTGTGCTGTAAAAGCATTGTTGCATGGGCTGAAGCCTGCTTTTCAATCATAAATACCATTACTCACGCTTACCATCACATGAAGATGTGTGGTCGCATCTACAACGTTTCTCCATTGACAATCACTAGTTTGGTTCGCGTGCATCTATGGAAGAACATAAAAGATAATGACTAACATTCTGTGTACCCGCTCTACTACATGGCCAGGTGAAAAACACTATCGACATGCCACAAGTGAATGCGATTTTGTATCACATACAAAGGTATGCAGGTGGCATGACGACTTTATGCAGGTCATTTTGTAAAAAGGGGTGATGGTGATGATTACCGGTGATTACCGTGACCTTTTGACTACGGCGAATAATCACCCGATAGGAATTGAAAGGGGGTGTTGGATATGAAACCATGAGCTAAGCCTCCTCTTTCAAAAGCAAACACGTCTCATGAGCCATTTACCACGCATACAATGAAAGAATCTTCTTAACATCCAACACACTTTTAATCCATCACTGAAAAAGAAAACGAAACGAAAGTGGTAGCGCGTAGAGTTTCAATAAAGGATCTTTTATTTGTGATCGAAATGGAATAAAAGCTATCAATTTGCCGGCACGTAACCTCGGTTGCAAGATCTAAGCAAGAACGATGGTAAGTATCGCGTTCGATGCAATCATCCATCCACGCGTTATTGCACGCGCAGGCTACAAGAAATCACACGTGTCAGGGATTACGGTTGCAGTTGTAATCCGCTTTTATGGCGTCGTCATTAGACTCTGACTGGTGCCAGCTAAACTCATCCTTCATGTGTGATCACTCGAACCCGCACCAGCAATACCCATTTCAATAATCAATACCGTACCTTGTGCGAAAGCAATGCAAAGAAGAAAACAAAGGCGAGCGCTGCCTTTTTAAAAGCAAAGAAAACTTTTCCATACTCAGCAATCTCAGCATCCCGCGTTTGCCCATGCTAGTTTGGCGCTCCTATAAGATCGGTAAGTCATAGCTGCTGCTGACAATAGATACGGACGAAGGCGGATGAAAGTGCGTGGGACTTCTTTTGTTTGGCGTCGATGATTTCATAAAGAATGGGATAGGAGCTATGGGCCACTAAACGGGGTGCTGAGGATTGATATCGGGTAAACTATCATCTCCCCATCACTATAAGACATGGCTGACAACACGTCTTCATGGTATTTTTTTTCCTTTGCTCGGTGAGATGAATCATCAGGCAAGTAACACTATCAACGAATGTATGAAAAAAGGATCAAGTCATTAAATCACGTGACTTTTTATTGGACGCACAAGCTAAACTTTTAGAGTACATCCTTGGTTGACAGTGACGTATGGCATCTTTATTACTGCTGCATAAGAATGAATGGTATAGAAAGGAGACCACATCCCTACACATATTTGGTCAAATGCAATCAATATATGGATCAGCAACAGCCCAATTGTGAGAGCGAGGTTGTTTGGGGTGATATGCAAAAGACTACTACTACTACTACCGTTTCAGGAAACAGGGTCGGCATTGTTCATGCCGCGCCCACATCTTTATGATGATAATGAATGCTTCTTTGAAAGAGACGAATGCATGTTTCCAATGCTTACGAGGACAAGGTTGATTGTTTACTTTTGAATGTTGTTGTTGTTGTTGATGGCGAATGGAAAGTAGAAACATGATAAAACAAGGAGGGCAGATGACCAAAATACTAACCAATCAAAGTTGCGACATATGGCTTCTCTTTCTCATGATGGGCACCTACACAGCCCTGTATCGCTTCTTTTCCTTTTTCCCTTTTCTTGGCTTTTTTCCACTCACTCTCCATGAAATTCCCAACATTGTCTTCATTGCTACTAGCATTGCTGCTCATTGGCACAGGCAAGTGAATGTTGCAACAGGGCATTCACGTACACAACAACGAAAATTGACAAGTCTCTCTCTTTACTGCGTTCCTTTAGTATGTGCGGCACCGGCACCACTTGAAGACATTTCTGTTACATCCATTGACCTTGTTGAAGAACGCCTCGATGCCAAGGGTGATGAGCATTTATACGTCACCGTTACTCGTACCGATGACCTTATTGATGATGATGGTGTTCTTCTTGCTGAACGAGTGATGGCTGTTCAAGTGACCTTTGATGTTGCCGAGAATCAGCAGGTATGGTTTCATGTTTACTCTCACGCACCACACATACACACTTACACGCACACGCACACGCATACATGTAAAATAGCTTCGATGCAATGGTGTCCCTGTTGAGATTGGTGTATCCAACATCCAAGTAGAAGCTCAAATTGCTGCCAATCCTGAAAAGTTGACGATTGCTTCAGAGGAGGATCTTGCATTACTCGAAGATAGCTTTGATATTGGTCTTGCCACTGTTGAGGTGAATGCCATGTTTTTGGATGAACTCAAGACCGAAGATGGCATGTCCTTCCGTCGCATTGCTGTACAAGAACGTATCACTGAAATCAATGGCGAGCAAGTGGTTCAAACCGAAGCTGGTCAACAAATCCTCGATGTCTTTGAAGATGGTCAACTCAACCGATGGGCTGTGGATCCTCTTACAGGCTTCTTGTTGCCATCCGAAGAAAATGATGATATCAAAGAAGGCATGTATATAGTGTACAACAGCGTTTATTTTGGACATGTCTATTAACTATCCTATAGAGCCTGCTGTGGTACCTGCTGCTGGCCATTCCAACAAAGGTTGTGCTGGTGCATTGGTGGATCCCCTTGTTGACTGGTGGAACGACCAAAGCTTCGTCATTCAAGGTCTCATCACTGGTGGTGTTTGCGCTGTGCTCCTTGCCATTGCCTTTGCCATTCGTCAAATGATTGTGTCATCGAATGATTATGACCCTGTGGCCGTGGTGGAAACAAACGAGGAAATCTGGTCATCCGTGCAACACAAGGGTGGTGATTATGAAGAAAAGCGCCCCTTCCTCTCTTAAAGAGATTATTCCCCGTTATTGTTATCCATCGCACATTGTGTGTATTGTGAATATAGTATTCAATGGTGATGCCGTATTGTATTGATTTTCTACCAAACACATAAAGTAGCGGTATCTGATAATCGATTGTGGGATAGGGTAGTGGTGGTGATAGCTTGTCGCATTGTCAAAGGATGGGGCACACGAAAGGAATAGGTGGTGGATCATAGAATGGAAATGATAGTGCTGTTGTTGCTTTTAAGAGGATGAAACGCTGTTGTTGGAGTTTTCTTGGGAGGACACAAGTGAAGAAGGCTGTTGGGTGGATATATCCTTTTTACGGATAGTGCCAAAAAGACGCTTGACCTTGCCAGCTAGATTAGCTTGACCTTCTTCCTCAAATGATGAATCACTTGTATTGTTGGCAACAGTGCTTGTAGATGGTGTGTGTGTCTCCTCAGCTTTGAAATGCTCGACAAAGCGAGATGACATATCTTGTTTGGGATAACAAAGGAGGAGAAATGAGTAGAAAAGGACGATGGGTGGGAAATGAGAGGAGGAGACTCGAGTACTCTGTGTCGGGTTTGATCGAGATTCTCCTCTTTTCTTTTTTTGGGGTGATCTCGATTGCAATAGCTTTGTTTGTTATAAACACAGCATTGATGTGCGGACCAAACTTACATATAATGTATGCAATTTGATAAGGGCATTTATTTTGACATGTTATATCGCCGAGATACAAAAATCATTAGGCATTCATCATACAAGATAACAACAATGGTTTCCAATGTTAACTAGAGCTCTTACTAATGGTTTCTACAACGGTTTCAGATACGATTGTTTCAGAAAGAATGCATGCAAAGTTTACTGTTTTTCACATTCAGCTTAGGCTGGGAAAGGAGGATTGAGATGAATGAATGCAATGTGTGGTGAGTGTGAGTGAGTGAGTGAGTGAGATGAAGGATATGTAAATATGACATTGGGGAATAAGATTAAGTGATGAAGAGACTAGAAAAGATAAACAGATTGCGTCAGGGGTAAAGTGGACACAGGATCACAAGAGCAAAGTTGGCCATCTGCCAACACCTGGTAGGTCTCCGGGTCGACCGAGATTGATGGTGTGCACCCATTGAGCTTCATATCCTTTTTAGAAACGTTCCTACAGTTTTTGACAGCCTCGATTCGTTTTCGTAACCCGTAGCTTGCCATGACACCATTATCGATTGAAATTTGCGATACAAAGAGGCAAGAATGCATTCCAACGCTGGATGGTAAGCTACCGTACATTGGTTTTGAGATGATGGGTTGTGTAGTGGGAATCGATCCATTTGCGTCGCCTATGGCAATCCAATGTTAATAAAGCTGCAAGGAAAGAAAAAAAGTTGCAAACTTACCGATATTGCCCCATACAACCACACCGGCCTTAAGGATGAGTTCAGGCTTTGTGCCAAAGAATTGTGGGGTATAAACGACTAAATCAGCCATTTTACCGACTTCGATGGAGCCGACAAGGTGACCAACGCCATGGGCTAATGCTCTATAGGACACCAAGAAAAAAAAGAGGTCAGCAAAGAACAATGATAAAGGGGGGATGATGATTACTTACGGATTGATTGTGTATTTTGCAACATAGCGGCGAATGCGATAGTTGTCACCTTCATCATTTTCATCTTCAGGAAGCTTGCCACGTTGATTACGCATTTTGCTTGCTGTTTTCCAAGTGCGTAAAACAACTTCGCCTATACGACCCATGGCTTGACAATCGGAGCTGATCATACTGATGGCACCCATATCTTGAAGCACATCTTCGGCAGCAATGGTCTCTGCACGAATACGACTCTCAGCAAAAGCAACATCTTCAGGAATGGATTTGGTCAAGTGATGGCACACCATTAACATGTCAACGTGTTCATCGAGCGTATTGGTGGTGAAAGGACGAGTTGGATTTGTGGATGATGGTAAGATGTTGTTTTCACTGCAAACAGAAATGACTATGGAAGATGATTAATAAATCGATCACGCCAAGATATAGGGTTTTTACTTACTATCAGGAGCGTGACCACCACCAGCACCTTCACTGTGATAGGTATGGATGGTTCTGTTATTGATGGCAGCAAGCGTAGACTCAACAAAGCCAGCTTCATTGAGCGTATCGGTGTGGATGGTTGCTTGGACATCGAGTTCATCGCATACTTTGAGACATTCGTCAATGGCAACGGGTGTGCAACCCCAATCTTCATGCAGCTTAAGTCCCAAACAGCCCGATTCAATTTGTTCCACAAGTTCTCTCCTGCTTGATACAGTGCCCTTGCCAGTGATGCCGATGTTGATGGGTAAGTCGTCTGTTGCCTTCATAACAAATTCAACGTGATGTCGACCATTGGTGCAAGTAGTTGCATTGCTGCCCGTCGTGGAGCCCGATCCACCTCCAATCAGTGTGGTGATGCCGCTTGACAAGGCCTCTGGAATCAATTGGGGACAAATGTAGTGTACGTGTGTGTCGATGGCACCAGCAACAAAGATCTTTCCTTCGCCAGCCAATGCTTCCGTTGCAGCACCAACGATCATGCCGGGAGTGACACCATCCATGACGTCAGGGTTGCCAGCTTTGCCAATGCCAACAATGATGCCTCGCTTGACACCGATATCAGCCTTGAAGATGCCCGTGTAATCGATGATAAGAGCATTGGTGATCACCAAATCAAGCACCTCATCATCACAACGCCCTGTTGCTTGACCCATGCCTTCACGCAGCACTTTACCGCCACCAAATTTACATTCGTCACCATAGATGGTAAAGTCGTGTTCAACTCTTGCCCATAAATCAGTGTCTCCTAAACGCACCAAATCACCTGTAGTTGGCCCAAAGTGATCAGCATAGTACTCCCGATCCAAGACGTATGGTTCTGCAGGGAGTTGTGGGGCATTGGCGTCATGTAAGAAACCACGTTCAGCCACAGTTGCCATAATGGATGGGAGTCGTGCCAAATCTACTGGTCCTGTTGCAAGTCCATTACCACCAGTGATGATCTTGTTGCCACCAATTTCAACAAGTGTAACAGTCTTGAAGTCACCCGGCTCAAAACGAACAGCTGATCCTGCAGGGATATCAAGGCGCATGCCATAGGCAAAAGCACGGTTGAACAATAGCGCAGAGTTTGCTTCGATGAAATGGTAATGAGAGCCAACTTGGACCGGTCGATCGCCTTGGTTCGTTACCGTCAATGATATACGTCGTCGATTTTCGTTAAGGTGGATCTTGCCAGGCTTCACAATCAATGCACCAGGTGGTGGTGGGCGTTCGGCTGGGGGTAAAGGAAATCGGCTGATATCGGGTACAGGTAAAAAGCTGCCATAAAGTGCCATTTCAAGATTCCCATCATCGGTGCAAATAGGATCGTGTACAGTGACAAGGTAAGTGCCATCGGGAAAAGTGCCTTCAATTTGAACCTCATGAAGAGTATCCAGCACACTAGGCATCACGTGACGGCGACCAAGCATCTGTTTGCCCATATCCATAAGCTGTGCCACGTTGTAGGTGCCATCCCGCATGAATTCCAATAGCTGTGAGGCGAGTAATGCTGTTGCTTCGGTTTCGTTAAGCTTCACTCCACGAGCTAGCCGTCGTTGGGCAAGGTTGCCGACTATATTTCATCTTCGGTGAGTCTCTATAGTAATAATAGCAAGTAATTCTCCTATTGTAGTACATACCATTGCTGAGTAAAAGCTTGTCAAGTTCGCGAGGAACCAGACGCATTTTTTATTGATAAGATAGGTGTGGAGAAGGAAAAAGAGAAAGAGTGGGGAAGTATTAGAGAGAAGGGAGAAAAAAAAAGAGGAAGGCTATTGAGGGGTATATACAGCAGCTGTTTTTATCGTGTCTGGGGATCCGTGATAAGCAGGATATCTATGTTACACATTATATCAAGTCACGCTGTTCCGGAAAGCTGTGAATGAGACAAGAAGTTGATGTGATAAGTTTCTGGCAGCTTCCGAAAAAAGCTCGCACTCACTCCTGCCTCCCGTGTGTTACCGACTTTAAAAGTTTAAGAAATGAATTCCTTCAAGAAGATAACAACCATTGTTCGTGGGAGATATAGAGGGAGCAAAACGTCAACTTTCGAAAGATTGGTGATAATTTGCACCCGTTTTATAACCTGCTCTTATCTTATCAGCCTGTTTCCCGAACCACAGGTCCGTGCCATAGTAGCTATCTCCCCCACATCCCTTAATACAGTTTACGAACATTGCCGTATACCAAATACTGAATCGCTTCCAACGTTTATATATAAGACGTGAACATGCAATATGCACATGTTTCTCCCTCATCATTTTCAAAATCGGGAAATCAGCGGAGTGTATGCTCGGAATGACAACAAGTCAACGTGGTTGGTGCGAACAAACTCATATAATGAGTTTGTTGCCATACTACATCCCTCACCATCGATTGGCTCACTGCTAAAGGAGGAGTGTGATTGCTTCACCACTGAAGACGGGAGGATGCGGATTTTACAAATCCTAAAATCAGGTTGCTCAAGTCTTTTTTCTTGCTATTTCGATCGTGCGTTTAAGGTTTAAAAAAAAGGTACCCAATAATGCTATGTAGGTCAAAGGTGGTCACAACAGGTTCGAATCCAAAAACAATGGCCCTACTTGTACGAGCACCCTCTGATCTGCTATAGTGGGGTGCATGTCACTGCCATGCATGCTGCATCTTGGATGCAGAGCAGGGTAAACAAACCTGCATTTGATTTCATATGTCGGTTTTGGGTCAAGGTATCAGAAGGAAATAAGATCCAAGAATTCAATAGGGTAGGCGGGATCTTGGAAGACTACTTGCATAATGGAGAAGTCCATATCAATGACTGGGTTCTCTTTGTCTTAGTTTCTCATTTATCATGATATTCCTCCTAATCGACCTTTTAGCCATCGTGCTCATTTGTAATTCTTTCACAGCAGGTGATAGTCAATACACACGCACGACTTTACCATACAAGAGCGAGATGAGTGCCACTTTTGGCCCCCTTTTTGCATGCAAGGTCTCCTGCTGAACAACAATTTTTTCAGTTGGGGTTATGGAGCTGACACAGGAGAGATCGAATTGCCCGATTGTATTGATCTGGAATATGGTCCCAGATCATCCCGGAGTATGAGAACGTTGCAAGGATTGGATCTTTCTCGCTTTTTCTTTGCTGTTTTGAGATGTAAACTTCTTTCAAGTTCAGCTTGACGGCAATGAATCATTTTGCAGCAGCTATGCTCCGCCCTTCTTTACAACTTAGTCATGGCATTAAGAAGATTTTCAACCACCACGTTTACTACCATCATGATGGCACTATATGTAGTCAATGGATACAATGGGTTCAATTGTATGGGTGGCATAGGAACGAGATTCCAAACATGTGATGTACTTCCGTTGTGAGCATGATCGATCCGAGGAACCAAAAGATGCAGCTGCAAATCGTATCACCCACGATCTATACAGTTATTCAGGCTGAAACTAAGATTCAGAGTAACCCGATGTAAAAGTCTCCTCCCTCTTTGAAGGTCTTCGAAGAGTTTCTTTGGTCGCTGTCTCATGTCCTCTAATTATCCTTTTGTATCAATTTTTCTTTTCTCGCCACCTGCTTTCCCACCACTCCATACAGTGATTGTAACCACTAAATGAGACACGACATACAAAGGTTGCAGTGGCACAATCTATACCCAATTACTAATTAAACGTGTAAACGTGCCAAGAAAGCAATCATTTATGTGGGCACGAGACAATCAAATTAGCACAAAGAAGTAGACAAGAGTTTGCCCGAGAAGGAAAAAAGTTTACAGCATATGGACAAGAGGAGGATGTCTTTGGGGGATGGGGGGAAATGCATGCTTGTGTTCATCCGGTCATGATCGTGGCGACAGGCAGAGTAACGTTTGACCTTGTACCAGGACCCTGTTTTAAGACAATGCTACCACTCTGTTGGATGAAAAGGGCATATTATAGGTACGTGGGGGATGCCCCTGCTTGCTTGTTCAGGAGGTAGTAATGTTTGTGTTCAGCTGAATAAGGGGGATGCTGTGTGGGAAAAGAGAACAAAGAATCTTAGACGTGGTATGTGGGGCGAACAATATGCTTATTGTAAAAGTACATCTTGTAAAAAGCAATACTTCTTGCTTTTGTTTTACCACGCTTGAAGATCGTACAATGTTGATGGTGGTACAAGCAGCTCGCCACATGTCTTACTTTTCCCGAGCCGCAGCTTCCACGTATGCAACTCTCCTATTACTTTTACTGGTTCCCGTTTTTACCATTGCAAGTGAACCTATGACGAGTAACAACGACCTACGCAGCTACTCTGTTGTTGCACATATCCCAGACAACTCCACCATTGCCGTCGTCATTGACAACGATGAGCACCATTTGCATCCTTTGCGTCATGCATCCAATGTGAACACCCATTTATTGTATACAGGAGAAGCTCCTCGACCAACCAACTGCTACAGCTACGTTATCATGAAGGATGGCATCATCACGCAACGGGAGCCATCCACTCGTTCTATATCTGGAACCTCTTCTTCCTCGACGACGACGACGACGACATATGACTTTTTTGATCGTGTTCCAAAGATCGAGCATGTTGCACAGCTTCCTCGGCTGTATGGACCTCTTTTCAAAGAAAAGCCCAATGAGTTGCACAAACCTGGGCAGATTGCGACGTTGCATTTGACCGGTAACCAGGATGACTTTGATACCCTTCACAAACGTTACCAAGAGCAAATCAAGATTGAGGTTTCGATGTCGTACATTGGGTGAGTTCCATACATACACCCGCCGAGGTCTAAGAACGTTTTATTAAACTCCTCTATGCATGCATTTACAGTGCTAATGATATCATGGAATTTGATTCTGTACAACTGAAGCTTTCGGGGCGTGCATCTCGTTGGATGTCAAAACTCAGTTATGGGGTGAAGCTTCCAAAGGGCGCGAGGTTGTATGGTCATCGTCATCTGAAACTACGGGCACTGGCAACCGACCCTTCTTATCTACGCGAATATCTTTCGTACAAATCGATCAAAGCTTCTGGTCTCCCTTGCTCGGATTTCTCGTTTGTTCGGTAAAACAATACTATCTCGTCCAACGTTATACTTTACTTTATACTCATCCTATCATCCCCCAGCGTTTTCATCAATAATCAGGCAATTGGTCTTTTTGGCTTGATTGAGGTCTACAAGAAACCATGGCTCAAGGATGTGTTTGGTGACAACAAAGTCAACATTTTGTATCAAGGCTTGGGTTACAGCAAAGAATCAAATGATCACAACCAATGTGCCGACCTAAAGTACAATCCAGACCTTGAGTCTTACAACCACGACCAATACAAGATCAAGGTTGCAGGCAAGAACGATGATGGCTATCAATCTTTGCAATCATTCACCAAAACGATCGTTGATGGCACTTGGATGGATCATGCCAATGTGGAAAGCTTCCTACGAAGGTAAAGAAGATGATGAATGAAAGATTCTATCATAGTCATTAACGCCCTCATTCAATTAGCTATGCATTGGAGATTGTGGCAGGATTTTCGGATGCTTACATGTCCATGGCCGACAATTACTTTGTATACAAGCATAAGGATGGATTCGTGCACATCATGTCAGACGTCGATATGACATTTGGACAAACGACCTTGCGACTAGAGAAGATGTTAACCGGTGATTATCGACAATACCCAGGAATCGATATTCGCCCTATGTCAAAATACATCCTTGACAACGCCGACCTCTCCAACCAACTACAACAAAAAGTCAACGAAATGGCTTCTCAACTCGTGAATCCTGAGATCATGCGTCCTGTGATTGATGATGTCTATCGTTTGATCGAACAAGATGTGGCATGGGATAAGCAACTTCCACGCATGGGGCAAAATCATATCGCAACCAACACAACAACATATGATCGTGATAACCTTCCCTTTTGGGTTCATCCACCCATTGAGCCCGATGTACTCGACGATTTCAATGTGCGTATGCGTAATGATGACGTTGGATTTTACGACGCTGTCTATGGAAAGCCGCCATACACTTCTCTCACCGGTGTTTTGGACTATATCACAAAAAGCAGCAATGCCATCCTTACTCGAAATAGTACTTAGAAGGATATGTGCACTCAATTGTAAATTAACAACATTGATCTTGCTTGTATAAAGCTGCAGCATATACCATTATTTTATTATTATTACATGTTATCAGGTATTTTAAAAAGCTTCTCCATATTCTCCTTCGACAGCAACTCTTTTTTTGATTCAGCAAATCCAGTAATCAAATCTGCCACCTTTTTAACATCGCTTCTAATCTTCTGCACACGCTCCTGCGCCCTGGCTACTGTCTCCTCGAGTCTACAATAAGATGACATGGGGGTGTTAGTCTCCAACGCTGAATACATCACCTATACACATACTTGATATGAGCATCCTCTTCTTGACTCTTGAGAGATAAGACCTCCTTCTTTGCCTGGTTTCGAGCTTGTTTCGCTGCATTTTCACGCTGATTCAATTCTCGAAGGGTGTCATCCATTTCTTTAGCGATAGACTATAAAATAGCAATGTTAGAAAGGGACCTTGGGTATGACAAAGAAATCAACTTACAGCCTTAAGCTCTTCGAATGACCGAGTCTCATGTTCAAGTTGTTCTTGCAGCTGCCTTAGACTTTCTTCTTCTGCAGGTATAGAATTCTTGATCTCAGCATATCGGTCACGGATGCCTCGCAGCCTTTCAGATGCTTGTTGCAAAGCTTGGCTGTATTGGTTTTGAAGGATTTGTAAATGTGGCTATAAAGAATGGATTAAAGACCCAACCCCATGTGATTCACGTCTCATGGATGACTTACGAGCAAATCATTTTCCCAATCTACTGATGACATTTCTTCAAGCGTCCTTCCTTCTGGATTAAAGACAAAACGATAATCTTTGCCATTCGCATTCGGCGCAGTGCTGGGGATAAGGCCGGCTTCAGTCGCCTCGCTGTTGTATTCATGCATGTCTTTTTGGATCTGCATATATATAAAACGTAGATCAGTATATCCGATTGCTTGTCAAAGGAGGTCCGCCTTACATCTTCACGCATTTGCTGCATCTGCATTTCTCTTGATTTGTATTGCTGATCGAGCTCATTGATCCTTGCCTTATTGTCGAGAGACTTCTTCTCCAGCTCAACTTGTTCATTCGCCATTCCTGCCACTTGTTCAGGTGATAGGTCCATTTCCTTGAATCGTCTCAATACTTCATCATACTCTTGCTCTGCCATCCGGATTTCTCTCTCTAAAAATGAAAAAATCAGTACCTGGATCCATCACAGCACGATACCATAGTCCCATTGAGTATTGACTTACTTTTTGCATCGAGTGCCTCCTTCAATCTCTCATTAAGATCCATATATTTTGCTATACGCCGTCGCTTGTCATCGCAGAATTCGTTGTACTTGGTCATATCCTCTTTCATTTCTCGAACACCCTCCTCAAGACGTTTAACCGTTTCCTACATAGAGCATTTAGCAACAGGGAATCCAAAAACACAACGTTTGATCTTACCTTTCTCTTTTGTACTTCATCCTTTTCCTTTACCTGGCGTTGCCTTACTTCCTGTAGTCGCCTGATTTCTTGACGGTACTGCTCATTCAATTCCTCTATATAGAGCACGTTTAGCTTTCCTAAACCATACGCTATGTCAATAGGATCTTACCAAAGACGGATAACAGCTTAGTGTCGGTCTCCGTAAATTCATCGGCTCCATTCATGAATTGGTTGTAGGTTGTAACAGTGTAGGCGTAAAACAAGTAATTCATATCGGTTGGTCCTTCTTTTTCCACGTCTTCCTCTTTCTCAGTCCGAGGCACATCATGATCATGTATCTGTGAACCCACAAAGAAATGAATGAGTGAATGGATCAGGCCGATGATACGCGAAGTTACCTTGCACATGGTCACAAACCAGTGAAGTAGTGATAGAAAGGTTGGGAATAAATGGGGTGCACCAATGGAATGAAGCGACCTCGGACTCAGTTGATCGCAATATGGATATCTAAGAGTTGTTAAATGAGCTCCATGTCCCATATCAAGCTAAACAAGACCACTTACCTTAATGAACGAAGCACATCAATATACTCATCTTCGAATTTCTCTCGTACGTATTGATAAGATGGAGCCATGTGATGATGAAGATGCTTGAACATGTTTTGAAAGTTGCGAAGTGTGAGTCCACGAAGCATTTGTCGTGTAACCTGGCCATAGTTGGAATCACGAAGATAGTCGATGATGCATTGCATGGCTCGTTTTTGGTATTCTGGACTGCGTATATCTGGCTTGGCTTTGGCTTTTGATATTTGAGTGGCTGCTGCTGATGCTGATGATGATGCTGATGATGCCTTGGCTACTAACGATGAAGAAGCACCCGTACGATGGGATGGGCGAGAGTTACTTGCAGGTCTATGATGATAAGGTGGAATATAAGCTATGCGCACACAAGACACTGGCCCCTGCCTATGGCTCTGCTTGCAATTGACACCCACGGATCTTTAATGGCTACACTTCGCTTCGAGCGTCCTTCAGCTGGAGTCGTAGCAACTGCAATGCGCTGTGGTCCAAGTGAATGGCTGTGATGCGGTGCTGATAACCGAGGCATTTTGGGATCGTTGGAAGCTAGTCGATTGGCTCTCACACCAGTTGCTGTTGCTGGCGGTGGTAATTTTGACTGATGGGGTGCATTGTCGCTGATGGTATAACGTCGTTTCATGGTAGTATCGTGTGTTGACTGGAATACAAGAAAAACGCGCTCGGAGCGGAAGCAAGGAACAACGCGAGGCTGACACGGCAACCACGACCACGTGACGCAAATGAGTTTCCTTGTGTGATGATATGCATGAATTCACTCCCTTCAGAGAGATCCTACCAATGTTGCACTTGAAATCGAGTAGTATCTTCCTTATTAGCAATATCTGATACGAGTATCACATGATCTAAGGCTCTTTTATGCTCAAAGAATAAAGCCATAAGATGTATTGTTTGTCGTGCTGCTAATTGTTGTTGCCATCCTACATATGTATCTTCTTCTGATGTATGTGTTGAGGGGGTTACGGTACAGTATAACGTTGTCTATAAGCATTGAGAAAACATCATCGGATGCATTAATTCAAACTAAACCTTGCGTTTATGATTGGTTCTATGCTCACCCCTTATTACGCTGACGATAATCTCCTAAACATCTTGGATGCTCTTTGTTTCTTTGTCAATCAACAAAGACCATGTTTGGATCTTTCAACAAGAAACACATTCCTTTGTTCTCTATTACAATGAATCATGTACAATGACGAGCACATGGTTTACGTGGGTTACAAAGTATGGGAGATGGCATATGGTAGTAATACATAAATAAACCAAGGATTCATTTATTGAAACTACATCGATAGTATACATAGCAACCTTTGTTTGTGGCGTCAAGAATAGCATTCAATGGATGGTTGAATCTATGATGGTGGAAGTAAAACTGACACTTGCAAAGCAAAAGATAGGTTGATCCAAGTTCACGGTATCCTGTTAGCCCCTTACACATGTGATCAAGGTGCACGTGTAATATCCGTATCCTGGATACTTACATATCCAAAGATGAGTCCACAGACCCTGTACATATTACATCCGATCTGGAAACCCCTTTTTTCTGCAAAATAGCCAGTCGGCATCTTGACACGATGGCCGTTGCAGAGGCATGTTAGGATTTTTTTCCGTCTCAATAAGAACATGCGCTTCACTATTTCCTTTCTTGCCAGAGCATTTCATTTCCAACCTGGATAAGAGAGCACTCATCCATCTTTCACTTTTGAGACTCTTTCCTTAGCTCCACAAGCACAAACGTACGGAATGCACATACCCATCTGGGCGACCACCGTCTTTTTATTCAGCATCAGCGGATTTGCTGCTGCTGCTCCTGCCGATACAAAATCAAACAACAGCCCTGATCCACGCACTGAAGTGATCAAAAACGCGTTTAGACACGCTTGGAATGGATACCATCAATACGCTTTTGGACACGATGAGCTGAAACCAGTGACGAATGGCACAAACGATTCACGGTAGGGAGAACTCACTTTAAGCAATACCACGATAACAGGAAATTAAAACGCTCATTTTCTTGTTATCCTCATTGGCCATCGTTAGCAATGGGTGGGGAGGTAAGAAGGCTTAGATAGTAAACGATTCGAGAAGCGTATACTCAATTCCATATCCATTACCATAGCATCCATTTTTGATGCCCTGGATACAATGATTATTATGGGTTTGGAAGATGAATACCAACAAGCCTTAGAACATGTAAAAAACGTTGACTGGAATTCCACAAGTGACCCCAGCAAGACTTTTGAGACCAACATTCGATACCTTGGAGGATTACTTTCAGCGTATGATTTACGCCCTGACCAAGCCCTTTTAGACAAGGCAATTGAGCTGGCGGACAAAGTCATTATGCCAGCCTACAATACACCCCATGGCATCCCTGCTGCTTATGTGAATGTTGCCACGTGAGTGTAGCACACATGCATGCAAATCTAAATGGCACATGAAGCATTAATGTATGCATGATTTAGTGGCGAGCCAACCGATGACCATGATCTCATCTTGGCTGAATTTGGATCCTTGCAGCTTGAGCTTGTGCGTCTTAGTCAACTCACCGGCAATGAGCGTTATGCCTCCGTTGCCAACGAGGTCATTTACGCCATTGACAATGTAACGACACCATTCCCTGGTCTTTATCCCATCACATGGTCATTAGATGACTTTACACCTTCAAGCAGTAAGAGTGATTTTATCGTTTCCCCCTCCTTGTGCATGGTATTGATCCTCTGTATAGGCTACATTACGATTTCCGGTGGTGGTGACAGCTATTACGAATACTTGTTAAAGACCGACATGTTGATGCGAGATGAACATCAGCTTAACATGTGGAAGAAATCAGTCGACAGCATGCAAACATACCTTCGATCTGAAGCCACCAGCGACATGGTATTCTTGGGTGAATTGAATGAAGATTACAAGCTGCTGCAAACGGGCGAATTAGTGTGCTTCATCCCTGGCAACTTGTTGCTCGGAGCACGTTACCTTAATGATACCAATATTGCCAAATTTGCCAATGAGCTCATGGATGGCTGCTATGATGCATGGGCATTGACGCCAACAGGAATCGCACCTGAAACATGGGGATGGATTGATAAGAGCCAAAACATGACCAGCTTCCCTACAGCTATGCAAATGGCTATGCAAACGACTGGATACATTGCTCAAGATCTTTCATATGATCTAAGACCAGGTTAGTGAGCATAATGGATAAGGTAAAGACAACGTTCACGAATGCCTATTTCCATTATAGAAACTCTTGAAAGCATATTCTACTTTTACCGCCTCACTGGTGATACCAAGTACCAGGTAAACAAAGCAGTTTGTCTTCCTGCAGCAGCATAGGGGAAGAGAAAAAACAAGGTCATGGGGCCATTCTCATCATGCATGCATAAATACTCTAGGACATGGCATGGAAGATTTTTGAATCCATTGAAAAGTATTGCAAGACATCAGCTGGATACACTCGTATCGGTGATGTGTCTAGTGTCGATCAAGTTAATCCCCTTGACTTTGAAGAAAGGTATGCATCATGCTACAAAAACTTCCGAATGTGCGGGGTTTGTACATTAACGACGCTGTATGTCAATAGTTACTTCTTTGCCGAAACCTTGAAATACCTTTACTTGATCTTTAGCGATCCCAGTGTCATCTCTTTGGATGAATACGTACTCAACACGGAAGCCCACCCCTTTAAACTCACCAACAAGATTAAGATCCAAGCAGAGTTCTAGATAGAGTACATAATACATAACGTCGATGACTACATGTATACAGCGCCCCCATTTTATCATTGTATCCATGATCCCTCCCTTAAAAAACATGCATTAATGAATGCAAGATCGCCAAACATCAAAAAAGGCAATGTCTGCTCGATACTTTTCTTTCTTTGTTCTTTGCATAATACAAGGTGTCAAGTGGTGGGGGAGGATAATTCGATGTGACTCTACTTGTGAAGCAGCAGCTACTCTTGGCACCTAACCCATTCAGCGACCCAAACGACGCCTCGGTCTTGATCCCATAATTACCCCACATGGCAGGAAGTGTTGCAGTCAAAAAGCAAGGTGAGTTGTGGGAATGGAGAGCACAGAGCAGCCTACCTTATTGGGTACCACCTTGGTCATGGACATCGATGAGCTCATGCGCAGTATACAATAGAGAACTTGTTGACCGAAGAGCAGCAATCCATTTTGAACCAAACGACGGCCGATATTGACCGATTGCAGCAAGGTGATCACCACGGCATTAGAGTGAGGGGCTAGTGGTAGCGTTAGCTGTTTGACTAACATGCTCGAGTTGGCAAGATATTACAACGCTCGCCAATCCTCTCGTATCCAAGGCAACTGACAGTTGGTCCAAGCATGTTACACCGAGTACGCTTTCCGTTTTTCACGAGGATGGTCATTGGGAAAGGATATCAGAGAAAGCAGAGGCCAGTCTCTTGAAACGTACATACAAATCCCCTGATGCTACTTCTTGGTCGGCGATGATGGGTTCCTTGGGTGACGGTATGTATCATGGTTGGCATGCACAAGGTAGAATAATGCATCCTCATTGTTGTTGTTGTTGTATGTGTATATTTAGATGAATCCGACACTGTATCCGACGAGCCCCTTTCTCCCACTGTGACACAACTCGATGTCAATGACAGGAAGACATATGGGACAATGACAATGGAAGAGGACGTGATTATCGTCACTTGCAAATCATGTCATCGACCCATTCTTATGAGTGCGTTTCAGCAACATTCTGGTAGGATACAAAAGATGTCTCATGTGGATGTTTGTAATATGCTTATCACGTGATTGATGATCATGTAGAGTCATGCGGTGCAGGTGTCAAGAAGCCACGAGCATTGACAACTTCTGAACAAGCCAATCTAGCCAAAGGGATCTTTTCGGATGAAGAAGACGAGGACGTATCAAAGCAAACAAACGACTCTCACAAAAAGGGTACCACTGTGAAGCATGAGCCTGAGGTACAAGGTATTGTGGATACAATGGACAAATGGTGTGGTGTTCATTGTCACTCATTTTTCTCCTTTTACACGTTTTTCAAGACATTGCATCAGCCAAGCGTCCTCCATCCAGTGACAAAAAGAAAAGCAAAAAGGAAAAGCAAAAGCAAAAGGCTGCTCCAAAACCCAAGCGTAAGTGTTTTGCGATCCTCTAAGCGATATTATACTGATGAGGACTGTGACCTATAGCACCGTTGGATTTGGATAAGCAGTGTGGTGTGCTTCAGGGACCCAACAACACACCATGTACTCGATCATTGACATGCAAAAGTCATTCTATGGGAGCCAAGCGTGCTGTTGCCGGGCGTTCACAACCCTATGATCTTCTTCTTGCTGCATATCAAAAAAAGGCGATTGGACGTCCTCAAAGTAAGATTAGTTGCGGAACTTTTGGGTGGATGAGAATAATGCAGCAGCCACATCAAATCTAATCAACATCTTTGTTCATTTTCCCTTATACTTCTAGCGGGTGCAACAACCGATCGAAAGGGTACAAGTGTTGTATCAATTAAAGCTGGAAAATCAGGTGGCAAGCGACATGCTGGTGATATGAGCAACGGCAGTAGCAGCGATATAGCGGCGGCGGCAGCAGGACAAGAGGAACAATGCGTCAACTCGGATGAGGAATTAGAAAATGTGCTTGATGCCATGCGACATAGCCGACCCACCCCTTTGGCCCAGAAATCGTTTTATTTTGTAAAGAGGCGACGACAATGTTATCGACTCCATGACATTTTGCTTGATACCATTACTCCCAAAAACAATTCCCAGCTTGACCGGCTACACAGTAACACCACCAACATGTTCCATCCTCGTCATCCGCAACAGACAACATCATTACGATCGGTGAATAATACAGCCGTATCAGCATCAGCATCGGCAAGTGGTGTACGTGCTGCAGCAGCAGGTCAACAAAATGAATTAGCGCTCCCCACATTGATTAGGATCCCAGGTCTTGCCGGTGGAGGGGCCATGCGCGCTTCAGGGGCTATGAATGGTGGTGTTTTGCGTGACACTAGATAGATAAGAACATAAGAGGGAAAATGCGAGATGTCTGGGGAAGATGTAGATAGGATATATTTATGTTTGTTTCAGGTCGCACAGGATCAATAGAATTATAGATTGTCTTTTTTGCTTGTAAGATATGGTTTCGAACATTTATGATAAGTAAGCCCACATGGCACTGGAACGAACTTTGCCGCTTATGGTGATGCGGATGATGAATTATTGGGGATTGTCGCTTGACAGCCGCAAGGCATAACCGAGCCCACGGATTCTTAAAAAAGCGGATTTGTTTGTGTGGCAACTTGACAACCAGAGTAGGCAATAGGGTCGCCATGACAACTCATTTTATTGCGGTTTCATCGTTTGAATCCATTCATCCCCCTGCATTATGGTGGTACAAGCATGGTGATGACCAACAAGCTCTGTAATGCACATTCAGGGCACAAGCATGAGATGTAAAATACAATGTAAAATACATCGTGCTCCGAAGTCTCCACTACATACGCCGAATACATCCACGGCCATCAAATTCGTTTTCATAAACACAAATGAGTGGTATAGCTGTAACAAATGATAATTGAATTAGCTTCATTGTAAGTAAAAAAGCATCGTTGATGGGGTATGAGGTTCATACAAAGTCGTTCAAACATGCGGAAGCGCACTTGTGTCTGTTCCGAGTGAGCGGAAAACGTTGTTTAAAACACGAGGGGTAGCTGCGACTCCCCGTTCTTTCGGGGTGACACAAGACGTTATATACGTTTCATACAGGCTGCCAAAACGAATCGACAAACCAAATCTGTTAAAAGATCTCGATTTACCGGCACAGGAAACGTATATATTACATTTCACGACTTGTCATCACCCACCCCTTCTTTTTTTCTTTTTCTCTTGATTCTCTTTCCCCCGCATCAACGTTTTCAATGGAGCTTGGGTACGTTACCTACATCAACTTTGACACCTACTACTACGCTATACAAAAACGATGATTCTTACACATTGTTCAAAGTCGACCTGTTCTCCCACCTATCACCAGCATCGAACATCATAATTCATCTATTAGTGCACCATCAACATGGTCTGCACCTCTCGAACCACGCGCTTTACGAGAGCATCCCCTTCCATTTTACGATCAACAAAGCCGACGACTTTTGCCACCCCAACCCAAACTCGCTCCTTCCCCTTATTCACAACAGCATGAAAATCCCAGGGTTGCAGCTGCTCGTAAACGAATGGAGCAAGACATGAATCAGGTAATGTATTAAGACTTGTACAATGTTACAAGTACGTTTCGCTTATAAATCTTTGTAGGTTATGAATCATTGCAATACTATGCGTGAAACCATCCAACAACAACAAGCAATGATTGACACATACCATCAGCAGCCATGGCTCGAGGATATGATTTCTCGTGCCAATGAAGTGCTGAATGCGTTATTGCGTTTGCAAAAGCAGCAAATGGCTGCACAAGAAGAGCAACGACAAGTGCATTTTTACAATACACCTTACGCACCTCCTGGTTTTTATGTAAGTCTGCAACCCACCCACCCTTTGCTCAAAACAAACAATGGATTGACCATTTCTATTTGTTTATCCAGAATTGTATGCCAACCGAAAACAGCGCAATGCACCACGATGACAATGACCACATGTCCGGTGGGGGTCGTATCCGACGAAAACGTAGAGTAAGCACATCAACACCCATTTTCATGTGTAAAAAGTAGAAGAGCGCTAACACACGCACCCCTTTTGTTTATAGCAAAGGCCCACTTTTCAAGGTCGCTGCCATTCTTGTAACATTTCAGAGACACCTGAATGGCGACGAGGTCCTGACGGGGCACGTACCTTATGTAATGCTTGCGGTTTACATTATGCAAAGTTGGAACGTAAGCGTGCAGCCGCTGAAGCCAAAGCCAAAACGGAAGAACAGGCAAATAATGGGACCGCCACCACCACAACTACACATTCTATGCAATCCATCTCTTCACCCACTAGCACCAATTCAACGACAACCCAAGATGAGTGTGTCTTGACACCATAATGGTCCACCATCACCACCAACATCATCATCCTCCCTCATTCAATGCGTTCTTATAAGCCTTGTCCATATCTCATGTTCTCATTCTTCCCGTTTCTCACACACTCAACCGAACTATATATGCTGTAATATTACATCCCATCTCCTCGTTGTTGATATACCATCATCTTTTGAACGCATTCATATCCTCCTTCGTCGTATTGCCATTTTCTCTCTCCCCTTTTTGTGTACCTATATCCAATACTGTATTTTGTCTCCCCCATGCACCATGTATCCATATATAAAAGTTTTAGCCCCAACCGATGTATGCAAGTGGTATCCGTGACAAATTTGCGGAGGCAAGGTATTTTTGTTCACATGCTTGAATACGCGTCTGTGTCTGTGTCACAAGATCTCTCGTTACACGATATGTGCAATAATGAGGGATCATCACCACGCAAATCACATGTCGTGTAATCCTTTTTTAACCCTTTTCCTTACAAAACACGCTTGTCATTGTCCTCTTGAACCCTTGCATGTGCTGCTAGTGATTAGTGTTTCATCGCTACAGCAAGTATGAAAACCAAAAACATCGATAGCTTGAAGCCCTTTACATTGACAATACCTTACCAAGGAAGGGATCACGTGTTTACTATAACTCTTACTGCTATGTTATGGTTAGCGAGTTATACTCTTCTAGAATGTATACATCGTGTTGTCTCTATAATTACAACCGTGATAGCAATAAATGATCTTCTTGTTTCATACATTTATTATGATGTGTGTATTTGCGTGCGTTTTAAATTGATATAGAATAGGGGGGGAGGTTGGCTACCTAGTATATTTACAAAAGTGGGGGGGGGGTGTGCGTACATTTGATACTATTGCTGCTGAGCAACATTCTTACGTGTCGCTAAGATGAGTGGTACCAATGAAGATAGCGGATCGGCTTTGGTTAAGAAAGGATGTTCCAACATGGCGGGTGCTGAGGGTCGCTGCTCGGGATCCGCTTGCAATGACCTCTCCAAAAAGTCAAGAAACACGGGCGTGAGTGTCTCTGGATTCTGTAATTTGGGTGTTCCATTGGTGGCAATCAAATACAAGGCACGAAGTGGATTTTCATTCAAATAAGGTGGCTCGCCTTCCACCATCTCAATAGCCATGATACCAAGCGACCAGATATCCACCTTGGATCCATATTCTTTCCTTGTCACCACTTCAGGGGCCATCTGATAGTAGTAATACAACATGTCAGCCATCATCATCATCATCATCATTCTTCTTATCACACTACTACTACTACTACTCACCCAATAAGGTGTGCCGACCATGGTCGTACGTTTGGTTTGGTCTTCTTTAAGTTGTGCACAGAACCCAAAATCAGCTGTCAAACCATAATCCATTAGCATCCTTTTCATGCATAAACGTGTGTAACCATCCTTGTGTCATGGCACAACTTACTGAGCTTGATATCGCCCTGGAGACTGAGTAGCACATTGTCACTCTTGATATCTCGATGAATAACGCCGTTTCGATGAAGGTGTTGAAGACCCTTGAGTACTTCAAGACATACTGCTGCAATCTGGCCTTCCAGCATCATGTTGTACGTCACCACATCGGTCAAGCTACCACCATCCATGTATTCCATAACAACCCACAAATCTCGGTTCCATAGATATGAGTCGATAAAGTTGACAATGTTGGGATGTTGTGATTGGCGCATGACCACGATCTCATTGATAATAAGCTCCTTTTTAGGCTGTTGCTCGAGATTCATTTGCTTGATGGCTACCGGTAGACCCTCCGAAGAACGTGCCGTGAACACCCCACCTGTGGCTCTATAAAAGTATCAAAATAAGGATGATTGCAACCATGTTTCGTTGGGCATTATTATTATTATTACCCTTGCCCAATCTTGACGATATCCGAATAAACAGCATTTGGATCCTTGTCCGTGCATATGCTTTTGAGTCGTCGTATGATCTCGGCATCCTTGAGTGCATCTAATTCATTCTTGGAAGCACGCCTCCTTGCTAAACTGCTGGTCGAAGGTGAAGGATTGTTGCTCTGATTCAATTGCGGCTTGTTGTTGTTGCTGTGATGGGATACAGAAGGTCCTGATTATACGGGTATTTGAGTAAGCACGTGACGTGGATGGATGTATAACACACACACACACACACACAACACATACCAGGCTTGATGGCTGATAGCTATGGTAGAAAAGGAAGCGGTAAGTGATTTTCTCTATGTTCATGACCAACCCATTTTCCTTACCGAGTTGGACCTTCCATGTTGTATCTTGAGTTTGGAAAAGCGTTTCAACGGGCTATTGTTTCCTCTCGTAAGCGAAAATGCACGTTGAACTCCATGATCATTGTTGTGTGGAGTCTCTGAAGAGGATGATGCTGTTGCAGAAGCGTATTCCACTGTGTAGCTGGTAGCACTGTTGTTTGAGTAATGAAGATGTTGGGGAGGAGTAGCGATGGATGGAAGCGATGCCACAGAAGGTGAAGAAGAAGATGCTGAAGATGAGATAGTAGGTTGCCTGAAATGAGGGATCTTTTTCCATACAGCATCTTGTTGTTGGTCTCCTGCCTTATAAAACTCGATTGCATCGATGACAGCCTAAAACAAGAGAAGGACGAGTTGTAGACTAAACATCAATGATGGCTTCAATATGGAATCTACCTGAGGGTTTTGTCTTTGCTCACTTGTTGTGATACCACTCTGATTCAACAAGATTTGCCATTCTCGTGGTAAACCGGTAAATTCACCCGTAGCTGGATCAAAGCCGACGTGGGTTACATGGATCGTATTGTAGGGTGTGCCAATGTCCATGGATGATGCATTGCTGTCACGTTTTCTGGATCTGCTACTGCTGCTATGACTCGTTCCTGGAGGATGTGCCAAAAAGTCTAAAAGGTACCAAAAAGAGCCATATTTGAGCATAACGACGCGGAGAGTTGTTTCACGTTAATAGATAGATAGCTGACCGACAAACTTGTCAATAACGCCAATAAACGAGTGTCGACTATGCCGTCTCGTGCCACTGCTATTACGTAAACTGGAAATGGAATCGCTTTTATTATGTCGTGTACTTTGATGACGGGATGGCACTGGGGAAGGTTGAGGACCGGGTGGTGCTGTTGCTGGAAGTGGTGGCGACGGCATGGGCGGTGGTGGTGGTGGTGGTGGTGTTGGTGCCTGGTGGTCTTCCAATGAAGGTGCAACAAGCGTAATGGCAGAAGCACGTACCGAATGCCTTGGCATGGTGCTTTGTGGTTGACGAGACTGCAATGCTGATGACATTGTTGAAAAAGAGATGTTACAAAGAGAAGGTGCACCAGCAGTAAAGTGAAAAAGCTAAAAGTGCAAGCTCTCACAATAGCGATGGTTTGTGTCGCCCGATATCCTTTTCCGGTAATTGCGTTCCCAATGACTTTGATGATGAGTACATTGCTTATCAAATACACCCGATACCTTGGTCAGATGCCATCAAGTCATCCTTGCCTGCATGTCTTCCTCCAACAAGTAGTGATCCTGTAGTAGCACCCATAGGCCAAACAAAATGGTACCATTGCAAATAAATCAATCATGCGCAGCAGCAATGCCTTTATGTCATGATGCTTATCGGTCATCACCGCGCACTACTACCCGACTAGATCCGGGTTATTCAATCACCTTTAAAATAACTACATTCCTAATTGTTTTGATTATCTTTCTCATCCGTATTGATGTAATTAGTAGTGGGAAGGGTCTTAAGAAGGTGTGAGTGTTACACACACAGCGTTTACCAACCCATATGATACGAACATTACTTGACATGATGAATGCTTGCTAGGATTGCTACCTCATCCGTTAGCTTGATGATTCTCATGTACTACATCTATTATCTTCTTCATATTGATGTAATGTAAATCATGATAAATCAGACAATGACTCCCCTCAGTGTGTGCGAGTGGCTCTTCTGTGTCACTATGAATGTGACACATCCCCAGATAACCCCATTTTCGTGTATATGCTAATAACGTTGGAGACTAATCTCAATAACAAGCACGTATCACTCGTTCACATACATGGATGTTTGCTTACTATTGATTGCATTATGGGCCAAAAAACTTATATCATTATATCAATCTTTGGATAAATAGCGCAAAGGATTTCATCACGCGGTTGGTCTTAAGGCAGAAGGCTGGGGCACATTGCATATTTGGTTTGTTCTCATCGGGTTGTAGCCATATTAAGGCCTTGGGAACTTTTTGTGTACCCATCTTGGTCAAATTACATTTTCTTGGCACGAGTCAATTTGGATACACTTATAAAAACCCCATATCACTAGCAATCAATGAGCATGTTGTTGTGACGTATGTTTGTACATTTTTATTCAGAGGATGGAACGCTTTACGCTATATGATGCACCACAACGGCTCTAGTAGATTACCTTGCTAAAGCTTGATAGCATCCTACTTTCATAGTGAACATGGTGCTTTATCCTAAGCAAATGATACATACAGCACGCAAGTCAACCAGGAAGACTCTTCATTTGGTATAAATTTAGGGCTGTCGTCGATGCATAAAGGATCGTCAAGCAAAAACCATCGATGTACATAACTCGAAATCTTTCCTCGGGTTGAAATTCCCATCAAAGGATTCCTTCATTGTAGCTTTGTAAGAGCTATATTGTGAGAGCCTTTTTGTGCTGGTACTCTGAAATGGCTGGATACATACATAGCAGTGGATGGATGCCTGAATCAATAGTCACTGGAAGCCAAGGTTTGTTTGCTTACTCGATTTGCATCATCAGACGGCAGCGAGTGACTAACAATAATGTCATTGTCCATCATCGGCATGCACCATAATAGTAACAAGGAGGCCATAATCAGCTAATCTTTATCCACCCATCTACTTTACAAATGCATGTTTTGTTGTTACCGTAGGAGGTATAAGTAGGAGATTTGCAACCAAAAATATCAACTTGTTGTTGGCTGCAGTGGATGATTGCCCGTCAAAATGACGATGACAGAGACAAGTAAGATGATTGCATGTGATGCTTCGTTTCATCTATGCGACTAGAGTGAATTGTACATCATCTATGCACGGCACTGCACATGACCTGGCGAAGGTTCATGTACATGTGTCAAGATCTATCCCTCCCTCTCCCTCTCTTTTACAGTACTGCAATGTGCACATGACCATTTATGCGAGTGAACGGTCCATGTTGTAGTGCCAACCATGTGGCTGCATGCACGGTAATCACCTTGAGAACAACAACTCGGCTAATCTATTTTGGATACCCGAGCGCTTTGTGGCATGTTGATGGTTGTTACAAAAAGTTGGGTAAGTAGGACCAGCCAGGGTGTTGGTGGCGCTAAATGGGACTAAAGTTCAAAGGATAAAATGAGCCCACTTGCTGTCTCCGATGCTTCCGGAAAGACCACGGATATCGGCCCAGGTCTATAAACCTTGTCGATCGCCATTGTCACACATCATTGATTAGCAGAATAAACTTTACGCGGGATTGAAAGCACGGCGTGGGGCGTATTTTTCATGCCGAATAAAAGAGATAAAAACCGATCAATGTAGGCTGCAAGGGGTCAAATCCAACTAAGTAGTGGCATCGATAGGCTTTTCCAAACATAAGGAGAATCCCTTTTTGGTGACACAAAATGTAAAGTCGATCCGGTCAATCACCCGATGATAAAGATCATGCCAAGAAGACTATTAGAAGAATACATTTATTGCAATGGTTGAGAAAGGGAATATGTGGATTGACATCAGTGTGAGAAAACGCCAATGATAATCGAATACTATTGGTATAAAGATGATGCTGCGACGAGATGGATATGGTGTATGTTTGCATTGCGATATGCTGTGTGACACATGTGCGCTAGCCAAAAGTCTGCTGCGGGTACGGTACCCATACGCAATCTTTTTTTCTCGCAAACAGCCGGCCTGTTCTCTCTTTCTCTCCCAAAAACAACGCTTTCATATCTACAACTTGCAGGATCTTGTACAGATTGGTGCATTTCTTCTCATTCAGCAAGCAGGACTTGTGCGATCGCAACAACTTTTGATACCACTCAACATTTTGACAACTTGCCAATGACATCAGCTACCATTACCACCACTTCTACTTCTACTACTTCTACTACCCCTACCCCTACTACTACTACAACTACTACTCTTGGATCGGGTCGTGATGCTGTATTAAACCATCGTCTTGACTCAATGTCTCTTGAAGGTAAAGCAGGAGAAAGTATACGTTTGTTTTTCTTTGTGTCAAACCATTGACTATTCTTCAAATAGAACCTATGGCGAAGAGCAACAACAATCAAGGTGACATGATGCACTTACGTTTGAATCGATTGGAACTTGAACATGCGTATCTTGCTGAGCAAAACGCACATCTCGTCAAAGAACTCTCATTTGCTCGATGCACCATCAACGCGCTACGCAACATCACTCATCAAAAGGAAACGAATCTTGATGCTGCCAGACAGGAGCTGGATCGCGCTTACTTTCGTATTCGCATGCTGAGCATGACGTTGGCCAGACAAGAACAACGATTAAGGGAGCAGCAGGCTGCTATGGAAACAAGAATACCATCACCGTCATCATCATCATCGTCAGCAGTAGCAGCAGGTCCTGTTGCTGTATTACAATCATCACCACATTACCATTATGGGCAGTTGCAAACAACCTTATGCAATCAACTTGGACCACAACAACAGCAACATGGATACAATGAGTATCAGGAAGAGAAACAACAACAACAGCCAATGGATCATTATGGCAAACATGGGGGAGGACAAGGACAACAATTGACACCACCCGAATCGCCACGTAGTGTAGTAGATGATGAAGAAGAACGAAGCCAAGAAGAGTACATGTGCGATACTGTGTCACATCAACCACCCGTCAATGTAATGATGTTGCCAGGCAACTTTGAATAATACAAAGCAGCTGTACTACCATTATTAGTTTTCTCTTTTTGATATCTCAACACCCCGCTTTAACCCTTGAATCTTGTATCCATTCACATGCATTTTCCCGGGCTGATAAAGTAAAATAGCATTCTGTCTCACGAAAACAATGGGGATTTCCACTATGCAAGCTAAGCAATTAATGCACAGGCTGGTTTACGTGCACACACGCATACCTACTAGAGCACTTTGCTTCCACACTACACTGACTTGTGCTAATGATTTAATGTAAAAAAGAATGTCGGGTGGTTCGTCATGCGTTATGTCGTGTGTGCACGCAGTCGGGAACGTACATGCACGTACATCCTGCGCTCTTTCTTTCTCTCTCTCTCTCTATGCTCTTATAATCTCACTCTCTCTTTTTTTTATCCTACTACTCCTATTTTTTTTCTGTTCGCATGCTTTGCTCCTCACTTTATAAAAATGACATCTCTTTGTCAAACAACACTTCCGATCATGTCCACTTGTCGCACCATCAGCCAAATCGCACGACCATCATCGGCTGCTATCCACACTAACAACACCATCACCACCACTACAGCACATCACCATGTTCAGGGCAATGGACGTCAATCATCATCAGCCATTTCATCGTCATCATCATCATCCACTACCCATGACAGCCTCGTTTCTTCATCCACTTCAGTATCCACCTCTGATTATAGCAACGATGAATTCTCGTCAATGGGACTTCCCACACTCCAACCACCAGCACCACAAGCATCAACAGCTCACTTGGCCATTGGCACTCGAGTGATTGTGCCTAGCCTATGTGTTATTGGCACCTTGCGTTTTCTCGGTGAGACTCGATTTAAGCCTGGTACATGGGCTGGAATTGAGCTCGACGTGGAAGGTGCAGGCAAAAACGATGGCAGTATTCAGGGGTAAGTAAAAAGTATCTCTTTATCTCTTTATCCTCTCTCTCCTCCTCCTCGATTATCCCTTTTCTTCTTTTCTCCCAAAGCCCAATCCAACCCCTTTCACTCCCTTTTAGTCATTCTATCATCAATACCACCACATGCACTTTCCTACTCCACTCTATCAACCAAAAACATGTTCGGCTTCTAAAAAAACTCAACCTGTCAATCATGCAGTGTCCGTTACTTTACTTGTTCAGAGCACACGGGTCTTTTTGTCCCCGCCAATAAGGCATCACCCCTGCCAAGCGGTATGGAAGATGATGATTTGGATGTCAAGATTGATTCGGCTCGTTCACCATCTCGTCACCACCACCAGCTACAACAAAAGCAATCAACCATTACGACACATGCAACAACAAGTAGCACTCGTGCCAAACATTGTTGCTCTGGCAAGCGGCATAATACCACCACCACCACCACATCAGCGACATCATCCAAGCATGAACCAAATGCAACCATGCGGAAAAGCAAAAGCAGCAACACTAATGTGACAACCGAGGCATCTCAACAGCGTAGCATTGCATCACGTCGTAGCATTCATCCCACCAGCAGCAAATCTACAGCCATGGCAACCGTATCCAAGCAACAACAGCGACCTACCATGCTTCGTAAATCAAGTGTGCCATCGAGTACCAAGTCCACGGTGATCGCTTCACCAGCATTACGAAGAGCAAGTGAAGGGAGTGTGCTTCGCAAATCCAGTGTGCCACATCAACGATCCAGCAGCAGCTTGAGTACACGAAAAACAGCTGTTCCTAATAGCACTAAAAGCTCGTTGCCATCAGCTGCAAGACCTGCAAACAATCGACGTAATAGTGAAGGCAATACGTTACGCACTACGCGTAAAACTTCAGTTCCTGCTGCATCATCAACAAGTAAATCAACCCTTACTCGTCGTATTAGCAGCACCGATGTTACGTCTAGCAAGTCAACAGCCACTTTTAATAAACCCACAGCATCCAAATCAACCACAGCAAGATCCAATGAGTCACAACGAAGATCAAGTGCAGCATCATCATCGGTTGTGCCCATGAAAACAAGCCGTTCAACGACGACACGACGTACAAAGCACACTGTACATAAACAACAAGCAAATGCTGAAGAAGAACAAGAACGATTGAAACGACTCTTGGAAGAGACAAGAAGAGAACATGAGAAGCTGTGCTTGGAAATGAGTGGCAAGGAAGCTGTTTGGGAACAAGTGGTATCAAGCAAGGAAAGTTACGCTGTGCAAGTGCAAGAGCAACAAAAAGAAATTGATCGTTTGCAACGGCGGATACAAGCTTTGGAATCTGAGGTTTCTCAGCAGCAACAAAATGTAGCTGCATCATCCAAAATTGAAGAATACAAGCACACCATTGAGCAGCAACAACACCGTATTGAGCGTTTGGATCGTCATCTTCAACAACTGCAAGCTAAGCAATCTGACGACCAACACGCACGTGATGTTGAGCAACAACAACATAGGGCGCTTGTACAGCAGTTACGTGATGCACTTGCTGAACGTGACCAACAAACGGCTTATTTAGAGAATGCATACCAAGATCTCAAACAAGCTGAAGCCGATGTACGACGTCAGTGGCGGTTATCAACGCAAGCGCTTGAAGAAAAACATGCAAAAGCACTCGCTGAGAAGGATGCACATATTGCTACATTGACGGCATCCCTTGAGGAACACAAGCAGCAATTGATGATGCCACCACCACCGCTTCCTTCTCATGAAGACCATGCTTCTGTGGATAGACGACGACGACTAGAGCATCAATTACAATTGGCAACCACCGAATTGGATCGTGAACGTAATGAGAAGCATGCAAAGATGGCACACATTGAACAGCTGACAGCCCAAATACGACAAATGCAGCATGCTGCGGGTGATTCGCATCAACAGATCGCCACCCTGCAGCAAAAGTTGGATGCCGAAGTCAAGGATAAACGTCGTATCATGGATGATGCAACCACCACAATGACAAAAATGGCACGTTTGCAAGATCAGCATGATCAAATGGCCATGTCAAAGAATCGTATCGAACATGATCTTGCTGATGCCATACGGCGTGCCAATGCACTTGAAACAAGAATACAACAACAAGCCGTTGATCGGTCATCATCATCAAGCAGACATAGTCTTGAAGCGGAGAATGCTCACTTGTTACAACGTTTGGCAGAACTTGAAAAGTCTTCTTCCACTTTACGTCGCTTTTCAGGTGGTCCACAATCACCCGTATCACCCGTATCACTCACTTCGTTCAGCAGCCTTCTTGCCACCGCTACCCAACAACATGAAGAACAACTCTATTGTGAGATCTGTGAAGTCTTTGGACATGATGTCATGGGTTGTACCGCCTATCTCACAACGGCACCAGCTGGGTCTGATGATGCCGATCATTTGATGAAAAATGAGCCATCTTCATCGGTAAGTGGATTTTCATTGTGTTTATTTTCATTGATCCCTCATCCCTCAATCTATATAGTATTGCGTCAATTGTGATGCATTTGGGCTCCATTCTACTGAAGATTGTCCAAACCAGGATGAAATGTTTTAGTATTCTTGCTTTTTATACCACCACTATTAGCCAACAACCCCGTCATCCTCATCATCCACGCCATAATTTGTCACTACTTGTCTAATAGACCTGTTCTTGTGTTTTTCCTTTCGCCACAAAAAGAATGTGTTTATGTAAAATGGATATGATGTTTGTTTGCATGACAAGATAAGGTATAAAAAACACACAAGAGAGAAAGAGGATTACTATATTAGTGTTGTGGTGAAGAGGGTGACGCGCGCGATATAAAGAAGACGAAGGAGGGAGGTGAGGAGGTGATGGATCATGCAACGGTTTGTTCCTCTTTGGGAGATGGAAGTGCATCCATAAGTGGTGGGCTTGGCGCTCGCCTTCCTTTTGTCTTTGTGACATACCGTGGATGATCGGTGGGCGTCAGGAGTTCAAAACTACACATTAGCTCTTCGCTGACACTCATGATGGCGCCAAAGTTATCAAATTCACCACAATAGTTGGGAGCCGAAAACACCGTGACCAATGCTCGTCCACCGAAAAACTCATAGCCATCCTCAACAACCTAAATAGAGTTTGTGAGAAAACCTGGTACTTTCTCTGCTGTACACAAAATCCTCCTTACCATGTGAGCACGACACACGAGATCCAAGTCATGTCTTGCTAAGAAATCATTGACGATCCTTTTACCAAAGCAGTATGATACACCACGTTCATTGTCTTCCCATTCAATAGCTTGATCTGATGGATCGGACCATAGTAAATCGTTCAAAAGGCCATATTCAGGTACATCCGTGGGTCGCATAATGTTGCGTACATCATCCAAAGACTGCATTGATGGGCTCAAACCACCATGTACACAAAAGATCTTGCCTGCCACCAATGCTGCAATCGGCAACGTATTGAATACATCCACAAAAGTCTTCCATATCTTGACATTGGTTCGTCGTTTGCATTCGTCGTAAAATCCATATACTTGAAAGTAGATGATGAAGGATGATGAGTTGAACATTCTTCCATTCTCCATTCTCTCTCTCTCTCTCTCCTGCTACCTACCTCGTGTTACATTGGCACACTCGTGGTTGCCCCGGAGCAAAAAGAAGTTTTCAGGATATTTGATCTTGTAACAAAACAGCAGCAGGATCGTCTCTAGACTTTGCTTGCCCCTATCCACATAATCACCCAAGAACAAGTAGTTGGAATCTGGAGGAAATCCACCCTAGTAGAATGAATCATTGAGCTTTCCACATCATGGGCTTTATCCTTTCTCTCAAGCAAAAATGCTTCACATACCATATTGAAAAGACGAATCAGATCATGGTATTGACCATGGATATCACCCAATATCTTGACAGGAGGATTTAATTCAATCATGGTCTATGTATGTAACGTTGAATGAGCCATCATTGCATTTCGAACGGTGGTCCCTTTTTCCACAATGAAACTCGTCCACATCCATCCGCACACACACGCATTTTCTCCTTACCGGTTGACTCATAAACACTTCTTGAGCTGCTCGGCATATAGCCACGATCTCAGAGTTCCTGAACGGCAACTTGGATACCTTGCTTGTGTTCCCCATAGCCAATAAACGAGATATGCATTCATCAATGTCCAAGTTTCTTCCAATGGATCGAATCGATGTAGCTGTCAACTGGTTTTGTGACGAAAACGTCAACTGATTCAAGTCTTGAGTCGACGATACAGATTGCTCATTGGCAGCGACATTGTTGTTATTGGTTGGAATGCTGTTTGGAATACTGTTGGGAAAGGGTTGTTGTTGTTGGTATGCATTTTCTGTTGAAGGAGGTGGAGCTTGTTGTTGTTGTTGTTGCTGTTGTTGGGACAATTGTTGTTGGCGATGGAGAGAGCTGTTGACTAGAATGGAATTGATCGATGCCGCCGTCGAGTTGGAGTATTCATTATCAGGGACGTCAGCACGAATGATACTGGGTCTATCTTTGCGTTTCTTTGACGAGGGTACGTTGCCCATGGAATATTTGCAAAAGGAGTAAAAGAAAAGCGAAAAAAGACAAGGAGAGCTGTAAAGGGGCGTTATGTGTATAAATGTGTGCGTGTGAGTAAAAAAAAGAGAGAGAGAGAGAGAATGAGAGAAAGAGGGGTTAAGCAAGCAACAGCAACAAGGGATCTCAAACGTTTCGTGTGAAGTGTGGTGTGGAGTGTCACGAGGGCGATACAAGAAAAAAAATACCACTTTATTTATGTTTGTGAGAGACAACATCAAAACAATGGCGGATAAGGCTTTTAGCTTTGATTGAAGAACAATGTAATGCTTGAACTTGAAGACATTCATCTTGTCCTGCACCTAAAGCAGCTGCCATGGCTAACATGTTTGCATTCGGGTCGGCAATGTTAGTGCGTTGGTGAAGCGCATGATCGACAAATGCAATTGGTCCCGACGCTGTTGCATCCCCATCAGCATGTTGCACAGACTTGCCCCATTCGCCGTCTTTATCACCATGACAAATAAACCCAAACGTATCTAGACATTCATCCTCATTCCCATTCAATGATGATCCACACCACTCCTTGCTATCATCTTCAGGGTCATCACCATCAATAAATTGAACAGGCCGGAAAATGTACTTGTGAAAATAGCAGGATGATTCACAAAGAAGATGCTTGTCATGAAACGCTTGGATGGGTGCAAGTAGTGACGTTGGTATATCGTCAACAGGCAATGGTAATAGAGATTCAATCAATTCGGCAAAGTCATTGATGGATCCAGACTTGTAACATAACACGAGCAACGCCCATGGAATAGCGTACGATGCTTCTTGTTGATCCACGTGATTCACATTGTCAATAGCCTTCTTACGTCGCCAGATACTAAAGGCTTTTGAACATGTTTCCACAATGGCTGCTGGTGAACCACGGCATTCCAACAATAGGGTGCAAAGCATTGGGATAACAACCTGCTCGTTACTCAACAAGTGGTCAAATTGCAGACGTAGCAACAAGTCATATACGCTGAAAACCTTGTCATAGCGCTCGTGTGCACGTGCAGGTGCAAATGTTGCAAGTAGCAACATTTCTTCAAGAAATCCAGGCATCTCGGGTTGATCCGGTACCATGTATTCGGTGCACATGAAGCGTGTGTATACCGTCCAAGCACGAGCTTCCCAATCACTACGTCGAGATACATGTGTCATGATTGGGGTAGCTCCAAACGCACGCCAGCATACGTGCATGGCAACACGTGGTGTGAATTCATCAACGGCAGCACCCATTTTCTTGTACAAATCCCATGCATATTCATATTGCTGACACTGTAGCGCTGTATACATCATGGCATTATCATTGTCAATCTTGTCTTGTAGAATGCGCTCTTGATTTGTCTCCCCTTTCACACGTCGCTCAGCCCAATCTTGCAAAATACTATTACGGCGTCGATGACTACGTGCCACGGCAGCTGATTCATCCACATTCTTTCGCTCGTATTCTTCACGTTCATAGGCCCATTTGGTCCCGCTTAGCGCATTTTGGTAAAACATCCACAATTTAAATCGATCTTGCTCAGTGACTTTTGCCATAAGAGGTGTCTCGATACGTATCGGGGGAAGCATTGTAGGCGCCAATGGATTTGCCAAATCAATATAGGGCTTTCCAAATTCACCAATCAAGTACTCTGCTTGGTCGATTTGCTTGGGTGTTTGTAACAAATGGAGCGAGATGGCTAAACGGTAAACTTGTATATCCCAGCATGGCCTTGGCATAGAGTAAATAGCTTGCAAAGCTAGCATCTCGTGTTTGACATCCACAAGGTACTGGACTACTGCTACATAGGCCGATGTCTAATATACACAAAATCCATTAGCTTCCTTTCCCTTGTATATACATGATACGTCCTACCTCAAGTGTGTATCCTGCTTCAACCACTTTGGCGAACATTCTCCATATGATTGTATCATACACGGCATCAGGATTCTTTTCAAGATCAATTCCCGATATTTCAGTGGTGATGCGTGCCATCTTGGGCTCACATAGCGTTCGCAGCATCGTTGAATAGGTGGTCACCACTTGTTCATTATCGTGTTCATCATGTAAATCGGTCATGCTCATGGTGTATACAGCTTCCTTGAGTACGTCAACAGCCTCTTTGACATCTTCATTTTTGAGCAGATCATTGATGTGGATGCCAATCTGTACGCTATCAGCACGTGATCTTCTTGCAGCATGTTGTCGTAAAGGATCATCCTCAACGTCGTCGTCATCATCATCATCTTGTGATTGTTGAGCCATACTTAGTCGTCGTTGGTGTGCTGGTGTTGGATGATGGGGTCGATCAATAACAGGCTGCGTTGGATGAACCATGCCGCTGCTCAATGCACTACTGTAACTAGCATCGCTATCGGTTGTGCTGACACTAGCATTGCTAAAGTTGCTGCTTCTCCGCCAAGCATCATTATCTTCGCTGCTTTGTAGATGTGGCTCTTTGTTGCTGGTATCATTGGACCATCCTTGAAAGAAATTGGAAATGACCGAAGGAGTTGCACTTGGGCGTCGCATTGATGCCAAATACATGTCCTTGTTCAGCGTGCTACTTCGTCGCCTATCAAGAAATGACGGTGGTTTTGTTGCTCGCACCGGCTGTGGTGCAAACATAGAGGCGGCCACTTCCACTGGTATTGACATTACTAGAAAAGTATAGTAAAAAGAGAAAACAATTAAACATGGGAACCCTTGCAGGGGATGAAAGGGGATGAAATCATCAAGGGTTGAAACATTGTCAGCCAATCTTACATCCCCACCCTTGTCTTAAAAGAACAAAGAAGCACAAAGAATAATAATAGAATGAACACAATAAGATTTCAGCTTTTATATGTACAAGAAATTGCACTATGTACAAAATCTACAATTTATGGACGTTGCCAAGATCATGGCATGCTTCTTGGGTACGTACAATCATGCTCTTTTCAGCAGCACGTAACCAGACTCGAGGATCGTATTGCTTCTTGTTGGGCTTTTCAGGACCCTGGGGATTGCCAACTTGTGTTTGCAGATAATCTTTGTTGGCCTCGTAATACTTGTGCAAGCCATCCCAGTATGCCCATTGTGTATCAGTATCCACGTTCATTTTGACTACCCCGTTGCGTACAGCTTCATGGATTTCTTCTTTGGTGGATCCTGAACCACCATGGAACACAAGAAAAACAGGATGTCTTTCAGTGCTACCGAGTTGTTCACGCACGTAGTCTTGATGTTTGGCCAACAGCTCAGGATGCAACTTTACATTACCAGGAGCATAAGATCCATGGACGTTACCAAATGCAGCTGCAATTGAAAAGTACTTTGAGATGGGTGCAAATGCTTTGTAGATATCCCACACATCTTCAGGTTGGGAGAACAAGGAAGCGTTTTCCACATTTTCATTGTCAACACCATCTTCTTCACCACCGGTAATGCCAATTTCCATTTCAAGCCATTGCTTCATAGGCGCCATGCGTTTCAAATAGTCGCAGCAGATGCGAATGTTTTCATCCTTGTCTTCCTTTGATAAATCGAGCATGTGCGACGAGAAAAGTGGTTCACCATGTGCTTTAAAGTACTCTTCATCAGCTTGCAACATGCCATCATACCATGGAAGCAAGTTCTTGGCACAATGGTCGGTATGCAGCACCACTGGGATGTTGTATGCTTTGGCAACGGATCGGACATACTATACATAAGCATCGGATCAGTACCATCATTATGCATGCAATCCATTGGCCAATCATATCCACTTACATGTGCCCCAGCAACAGCACCCATCACGGCAGCTTGCTGGTTAGTGTTATCGAGGCCCTTGCCTGCAAAGAACGCGGCACCACCATTTGAGAATTGGATAATGATGGGCGAACGGATGTCACGTGCTGCTTCAAGTACAGCATTGGCAGTACTACATTGTACACGTTAGCTTTTAATTTCTCCAACCCCCAATTTCATCCTATTTTACCTGGTCGATGTAACATTCACCGATGGAATAGCAAATGCATGTTCTTGAGCATAGTTGAATAGCTTGAGCACATCATCTCCGGTGATGACACCTGTTGGAACAATATCAAGGATACCCATTATGAGAAAAAAGGATAGCAAAGTAAAGAAAAGATGATGGCGATTGTACACAACCCTGGATTTGGGTTTAACAAAGGTCACTTTTACGGGGGTATTTAGTTCAATCATATGCTGGGGGTCCCTTCATTCGAGGAGATTCATTATCCAACGACATCATCGGGTATGTAACAAGAACATGTGAAGCTTTATTCGATTCGAGAAATGCTATAGCAATGTGCAACGGCTATCAAGGAGGGTGTGAATCAAGATACAAATTGCATATGGATGGATCTTTTGTGGACGAGAGCATCCTCCGATATGACTTGGGAATGAGTATCAATAGGGTGGATCATAAAAGTGGCGGGAGCGAAAAAGACAAGTTGTTGTAGACCATCATCAACACGGCCATGTAAACGAACGACCACCTTTTCCCCCCAAGCACAGCATACGACAGCAACCATGATCATGTGATCCTTCATTTGTGTGCAGTATCCACCTATAATTAATCACGTCGGAAGTTGCCCGCATTTGTGCAGCTGCCCTTACTCTTTCTGTTTTCTTTCGTTCTCGAATACACCGCATCTCGATATTACACATACGACATGAACAATGTAACGCAGCACTCTATTTATTCTCGATATACACACACACCACACGAGATGCTAACGGCCAGTTGCGATGTAACAGTTACGACGTCTCATTGGCCGTTCCTCCACATCACAGAGCAAGAGTCCAGCATCCCCAACGCCAGCTGAATACATGCAGGAACAAGATGAAAATGCTGAAGGCGACAATAGCACACCACAGCTAACCAACGAGTACTTTAAACGATACGAGCTTATGACAGAGTTGTGAGTATACATCAAAGGGGCAGCTCCATAGCAACAACAGCACCACTCACCATGTATGTTATATAGCATAAATTTGAGGAACCCAAGCCATTGCCCATTAGGCGTGTATGTGATACCCTCTTCAGATAACTTGAACGGTGAGTGATTGGGTGTATGCGATGAGGATGATGGTGAGTAGAGGGAAGGCTGATTCATTCATGGCTATGTAGTATGGTACGGTGTCGTCTTTGTGCATAAAGGATATTATCGATCAGGCGTATTCAAGTTTCGCATGACAATCCCTGAGAACTACCCCAACCATCCGCCGTCAGTGACTTTTTTGACTGAAATGTTCCATCCTTTGGTCGATACACAAGGCAATCTTTCATTATCCCAACAATTTGCCACATGGCGACCTTATCAAGATTATCTTTTTCACGTGCTCCATTATGTCAAGAATATTTTCAAACGTGTCGTACTGGATGGATTGGTCGATAAACATTGCCCACACAAGGAGGCCTATCGATTGTATGTACAAGGAAAAAAGAAGGAGGAAAAGGGGAAAGAGGGGTTAAAGGTGTCGGAGGAAGGTATCTTAAGGGTTAGCTAACATGCATGATTTTGACGTAGATATCGGACGGATCGAACCGTGTTTGGCAAACTAGCACAACAAAGCGCACAGCTATCCATCACCGAATCATATCTCTTTGATCATTTCCCTGAAAACAATCTCATCAAGTTCTCCAAATTGAGCGAAGCAGAATATGGTAAGCATCCAACGATCATCATCCATTACAACACCCATCACTTATATATGTTACAACAGAGGATCTCAGGACACAAATATTGGATAGTGCAAGATCATCTTAATATAGGCATTTTACCCCATTAAAGAAAAAATCATTATGCTACATCATCATCATTGCTAGTGGATCCTTTGGACATGCGAACAACAGGCTTGTTCTTTGGTGGATGTGGAAAGAGATCACCCCATGCAATCTTGCGTGCATCCTTGTAAGGCACCTTACCCTGCGATTTAGGTACAACCATTCGCTGTATTTCCCCTATCATGCAATTGAGTAAAAAAAAGATTACATGCATCAAGTAAAACTCATCTTTACCTTCTTTTGTACACACGTCCATAATCACATGACCTTGTTTCTTCATTGGTGCCTGCACCAGCCGTGACCATGTATAAGCTTCCGATGCATGATCGCCTTCTGTCACTTTGGGACGCTGACCCCGCCGAAGCACAACATAGGAGTATTTGGCATCTTCAGAGTTTGACTTTGAATGTTTGGTTTTCATCTACAAAGTCCATATGAGTATCAGCGACAACAAAGAAAAAGGATTGCCAGCCACACATACCAGAAATTGTGGTCGTTGGACTCTTTGTGAGAAATGGCACCATAGCCTATCAGGTTTGGCATCCGGCGAATAGAGAAGGGGGCAAGGTTTATCATGGGGACACTATAATCTCCTTGCTCGTTTACTTGCATACATTGGATTTGCTTTATGCATCTTTTCCCACTTACCGGTGCTACCACATGTACGTCCTCATTTGTATCCAAAACATATTGGCGAGCACGAGCAATATTTGAGAAACCAATGGGTGTGCCTCGATCGATCAACACCTTTTTGAAATCCAAATGCTGCATTAGCCTTTTTATCCAAATGACCATTATCACGTGAGAGAAAGAAGCCTACCAATACATCGCCTGTCATATCCCACAGCTGTCGAACAATCGATTTCTGGAGCGCTGTTGATGGTACATCACCCAATGTAAATGCACTAATCACCAAATCCGGCTTGGATGCCTGTATATAAAAGAAAGGATCAACATGACATTCTTTCCTTTGCCATTCCCACTCTTTTTTTTATACCTCTGGTCCTAATGCAAGATATCGCTTAAAATCGATTGGTAATTGAGGAGCGACACTGTCTATTTGAGATATCGTATCAGATTCAATCCTCGATTTGCATTCCCCCATTCCCCACACGATCCCTGCATACTTACCCTGCAGCCTCTCAGCTATGCTAAGCATATCCTCTGACAAATCCACGCCCGTGCAATGCTGTATATCCTCATAAACTTGATGTGATGCCCTGCATCCACGATATTAGATAAATCCCCATGTATGTCGATATCCAATTCAATACAAACCATAATGCTGTGCCTGGTCCTGTACCAAAGTCAAGGATGGTTTTTGGTTTAAAGTCTGATAGTCGATGAGAAATCTCATGGAGGACATTGAATGTTGCTGCATAAGCGGATGGCATTGCTCCAGCGAGATAGGCAAGTGATTCACGAGGTCCATAAGCTACCGTGTGTGGTTCTTTTGTTGTATCCTCTGTTGGTATGCGTGAAGTCGAACGTAACGATTCATAGATACGCAATGCATCCGTGCGTATTAACTTTTTGTCGCTTTCTGTATTGCCATGGCATTAGTATCTTCAATCGAGCCGATTTGTTTCCTTCACGCACCTTGAATGATCTCTGAGATCCCATCGATCAATGGCTTGGGAAGGGGTACAGCACCGATCCTTTTACGTCCATATTCTGCTGCTTCTGATCGGCGTGCCACTGTTTGACTGATCGCTGGGAGCTCGGCCCATTCGACCGATCTGTCAAAACGCTTTAGTCCCATGCTCCAAAAGACGCTTCCACACACCACCTACTCAAGTTGTTCCAAGGCCTCCAACTGCTTCAAGTCAAGGAAGACAGCCTTCTCTGTTGTATGCCAACGACGTGTCAACGCCAAGAGTGGTTTGATGGTACGAGTGAGCCGTTGTGGGGTGAACATGACAAAGCCACTTTTATGGAAGAGGAAGAGGAGGAGAGAGACGAGCTTAAATTCAAGCAGCAGTAGTTGAAATTGTCAAGGTAACACAAAAGCTGGAGGATGCAGGCAGCATGACAACTGACCCCCTTTTTCTTGCATTGGGTGCTTCCTTATTTCTTTTATTACACTCGTCTTTCGCTCCCCGTTTCTTTTTTCTCTTTCTTTTCTTTTTGTTCATCACTTTCTTTTACTATTACTACAGCCGATCATGGCTTACGACTCTAGAGCGTTTGACCTCTCCGAATACTCTTACGTGATTGGCATCGGTAGGCTTCTTGTGTCTTTTACAACAACACAAATCATCTCACACACACACCCTATTTCAAAGATTTTGGTACAACATTTTCTGGATGTTGTTATTCATTCACCAGGGACAATAGTGAAGAAGTATTTGATATCACTCGATGGTATGTTGTGGTGATGGTGAACAACATGCAAGGAGATGTAGGCTGACAAGAAAAAAAAACATAGGCCTCGACAAACAAATCCATATCCAAAGACACCCACACTTGCATTCTATCCTCAAGGATCGACCAAGATGACGGCGTGGGGTCAAGAAGCAAGGAGATTGGCAGCACGACGCGGCAACGACCATTTGCTTTCTCGCTTCAAGTTGCATCTTGATGAACACCTTGACTTGCCTCCTTTACCCAACGGCTTAACAGCATTGGATACCATCTCGCATTATCTCGAGTCCTTTCACACACACATTTGCACTGAATTGCAAAGGAGCTTTGCATCCAATTATGATCAATCCAAGTTCAGATACTGCTTAACGGTACCAGCCATGTGGAGCGACCAAGCCAAAGCAACCATGCGTGAAGCAGCTATTCGTGCCGGTCTCATCAACCGCTATGATCACCCCGATCGATTGATGCTTATCAGTGAACCAGAAGCTGCAGCCTTGTATTGTGAAAAAAAGTGTGAACAATTTAATCTTGGACATGGTCAACGATTCATGATCTGCGATGCAGGCGGAGGTAAGTAAACAAGACAAGAGGAGGGGGGAGGAGGGAAGGCGTGGATAAATGAGTGGTGGTGAAGGATGCCAATCAATGCATTGAATGCATCATCTCATTTTCTCTTTCTCTTTCTCTTTTCTTTTTCCCATCATGGATGATGATGATGATCATACATTATAGGCACTGTGGATCTAATTGTCTTTGAAATTGATGATTCAAACGGGAGAAGGTCGCTGAGAGAAGTGACAAAGGGTCAGGGGGACTCGTGCGGATCCACCTTTTTAGACGCCCAAATGCGTGAATATCTCAAAGACCGATTCTATGGCCTGGGGAGAGTGAGTGATTCAGCTATGGAATCCATGATGGAAAACTTTGTCGAAGCTATCAAGGTAAATATGGGTGTGAATGTGTATGTGTATGGATGTGTTTGTTTGCATTACTGCAGGCTGTTTTCATAACAGCTCTTTACCCACCCACCACCCCTTTGGTTTATGTTTTTGTTTGACTCGCCTTATTGACTTTTTATTCTTTACACACACGCTCCTTGTTTTGGTGCCTGCTTGTCTCCTCTCTTACAATTTCCCCTACAGCCCCAATTTGAGGGAGATGAGGATCAGTTTCTTCTCCTTCCTGCCACTTTGGGACTTGCCAACATGGATGACCCCGCAAATGGTATCGAGGATGGCAACCTACGTATCACCGCTGAAGATCTGTGCGAGCATGTTTTTGAGCCTGTTGTTCAAAAAGTATTGGATTTGATTGATGCTCAAGTACGACAATCCCACGTGCTGCTTGATGCCATTTTTCTTGTTGGTGGTTTTGGTCAATCGGAATACTTGCGTCGAAGAGTCATTGACGAATTCTCTCGGCGAGTTGGTTTCATTGGTGTCCCTCCTCGTGGTGAATTGGCAGTAGTGCGTGGTGCAGTGTACTTTGGATTAAATCCACGCATGGTGACTGAACGCGTATCGCGACGTACCTATGGTGTGGAAACTCGCATGGTGTTTGATCCGCGTCAAGACCCACAGGAGAATTGCATTGCAGGGGATGGTGGTAGACTCTTTTGCAAACAACGCTTTAGCATTTACGTCCAAAAAGGTCAACGCGTCAAGGTGGATGAATGTGTATCCAAGAATTTCATGATCGCTTATCCCAACGACACTGATACAGGCATGTACATAGCGTATGGACACTTTCAAGTATGCTTTTTATTGACAATGCCTATTGTAGATTTGTTTGCTTATGATGGTGATGGTGCCATACCTCGTTTGACGACCCATCCCCAAGTCTTTAAGGTGGCGCGTTTCCCTATAAAGATGCCAAAGTTTAGCGGCGTACAAAAGGGTGAACCAATATTCATGAGCATCAAAATGTTCTTTGGCCAAACAGAAATCAAGATCGAGGTGCATATCCGAGATAGAGTGTTTACATTTACATCAGCCTTTGAAACGCTGGAACGTGGTCTAAGCGGCATTGTCGGTGATCTTGATGTACCAACGACTCCACCCAGGGATAGCATCTTTAGCAGCGCATCCAACTCGAATTTATCCAGCCCAAATACAGAATCAAGACCCCCTTCACTTGGCCATCACGATTCGTACATGTCACGTTATGCTCGTAGCTACAATGGTGACGATGATGAATCTTTTTACGATGGTGATTCGAGGCACTCGACTGGTTTCCATGGCACGGCAAAGAAGTTACTTGGTCCTTTCAAGATTGGTCGGCGAAAACAGTAGGGAGGATCTATGAAAGGGGAAAGACCAAAACAATACAAATATAAAGCAACACCCCCCTTTTTCTCTCTACAATTTGAGTAGCTCCATCTTACCATTGTACAGGATACTAATCATGATCGCACACACACAAGCACACAATCACCCCTTCTCGTATCTCCACCCACATTTTACCATTATAATCCGCGCATCAATCAATCAATCAATTTTTCTTCTTTCTCAATATCTTTATAAAGTCATTGATAATATACAACCATCTAATTTGTCTAGAAGCGTGCTTTGGGTGCAGTGTCACCGGATTTAGCGTTACGGCTCCATGGAACAATCAAGCATTGATGGCTGTTGTACAATGGACCCATGAGTATGGATAATGAAATTATGTAACCATGATTGATGATAATGCTTACCGTGTCAATGCTAAAAGATTTCCCTCTGCGTCCCATACACCGCCGCTGCAGTCGAATCGATTGTTGATAATATGAGGAGCAGCAATGGTAGTAAGCACTTCCTTGCCGGTGGGCTTTCGCTTGAACTGGACCTCGAGTTGCATGGTGGGGCACCACACAGGACCCTATTACCTAGATATCAGCCATGACCTTCTCTCATTGTCGGCACCCATCTTATACTTACTCCCAAGAAATCCCATCCCAATAAGATTGGAGGTGTCACAAACATATCACACCAATAAGGAATGCTTTTGAAATCGATATCACGGCCATCAGTGAACTTGAGTAGTTGATTAAAGTAAGCCTTGCCACCAATGCCAGAGACATGATCCTTTGGAATGCTGGTTCGATCCACGAGACCTTCAATGAAATTGCCCATATAGGTGTGCTTGTAGGGAACCATCACATCACGGCTAGGTGGTTGATACGGCTCATGGAAGTGGGTGACACCCTTTTCATTGTCCATATTGCCCATGGTGAAGATGACATGCACCTTTTCAGTATATTGATCGCGTTGGAGTTCATCCACATGCTTCAACTGGGCTGTGTCCTATAACACATCATGGATCCTTATGAGTAAACCTTCACCTCAGGGGGGGGAGAAACTCACTACACACCTTGGCTTGTAAAAGACTAGCACGCACAACACAATAGCCTTTGCTACTCGTTTTGATGTCTTGAATTTCTACAATGTAGGGGCCCACGCTGGTCTTTCGCAAATAAAAGCAATTGAGTGCCACGGGATCCTTTTGGAATTTGGAAGAGAAATGGCGAAGGACGGCATCGGTGACAAGAGCCAAAACATAGCCTAAACACGAGCGAGTGGATGATAAGGAAAAAGGGGGGAGGAGATGAAAATGAAATCAAAGGATGATTACCGCCCTGGAATCGTTTGTGAGTTTTGAATGAAAAGACAAGTTGATGGTGGTGGCTACACTTACATGAGGTACTTCGCCTATGCACCAGTCCTATTATATGCAATTGGGATGATTCAGCGATTTTGGTTTGTGGGGTAAAGTGGTGGATCTTAATAAGGATTACCTTGCTTGCAGTGCCTGCATAATAATATTTCCCATCAGTGGATGTGCCGATAGAAACACTGTTAGTAGCCTTGTCAAAGGCATTATTGATAGGTTGTTGGTTGCTGGTTTCAGTTATCATTAGAGAAGGTGGAGGGAGACAGGTACAAAAGCATGACAAATGCTATTTGGCTTTTTGATCCCGAATCGGAGCGGAGTGATATTAAACATGATGGCAATTGTAAAATGTTGCCCATTCACACATCATGTAATGCTGTAGATCAAGCGAAGATGTCATTTTGAGTAGTATTACTATGCTATGCTATACACGCCAATCATCATCTCTAGTCTATATAGCATGGATTGAAATTGATATATGTATTGAACAATATGGATATATGATTTTTGGATTGGATTCTATGCTGGAAAAACGAAGCTCCGGAAATTAGATGATGTGGATGATGATGATGGATGTTTTGGCTGTTGTTGTTGTTGTTGTGTTGTGGATGTTGCTGATGATGATGGTGGTTGTTGTTGTTCTTGTTGGTGGTGATGATGCTCCTCAAATTGATGATTGATAACTCGAATGGAACGAGGGTGTGTTACATCCATGCCGCGTTGTCGCTTCTTGATCACATCCGTCTTCATTGAAAGAGGTCGTTTGGCATTGTGTAATTTGAGACTACCAACCGATGGTGAGCAAAAAAGAACACCCCCAAACTGCGTTATTGGAAACTTACTAAAGTCCGCACGCATTACAAAGTGGGGCACCTTCATTGTCACGACGCCAGAGCGGAGTTGTCCTTGTACTGCAATTGGAACATGCCGTTTCAATACCTTCCACGGATGATTGAGGAGCACTCTTGAAATGCTTTGGCCTGGGTGCATTATGTAATTTGGCGCTAATGTATATACACAGTGAGTAACACCATTATGTCATCTTGTAGTATCCATCTTCTTACTATAATCCACATGCATTGCATAATAGCTCATCGTTTGCGGATCGTCTCCAAAGGGGTGTGGATGTCGTCTCACAATTGCTGCATATAGGACGCTTTCCCTCTGAAGGTGTTGTATTCACATGTATCTTTTGTGCTGAAGGGTCGCCTGTGGATGATGATGATGATGGTGGTGTTGGTTGTTTCCAAGAAGTGGGCGACAAGACATGTTGAGCCGAGGCGAATTTTTCAGGAGGAAGAATGGAAAGGATCTTGCTATGCAACGTGTTTCTAGGAAGAGGAGGGATCGCTTCTTCCATAACATAAAGTGCGTCATTGTCCTGTTGTTGCTCCTTCTGCTGCTGATAAACGAGATGCTGTGTTTGTTGCTGTTGCTGTAAAGTGGATTGTTGTTGTGGTATGTCTGATTGTTGTTGTTGTTGAGTTGTTGTAGTAGTATAGAAAGAGCCGGCATCCATCATTTCAGTATCTTGTATTGACGTAGGCAAATAGCCACCCATCATGTTGTCAAAGTTGAAAAGGTTATTCATGTCTTTGAAGATGTCATCATCCAATTCGATCATTTGGTCCGAGGCTTGATCTGACGTAAATTGCTGTAGCACGAAATTCTCAGTGGTAAAGTCATAATTGGTTTCAGCATTGGATTCGACATTCATTTGCTGCGGTATTTGATGGTCAAAAGAGGGCTGTAGTGATGCCATGTCCATATGCTGTTGTTGGGCAGATGATGATGAGGATGATGACTGTAGTGGTTGTTGAGGCTGTGTTGGTGCTATTGTTGTTGATGCTGCTGCTGATTGTTGTTGCTCATGTTGTTGCTGCTGCTGAGGATATGATGATGGATTGGGTAATTGACATGGCTGTAGCTGCTGGTATGATGACGATTGAGATTGTTTTGTTTTAGGTTGCTGCTGCTGGGCATATTCGATATGAGACGGCTGCTTGTTCATGGCACGCTTGTTTTGTACTGAGCCTTTCTCTTTGTCGAGTTTTCGAGTTGTTGACGAGGACAATCTTTTGAAATGCGTCTTTGTATCCATGATGTTGTGAATGAACCATAAACGCCAAGCAAGGTTCTCCAATCGGCTGCCGTTCTCTAAAGAGTCTTTGACTTTGGTGCATACTCGCCACGTTTGGGACAGGTCGTCTTCGGAAGTTATGTTGGCAAACTGGGAGAAGGTCTTGTTGCCTTTCATTTTCAACGAAATGGGAGCCATGGTGAGCTAATGGTTGTCAGAATGAAGAAAGCGATGGGGAATGAGGTGAAGGAAAAAAGGAAAAAAGTTGCAAAGTCAAAGATAAGGCGTGGATGTTGGATTTAGGCTTGCCTGAGAGAGAGAACTACCCGATATTTTCACAAGATCCGATCCAGATGTCACCTGCCCTTTTCACTTTTCCTTTGTAGTTCATCATCATCATCCCATCACCCTCAGCCATGTGTAAAGAGAGAGAGAGATCATCGTCACTCTTTCCTTCTCCCACACCCTCCCACCCCCCCAACATCATCATCATTTATTGTTCTCACTGTCATTAAAAAGTGTGTGAGCTTTGACCAAGTCCCTTTATTCAGGTGACCTTTTGGATGTAACAGCGAATGCATGTTCATCACCCAACATCACCTCCCTTTTTCTTATAAATGTTTGTACTCCCACATGAGTGAGTTTAGCGTCCAGCCATTTACCACTGATTCTTCCCAAGCGGGAGGATTGTGTCATGGTACTGTAACCATGGTCCCTATAAAAAAAAGACCTCGGTCTTTCTATTCCCGGTTTCCCTGTGTCGGCATTTGAAATGCATTATACCGCTTGCATAATGCAGTGCTAGCCTGACAAAACATCCAATTACTTGAAGCCTTCATCTATCGCCCTTAAAAGATATTCAATCATTTACGAGAACAAGTTTGAGTTTATGAATTTACGACTATCCTTATATGGTATCCATGTTTGAAAGTCAAATGTCATGGCGAGGTGATGAGGTAAACTGCTACTACTACTACTACTGCTGCAGCAGGCTGCTCATTGTTGCTTGAACCACCACGTCAAAAATAGTACATATTGTCATCGCCGTTGCAGGTAAACAAACAAGGTCGATTAAAGAATGGCATCTCACCCGCATGTATGGAATCCACATGTCGCCATATACAAAGCATGAAGACAAAATAGGAAAACTCTTTGCAAGAAGTAATGGGGGGGTGGGGGTTTATTGACTAAGTACAATGAATTCACTTGGCTTCTTTGTGTCAGCCGCCTCAACATTGATCCAATACAACCCATATCCATTCTATGAAACAAAGACTTTTCTGGTATCTTCAATCTGGAAAACATCGCCAGTCCTTGGACAAGTAATCACGCCATCATTCTTGGCAGCCATATCATGAAGTGACTGAGAAGAGAGAAGAAAATGATTAGAGCTATGATTGGCGGTTGGTAGAGGGGTCAACGTACCTCGTAGCTATAGACTCGTCCATTTGGTAGCAATAAGGGTGGATTATCTTCATTCATGATTTTGCCACTGATTCTGCATACAACGGTGGAATTGACGTGGTGACTCCATGGTAATGTCTCAGCCAATTTACCCAACGTATCAGCATCACATACGGGACAATGAACATTGCGACTTTCATGGTTGTAGCACTGGGGCGTCTTTAATGCTGAAAGACCAGCTTGTAGAGTGATGGACAACAGAGGATGGGACGTAAGTGAACAAAGCTTGTAGTTGTCGGCTCGAAATTGTTCAATCAACTCATTCCATCGTATTGGGTCGTAAAGATCCTAAAGCGAAATCAATAACCCCCAAAATAAGAGAATGAACATGCTAATTTCATTGTTGTATGTACCTTGTAGGGCTGACATTCCGTATCACTGCTGAACACTAATAATGCCATTGCTTGCTGGATCCTCTTAAATTCGGTAGGTTGCCATGGCGACAAGTACTTTTGGGCGTACGCAATAGCTTCCATTCCTTTGCCTGCTCTTGCCAACTCGATGTATTCTTGTAGTCGCAAATTGAATTCGAGCGTGCTCTATGAGTGCAAGGGGATAGATAAATGAGTACGCGATCCATAGGCTCGTTGCAATATCCTCCTACATTTTGCTTTTTGAGAGACGAGCGATTTTCTGAACACCATTGCAGACACTCTTTGCAGCTATGATTTCTCAGCGCTTCCTCGACCTTTTCTGATTGTGTAAAGAGCAAAACATCCACCATATCCTAATAACTCTCATTTGAGTGCCCCACTCCCTTGCTGATCCTTATCCACATTTCTTTACCTCGACATCGTTTTCGGTTGCAACAAGCTTGGCTGTTTCTGTAAGACCTTCTCGTAATAGATAATCCACCACCAATCGATTCAACCGTGTTTTGCTCCATTGCTGAAACTCTGGTGCCTTCACCGATGTAACCCCGGATATCGTGTTCAAATGCACCACTCGATTCTTTAGTCGTCTCGCATGCACGCTCTCCTCTTGCCAATACTTTTTGAGCTAATAGGATCGATGAGGTATTAGAAAAGATGAACCATGACCATAAACCAGAATCCATATCCACCAAACACATACCTTACGCTTCATGTTTTCAAGCTGTTCTGTTAACTCGACCAAAGTCTCAGTAGCTTTCTCTGGTGATATCTCATTTGCCTCTGCAGCCTTCACGCAGCGATTGATCTTGTCGAGAATGTTGGTGATTTGCACTTCAAGGTACTTGTTGGAATGCTTGACAGATTTCCTCAATTGTTCATAAGGAACCTGTGCCATGGATACCTCTAAGTCACTCGTCTAATGCAGCTGAGTCGTCGTTCATTACCTTGATAAGAGGTTGTTCCAAGTCGATAATCTGCTCGCCTTTGATTTGGTTCATGTGTCCAAGAGAATAAAACCTGGGAAAGTGGAAGGTAGATAGAGAGAAAGCCAATGCCTGGGATCCACCTTCATCACACGTATAATGCAACGCTCACCAATTCTCCGAATGGCACCACCAACGGCCCACCAAGTCAGCGTCCTACAACCGATGTTGTCCCCAAGATGATGTTTACCCTGGATCAACCACATCCGTGATTACCAAATGACAGTGACCTGTAGTTTGATTCCATGCATAAGATATGGAGTTCTCATTTAAATAAAAAGGGTCCATGAATTCACTCGAGATCTCTTGCTGCTATTACAGGTCACTTTTTTGTGTGGAAAAGGATACCCGGCTTTCTTTGTTAATAGCATCCTTATGATACAGTGCCTCCCTAAGCAGAAATCTTCCATAAATGAGATACCATGTTTGATAAATGGATGATCAATGTGATTTGGTTGGGAGGATCTTGGTGAAGATACTATGTATGTACTACACAATTGCAAACACCTTTGTTTTACGCGTATGTTGATGATGGTCTACAATCTCATTATGTTTAAACATCCTGTCGTTTATCTCAAAGAACATCTACATCGTCGATGGGAATCTCGTATCATGTTTCACCCGTTTGCTAGGCAACAGCATCATGCATTGATTGGTTGGTATGTGACTTCATGCAGCCTTCCCCGTTGACCGGCAACGTATTCAACAGCGCCTTTATTTCTTTTTCTCTTTATACAACAAAACAGTTGAAAGCTATGTTGCGTACTTTGGCTTCTCCTTCTCGCCATTTTAGCACAGGTGTCAAGGTACACGTGTTATACTACTTGCAGTTCTTCATCCAATGGCTCATTCCTCTTTTCTACAGGCATTGGCAGCAACACCACGTTCAGTTGCCGGCTCAAGCGCCGCTTTAAGCACTGCAGCTGTGAGTATGCATGCATTCTGTCAAGCAATGGGTACCATGCCTTTACTCATCTTTGACCTTCCTTTGTAGACTGAAAAAAAGAATAGCACGAGACACAATGTCACGCTTGTACCTGGTGACGGTGTGGGCAAGGAGTTATCCGAGTCTGTTCAAGCCGTGTTTGCTGCTGTGAAGGCTCCTGTCGACTGGGAACAATTTGACTTGACAGGCCACGTCTCTTCCAATGATGCTCTTATGAAAGATACGCTCGCATCGCTACGTCGTAACAAAGTGGGTCTCAAGGGTACGCTTTATACGCCCGTTTCCAGGATGGGGCACGCGTCATTCAACGTGTCGATGCGCAAGGTATGTAATAAGGGAGGAGTAGGGATCATCTTACAAGGCGCTAATGATAAGGATCACGCATGATAGGATCTCGATATTTACGCATCCATTTCACTCATCAAAAACATCCCTGGTGTGCCATCACGTTTCAATGATGTGGATCTTGCCATTATTCGTGAAAATACCGAAGGCGAATATTCAGGTCTCGAACATCAGGTAAAAGATGGCAGCAGCATCTCTCTCTCTCTCTCTCTCTCTCTCTGTATATATATACTCATGTTGTTGGATGGATGGATCATTATTATTATAGTCTCATCCAGGTGTTGTCGAATCGTTGAAGATCGTGACTCGCGCGAAGACTGAACGTATTGCTCGCTTTGCTTTCGACTTTGCTTTGAGGAACAATCGTAAGCGTGTCACATGTATCCACAAGGCCAATATCATGTAAATGCGAGAGCCAGCCCCCTTTTTTTGCAAAAGAAACATGTGCCTGACATTGTGTATCACGTATGTAGGAAACTTGGTGATGGTCTCTTTTTGAAAACTTGCCAGGATATCTCTGAGGAATACAAGGGATCTGGAATCGAATTCAACAACATGATTGTTGACAATGGTAAGTAGCATAGACATGGTTGATGAGAGGAGACTGTTTAAAAGTAATCCATTCTAGCCTCCATGCAATTGGTATCAAGACCGCAGCAATTCGATGTGATGGTGATGCCCAATTTGTATGGCAGTATTCTTTCCAATGTTGGTGCAGGTTTGGTGGGTGGACCAGGCATCATTGGAGGTGCCAATTTCGGTCGAGAATATGCCGTCTTTGAACCAGTACGTATTGCAACAAACAGATGTCTTTGATACTTGATGCTAATTTTTTGATTTCAAGGGTTGTCGTCACGTTGGCGCTGATATCGGAGGAAGCAATGTTGCCAATCCTACCGCCATGATCTTGAGCTCGGTGATGTTGTTACGTCATCTTGGACTTGATGAGCATGCCAATCGTATTTCGAATGCTGTGTATCGCACTATTCAATCGGGCACGGTATGTTTCATAATGTTTGAAGGGGGGAAAAGGTCATCATCTTATTCACTTTACCATGTCAAATAGGCCAAAACACGAGATATGGGTGGTAAAAGCAGCACCAGTGAATTCACAAAGGCTATCATTTCAGCCCTTTAAGCATCGTCATGATGAAAGAATAAACCAAGATGGATTGCTCGGGTCAATAGAATCAATATATTTGTATCAAGTACTGTATTGGGTAATCATTATATGGGGTACAAAAAAGGTAGTAAATATAAAAAAGGATAAGTGATGGTTTACAAGGGTGGTGTTGGTTTAGTGAAATTCATGGAAGCCATGCTTGAAAGCTAATGCAGCAATGGCTAAAGCAATACCATAAAAGATAGCTCCATAAATGAACCGAGCAATTCGAGATTCATATGCAGCCTCGAAAATAGACCAAAAGACAGCAAAGGCAAAGAAACTAAAGACACGACGACGATGATGAGTAAAAGGATGACGATGTCTTGTATGTATGTAGGGTGGGGATTATACTTACACCCAGGCAAGGATCATGACTGAACGTGTGGATCCTCTACCCAATGTATTCAACACGAGCACTGAGAGAAGCATCAACACTAAATCACGAAGTACATCACTTGCACGCCCAAGACGACTCTGAAAGCAAATCCTTGATTAGCTATTTGCACCTTGTGTGAATTATCCTTTTACTCACATGAGCACGTTTAACTCTACGTCGACCCAACCAACTTCGAACACCAGCGCCTGCGGCTCCAGCAGTAGCAGCTGTAGCTTCAGCATCACCTTCTTGTCGAGTTGTAGTAGTCTCTTGCTGTTCTCCTTGAGCATCACGTGTAGCACCACCGGCGTAGTCTGAGCCTTGATGACCATCACCAAATGCATGACGCAGGAACCAAATCAAGCCCCAGTAAACCCATAATGCAAAGAAAGCAACCCAAGCAAGTTTGACATTATGAATCATAAGGAAGGTAGCAATGCTACCATTAGGGCCTCCATAGTAGAATGGATCATCAATGAAACGGTTGTTGTCTCCTCCTCCATGGTGATTATTGTTGTTGTAGTAGTCATCCATTTTTCGTAGTAGTATATGCAAGAGTAGTAATGAAGATGTTAGAGTTATAGTGCAAAGGTGCGGACAAGTGGGTTTTATAGTTAAACATTTTGTTTTGCATGATGGGACAGGGTAGTAACATTAGAGTAGGAGAAGTTGGTGGCAATTGGAAGATGTGTGGCCGTTTTGTGAAGTTGACAAGTAACATCATGTGCCTTGATATGCGAACTAGTGGCAGTTGTGGTTCCGACATAGAGATATTGAATGATCACAAGCTCATGTTTTGACAGCGACCGGGAAAGATTCCAATTGAGCGTTGATCAATGTAGTATGTTTTTTTTATTAGGAGGAGTAGTAAAAGAATTGATGTGTGCATATGGTGTACTAGTCAAAAGAGAAACAAAGGGGGAGGAGACAAGCTTATGCGCTGGGTTGTCGGCAGTTGATCTCCGTTCCCCAAGTGCAATTAATTGGATAGGCTCTCATCACACCAATCCTCCTTCTTTTCCGGCCTTCAAGGTAATCTATCATACACCCAACACCCCCCATGAAGCAGTTCTTGCGTGGAGAAAGAGAGAGAGAGAGAACAATGGATGGATTGATTGATGAATGGATCGATTCATGTATTGATGGATGAAATGGGATGGATGGATGGATGCATAGCAACACTCGATATTGGGGAACCATGTTCAATTAATGGCAACCTTCTATTTCCACCATTGTAGAGGTTATATACGAAAGAAATGGCACACGCCCCTCGCAACAGCTTCCTTGTTCCCGGCGTCGCCCGTTACAGCCGTTCGAACATGTACGCCAAGAAGGCTCTTCACAAGCGTTCTAAGAAGGGTGTTCAGGCTCCTGCTAAGGCTACCGCTACCGATAAGACTGTTGAAGTCAAGGGTGCCAAGAATGGTGGCAAGCGTGTGATTCCTGCTCAAAAGGCTCCTCGTTTCTACCCTGCTGAAGATGTTCCTCAACCCAAGGCTTCCCGCAAGTCCCCCAAGGTTGCTCCTCTTCGCAAGTCCATCACTCCTGGTACCGTTCTTATCTTGCTTGCTGGTCGCTACCGTGGCAAGCGTGTTGTTTTCTTGAAGCAACTTGAGAGTGGTCTTTTGCTTGTCACCGGTCCCTTCAAGGTTAACGGTGTTCCTCTTCGTCGTGTCAACCAAGCCTATGTCATTGCTACTTCCACCAAGGTCGATGTCAGCAAGGTTAAGGTATGTCATACATCTTACATCAACATTGTGTTAGAGTTTGGCATTAAGTGATTTATTTGTTGTTGTTGATAGGTTGATCAATTCAACGATGCCTACTTTAAGAAGGATGCTAAGGCTGCCAAGAAGGAATTCCTCGAGGGTGAGACTGTAAGTATCATAGAATGAATGAATGGATGATGAAGGATTGGATATTCATATGGATATATGTATGTGTAGCCCAAGAAGGTCACTCTTCCTGACAACAAGGTCGCTGATCAAAAGGCTGTTGACAAGGAAATCCTTGCTGCTGCCAAGGAACCCCTTCTTATTGCCTACCTCAAGTCCAGCTTCACTTTGAAGAAGGGCCAATTCCCCCACAACATGAAGTTCTAAAGGTTGTTGAATAAATTGCCTTATCTCTGATCATGAGGGATTGCCGGAAACAACATACACTTTTATTGGATATCATTGCACGTGATCAATCGATGGGAGAGTGGATGATGATGAATGTCAATTAGGTGTTACGCCGCCGACGTCGTGGCACATTGTATGTGAGGGAAACGAAATGGAGGAGCTCCTTGTCTATCTTGCATAAAAGTATCTCTTTGTTTGCAGTTAACCCCCTTTTGCGCCACTTCTTTTCTTTGCTCCCATTCCTTTCCAGTACTACTTACGCTTCTTCCAACGATCCTCCCCAATTGCGAATACGTTGTGGACACCCAAGTCAATCAACTATCCAATGGAGACGACATGGCATGAGCAATTCGTTGCATTGACACGACCATTACTACGACAAGGTAGCAGCTATCTCACTGTATGTGTGTATATATATGCATGCGGTATGCAAGAAAAGGGGGGGGTGGTTGTTGAGCGCAAAATGAGGCGGAAGGGGCCCATCCACAAAGCAAATGAATCTCTTTCTTGGATTTCTTCAACTCTTTTCCTCACTTTTTTCATTTACTCTTCTCTCACATACATGTCATGTCCGTGCAACTCAATAGACGGCCGGCACTCTTGGTCGTAGTCTGCTTCATTTCATTCGCTATCCTATCCCATTTCATAACAACGCCATCCTCCTCTGGTATCGACGTATCCGATCATCATGCTTCCTTGGATCTATTATCATCGCATCACAAAGAGGTAGGTATATATAGAGAGAGATCATCCCATAGTATCAACATCATCATTGGATACATAATACTTTGAATATAATAGTGCACTCATGTTGAGCGGCATCCGGATCAATGTGCCTTTGTCATGAAGACTTGTAAAGGGTTCAGCAAAGTCTACTTGGCGTTCTACTATTGCTCTGAAGTATGGAAACCTATATCAATGACGCTATTGGTGAGTTACTTTTTGTTTGTTTATTTGTTACAATCACGACCTGTTGCTTGCATACACATGCGCATGGGCCCAACCACACACTATTGCTCACGAATGATCGATGTACGTTGTTAGGTCACTGGTCTGCTGATGCTCTTTGGCGCTGTCAGTGTGGCGGCATCCGATTTCTTTTGTTTGTATCGTGCTCTCTACGTCTATGCATAATCGAGATGGCCATCCTTATCATTCTTCTTTTTGGTCCACAGGCCCCAATCTACAAACCATATCCGCCAAACTGCAACTATCTGAAAGTATGGTATGTATATCCACTTTTTGCTGTTGGCAAGGGGTGTGTGTGTGTGTGAAGGTATTACAAGCAAAGAACTAAGGAATGTTCCATAGGCCGGAGTCACGGTATTGGCATTCGGCAATGGCAGCACAGATCTCTTTAGCACGTTTAGGTAAGGAACCATAAAGATTGGGGGACAAGGTAGAAAAGTAACCACTGAAAAGCGAAATGATCATCCTACAGCGCGATGAGTTCTGGATCAGGGTCGTTGGCTATTGGTGAACTTATAGGGGCAGCCTTTTTGTTGGTATCGGTGGTATCAGGATCCATGGGCATTATTCGGCCATTCAAATCCAAGCGGATCACATTTATGCGTGATGCATCGTTCCTTGCTGGTGCTGTCATGATGTTGACTTGGATCGTGTATCATCAACGTATCTTCTGGTACCATGGCATGGCTTTGATCGCGTTCTATGTGACCTACGTATTCGTGGTTGTCTTTGGTGCATTTCAACTTCCTGGATCTGAAACACCTGCAAAGCTTGAATACAAGTCATCTGCTACTAGCGGCATCGATCAGGATCAGTTGACAGAAGCAAGTCGTTTGTTACAACATGAAGGTAAGCGCCCAAAAAGAGACATCAAGCCAACTTGTACAAGAGAACTAATTTCTATTGCATTCGTTTTAGCTGGCAAAAAGCCTCCTCGTCTAAACATTCCTATCCATGGTTTTGCATCACAACATTCTTTTTCATCGCATGAATCCCATCTTGGTCACATCATTCGTCCAGTATCATCAAATTCATCTTATCGATCATCGTTGCATATTGATGGTATGAACGTACCACGCACAACAAGCACGAATGGTTCCATTTCTACTCGTCTTTCGCGACATGCCATGACACCTCGTGTTGGTATTCGAACATCTCTCTTTAGTGCTATCGAAGTAAGTTACATACATTTGATCATGCTATTCGTGAAGCTAATGAGATGTAGTTTCAAGAACAAGTAACGACCATACGACGCACAGGCAGCACAAGCAGTACGGTCAATCGTCGAAGAGATATATCCAATTGGGGGAACATTTCATCAAGAAGATCCAATCAATCTCTTGGCTTGTTGAGTGCAGCATCATCATCAGGAGCTCAAGGTCGTACACGATCTTCGACAGTGGGTGATCGTCTGATGCCCACGGGTATGCGTCATACGACTCCCACCACCGCTACCACGCCAGATAGCACACACAGCAGCACGGGTATTGCTGAAGACTACTTTACATACATCTCCACCAATCAACAAAACCAAAACAGCAAAGCGGCTATTCCTGAAATTCGTCTTCCTACAACCAATGGTACCCTGCTAGAGGATCATCAACACCATCATCATCACTCGCCCCAAGGAGGTGAAATTGCTATTCGTGTCCCGCAACTACCATCAGCTCCACAACTACAAGCACCATCAACATCCCCTTCTCGACCGGTTTCTCTTCTTGAGAAAGCTATCCCTGATAGTCTATTTGACGATGTCCTTCCTACGCTTTTTCCAACCTTGCAGAATTGGGATGAAAAGACCACCTTTGCCAAATTGAGCTCTTTGGTAGCTGCCCCTGTGGTCTTGATGTTGACAGTGACTTTGCCAGTAGCTGAGGATGCTCAAGTGGATGACATTCAAGTGGTAACACAAGAGGATGATGAAAATGGCGATACCATTTCACACAAAGGACGCTTGCCCACTGCAGCTGGTACAGACGAAGACGTGGTTGAAACTTTATCTGTGGGAGAAGATATGGTCGATGGATCCATCAACGAAGAAAAGACACCATGGTGTCGCTGGCTATTGGCAACCCAAGCTATACTTGCCACCACGTTTATCTTTATCGTTATGGCACGTAAGTAATCAAACATATCCAACTAGGATAGGGTATATATAACAAAGACGAGATGCTGATTGAAGGAAAATAGTCAACGGCTTCATATCCCCTCAATATATATTTATCGGTACCATCCTTGGATCTATGCTTTCGGCCCTTGTGCTCTTTACCACCAAAAGCCAAGAACAACCATCATGGTTCTGGATGGTCTCATTTGCAGGTTTTATCATTGCTCTCCATTGGATCTTTTTATTGGCCAACGAAATGGTCAGCCTATTACAAGCTCTTGGGACGATTCTTAATATCAGTGATGCTATCATGGGGTTGACCATCTTTGCATTTGTGAGTATCCAAGCATGGTTGGTCTATGTTGCTATGCGACTAAGATTTGGAAACAGGGCAACAGCATTGGTGACTTGGTGGCAAACACGGCCATTGCTAAGGTAATGTAACGAAACGTCTCATTGAATTAAACGCCAAAGCTAAAATTTTCGTGTGATCTATAGATGGGCTTTCCAACAATGGCTATTTCAGCATGTTATGCTGGTCCCCTTCTCAGTAAGTCAATGATGATAACAAGGATGCCACATGCTTTGGGCTAATCAAAGGTATAGATATGGTGCTTGGTGTTGGCATCTCTTCCACGTATCAAGCGCTCAAGACTGGTGTACCATACAAGCTTGATATTGCACCATCCATCCTGGTATCCAGCACAGGTCTCATCATTGTGCTTTTGAGCACGCTGGTTGTCGTCAATTTGAATGGATATTGTATCAACAAGGAGCTTGGATGGTGGATGATCATTGTCTATTGCATATGCTGTGTCATTAACGTATTATTGGAATGTGATGTATTCGAGTAGTTTTCAATGCCTTTTATTTGTCTTTTTTTTTGTATTCTGTTATCCACGCATAAAACAACTAGCCCATGTAGTGCTACCTTACAGCGTATTTCCCCTTTTTCCCACTAAGAAGCATAAACATTTTCAAGATGACTTTATCTATTTCAGCTGTATCATCCCATGCAATGATAACGTGGATTTATCCGTTTAACGTATACACGATTCAAGTTACGATTATATTTTGACATCAAATAAGTTATACATAGTACAGATAAATGGGTGATGGTGGTGATGGTGGCGAGTAGAATCATTGTGATTTCCTTGATTCGTCAGATGAAGATGGTAATGAAGATGGTGATGATGATGAAGATGGTAGTGATGATGGAGGAGGTATAGAAATCTCTTTGAGTGTGGTGAGCATCATGTCTCGGACATTGTTGGCAAGGGCATCCACTGATTCGGAGTCTTCTTGTACATTGGTGGTGTCGACGGGAGGCAACACTAGAGAGAGGAAGAATCGGATCATATCATGGTTGAGTAACACAACAATATAAGCTATAATCAGCGCACACACACTCTTACCTTTGATCCTAACATTGCCTGGTTGAAAACGTTTAGCTGCTGAATCGTATAAATGGTTGTAGTTGGCAATCACAATAGGGACAACGGGCACACGTGCTTGGACAGCCATGTAGAATGCACCCTTTTTGAATGGTAAAAGATCAAGCTTTGATGCGTGGCCACGGGTACCTTCAGGGAACAGAAATACGCTGGTCTATATTTGTTGTTGTTGTGAGCGAGCGACTCGCTTCATGTACCTGATATCCATGTATCCCAATTACCTTTTTCTTGTGGATGTTTTCAGCTGCATGACGCGCTTCTTTGATAGCATTGTTGCGGTTCTTTCGATCCAAAAAGATGGCACGACTCAAAGTCACTAAAATGCAAGGATTAGCTCTATCCATTGGAATGTATGTATGATTTTGATCCAACAAGAAAGAGACTTACTGTACCATCCAAGGAAAGGGTAATATTTGATGGACTTTTTGGCCACCACAGCAGTTGCCTTGGGGAACACGCTTGCCATGAACAAGACATCCATACTCGTTTGGTGATTGCATACGTAGACACTGGGTCGTTCAGGGCGGATGTGTTCCTTGCCTTCAATGGTCGCTGACATACCAGTGAAAAAGCCTGCAATGTGATAATAAAGACGTGCCACCGACCAATTGATGAGATGTGCTTTGCCGACCAAGGGTAAAGTGAGTGAAGCCAATACGCCATATAACGCAATAGCTGCCATGCACACCAACGATGCCGTTGTACGATAATAGAATCCTCCTCGTTTCCGGTAAAGAGCCGAGAGAACCGTAGGCATAACCGCCCAAACTGCCCAATGCACTCGTCGAGTCAATGCTGTGCCTGAAACAAGAAAAGAACACGGTGGCATCAGTAAGGCGTTGTTGTCCCAATCAGCATTCGCTCCATGGCGTCGTCAAAAGCTTACTACGTTCACGCATGGTCAGGTTCAATGAATGGGGAAAAAGAAAGGAATAAAGAAGCGAGAAGAAAAGCGATCAAGTTTATGTAACGCCCAACCACCAGCTTTTGGGATTTCACATGTCAGTGGAATTATGTGCGGAGACGCACACACACACACACACTCACAAACCCACTTTATATGATGATGATGCTGACAATGCCACATGTGCTCACCCCAAAAAGTAAACGACGTTACAATTCTACCACTTTGGATTACATTGTTGTAAAATAGTCATTGTCTGAACTATTCTTCAAGTAAAAAAAAAGTAGATACAAAAGAAGATGCCAAAGATTAAAAGAATGTGCGAGTATAAATGTGTGTGTGTGTGTGTGTGTGTAATTGCGTTGTTGGATGCGTGATGGTGTTGTATGTGCGACAAGAAAGGAAAAAGGGAAATAAAAGATGAAGAACATTGAAACCAAATAATACAGAAAGAACGCGTTGCATGGATGTTTTTGTTTGAGAATGTGATCTATGGCTTGATCCTGTCGTCAGGCAACTCGGCCATTTCGGTTCCCCCGTCAACGTGGTTACCACCACCTATATACGCTGATGATGGCATACGACTACTACTTGTTGCAGACCGTTGTTGTTGATGACGATGACGACGTTTAAACCATCGAGGCACTCTACTTTTTGGTGGAACCTGTACAATCGTAGTAGGCGGTGGTGGTGAGGTGGTTGCTGGTGTTGTTGTTACTACTGGATTCAAGCAAGATGATTGTTGTTGTTGTTGTGGAAACGTAAGGGAGGGAGATGATGCTGCATGAAATAGTCGACCATGTCCATTCTTTTCATCGTGTGCTGAGGGCCATGATTTAGTATGATGGATCACTTGTAAATCGTCATCAACATCGTCGTCGTCATGGTGTTGCCGATTTGGGTCGAGACCTATAATATCATGCTCCTGATCGACATGGTCATGATCACCACCACTGTGGCCGTTCTCCTGGTCCTCGTGGTCAGGGTTATGAGATGGATCAGGCTTAGAGCTAAGAAGGTATACGCCATATACGAGGACGCCAATACCAATAAAAACAAGGGCAATGGCCCAACCAGGGTAATTGCCAATCTCGTCAAGATAAATGATTGTGTTCACCAACCCAAGGGCTGTATAAGTGCCATAGAATACAGGGACAACCACCACGGATGAATACAGCTTAAGAGCAGTGTTGAGACAATAGACCTATAAATGGCGTTAATCATGGGACGATCTCCTTATTTCCAGTAAAGAAAACTGGACATTAACCTGCCTGCAGAATTGCTGTAGTCACCAAAGCAAGCAAAATGAAGCGACTTGTGTTGTCCGTAAACTGATTGACTTGAGAGTTGACAGAAAGTGTGAATAATTTGACACTATAAAGAAGGAACGAATGAATGATTAGTGGGTGGATGTTGGCATGTTGATGATTATGATGAAGGGGCGAGAAGTTGCACTTACCCACTCTTGGCAAGCAACAAGGTTTCACTAGCCAACATGCCACCATCAAGACTGAACATGAGGCCCACCACCCTTAGCATCTTTTTTGGTTTCATGTTGAAAAAGAGCTGGCTGTTTCTCTTTCTGGAGTCATCATTGAGGAGCCATCGGGACCAAATAGCGAACACGAGACCCGAGAGTGTCAAAATGTTGAGAGCGCTAAAGTAAATGATAAAGATGGGCCTTGTAAACAACTGCTTGAGGTTCTCCAATGATATAGTGTCTTCAGCTATGTAATGGTGGAATAATCAGAATACTGCGGTTAATGCGGGTGAATCATCATTATGCATGTCGGTATTTGTTTCCGATCACTTACGGTCATCACCATTATACATGCCACCAAAGACAACAATCCAAATGACAGATGCGACAACAACACATGTCCCGAGGACATCCTTTCGAGTGATTTTGGTGCCCACCAGGATTTTGGCAAACAAAAAATTGTAGATGAGCGCAACACTTCCTAAAGGAGCAACCCACTACATACAACCGGTAACTTTTTTTTTAGTATCACGGTTACACATACACAGGGTTTCCTTGCCAATGGCATGAAATATGTTCTTTTTCGTTTACCTGTGTCCTGAGATAATCTATGATGATGAAAGAAAAAAGATTAGTTTTGTTTATCAACACACATACAAAGAGCCTAGGATCGTACTAAGAGCAATCGTGCTGCCGATGAGCTGACTAGCAATATAGGTGTATAAACCAATGTGCCACAGTGGTCTGCCACAGTCGGATCGTTGTTCACTCGCTGACTTTTGAGCTTCTTTAACGTGATCCAGCTTCAAGAGGTTCAACCCAAGAGCATCCAAGAATGAAGCGCCTATGGGTGTATTTAGTATTTAGTATCGTTGCGATGGGTAGGACATATGCAGGTGATTGCAGCGTTACCTAATGAGACGAAAATGCCGATGACGAAGTTAATGACAGAATCGTCGCCAGCCATTAAGAGGTGCAGGAAGAATACAGCGAAAAGAACAAGAGGAAAAGAGGGAGATATGTAAAAGGAAACAAGAGGCTCGCAACAAAAAGGGAAGAAAATGAAAAAAGGGGGGTAGGGAATAAGATGGACAATGTATGTGTGTGTGCGTGTGCGTGTATATATATATGTAGACTCTCTCGCCAGTGATAGAGTGCATTGCATAATGTCATGTACCCGCTTTCTCATTCACTTTTTCCCTTACTTTTGTCGTATAGATGTATAATAAAATCCTTTCTGTTATTATTATTATGGTTGGTATAGTTTGTAACGCTAGTAGTATGTTGAAGGGTGTTATCAAGTAGTAGTAGGATAGTAGTGTTGGGTGTTTATCCTTGCTGCTGTCGTTGTCGGCGATATGGGTTGATCTTGTGATGGGGTCTGCAGAGTAAGCTCGTCACCCTCTTCATCTTCATCATCCAGGACAAGAGGACCTAATAACAACAACAATTGAGTATGCAATGCATTATTTAGGGGAACAAGGGGATGTAGTTTACCATCTTTATTACGCTCCAGATCCACCATAGCAGCTGGTGCGCCATCCACATAGCTGACACTGTTGCGGTTGGTTCTCCCAGATTCCTCACGTAGCTTCAAGGTTGGCTTCCTCATCATTTTTTTGGGGGCTGGTGACAACTCCGTGACAACAGGTATCGTTGAAGATGATGTTGTTGTTGTTGTAATAGCACCATCAATGGTACGTGGTGCTGCTTCACCATTTTCATCGGTCCAAAAGACATAGTTGAATTCACTCAAAAAGAGGTTGAAAATCATGGCAGGGATGCCAAGGGTGGGTGAGAATACAATGCTGACATTTCGTGTGGTCATCTTGTTGATATCAGAATGTTGCACCACACATAGCAAGTGAGCAATCAACGCCCGCAACAATGTATAGTTGGCAAGTGGTAATTCGGATACAAGGCGTCCTAGCTCATTCACTCGATCCTTGCGATCCAATAAATCAATCACATGCAAGAAATCGGGATAGCGTTCTCGTGTCAATACATTGGATGGCAGCTCTCTTAACCATAGCTTGAGTAATCCAGCAATGGCATGCACGTCGTATTCTTCTTCACTTGCAAGTAAATCGATATCACCTCGCTGGTTGAATTCATATTGAAGCGTCTTCATGACTTTGCTGCTTCCACTCAATCGATACAAGCCTTCTTCTGTAGCTGCATTCTTTGCATCGAGGTATTGGATACATCGATACACCACCGATGGTAACTCATATCCTTCAGCTGCACGAGACACACGCACAGCCTCTTCTAGGGGAACACCAAAGACTTGATTGGGCCCACCCGATGCATCACCTTGTGGCGTTCCTTTGGCGTTTGTTGTATTGCTGTTATAGCTCCGTTGTTGCTGTTGGATCGTTTGACGATCGGCTTCACTTGATGCTCTTGACAACAAGCCGCGTAATCCCGTAGGTGCAATACTGGTACGAGAACCTGTTGTTGTTGTTGATGATGGGGTGATAGCCTCTGCTTGTAATGATGATGATGATGATTGAAGGGGATGATGATGTTGATGGTGGTTCGGTGGATTATCATTGGTGGTGGTGGTCGTCTTTTTTCGACCCCAAAAGGTCATCCGGTTTGTTTTTGTTTTCTTCTTGTCGCTTGAATCTTCTTGCCAATCTTCTGATATCCTCCCATTGTTGTTGTTGCTACCCAAGCTGGGAGAAGGTGCCCTTGGGGGTGTTCCCAATGGGTCTGATCCCGTGCCAAAATTGATCATGGAACTACGGTGTGCGAGTTGTGGCGTTGTTGGTTGGATGTTGCTATGTGGGTGAATTGGTAATGAAGGGTGGTCAAGGCTGCAACGTCCATAGTCGGCTGCTGCTGTCATTGTATGTTGTTGTTGTTGTTGTTGTTGTAAAGTTGGGTCCACAACACCACCACCATCGGCCATTGTCGTCAATGATGGTGGGTTACTCAGGGCAACACCTACTACATCCATGGATGATGATGACTCCTTGTTGTTCTCGGGTGATGTATCACTTTTGGAAGATTTGCGTGCCTTGTCCTTTTTGGATCGTTGTTTTGATGATGTTGAGTCGTCATCGTAGCGAACGTTTCTAACAATGGCATCCACCCATTCATCACGTTCTTGGTCCGATTCAGCACAAAGAATATGACGTGAAACACTGGATGAGCCAGGTCTTTTTTGTTCCACAAGAAGAAATGCATGTCGATATGAGCTGTCGTCATTGCCATCTGCTTGGGATGCTGGGTTGGTGGTTACACTGGATTGCTGACGTCCAATTTGTGCATTGGTAAGCCGAATGGTGCCCAGATGGTTGCCTTCTTTCTATAGTCTCAGGTCAATATAGATGTTCATTTAGCTCGGAGCGATAAATGTACCGATTCAAAATAGTCAATCATGTCACCATTCATAACAAAGTAGCGTGTCTTCCATCCACCAAAATTCTTGCCTCGTTTTGTGAGGTATCCTTCCTTGTGTCCCGATCTCTACAAATGGTGTAAAAAAAGAACAGTGCCCGAATTTAGTCTATTGATGCTTTGCTAATGTATCACTCATTAAAACTTTGTTTTCGGCGCTTACATGACGCTTCTTATTATAAGAAGGGCGTTGCTTTACGACATTGCTGCTAAGGAACTCGCAAAGATCGGTGACATCCTCCCATGGAAGTATTAACGTTTGCTGCAAATAATGCTCTAGCGCCATCTACGTGTACATTAAATTTAATGTCAATATCTGGGTGATGTAGTACACATCTATGCTAGTACACTTGCCTTACGTTGATCAACCTTGCTCGGAGCATTGGTAGTGAAAAGAGCTTTTTCAGGCAATTTACTTATCTTGCTGGCCACGGCAGGACTTGATTGTGCCTTGAGCTATTGTAGAAATAAAAAAAGTCAATACGACAAGGCATCATCGACATGTTATATGTACATACTTTTGCATCAAGATCCAAAAAGTCTGAATAAAACTTCTCAACCCGCCAAAGTTCATGGAAAGCAAGATCAGCTGTTCTTTGTCGACCCACAGCGATTGTGAACGAAATAACTTCTTTGCCACGGCTATTCGTTTTGAGATTGGAGCCCACAACTTTGACGGTAATGTCGCCGAGACCAAGCATGTCACCATCATGTTCAAAGCCCTGTTGTCGGTCTGTCATTTCCATTGTTCGTTGTGGATCCCGACGTTCCTGCTCAAGCAAATTGACACGTGAACGAGTTGTTGATGATGATGATGTAAACTCCATGGCAACATTGGTGGTGGATCCAGGGGGAGAAATAGGTGGAGATCGTATTGAAGATGGCTCATCGGATATAGCTCTTCGAAAGGGTGATCGAGGTGGAGGTACTGGACTTGACACACCATCGGGTGATAAGGATTGATCACTTTCCATGTCATCGACTACAACTACAGACGCTGGTTTGCTGCGTGGTTCCTTCTCGAATGCATTGAGCTTATTAACAAGTCCATCCCTCTCTATCGCCAATCGTGTGTTGTCTTTTTGCAAATTGTGAATCATGACACGCTGCTTCTCGACGATTCTCCATAGTTGCTCATTCTGCGATCGCAAGTGTGCCAGCTCTTCTGCAGGTGTAGCAGGACTTTTGAGTTGTTGAGGATGTACCATCACGTGATAATGGTTGTAATTAAAAAGAGTGGAAAGGGGGTTTCAAACGAATGGGTGGTGATGGTGGATTGAGTAAAGTAAAAGAAAGAGGGGGAGGAGAGAGAGAATAAAAGGACGACACAACGACATCAAGAAGAACAAGTGGTACAACCAGCAACCGAACATTTACGTTACACAATTGGCATACCAATGGACAAATGTAACACATGAAGATACCTTCTCTTGTCCGATATACCGAGGTAGTTAGTGAGAAGGCTTGTCGCAGTTATTCACGAGATGCCGGATCTTTGGTTACATGGTACATCCTTCTTGTTCAATCGATGATGTATTACGTGCTACTAGGTGTCACCACATCCATGCATTTAATGACACAAGCCCACCTGTCATCATCATTATTAATAACCAAGCCGAGGACGTGAAATGACAACCGTATCCATGGCACTTGACTCAGCATGATTACTATAATCCAAAAGTGATGTCGTTGTTATGCATGTGAGAGATCCAAAGATAGCAGCCGGTGGTCTATGCAGACGACTCCATTGGTATGAGCATCAACCAGAAGTGTTGTCATCATATGACCTGCATCTTGCATCACCAAAAGAGAGAAGAAATCCCAACAAAACAAGAAGCTCTCTTTATCCGTTTCTCCACTCATGCACGTTGACCTCCCAACTCCTCCTCCTTCTTACCCAGCTACTACAACTATGCTTGATACCACCAATACACCACCACCACCACCACTCTCTCTCAATACAATGACAACAACAACAGGTCCTCCACCTTCAATTAGCACTTCATGTGGTAAGGCATGCGTTTATTCATTCGAGAGACTATCTATCTCATTGCTTATTTTGACATGAAACAGAGTCGCCACGTCGACCTGAAATGACCACCACACCCACCAAGCGCCATTCGTCTTCGGGTGGTATTCCGACATCGCCTGAAGAACGCCCTCCTCTTCCTCGTCGTAATCGTTCACGGTCATTGCACTTGCCAGGGTTCCGAGAAGACTTGGAGGCCTTTCTAGTGCCTGCACTACCATCGCTTCCTCGCAAGCTTGTTGCACACCATCATTTGGAGCCATCACCACCCGCTCCACAGTATCCACATTCACGTTTTCTTAATCGATGTCCACCATGTATCGGCAACGTGAAAAGGATCATCCCAACACAGCATCATAGTGCACCAAGGGCAGTAGCAGCTGCAAGTGATTTAAGATTAGCAACGGCATCGTACAGCATTCGGATGTGGGATAGCATGACAGGCGATTTGCTCGATACCTTGACACCTAATCCAACCACGCACCAAGAGATGACTGACAAAGTGACATGTTTGGCATTTGCACCTACTCGTATACCCCATCAAGATGGCTGGTTCCTTTGGGCAGGCCTTGAGGATGGCCATTTGACTGTTATTGATACCCACCATCATCACGACAACAACAAGGGCAACAACAATATGACAGGATTACATGCCCACAAAACAGCCATACGCTTAATACTTCGTGTTCACAATACCGAGATTTGGACGATTGATGATTCCGGCGCCTTACGACGATGGCCAGCACCCCATCACAACAACAATAACACCGATTGCACCTTGGATGGCATTACACATGATGGCTATAATCACAGAGTCACGCCACAAGCACTTGCAGCTGTCGTTGTGGATGATGATGCCAATGATTGTTATCATCTTGTCATGACCAGTGGGAAGACACTCGACGTTTATCGCTTCGTTCCTTGGCATTCTTCTCAAGGTCGTACCCATGTCCGGATGCCATGTGCTGTCAAAACAATGCCAAGAGGATTTGGTCTTATCACTCAAATGGTCCTTTTGTCACACTATAAAAACAACCAACCCCATATTGCTTGTGCACATGATACCGGCATCATTAGCATTTGGTGTACACGCACATGGGAACTCGTCCAACAAGTCGTCGTATCCTCGTACAGCATCGCTGCCATGGCATTATCCAATGACCGTTTCCTTTGGGCGGGTTACAAGACTGGCATGATATACGTCTATGATATCTCCGATCCAAATGCATGGGCTGTGGTGAAAGCTTGGGAAGCGCATCAAGCACCTGTCATCAAGTTACTTCCAAATGAGAACATGCTTGGTATTTGTTATAAGCCTTGCATAGAACAAGTCATCAGCGTCGATGCACATGCCAATGTCAAAGTATGGGATGGTCGTTTAGAAGCGTATCAAAAAGGTAACACGATAATAATGATGATGATGAAAAGCAAACATGGTGGTTATTAAATGCATCTTCTTTTGCTTTTAGAACGACAAGTACAAGAACAACGAGAGCGTTTTACCGATTATCGTTCTACAAGGATTATGGTGTGTTCATGGAACATCGATGCGTGTAGTCCAGAGAATCTCAATGGCGAAGATGATGCATTGTTACGCAAATGGCTCGAGAGCATGGACGATCCAGACTTGATAGTGATTGGACTACAAGAAATTGTTGACCTGGAATCGAAGCGACAAACAGCGAGTACGTGTACATTACATATAATCCCGTTTTACCTCTTTATGTATTGTTGTCTTACATACATTCCTTTTATGTCATGTTACAGAATCGATGCTCTTTAATCGGAAAAAGCGAGATGCATGGGACGTCGATCCAGCTCTTTTGGAGGCTGCCATTCCACAATACAAGGCATGGACCGATTATCTTACCTCTGTGGTTCAAAGCAATTTCAAGATGCCTTATACATTGATCAAGAGTGAACATCTCGTGGGTCTCTTTAGCTTGATCTTTGTAAAACAAGACCAGGAAAAACGGGTGAATCATACAACATCGGCTGTCGTCAAGACCGGTCTCAAGGTGATGCGTAAATCGATCCATGGCAACAAGGGCGCGGTGGCTATTCGCCTCACACTCGATGATGCATCACTTTGCTTTGTCAACTGCCACCTTGCTGCTGGTCAATCACGTGCAGATCATCGCAATGCGGATGCCGAAGAAATCTTAAAGTCGGCAAGGTTTGACCCCTTGGTGAAATACATGGATGACAGCACCATCCTCGACCACGATCACGTGTTTTTCAGTGGCGATCTCAACTATCGAGTGGATAAATGGACACGTGACAACGTGATTGAATGGCTCACAATGGATGATAAAAGCATGGCTTACAAGGAATTGTTGGATGTCGATCAATTGGTACAACAACGTCGAAGGAATCCTTTACTCAAATTGGCCATGTTCGATGAGGCACCTATCACCTTCAATCCTACCTACAAGTACAACGTCGGCAAAGACACGTATGACTCTTCGGAAAAAAAACGAGTGCCGGCATGGTGTGATCGAATTCTTTTTTACAATGTACCCCAGCCCATGTTTTATCAACGACATGAAGTCAAAGCATCCGATCATCGACCCATCAGAGCCGGGTTTGAATTACTCGTCAAATCCATTCGCCAAGAGGATAAACAAAAGGTCGAACATGAAGTTGAAGCTAAATGGAACAAGACCGTTGCAGAGATCATCCAAGACCACAAAGCACGCTATGTCGCTGATTTTGGCCAATGTACAGTAGATCAAGCACGAGAGCGGTTGATCAAAGTGGATTGGGATGTTGAACGTGCAGTCTGTGAACTTGTTGGTGTGCAGGCACATCAGAAATAGTTTCCATATTTTTGTATGTATATATAATAAAATGGCATTCGAATCTATTAGAGAACATTCATAAGGATGATGAGTCTTGCTAATGCATTAGGAGAGAGCTACGTATCAAGAAAAGCATCAAGAATCCAGTATCATTAGTCATGGCATCAAGGAAATTTTTGCTATTGTCATAATGGAATGTATCAATGTACACTATCCAGCTGCTTTTTTTCTCTTGGGGGAAAAAGGAACTTGATTCTAAAAGAAGAAGAATAAAAAGAACTGAAAAAAAGAGGAAACAAAAGAAAGGTGTGGGTGGATGGATGGATGGGGGGGGGATAGATTATCAAGAGAGGAGGAAGGATATCTGGGTTCGATTTAATTAAGACAAGAGATCATCGAATGGCGAAGAGGTCTTTTGTTGTTGGCTATTGCCACCCATGTTGTTGTTGTTGTTGTTGTTGGAGGGTGTGGCAGGTGCGAGCGTGTTGGAATTTGCCCAAGCGTTCCATCCAGCATTAACACTCGAGTTCTTCATGGCATTCATTGATGGACCAACAGCTGGTTTTGCAGGGCCAGTTGTCTTGCCAAGTGAATCCAACGACACAAAGGACGAAGCTTGAGACCAGATACCACCTGGCAATTCAGCTTGAGGTTTCGTAGTAGTAGGCTGAGCATTAGCAGATGCTGGTGAAGCAAGGCCTTGAACCGAACCAGGTCGGCTGCTACCCGTTGTGGAAGGCGACAATGGACGTGCCTGATTCATATTGAGTGAGGGAGCAGCTGGTTGTACAAGAGGTGCTTGCGACATAGGTGCTGCTGCAGGAGTGGTTGTAGTAGAATTGGGTGTCGAAGGCGATGAGAATGCATCGTTGCCAAGGAGATCAAAGAGATCATTGGTGGATTTAACAGTTGGCTTGTTGGGCGTAGCTGTTGTTGTAGCAGCAGCAGAAACGGGAGGTGCTGATTGAAAATCGTCAAAGTCGTCCAACACTAATACAAGTAATTAACAAGATTGTAATCGACACATGCATGTATACACGTACCATTTCCAGTACTACCACTAGCAGCAGGTGCACCTGAAGCAAAATCTCCCCAATCATCATCCTGAGTGGCCTTCGAACCAGATGGTGCATCATCGAAATCAAACAAATTGGCTTCCTTCTTTGCAGGTGCCTTGGATTCTTGCTTGGATACGGGTGAAGAACGAGATGGCGAGCTGCTAATGTTGGAAGGTTCATCATCGAAATCATCGTATTTGCTGCTCTCAAAGCGATTGGGACGTTCATCTTCATCATAGTATCCACTGCCACTGCCACTGCCACCACCGATACCAGTGATGCTGCTAAAACCAAGACTTCCAGAGCTGAGACCGTCACTGCCGAATCCACCGTATCGGGATCCTCCACCACCAATTCCACCACCAGACATCATTCCCATGCCACCAATGGAATCGGAACCAACGCCTTGGTACTTGTTGCGATTTTGTCTCGCCTTTTTGCGTTCAGAGCGAATCTTATCGGTGTCATTCAACAATTCGACAATCTCTTTGGCACGGTTACGGACTATGATGGGGGGCGTGCATGTCATTGAATATCTCAATGCATCATAAATGATAAACCTTTCCACTTACTGTTAATGCCTTGGTCCTTGCCCTTTTCATCAATATAATGGAAGTTTCTCATGATCTTGATCATGGAGATGTGGGATCTGGCATCATCAATAACACGCTCGGAGCCATTCTTGACAAGATATTCAAGTAGCACTAATGCCTATATATCGATAGGATAAGCCAAGACTCTTCTTATGCCCATCATCCATGACAACCCACCTTGTAGATTTGACGCCATTGTCTAGCCTCCTTTTCAGTGAATCGTTTGTAGAGCGTGGGCATGATCTCGTTAAAGTATTGGCTATATACAGTGATTAGAAACCATGTCGTACATGTAACAACCGGGGGATACGTTACTAGTTGTAAGTGCCTTGTGCGATTTCTTGCATGAGAGTACTGGAAGCTCCCCAGGCTTCATTGTTGGTCGCCTCGTGGACCTTGGCTTCCATCTCTGTGTAATTGAGGACGACATTTTTGCTAAGAGGGTCATCATCAGTTGCCGGTGCGTGTGTGCTGGGTGTCAGTTATCGGCTTACACTTTGTTTATGACGTCCTGCAAGAATAGTTCCGAGCGTTAAGCAGACATTAGGCAATGAGATAAAAGAGAGACGTACCTTGACCTCCCACATGTCAGGGATTTGGAGATTAAGCTGCGAGAACGAGTTCATGGCGTGTTAGAGAGGTGCTGCTACAGCTGCTGCTACAGTTGCCCAAGAAACGGAAAGGATAAAACTCCCATTCTCGTTGCGCTCTCCGACCACTGTAAATTATCGTGCGCTGTTGATGATGATGCCATTGCTGACACATACCCGATATGCATCCCCCCTCCTCCTCCCATCACCTCCGCCCCAACATCCTTGTTTGTCATGACAGCCTATCTACCTAGGCAACGAGTAATGGTCGCCTGGATACCATTCTCTTCCCTACTGTCTCCTCAACCACGTCATCTACACTATGATAATAGCTCAATGACCACGTGGTGGCAATAAAGATATTCCTTGTACCATGTGCAGCGTGCTTGAGGTATGCTGTCCATAGCTGTATCAGATTTCTTCGGTCTTCGGCTGCATATGAAATGTGGTCGCCAATCACACAAGGTGTTATTTGGTCATGCTTTCTTCTATAGAGTGCTTTGCGTTTGGAAATACAAAGGGCGGGGGATATGATACAATTTTTGACATCCACAATACACGTTCAGGCAGCTAAAGAAAAGCTTTGCGTTCTTGAGGTCCAGCAGTATAAAAGCCGTTATACGTATCAATCCTATGCCGGAGCTGCAATGGTGGGGAACATTCACGCTTTGTGTACTATGCTTATGGATAATCAAGATACCAACGACTTCTCTTTTGAAATGAATCACATACACAGCCATCCTCAAACAACGTCTTATATGTGGAACTTGAGCACAGCAAAGTACCATTGTTGGATGACCTTCCTATTTATGCGTGCACAATCAATCACACCAAGGCTCTCTATAGATGCTCCCCTTCATTTATCAGCTCATCACCATTCTCAACATACTCTTTACTTATAGGTTTCTAGGATGGTAGTGTGACGATGCTAATGGGAGATGACGTTTACATAAGAGGATGTTGGCATACACGAGATGACGGGGCTCGTTGAGTGATAAACCTTGGTTGCGGATATGGAAACATTACATTCGGTGTCCTCTTGCGAGATAAGCGTGATACCTTGTGTTGTCATCTTGTACTTGGTGATGATAATCCATAGCCATCGCCTCTCCTCCGCCGTGATGTTTGACATTTGTACATATCATCATACCAATGCATTCGTTTTCTCTCCCCCTCCCCAGCCCACACTCATTTTCCTCCAATGTAGTAAAGTCAATGACAAGGGCCATGTATGGCATCACTGTAATATAAACAGGATTATGGAAGCTAACAAGAAGCCGTGCCTAATCAACCTCCTCATATAAAGTGGCGTGCATGTTTGTGTGCCCTTCTCCCATTTCAAGTTACATAGCTTTCTTACGATCCCGGTGATCCTGTTTCTTCCGTGTTTAAAGGGTGGGTGATTACATAAGGTGTCCACAACAGGATGTCAAAGCATCATTTGATGTTGCACACAATCGAGAGCACACGTATCGATCCGATTCCGATATTCCTGCGTACTCGTTTCTTTTTTTGTCGACCGTGGCAACCATGCAAATTTAGTTGGACAACAACGCGCGTGTCGCCTTGAATTCGTTTCACTCACTCTTCTTCCATCACCTTTTTCTTTCCCACCCCCAATGTCTTCATTTGCAAGAAAGCAATCAATGGGTGTCAATCCTTCGGACCGTCATCACCCTCACACCTTGTCCACTTTGGTAAGTGCAACAGGTATACACCTTTCCCCCTTATCAGTAACGTTATCATTGTAGGATTTCCAAGGTGCAAGCTCAGCAGCAGCAGCAAAAGCAATGAAAACCGAGTTAAGTCGACTGGTATCTCAAATCAAATCCGAGGATGAGCGCAAGGTACAGTAACGACAAGGAAAGAACAAACAACGATAACAAGGAAATGATGGGTTTATCTTTGTTCTAGTTCTTTCAACAAGAAATGGATGGATTTTACATGCTGTTTACTCGATTCATGGATGAAAAGGCCAAGGGTACCAAATTGTAAGATCACACATGAGGACGTTTCATGCTTGTCATCTGATCCAACGCCATGTGATTATGATGCAGGGATTGGGATAAGATTCAATCACCTTCGCCCGAGCAAATCGTATCCTATCAAGATTTCTCCAATTCTGCAACCCCTGATGATCTCAAGAAATTGGCAGTTCTCAAGTTAAATGGTGGTCTTGGCACAACTATGGGATGCGTGGGTCCAAAGTCAGCAATCGAAGTTCGGGATGGCATGACCTTTTTGGATCTAAGTGTCCGCCAAATCGAGGTATTTATTCGTCCAACCTTGTTGTTGCCTACTATCCACAGGAGCATGATGCTTAATCGGATGTTTAGTATCTCAACCGGGAACATGATGTCGATGTGCCGCTTATTCTAATGAACTCATTCAATACGGATGAAGAAACCCGTCGCATTGTTCAAAAGTACGCCACTCACAATGTCTGCATCACAACTTTCAACCAAAGTCGTCATCCTCGTATCAACAAAGAATCCTTGTTACCCGAGCCACGATCACCTAATGGACCCATCGATCAATGGTAGTAATTGAAAAGGACGTGTATGGGATTTTATTTGACTCATTCATGCGAAAAGGTATCCGCCAGGACATGGTGATTTGTACGAGGCTTTATACAACTCTGGATTATTGGATAAATTGCTCAGCGAAGGCAAGGAATATCTATTTGTGTCGAATGTGGATAACTTGGGTGCCACTGTGGATCTCAAGATTCTTCATCACATGGTTGAGAGTGACGCTGAGTTTCTCATGGAGGTGACCGACAAGACCAAGGCAGACATCAAGGGTGGTACGCTTGTTGATTACGATGGTCATATTCGTCTGCTCGAGATTGCTCAGGTACCTAGTGAGCATGTGGAGGATTTCAAGTCTATCAAGAAATTCCAAATTTTCAACACCAACAACTTGTGGATCAACTTGCGCGCCATCAAACGAGTACTGGAAGAAGAGTCGATGGATCTCGAGATCATTGTCAACAACAAAACAATGGAGAGTGGTGAAAAGGTGATCCAATTGGAGACAGCTGTGGGTGCCGCTATCAAGCATTTCCGTAATGCACATGGTGTCAATGTACCTCGTGCTCGCTTTTTGCCTGTCAAATCCACCTCAGATCTTTTCCTTGTCACCTCTAATTTATACTCGCTTGTGCATGGCCAATTGGAAATCAACCCCAAACGCATGTTCAATACCGTTCCTCTCGTCAAGTTGGGTGACCATTTCAAAAAGGTCAGCCACTTTTTATCTCGATTCAAGACCATTCCCCATATTTTGGAGCTGGATCATCTCACGGTGACAGGTGATGTCACTTTTGGTGCCAAAGTTGAATTAAGAGGCACTGTGATTATCGTTGCCAACCATGGAGATAGGATCGATATCCCTTCTGGAGCAGTATTAGAGAATAAGGTGATTACAGGCAACCTTCGTATCCTGGATCATTAAAGTAGCTCCCCAATCATTGCCATGAAACAGCTTCAATAAATCTACCTACAGCGACGGTAACTATAAATGTCTCATCTCTATAGTGTGGCAACATTGACAACAAATTTGCCTGTGTTCAAAAAGTCACGGTTGCCCTTTCTCTCCCTCTCTCTCTTGATCACGACACATAACCCACACACACCATGGCAAGCTTGAACATCAATGTCGAATTCAGGTAGCTCATAAACTTGATCTTGGCTGCATTCAGCATTGCTCACTTTGACTTTATTAGTGGTGGTATGGAACTGCTCTTTGACAACGTGCGTAAGCACACTATCTCCCTGCCTGCTCAGACTGAAGGAGGACAACCAGCCAAGTTACAAGATTTGATTTTCCATATCCGTGACAAGATGATGACAGAGAAAAAGGATCTATTTGTGGATGGTGATACTGTGTATGTTGTTGTTGTTGTTGTTGGATATCAAAGATGGCTCATTGTTCTTTCGTTTCTTTGTTAGGCGACCTGGTATCCTTGTGCTTGTCAACAATGTCGATTGGGAACTCTGCGACGAGCTCGAATATGAACTTCAGGATAAGGATGAGATTGTCTTTATCAGCACTCTTCATGGTGGATAGATAGGTTTACATTTGGACGCTTTTATAAAAGATACCACTTTTTGTCATGACATCAAAGAGTTTGGCTGTATATGTAGTGGGATTATGATGGTATGTTGTGTCATAAGGAATGGTGGATACGGATAGCTTATTATAGGATAAAGACATGTGGATGCATAGAATGGATTAGAACGTGTGCTGGAAAGAAGCAGGTAGGCTAGAACTTATTCACTCGCAACTCGCAAAGGAATGGGATAATGATGCCAATGATTATCCAAATAATAAGAGTATGACACAATGGAGCAAAGGGGCATGAAAGAAAGTGGTTGATTGCCATGGATATCTGACGTGACGCTGGTAACACCAATCATCTGATTCCGAAATCCAATTACATCTCTCTTTCCTTCATACAACAGCATAACGACACCACCGCTACCACCACTACCACCATGTCAGCGGCAGCCGATCCCGAAGTCAACCGCCTTGCTAACGACATGGCCAACTTGGGCAACCCAAGCGAATCCAATGTGGCTGCAAGTGGTCTGGAACTTACCTTTTCGGCAGCCATTGATGACGCTGAAAACCTCGAACAACTGGGACCCGTCATCAAGCAAATCACGCAGACTGGGAGACAAGAAGCCTTTGTCGATCAACTGGATGCTCTCATTCGTAAAAAGGATGGTGAAATTGAACGCATGTGCAACGCCCACTATCAGGTAAGCTGTCGTTTTGGCTTGGAGGCATTAATAATCCCGTGACCAGTAGTAACCTTTAATGCATATAGGAATTCGTGCAAGCCGTAGATCAGTTGTTGAAAGTGCGTCAGGGTACAGCAGAGCTACGTCAAAAGATATCAGAAGTCAACATTGCTTTACAGACGCGAGGAAATCGCCTAACCGAAAAGGTAGATTGCATATTCAAGATGATACATTAATGCTGATGGATCTTCTATCAATAGCGTCGTGAACTTATCGAGGCGCGCAGAGTACAACACAATGTCGAGCACACCATCAAAGTCCTGCATAGTAGTTTGGCCGTTTTGGAACTAGCGAATCGCGCAAATCACCAGCTTGAAGCGAAAAAGTATTATTCAGCCTTGAAGGTAATGATACGAAGGAGCTCTTATCACATGACAAAAAGTAATGGGTTATCTTTTGTAGACCATGGATAGCCTGGAAAATGATCATCTTCAAGAAATGCCCCAATATAGCTTCGTCAAACATTTGAGTGAGGGTGTTCCTATCATGCAAAACAACATCAAGGATAGCGTCATGGTGCAATTACGAGAGTGGTTGGCAACGTGAGTATATACAATTTGAGGTGGCAGCATAGGGATTAACGAGATATATATGTGGTGAAACAGAGTGCGTGGTATTTCGCGTGAGATTGGCTCGTTGGCAATGCAGCGGATGCAAGAACGTCAAGATCGGTGGAGAGCAAAGACGGCTGACAACCCAAAATTACGATATCTTCAGCATCATAATGTGAACTCGGCCATTGAAATGGTGGTGAACGAAGGATTGGAATGTTAGTATGGAAGGAAATGCTATTGAGCACGATACAAGAACGACGCGTCTCATACATATCTATATAGCCAGTATCATTGATGAAGTTGCCATTGATTTTGAACCCTTGTATCGATGCATACATGTTTACGACACCTTGGGAAAACGTCAAGAATTCAAAACATCGTATGAAGAGGATCGTCGGGTAAGTTGGGGTTGGATGATTGATATCTATATGTATCACTCATGCAATGTATATGGTAGGCACAAGCCAATCTGGCGTTATCCGCACCTATCAATTTACGCGATGGCAACTTGACACCATTCGAGACCCTTCTTCAAGATATTGTTGGCTTCTTTATCATTGAGCATATCATTTTGCATAGCACACAAGATTTCAGAAGTCAAGCCGAGGTTAGTGAATGGATAACGGTGGATTGATCTAGTCTCCAATGACTGATAAACGTATATAGGTGGATGCGCTTTGGGAAATGGTTACTGGTCGAATCATTTTGATTGTATCCGAAAGCCTAAAGGGATGCCGCGACCCCGAGCTATTCTTACGCATCAAGTTTTCCTTGCTCATATTCATCCAGACATTGGAGGTTAGTGGAAACATGGAATGATAAAGGTGGTGATCTTGATATTGACTTTTCGATAGAGCTTTGATTACTCAGTCAAGCCTTTGCAAGAGACGTTGTTGACGCTTTTCCAACGATATTCCGAATTGCTTATTAGCCAATACAGCGAGGTGTTTGAAAAGGTTCGTGCCAAAAGAAGGTGAAGAAGTAGTGTATTATTTGCTTACGTTGATCATATAGATTGTGCAAGAAGATGAATGTATGCCAATGACAGTTGAGAACGCTGAAGAACTTAAAGAGGTCATGCAATATACCCGTTTTCGTCCAGACCGTGAATTCTTGAAACGACATGGGTAAGTGAAAGCTGATACCTTCTTTGTCATACCTCACTCATTCCCTTTGGCCAATGTAGCTTCCCTCTCCGCCTTCCATTTTCCAAGGTGTTCCCTACATGTTGCCGTGATGTCAGCGCATTTGTGCATCAATTCTATCAATTTGCCGAAGGTTTCTCCCAAACGCACGGTGAAATGGATGATATCCTTAAAAAGGTAAATTAGGCTTGGAAGAGGAAACAGAGATCCATATGTATATTCATGCGAGCATTATGATAGGCTGTTGACAGCCTCCTGATCCAGCAAATCAATGCCATATTGCTCAAGAAACTTGAATCCACCAACCTCTCTCAGATTGTACAAATCATCATCAACATTGAATACTTTGAATCAACTTGCCCCGACTTCGAGATGTTGTTAATGGAGACTCGTTCGTTCCATCGCTCTGGACGTATCCATCTCAAGGCCACTTCAACTTTCAAAGAGACTAGAAGGAAGGCCGAGAAGCGCATTTTCGAATTGGTCAACCACAAGTTGGATGAATTCTTAGAGCTATCAGACATTGATTGGTAAGGAGGATAAGCCTGGATTGCTTATTCATGTTTATGGGATGTCTCATTGAATTGGTGTTTATAGGGAAGCACGTGATCTACAAGAATACCCCAGCTCACATCTTCAAGATCTGGTCACCTTCTTGACCAATGTCACAAATGCAGCACTCCTCAATTTGCCTGAATCCATCAAGAGTTTACTATACTATGACGCATTGGAACATCTTAGTCAGTCGATGAAAACCATGCTATTGGATCCGGATGTGCGTGTGATCACTGAAGTGGCTCTGAAGAATTTCAATACGGACGTACGGTTTGTCGAAGATTTTGTGCATAATCTTGGTGATCCAACTGTGCGGGAGACTTTTCTGGAACTGCGCCAGGTAAATAATGTTCATGTTGCAGCAATGATGTATCTTTAGACTCATGCATTGGAACTAGTTGCTTGATTTGGCGATGAGTGATAACCCAGAAGAATACCTAACGCCTCAAGTCAAGAGTCGCAAATATAACAAGGTGCAAGGACGCGATGTCATTATCTTGTTTGAAAAGTAAGGATCACCCATGGGATACTTGTCAAATTGGATATTCATCATGCTACATAGGTTATTAAGAGATCCATACTCGTTCAACGCCAATAACCCAAGAGATAAAGTTCGTCGCAAAGCAATGGAGAATGTTGCAAGGTAAAGTAATAATGCTTCATTGTATTAAACAACTTGTATCTCATCAATAGCTATATTCTATAGAGTGCTTCGATCCGTACACATCTAGATACTCTATTCCAATAAAATCCTATTCCTTTATTGCTTTTCCATTTTGGTGGCAAGCTTCTCCAATGCCTGATCAGCTTTCTCGATACCAAGAATACCAGCACGTTCAAAGCGCGTTTTGGCGCCTTCCAGATTACCCATAGCTTCATACACACACCCAAGATTGTATTGGATTTCACCATCAAGTGGATTAAAGTTGGATGCTTGTTCAAGATGCTTGATAGCTTCGGGGACGTTCTTGAGCATCAAGTAAGCGGAGGCAATGTTGGTGTGGGCGTCAGCTTGGTTAGGCTCATAGTCCAATGAACGTTCGAATGAATCGATAGCATCCTTGTGTTTGCCTGCAAAAGGAATCAAGTTTAGATACGTGCTTTCAGTTCATGGGACCAGGGTAGCTTACCCATTTGAAAATAGCAAACGCCAATGTTAAAATAGCCAGCGGCTGAGAAATTGTATGTGAGTTTTACCCTGTCAACATGCATTTGCATAAACAGAAAATGAGTCCATACCACTAGGAGCAATTTGGACACTCTTGTGATAGCTGTGCATAGCCATATCAAGCGATCCTTGGTTGAGATATTCAGTACCCTTCTTTATCTGTTCTTGGGCATCGGCAAGGCTGTCCAATCGGGTAGGGCTAGTGAAAAAAGCTGGATTCGTTCAGCATTCGAATTCTTTTTTTTGGCTTTGCGTTGCAACAAACATACTTCTTGTGGTGATTGCAGGACGTGCGACATGACGAATGGAAGGTCGAACAGCAGCAGCTACGACTTGTGGTGCACGACGACTGACGCGTGTAGCAATTCGGTTCCACATTGTGAAGAAAGTGCAGGAAAGCAAGTTTCGGACCAAGCTCACTAAAAAAAGTGACGGGGTGCATTTGCTGCATTTGCCGAATCGAGATCGCTAACCCTAACCCCTCACACTTATGAACCCTAAACGCTTCTCTTTCTCTTTGTCGCTCGTCTGGTTTTATCGCCTTCACGCCATTCCACTCAAGGTAGGTAATGTGTTATCAAAGAGTGCTCTTGTTGACTGTGAGGTAACATGCATTGTCAAGGAGTGAGTGTGGAGGAATGAGCGGGGTGGGTGGGTTAGCTATTGCCATGGCGATACGGTTGCTTCCTCTTGTTCGTTGCTATTCCCGCCTTACGCTTGTTGGTGTCAACAGGTACATTCAGAGTCGAATGTTGCAGCCGAACTGGTTCCATTGACGTGTTAGCTTGTATAGAGGGCAAGTTTGGTGTCAAGACGTTGGCTGGTTTTGTTTCGGCTCAACTACACTACTACACCATGGCTTTCGGTTTCCAGTAACCAACAACAAAGGGGTGGTTTGTGTATATGGAAAAGGCAAGTGCAATGAAACAAACAATGAAAAGGGTGTTTATTGTGTGTGTGAGTGTGTGCTAATAATTAATTGAATAGGTTTCTTTGGTCAGGCAATGCCACTTGGGGGGGCATCATCATCATCTCTTTGGGTTCGATTCCCAGCCTGTATCAAGTGGCCATTTGACATCATCAGTGCACAAGGCAGGGGTGGCTACTCTTTGAGGATTGGAAAGATGAGGGATCCTTCTTCTTAGAAAGGGTGAATGATAAGAACAAGTACATACGAATCTGGGCAACTATCAAAGCGATGTCCTCGGATGCAACTGGATTTGCGTGGATCGTGTACAGTGCTTTCTCAAAGGGTGGTGATTTGGTCTATTTGCATCCCTCTGTGGTTTTTGATGGACAGCATCCTTCCAACATGTACCCGTTATTGATGGTGGCTGTTTTTTATTTATAGAGACGATGGTAAGGATTATGATACGATGAGCGAGGATAATGATGAAGACGAGGATCTCATGATGGGGGCTAAGTACATAGCTAGAAGAATGGATGGTTTATTATCCACTTGGTCTTTGGTGTAGCTTATCCCCTCCGTGATTGCTTGTAGATTTAATATGGTATATAGCTTTGATGGAATAAAGATGGTTCCGTTATCGGTCTTGTAAGGACCACGAATACATGCATACATACATAACACGTATTCTGATAGATAAAAGAAAAGGTGTTCCTCCTCCATTGAGTTTTAGGACGTGTGTTGCCAATCCCAACATATGTCAATGCTGTTGCAAAAAAGTGGCATTAGACATGTCTGTGCGCATCATCATCCATTTTAATTATTAGTCTTGCTGATGCATGTTGCTGGAGGGGTTCCTTTTCCTTGCCTCTCTATAGTAAGGTCCGCCTATGATAGCCGCATGGAACTTTTTTCAAGCTAACCATGGCGTGGTCAATAAGCCAAAAATGAACAATGGATCCGGAAGTATCTTGTGGTGAGGATAAGGGTAGTGCCCTGAGGAGTATGATCGAGACAACAAGAGCCGGGAAATATTTTGATGCATACCATAATAGCGAACGAAGAAACTACCATAAAGATCAGGAATCCGAAAGATGGGGATCTATTGCCTTCTTGCGGCGAATCCGAAACACTAAACTCCTGCTGGGTTTTTGTAATCCGCCCTTTGTATCACCGTTATCACACTTTATTAAAAAGGTCACGTCAAAAATTGTTGATTTCTCGCGCTTTCTTTAAGCCCATTGTAATATGCAGCAGCTTAAAAACGATACAGATGTTTGCACTACCACTGTCGAGAGTAATGCAGATATCAAAGAGACCTTGACAGCTGATGTAATGGTGGTGCGACAACGATTAAAACGAAAGCTTGATCTACGATTCGTGGTATGGGCTTTTTTGGGCTATTTTGCTACATACCTCGATCGAAGCAACTTGCGTAAGAAGAAGCATGAGAAGAAATTTTATATGGTATGCTGACATGGTTTTTGTTTTGGATCAGCGAATGCATACGTTAGTGGCATGAAAGAGGATTTACTGCTTGAGTCATCTGCTTACAACTGGGCCGATACGGTCATGCGTCTTGGGTACAATCTGTAAGTGTAAAGCAAAGTATCATCGTTTTGATCATTCAATGCATACCTATTACAGGGTTCAAATCCCTGGATGCTTGATACTACCCAAGGTGTATCCAAGATGGTTTCTTCCCACCCTCCCCTTGTTGTCTGGTGTCATTCAATGCTGCATGTCTCTAGTCAAAAACCACCAAGGTTTATTAGCTCTCAGGTTTTGCCTCGGTCTCGCTCAATCGGTAAGCGTCTTATGAGTAGAACGACTCCATTTTGATACCTATGCAGATCTTTCAACCAGGGATTGTTTTTCTCTTGGGAAATTGGTACATCGAGCAAGAGGTGACAAAACGTGTTAGTATCTATAAAGCATCCATGGGAGTCTCAGGTACCATTCAAGCTCACACGAATCAAGTCATTGGAATTATGGACTAAAACAATGAGATGACATAGGTGCGGTTGGTGGTCTTATTGCTGGTTCAATTGTGGAAACCATTGCCGACAAATCAGGGCTTCGTGCATGGCAATGGCTCTTTGTTGTTGAAGGGCTAATTGCTATCTTTGTCGGTATCCTTGGATATTTCATGGTACCCAATTATCCACATCAAGCAACGTCATGGATCAGTGAGCAAGAACGCATGGTTACCATGGAAAGGCAGGCATCACAAAAGAGAGAGATATCAGCTGCGCCTTATAGTTGGAGAATGTATGTGTTGTTGGATCATTAATATCCATTGTTCTCATTGTGATGTATTTCATTGTGCATGTGCAACTACTAATTATCGTCTTGTACATAGCTTGAAGCAAATTCTCTTGAGGCCTTATACCTGGTTAATGACATACATCGCAATGTCGGCACTCTTCATGGATTGTATGGCGAGCTTCTTTGTGGTCATACTCAAGGATATGGGCTATGACAGCGCCTTTGCCAATTACATGTCCACCCCACTTAATCTCTTCAATGCTTTGACGTCGCTTGCGATTGGCTATTCATCTGACTGGTTTAATGATCACATTGTCCATACCGGTATTCTCGCAGCATGGGGAACCATTTGGAGCATTATTGTCTCTGCCGTCAATCATGGGGATAATCCTGCACCCTTGGTCTTTGTCGCAGCTTATGCATTCACCATTGTGGATGCAATGATATCCCTTGTCTTTGTATGGGTCATGGAAATTTACAAAGGTGACATCAATTCACGCGCCATGGCACTTGGCCTTGTAAATGGCCTCGGGCTTCTCATTCCAAGCTTTGCAAAAGTCAAGCTTTGGGTTGTCACGGATTCACCAGTATTCTGTAAGTAAATCCATTATGCATAGCACCCTATTACAGCATGCTAAAGTTTTCATTGATAGGGTTGGGAAAGATCTCAAATGTGGGCATTGGGTGTGCATCAGTGGTCGCTGTTTTGTTGTCATGGTTCCTCATCCGCATCAAGTTTATGCTCCCAAGCCCTATGAAGCAAACGGAGAAACATGACCCTGAAAAACACAAGGTTGATGCTTGATTGAACACACATATCGAATTCCAATACGATGCTATTACGTAGTATACTTATTGGTCCCATTGGGATCGTAGCCTCTTTCTTGGCAAATGTAATGTAATATAATGTTTTATCCATACTCTTCCTTTCGCACTCCCGCATACTTTGAGTCATAAAATGAACAACACTTATATCAGATACAGTCGTTGTTGGAGCTGCCATTGCCAGCGATCGCTCGACATTTATCGTGACGATCGCAAAAGCTAATGTCGCAAGCTTGAGCAATGGTGCGATCTGGATGTTGTATATACACTACTCCGTCGCCATGGTTACACATGGTTGCCTTGCAACCTTGACACTTTTAAACTCTCACCCCAGACTAGCTATAAAACTTCATGCTTACACATAGATAACACACCACTCGACCTCTTATTTTTTATTATCGCGTACATACGCATACATACATGATGACGTTAATTTACCAAATCGTGTTTTTTGAATCATGATATGGGGTCTTAAAATGATCTATGGTTGCTGAATAACGCGTCAGTGATACTAATGATTAGTAGCTTGCTTATAAAAAGTGGTGTATTCACGTTCAAAAGCACAATGGTCGTTGAGGGATAACTGCTGCGGCGCCTGGGGTAGTACAAGCTTTGTGTTACATATAATGTTGTCAGTTCTTGTACCCCACAATTTCTCGTTACTCCGCTACTCCTCCTCTTTCCTCGCAACAATGTCTTTTGTAACCCTGAGCAACACCACCATTGAATCCGGCAAGCTTTACTCTGACTTTATTGCTTTCCTTTACGGTCCTCCTTTGAGCGACAATGACTTTATGCTGTGGGTATTGCAGCACTACGCCACCAGCCTTTTTTGTGCCACTGACGCTTCTACTGAAGTTGTCTTGCTGTCGTAAGTATTACCCCTCAAGCTATTATTATTGACACATTCACTTACTGATAACGTATTTTTAGGCTAATTTTTGCACAGCGTTATCTCGCTGCTGCTGCCGCTGCTGCTGCTTCTGGTACGTCTGTTAGAAGTGTTCGCCCGTTACCCAGCACCACCGAAGAACATTACTTGCTTGCAACGGTGTCATGTCGCTTGGCCTTTAAGTGGCATGATGACCGCCATATGTGGTGGAGTGAAGTGGATGTAAATACCTTTCCCCTTATACTGCCTGAAAAGTCAAGCTCACATTTTTGTTTCCTTGTGCTCATTTACTAGTGGGACCTTGCATCTGGTTTGGCTGACGATGTCATTGACAAGTTTGAGTGGGACTTCGTCAAGGCGATCAACTACGAGCTTTTCGTATCGGAAGCTGATTTCAACACCTTTGCTTCCACAGTGGAGATGATTGTTGTTCCTCCTCCTTCTCCTCCTTCTCCTCAACCACAGCAACAACAAGATCCACTCGACTTCATTGCTTCGTCATCACCACCACTTGTCCCCGTGAAGCTCGAGCCACCATCACCAATGCCAACTATCAAGCTCGAGCCTGAGTCACCCCGTTTCCTCCCTTATGTTCACGTAAAGGTCGAGGAATTGGATGACTCGAGTGCCTTGCTCGCTTCAATGGCTGCTCACGAGGATTACTTGCGCTCGGTGAGCATGCCAGTTGCCACCCCCACACCCAACATCACCCACAACGACATTACACGGTTTTCTGTGTAATGCTTTCCTCCCCCTCTCTCCCTCTCTCTTTCAATCTTGTTACCCCCTTGTATTATAGATCCCCATTTCTCACTTTTACCCCTTGTATATAGTTTAGATAGTAGTTCCAATACATTTGCTTTTTATCTTTCATATGTATACTATGTACGTGTCAGCTTGTTCCAATGATTGTGTATGCAGCAATAGGGTGCCATAGCTATATAAATATGTACATTCGTGGTCATAGCGGTAAGCGTTTTATTTCTCGTGGCTTGCTGTTGACTTGATGCCGGCTGTATTATCCTCGTACATCTTGGAGACAAATTATCTGTCACGTGCGCGGCATCATAATTGCTCGTTTCTTTTCTGCTTCACTCTCCATTTACTCCCTCCATTTCAACTCGACACAATCGAGCCGCTAATGGGGTCCCCAATGGCTGCAATGAAGTACCCTGAATTCTGGCGACGATGATAAAGATACAAATACGAGTGTTCCACGTCTCAAGTAAGGTAATACTATGATGACATGCGTTTGCTTTGACTATACATTTACTGAGGGCCATCATGTGATATAAGGCAATGTAATGCATCATCATCTGGCTTGAACACCTTTGTCGATCAAGAGCGTTGCTCCTCTTTCATTGCTATGGAAACCCGAATCCAAGCTATACCAAGCTGTCAGGTACTTGTGGCTTTCTTGCCTCTTTGCTATCATTAAAGCATGTTGGACTCACACGAAAAGGATCAGTGCCTATATCCCATATACTATCCCTCTAGTAAGTAACATGGACATGTGGAGGATAATGATAGCTTGGGTACGCCGCGTGTTCATTCATGCCAAAATTAGGTCACATGGTATCCAAATCCGGAAAGACGACAACATCCCTTGGCCTTCTTTCTTATCCATCGCTTCTTTGGTCTCCATACACACGCTTCAAAGCACCGATATCAAGCAACTCTTCTTAACCTTGGCATGTTGGTATGTTTTCCATTATTCGGGTAGTGCTTAACGGCAATGACATTAATGAGAAAAGATGCTGATCTACGTGTTGGTGTTTGGGTGATATTTTCAACAAGTCTTACATTCGAATGAAGCATTGGTTTTTGCAATGAAATCTCAAGACTGCTCTCGTAAGTATTTCTCGTCAAGCTATTATTGGCACATTTAATCACTAACAACGTGTATGTGTGTGTAGGTTACTTTTTCGTACAGCATTGCCTTGGTTTTCTTTCTCATTGGGATACTTTGGTTATACATTTCTTCTTTCTTTTCCGTTTCAATACTTCGCTTTCACTTTTCTCTATCTCCCCATACTCAGGATTTGTAATCACACATACGTTAGATCTTGGTTTATCATGTATAAGGAACACATAAAACGAGGATTCCATACCATAAGCCCACACCTAATAATGACTACGATACTGCATAACAGATATGTATATATTATACTTAATACAACAAGCTAATAGAGACCTCAGCTATATATAATACTATCTAAGAAAAGAAACCAATAAAGAAAAAAGACTACATTGTGCTTAATTACGTATATAGATATACAAAAGAAACCATCCAATCGCCCATTTACCCCCGCGTATATCGCCCTTGTTCAATCGCCTTCAATCCTTTGTATCCTTCAATATTTGAATCCTCCCAACGGTTCCCATACACTGCTTGATGATAACAAATGATTGCTTGGAGGTGGTGGTGGAGGGTGTGGTGGTGCAGTGGATGTTGTTGTTGGTGGTGGTGGTGGTGTTAAGCCAACATGATTTCCATTCTTGTTGTTGTTCTTTGTCGAGGTCAGGCCAGCTGATCCATCCGTTAAGCTCATGGCGTTGACAGCGTCTACAAGTTGGTCATCAGGGCTCTTTGATGGTTGTGGTGATGCTGATGATGAGAGCATTGATCCACTCATTTCATCCGTTGTAGGCTCTGGTCCACTGCGATAATCGGGTACAAATTGATGCTGGTGCATTGGACCTCCACCAGTACTGCCACTCCAAGGAGAATAGGTAGGTGTCATTCCAAATAAACTCGATGTTTCTCTATCAGTGGATGGGACAATAAAACCTGGATCGCTCGTTGTAGTAGCTACCCCTGTAATAACAGGTGCGTCTGCAAATGATATACCTGTAACAGAGTTTAATGGATATTCCATAGCCTCATATAAGCATCATCATGTAGCTTACCAATTGGACCTAATGTACTCGAAGCCAGCATTGCCATTTGTGTATCATCGACAAAAGAGGAGGATTCATCATGGAATGCACCTTGATGAAGGAAAGGATCTTGAACGAGGTAGTCATGATGGGATGATGGTGGCGGATGATGATGATGATGATAGAATGTATCAAGATCGTTCACGTGATTGTGTTGTTGTTGTTGAGATGCCAACGTTCTTGGTGAGCCGGTAAATTGTCGCAACAATAATGCAGGATCATCACATGGAAATGCTGTGAATGGTTGATCGGTTGGATCCATCATCGTATTAGGGAACGGAGGCATAGGATGGGGTTGTTGTTGTTGTTGCGGTAGTGGTGGTGGCGGGGGCATATGCAATGATGCTGGTGGCGGCTGTAATGGTAAACCAGCTTGTGAAAAATCCATCGATCCAAATGGAATTGGATATTGAGCAAGCGGCAAATGTGGCAAATAAGGAGGTGGTTGACTGAAATCATCAAACATGGATGGATGAGGTGGATGCATTGGTAATCCATAAGCAGAAGAAATATGCGGTGGTGGTGGTGGTCGATGATGATGGATTAATGCAGGGCCTGGTGCGAACTTGTCGAAATGTACACGAAGTTGACGTCCACGAAACTCAAAACCATTATACATGGCTAAAGTACCAGATTAATGAGTGATTGTATATGAATGATGGTGATACTTACCTATAGCTTTCTTTGCATCTTCGTGTGTTGCATAAAGCACTGTACCAAATCCTCGGCTACGGCCATCCTGATCTTGCACAACATCCGCTCTCAAGATATTTCCTGCGTTTCTAAAGAGATCCTTGACATCTTGCCATTGACATTGAAATGGTAGCTGTGATTTCAATTCACGTGAGCACATCCATTCTATTCCATTCATCCATCTTCTTACATTGCCAACAAAGAGTTGTCGACCTCCAATAACCTAAACATGATATCATCAATACACTATCCCTTTATATCCATGCTAATGCTCACCTCAGGTGGGCCTCCCATAGGACCCGATCCATTCATTAATAATGCAGTATTTGGATGATGATGATGATGTCCATTGGTAGGAAAGGCTGATGGTGGTGGTGGATGGAATGGTAAATGGTGGTGATGATGATGATGATGATGTCGTTGTGCTGGTTCGATAAAACCACGATCTTCTCGGACTTCCAACACACGGCCCTGCCACTTGTAATTGTGCAACATGTCTAAAAAAGGGATGTATCAACCAACGTAAATGAATAATACTTTACTACTCACCTATTGCTTTTTGTGCATCCTCTACAGTAGCAAAGAGTACTGTGCCATGTCCCTTGGACCGATTATCCACCGTCAATGCAACATCGGCTCGAGTCACATTGCCTGCCTTTCGAAACAAGTCCTTCACATCTTGCCATCGTACTCGAAATGGAAGCTATGTAGCATAATGTCAGTGGGATAATATATATGAGATGATGGTGACACTACTTACATTTCCAACAAAGAGTTGTCTAACATGGGTTACTCGACCACTTGTTGAAGGTGAAACTGATGCTATACTCTTATCATCATCATCCTTGTCGCCTGTCATCATCATCGTCTTATGCTGCCGTGTTTCCGACGGAGAAGAGTCATTATCACTGCTGCCGTTGCTTGCTTCTCGAGCCTCGTCTGCTGCTTTATCTTGTGCTTCATGCTCAGTATCGGGACTCGTGATTACTGCTGCGCTCATGTTGGACATGTCGCCGCTTGTTGTATATAATAATAGAGTGTGGGGATTCCCTTGAGAGTGGAGGTGTGTGTTCAATGGGGTCGTGAATGAACCTGCAAGGGATGAATGGCGCTCGTTTCTTTGTCGAATAACTTATTCCAAACAAGGTTCGTCTATTGTTGGTACTTTTGAACTGCTTGGTTTTTCCGAAAGAGGGTCGAGGTATGGTAAAAGCAACGAGGTTTCAGTCGATAGAAATGATTACCACAAAAAGAGAGGTGTGTGCAACAGAAAGTCATCTCCGAATATGTTCTCGTGCAAGTGCCTCGCTTGAAGCACTTGACCCCCAACCCATCCATCCACCCACACTTGTACGCTTGCATTAAAAAACCTCATCTTTCTTTATTTTAACGACGTCGCTTATTTACTGCATCTTCCTCTTCTTCTTGATCTTCTCGTCGTCGCTGAAACATAAGTCTTTTTTTAGTCTCTCATAATAAATACAACCCACCTTCCTCCTCCTCTTTACCTTTGAATCAGTGTCATCATCTTCATCCGAGTTTTCTTGCTTTGTAAGATATTGCATATTGATCCTGAAATCCCGTGATGTACTGCGTTTCATATTTTGCATCAGATCCACTTTGGATTTGCGCGATAATTGGATCAGATGTCGTTCAAACTGCTCCACCACAAAGATAAGGTTGGGAATCATCTTGGACTCACGGAGGATCTTTGCCTAATATACTTCAATAAGAAGACATGTAAAGAAGAAGAATAAAGTAATAGATTACCTTTTCCCTTGAATTGGCACCTTGTTTACCCTTTCCTTTGCCCTTTTTACTTGCAATTGCCATAGGATCTCCTTGATGATTTTGTCCGTAAAGGATCAAGAATCTGTACATGTTGTCGGTCACGTCTTTGACACCATTGATAACATCCTTAAAGTTGCTTCCAATCTCACGTGGATGTCCAAGTTTCTAATCAAGTAACCTTGTAAGCCTCACACATCCCCCATTGTACCGCGACCATCGAACTTACGTATTTAACAAGGGCCGTCAAGGTCTTGTATAGTTTGGTGAGCACCTTGATCAGAGTTTCACCATGAGAACCAGACATCAAGCTCTTTGTAAGTTCCAACGTAACACTGATATAAGATGTCAATCGGTATGTGATCGCTTGTTCGAATGCACGGGTATTATCATCCTCGCTATCCATTGGCTTGATCCTTCCAACGGCCCACGTGATATCATCATATAATTGATCAAGAGATGAAAACAGCTGAAGCGTGCATGCAGCACATGTCTTAGGATTCAGCATGACATAGGTGATTCTTGTTTCCATTGGTTGGCTATCCTCGTCGTCGTACGTGCTATCGTCCAGATCACCAAGCACTTTACGCATATCTTGTGCAAGGTACTTGTACGTGATGAAATCCTTAACCTCGCCGCATAGGTATATCAAGAGTGAAATGACTTCGCGTGCCAGCGATATATCTTCAATAGGTCGATTCTTGGCAAGCGATTCAAGCCATCCGATCACTTGTCGTGTGTGTGTCTCGAAATCACTGGCAGCACGATCCAGGTGGTGACATAAAGTAACAATCAATTGCATCACATTGGCTGCTTCCTTGTAGAGTGGCGTACGATCACCCAAATATTTAGCAACGATATCCTGCAAGATGAATTAGAAGGTATGTTCCTTTCTTTTCATGCTGTATACTTACCATAAGTGTGTTGAGAACCTCCGATACCATTGCATTTCTCGATTGATCTGATTCACTGCCGCTCAATTTTGCAATAAACGTGGTCATCTTGTGTGGCCATAGCTGATGCACCGTGTCATGCACCGTCCTCAAGCTGTCAATGATACCTCCAAGCACTGAATGACCCTAAGAGTGCATCCATATGAGTAAATCCACGTGAGAAATAGACGAATGACTTTGCATTACCCTCTTTGGTTGATGATTGATAAAGCTGCTATCCGAATCCTCCACCACCAAGATGTTCAAAAAGATCCTTCCCAATTCCACACAGTATTCAAAGTTGAAATCAGGCGTGGGTCCTTGCATGATACCCTACCATTTTCGATATTAGAGGCATTGGTATACCTCGCTTGCCGATTATCCAGCTTACCATTTTCAAACAATTCTGGGCCGTGGTAATAATAAACTGCACAAAGCTGATATCCACGCGCAATGCACGTACAGGATGTTGCATGTTGTTTTGTCTAAACATTTGTCGACTCATTTTGCTGATGCATTCAAGTGACATCACCGGACTTTCAGATGGTTGAGTAGCCTTGCGTCCTATCCATGATATCATCTATCTTAGTACTGGAAGATAGATCATGCAATCCATGAATTACCTTTTTCTCCCGAAGACGTCTCTTTGAGCATTGCTGCAACGGCATTTCTCTTGTTAAATAGATCGAGAATCATTTGAAACGAGTCGTTGCTGTTGCCATGTGACAAGTATTCATGCTCGATTGCTGCCTATATTACACAAAGGGTAAATACTCTCATATAAGGCCCCTTTTTGGTTCCTTAATTTACCTCATAACATCCCATCAACAGGGTGGCATACATGTGATTGCGCATACCAAGGTGTGTAGCCATATCAAACTCGGCGGTCTTGTCAAGATCATAATCCTCGAGATCTGCTTTGGTAAGACGAAATAGCAACGAGCGCACTGATCCACGACATTGGTTGGCTAGTTCCTGCACCACTGTATTGCATTCACTATCATCAATTCGACGCAAGGTCTTGAGCATGTTTGCCAAAAGGACATGGATCGGCTCTGTCAGACGAGGTAAACCACCGTTGGTCGCATTCTCCACACACATTTCCAATCTCAAAGGGGACGATACACCGGTATCTTTTTGATAAGCTTTTTGGAACTAATGAAAAATCATAGTGAGTATATATACCTTCGTAGGCTTCACCTATCTTCCAACATACCTGCCCATAGAGCACTTCAAAGATGTCACCTGTAAGCGTAGAATGCTTGGATAGGGCACCCAAACCTTGGTACGCAGCAACTCTCACTTGGGCCTGCTGATTGAAACAACGACGCAACAACCCCAAAGATTCAAAAGCAATGCCTTGCGCTGCCGGTGACGCATTGTCATTCATTTGACCTGTCAACAGATTCAAAAATCCATTGACTGCCACCATCCTTCCGCTCAAATCTCTACATGTGTATGTGTCAGATATATGTATCCATGTTTTACCAATACCAAACATACTTTGCAAACATGCTCTTTCGTAAAACAAGCATAAGGGCATCTCGAAATTGTTCGTTTTGCTTGGAAACAGGTTCAATGACTTCTAGGAATCGCTCTGCAGTTGCCTCGGGTAGTAATGACAAGTAGTCGAGGGTATCTTTAATCTATCATATCAAAGCATCAGCACCTTGATCCGCTTTTTCTTTCTCTTTCAGCTTACATTGGCCAGGTAAGGTTCTACAGCATGAGAGCTTTCCGTAATGAGAGATGCCAAGAGTTCTAGGAAGCAGCTTGTGCTTGGAGCGCCGGTGACAACGCGAGAAGTGATTTGATCAAGGATTTCGGAGCGGACAAGATCATGCAACTAGAGTGTGTCACGTGTTATACATTGGGGGACAACGTTACCCATTGTAAGATCTTACCTCGAACATGCGCTTGAGAATGTCGTTGCCAAGAGCCATGACGTTTTCCAATGGTCCATCCTTGTTGCGCTGCGCTTTGGTAACGTTCCCCGCTTTTGACCACACGCCTTGTGACGCAGCATTGTCAATCAATCCCATGGCAAGTTGAACAAGAGACTGGATGACTTGATCCCACCCTTGAGCAGATTTTTCCACAATATCCAAGATGACACTTTTGACCATGTCCTCCTCCACATTTGAAAACTCTATCGTTTCGAGCATAAGATATCTCTTTTTGCGGCCACTCATTGTGCGATGTATACCTGCGATCCAAGCACATTTTTTCAGCCGATGGCCATCCTTGTAAATTGCCAGAATATGGCTTCGTAGCAGATCAAAGATCTATACCATTATTGAGATAAGTAAGGTTGTTCTATTGCTACATAACCATGTGACTTACAGGATCTTCAAGTCGATGTATCCTTGCTGCTGATAACAAACACGCCAATGGAAAGGTTTCCAAGAGATGCTTCTTGTCGCCACGTACGTGTTTCACAAACTCGTTGCCAAGCTCCTGAATAACCCCAATGAATACAAGCTATTCATCACACCATCCATCCAATGTACCTGCTCTTGTTTGATTGCAAATGATATATGCAACATCACCGTACCTTCCATCCTAATAGGAATGACCATGAGAATCGGGGAATTCATTCACATCCTATGTCCTTACCGTGCCACGGCATCACTTGGGTTATTGGAATATTTCGTGTTGAAATGGTTGCATATGCTGCTGATAATCTCACGTTTATGACCCTATGCATACCAAAGATCAGTCCAATGATATCAACCCAATGCCGCTAGACGTTATACCTTTCTTGACAATAAGAGTAATTGGTATATAAATGGAGGGGTCTCATCCACTTCCAAATCATTCAATTGGCTATGAAGCATCCATGAGTTGGTGATCGTGATTGTATCGTGGGTGCGATTGATGCCTACTTGCTCATTCGTTTGACCACCTTATCAAGCTCAGGAAGCTGTAACTCCATCTCGTTGAATGCAGATGCAAGGGCAATAGCTGATTGGGATATCCATTTTGCTCGTAGCAGATTATCAAGGACGTCGTAGAGGGGTCGTTCCAATGTTGAGAGGATGTTCCATACTTTTGACAGGATCTCAAAGGCTCGTTGATGCAAGGGACGTTGATCGCCGATAGCTTGTGTCACAATCGATGCGAGTTCTTCAAGTGTGTCCACCGTAAGTGTTTCCAACTATCAAGTTCCCTTTGATGAGATTGATTTTGTTCGAGACAATCCAAAAGTTACTTTTACCTCTGGTAACAAAAGGTTGACGAGGTTGCTGGCAGTTCGATTGTCTGTGCTTGCATCATTCACGAGCCTAAGAAGCGACATGTTAAAGAAAAAAGCACTACCCTTTTCCATTTCCCATTCATTTACCATAGGAATGCAGTCTTGAATGTTAAAACTCTTCTCTCCATATGAGCATGGCCATTCTTCGATGATGCAAAAGGGGAACCTATCAAGTAGTACATGAGTCGCCGATACTTCCACAGCGTACACACTAGACCCCCTTCACCCACTCACCAATAAAGATAGCTCGCACAATGAGAAGTGGATCCACATCCTCAGACGTCGAGCTTTGTGTCAATTGGGACCTGATCAGTTGTGAAATCTACAATAGCAGCCAGGCATGTCAATGCTGGTTCCTTTACTGCTTGTTGGTTTCTTTTCCCACCTCGTCCAAAGACTTGCTATCCAAAAAGTCGACTAGGCCTTGTCGATTGGTCTGTTTAGCGAGTTTGAGAATTTGAACATCCATGAAGCGTGGTGGCGAGAAATGAGGAGGAGGAGGATAGCGAGGATGTGTATAAAAGGAAAGGAAACGAAAATGACACGAGACGCGTGCTGAAACACAATCGCGTGAATTAATTTGTTGTCAATTCCACTCCATCACTGCACTCTGATGTGTGGTATTGTAACTATACAAGGCACCCCTCTCTCTTTACATGACATCATACTTGGCTGCTTTGCAGACTATCTATTTATTCAATTTGAATGTCCTGCTGGATAACTTCCAGTCAGCATCCAACAACCCACGCTTTGAAACCATCCACAACTCTACACACTACTACTACTATAGCAATTCCAGTTTTCTTTTCATATCATGACACTGCTAGGTCATTGTTGACTTTTTTATTCAGGATGTAGAAGGATCGGATACGAGAGCTTCTAAGGGGGGACAGCTTGTCGACATGTCATTGTTATAGAACGAGCTTCTTTTAAAGGGTAGATAGCTTGTTGAGGACGTCCTTGTATGAGCTATGCTGTACAAGGTTTGCCAGAGGTGTAAATAAAGGCTTGTACTTGTTGCTTGTAGCCAAGGTATCCATGGGAACCCATTCCCAGTCGCCATCCAGCTTGTGAGGTTCCATAGTCTTCAAACGAGAGGGATCTCGAGCCACCGCTTGCATAAAGATGGTAACATAATGCTTGTTCTCGGCCGCCATGATATCATTGGATGCAGTCAAGAACTCGAGTTGTTCAATCTCGAGATTGGTTTCTTCAAGCGTTTCACGACGTGCACATTCCTCAAAGGACTCGTTGAATTCCAAATGGCCGCCTGGGAGTTGCCATGCGCCTGCACCATGCGATCCTTTTCGCTTGCCAGTCAAGACATAAACACCATTCTCGGTTTGACATTTCACAAAGCAACCAACACCAACGCGTACGACAGGAGGAATAGCTAAAACAAGGTTGGGTTAATCAGCCACATCACATGCCATTTTTTTTACAGAAAATAAAAACTCGTATGTACCTGACGACATGGTAACTGAAAGAGCGGCAAATCTTTGCTGGTTGTCCCCCACTTTTCCGTTACTTTATGCTTTTCAACAGCTGCTGCTGCGGCTGCGGAAAACTAATGCTAGGTTGAACAAAAATGACACATGCTGTGTCAGAAATATGGACTGTGAAAATGATATTGCTTTGTCTATCAAGACCCATCGTCATCATTCATTTGGCTTTTGATGGGTCTCTTCCTTATTTATTACAGCTATTTTGTCATGTGTTGCCGGTTCATCGGGTTTGTGTAATGAAGAAGGAATTGCTGCAGCAGCACCATTATTGTAAAGAAGCATTGCATCTGGATGCTGTTGCTGTTGAACCATTCCTTTATCCATCATGGCGTATTGTGGTAGAATGTCCTTGGGTGGAGGTGCCAATACGAGATCATCCTTTCCTTGAGGCGGCGTATTTCCAAACCAAGTAGTCGGCTGATTCATGGCAGCATTTCTTTGTCGACGTCGATACAGGAGAAAACCAGCGATTATGATCTAGAGTGTAACAACAATGATGTCAGCTATCATAATGAACATCGTTCTTTGTACTCCTGCTGCGGTTTTCTTACCCCAAGTATGACCAAGATGGCAATAACAATGCCTGCAATACCTCCACCACTTAACTTGTTGCCGCCGCCGCCACCACGGCTACCGCCACCACTTGGTCCATTGCCGCCACTACCTCCACCTGATGCTCCTTCCCATTCTCTGTTCTTGTAATCAAAGACGTAGAAATCATCAGTGGCTGAACCATCAGCATTCACACCAAATAGAACAAAAAGACGATTGTCATTATGAAGTATAGCTACATAGTGATCCAAAAAAAGAATAAAGACAGACGTGGTTAGATTTGCATTCTTCATGCAACACATAGGAACTTTCCCTTGTAGCACTCTTTACCTGAATGACCCCATCTTGGTCCAGCACCCATTGAAGGCGTGTTAATTTGTGTCCATTCATTGCTATCAGTGTTATATACGTAGCAAAAGTCATCTACCGGCATTCGGCTACCAAATCGTCGACCACCATACAACAAGATATCGTTTGTACCTGGAACTTGAAATGGATGATAAATCGAGTTAGCTTATTGTACCATGCGAATCTCTATCTCATGTCACACCCAAGTGTGCTTATTTTCAGCAACCGTTTTGGTAACACAAAACTTACTTGGAGTGGTAGTATGGAAATAACGGGAAGATGGGACGACCGATCCCGATGTTGTTCGTTTGCTCCAGCTTTGTGAGTTTGTATCAAATACCAAAATCTCGCTCATGGACACGTTTTTAAATCCACCATGGTCATCATCCAATTCTCGGCTATCGGAATCACCATCGAGTCCACCAAAGTAATAGATGGTATGGCCATCGGAACCCAATGCTGCAGAATGACCTGTTCTTCCGTGTGATCCACTAGGAAACGAAATTTGGCGAGTCGTCATTCTCTACACACACACGTGTAACATACATCCGTATTAAATATAGAACATGCTTCATTTCTGGATCCACCTTTTCATCACCCCTTGCATAAAATATCATACATACCTGCGATCTGTCAACGATACCCATATTTTCTGGCTCAGCCACACCATCATCTCCAACACTACGTAGATATACCAACATGTTAACGATTAGTCATGTCATCATCATCTTCTTGGCATCATGCTTACATCTTGCCACCCCATATCCATATGGTTCGGTTATTATCTAGGATTGCAGGCATTTCAGCCCTGAAGAGATTGTAAGTATCATCATCATCATCATCATGTTTAGGACCATGTATCATTACGTGAGATGTGATTGTTGTGGATAAGTATATAATGAACGCCAATTGCCAGAGTTGGCGTAATAGATAATGTTTTGGCTGTTTGAATTTGACTGGCTTCCACTATTGGAGCCCCATCCACCAACAATGACCATGCCTTGGCCATCAGGTAAAGGTGATACTGCAAATGCAGCATTGGCTCCTAAGGTTCTTCCATGGTTGGCAACCTCTTGCCAACCATCCAATTGCTCGCCACCGTCGCTTAATCGAAGAGAATACATTGCGTTGGTCGTTGGTATTTTTTCATCCTCGTCGTCGTTGTTGCTACTAAATTGGGCGCCTCCGTAACAATAGATGGTGTTTCCCATTAGCAACGCGCATCCTATGGGGTTCAAATATCATTGGTATATGCAAACATAATGGCAAATCAAAAAGCATTACCTTGAGCTGAAAGAGGAGTAGAGGGTCGAGCACCATGTGTCAAATTGGATATGCATAATAGTATAAATGATAAAAGTACAGGGTGATGTTTCATGTTTGTAGTAAGATGGGAAAAGGGAAAGAAAGAAAGAGTGAGCAACAGCCTCCCCTACGAAGTCTCTACTACAACATTCTTTTTTGTGATGTGACGAAAGGGGTAAAGTCGGATTTAAGTTGTGAGGAGGTACAAAGACAGGGTGTATGAATGCGTACGTGTGCGCTATGCAAGTCGCCGCCGCCGCCATCACCACCCAGGGCATTCTGCTGCTGCACGTAAGTAACCCCTAGATTGTGGAATTAGAGTTATCGCTTGTTTCCCAACCAATGCCGATTTGGCCAACCACCCATGTGGATAAAAAAGTACCTGTATCAAAAGTTTTACATGCTTCTTGTAAACATGGTCTCGGGCTACACAACCGATTTACCGACCAAACGTTCGAAGAAGCCGCCATCATCGCCATCATCAGCTTTCTAGACTGCTGATTGTAATTACACCGTGTCACACCCTTTTGTGTTTTTTTATCCTAATTCATCCGTGTACATACCTTGTTTGTGTTCACGATTTTACGATCTTCATCACAATTGACGCATTGGGCATTTCATATGTAGCTGTCAAAAACGCCACCATGTCAAATGACACGTAAACGCAACTCGATGTTATGGTTGTATCATTGAGGAGGACACATTACCGATCGCCATGAAGATGTAGTAAAAGATCATCCATTGTGCTGCTGCTGCAGAATCCATATTGCATTTAAGAACCATCAGCCCTTGTTGGAGTGCTGTAGTTGTGTAATGGCATGAGCCATACTCATCCCTCATGCTTATACCTTCTTCTTGTGCTATGTACAGTACGCATATGAGCAACCATTCATCCTCATGTAATTGCCGCCCGAAAGTATACTTCACGACTCATGCAATTATAGCCAAGGTGTAATATGAGCGATGTGCTCCGCTACTACTATATCACTCAGCGGCACAAAACTTTACCAGGTTCGCCCATACCACTGTATTACAACCAACCATTACGTAACATTCGCCTCCTTTCATATCCAAGTACATTGATTTATCGATTTGTTGGAATCCAATTGCATCGTCTCCAAAAAGGATGATACCAGATTTCTTGAAATAATGCACCCGAGTGATTGTGTTACAAATGTTAAAGAAATCCCGGTTTTGCACCACCCGCTTTTAAAGCACCATCCTTTATTGAAGCCCAGATGTGCGCGCACTCTCATATCGTCAAGCATATGCAGCACATCTTTGGCACACAAATGTCGTTACCATGTTAACCATGCCATCAACACGATCCCTCTATTATTTCTGTTGATAGGGTCTTCATCAAACCAAAAACGTCAAGTTTGTACAGCAGCGCTGATGAAGGATCTTTATTCTTAAACGTACGTCAACCTTGTCATAGGCGCACCAGCTTGATCATCATTGGAGTGACATGCATACAAAGATTGCCAAAGGCAATGCATACGTAGGGACTGGATGTCCTTTTCCATGTATGCACAACAGCACGCTATCTCATCGTCTTCATTGCTTCCTCGCACCATCGAGCGCAACATCATTACCCTTATGAACGCAATACATCCAATACTCTCATGTAGTGATTTGATGGTCATGTACAATATTATTATCGGGCACGTATTTTATAGGTAAGTATTCATGCATGTTTATACAACAAGTAGTAGTATCATCATCACTGCTATAACAATGACGCCACTTTTCGATCTTCTCCCTTGTATTATCGCTGCACCTCCTGATTTGCTGCAACAATGCGTGTTCATTCCACCGACGCCCTTTTCCCATTGTTTCTTGTTGACGTCGAGGACATAAAAGTCGTCCGTGGCGACGCCATCGATATTAACCCCAAAAAGAATGAATAGCCGATTGTTCTCGTAAAGTACCGCTATCAAAGTGGGTTGCACAAGAGTACAATGCAAGTAATTTTAGCTGCTATGATGATTCCTGCTGAGCAAAATTGTATGTAGCACGTACCTGAATGGCCCCATCGTGGCCCGGCGCCAACAGATGCTGATAGATCAACCTTTGTCCACTCGTTACTCTCTGTGTCATACATGTAGCAGAAATCATCAACTGGATCTTTGGTGCCAAAACGTCTTCCACCATAAAGCAGGATAGTGTTGGTGCCTGGGACTATGCATCATAAGGCGGGTGTGGATGTTAGCATCCGTACGAGTAACTTGTGATGTGTGATATCGAACTTACTTTGTGTCGTTGTATGTAAATACCGGGGAGATGGGGTGATAGAGCCATTGCTTGTGCGTTTTGTCCATGTCAAGTTATGAGTGTCGAATACAAGGATTTCATCCATGGAGATGTCGTTAAATCCAAAGTAGCTATTATCCAGTGGGCGTCGTTCTGATGTGCCTTTCAATCCACCAAAGTAATAAATTGTGTATCCGTCAGCACCCAAAGCAGCCGAATGACCTCTTCTTCCATACAAGTCTGCAGGAAACACCGTTTCCCTGGTACTCATTTCCTACATGGTCCACACACATTATCAGCAACAGCCCACACGATGCACCATCACCATTGTCAAAAGACGCACCTGATCCCTGTCAACAACAACCATGGTCTCTGGCTCTGCAACTTGATCTTGGTCATGGCTATGGCACATTGGTCAACAACATTGGCTTTATCATGGATCGGTAGTACTACTTACGACTTGCCACCCCATATCCATACTGTTTGATTGTTGTCAAGGACTGCTGGCACTTCAACACTTTCAACCACGTATTAGCATTGCTGTATGCGATCATCATCAAATACTCACGTGTATCTTGATTGGGGTTTCGAACGCAAAGTACGCCATGATCCCGCATCTGCGTTGTAAAAGAGTGCAGTTCCAAAATCTCTGACGCCATTTGCACCATCACCACCATAGGTCATCATACCAGGACTTCCATCAGGCTGCGATGATACAGCAAAGGCTGCATTGGCAGGCAAAGGTTTACGCTCCTTGTCATAATAGTCGACTACGATCCAGCTATCCAATTGCTCGTTCCCGGTCACATTCATCCTATACAGCCCATTCGTTTTATCCAGATAGTGTTTGTCGCTTGGAAACTTGGCACCAGCATAGCAATAAATGGTATCTTGCTTAGATAAAACACACCCTAATATAATAATGCATTGAAAAATGAGAACACAATGGCCATTGTTGATGATGTGTCTTGTTGGGATCAGACCTTGAAGCGTGGTGGGTGAGGAGGGTCGAACAGCAATAGCCGAATCGATTAGGATGGAAAAGATAATGGACAACGATGCTACTGCAAGCATTGAATGATTCTTCGTTTGAAAGGAGGGAATAGCAGGAAAACCTTGTTTACTTTACAATTCTCAGAATACAAGCACAATAATGTATGTGGTACCTGAAGCTTAGCATTGAGGCCCGTGGTTTTGTGCTCATGTGATGGGAAAATGATAACAATGCAGGGCATTCAACTCATGGTATCACAATTTGAAGTTTAAAAAACATGCTACATTCTTGATTTGCTACTATCAGAGCTTTCCATGCATCATCATGAGATCATACATACATCCCATGGTTGTCGTTTGCCACTAATCAAAGTAATAACCTGCTGCTTTATGTTGTATTGTTTTTGGTTCAGCAACAAAAGGATGCAACTACATGTCATTGTGCATTGCATACTACCCAACCCCATTATGAATGATGTCCCATGTATTCAAGTATTGAAGGTCAATGTCTTTATTCAGGTACCAATTTGTGTGTGTGTGTATGTGTATCATGCGGAATTCTAAAAGTGATGATTGCGGGCCGGCAACACAAGGAGAGTAGGGAATGGGGGAGGGGAAGTTGCCCAGAGCGCACTTAGTGGTGGCAGAGCTGGGCACCAGAAGCAATCCTCCCTTCATTTTTCTAGACGACAATGGTAAATTCAACGGTTGCCATGGATAAATGGATGGATGGATGGATGAATGGATGGATCCGATTGACGCATGGATGAATTGGATGAATGAATTTAGGATGCTCAAAAGACCCCTGTGAAGCTCGCCCGTGTCATTAAAGTCCTTGGCCGTACCGGCTCTCGTGGTGGCGTTACCCAAGTGCGTGTTGAATTCATGGATGACACCCATCGCAGCATCATTCGTAATGTCAAGGGTCCTGTGCGTGAAAACGATATCCTTTGCTTGCTCGAATCCGAACGTGAAGCTCGTCGTCTTCGTTAAAACATATCAACCATCAGAACTAATAAACGGGGCCTGCAACCACCACAAACAAACAACTCCCTCATTCGACCCCCCACAAAAACAGCATAAAAAACCTAGGATGATGATGATGATATTTACACATCTACTACACACGATTTATTATGTATGATGATCTATGCAAGGAAAGCAGCAAGGTCAAACTCAGTATGACCTGGTTGTTTGACAGCGACTCCTTTTTCAGTGACAATAGCCGAGATCAATTCACTTGGAGTGACATCAAAGCTTGGATTCCAGACTTGAATGCCTTCAGCAGCCGTGCGTACAGTTGCACTTGATTTATCCTCCAAAACACCCGTTGTGGTCACTAACTCCTTGGCAGGTCGTTCCTCAATCACAATCTCCTTGCCGCTAGCCATGGAAAGATCAATAGAAGTAGAAGGAGCTGCTACCACGAAAAGGATACCATGATGCTTGGCAGTGATGGCGAGTTGATAGGTGCCAATCTTATTAGCAGTGTCACCATTGGCTGCCACCCGATCAGCACCAACAATGATAGCTTGCACACTTGGGTTGAGACGTAAAAGAGCGGATGCCATGGAATCACAAATCAAAGTAGCAGGGATGGATTCATAGACAAGTTCATAAGCGGTGAGGCGTGAACCTTGGTTGTAAGGACGAGTTTCAGTACAAAAAGCATGCTTGAGATTGCCATTGTGATGAAGGTCACGGATAATGCCGAGAGCTGTGCCCCATCCTGCAGTAGCCAATGAACTAGAAATTGCCCCTTTTGTGTGAATACTTTCGTGTGTGTGTGTGTAATAGAGAGATTGGGTATATGGAACTTACCCAGTGTTGCAATGCGTTAATACACTAATGTTGCTCTTATCTTTGACATGCTCCACGATATATTCAGCACCGTATTTGCCAATGTTCTTGTTGTCTTGTACATCATCCACTAACATCTTCTCGGCAGCTGCAATATAGGCATCCACTACAACATTGGGTTCGGTGGCATCACGTGCAACAGTGTTGACCAATTGATCCAACTTGGCAGCAGCATCGAACAAGTTGACAGCTGTAGGCCGAGATGTTTTCAAGTACTCAAGTGACTCGTGTAAGAAGCGAACAGCATCATCCACTGTTTTGAACTCGTTCTTGGAACGACGAGCGTTGACGTCGACAGCAAGTGATAAGGCGGCCACAATGGCAATAGCAGGAGCACCACGAGTCTTCATGGTCTTGATGGCGGCATGACCATCTTGGACATTGATAACAGGTTCAAAGATAGTGTCGTGTGGAAGGGCCAACTGATTCAAGATTTGCAAATTGCCGCTTGTGTACTTGATCGCCTCGAGTGTTTTTGACACTGCATGGTATGAGGATACAATTACGATAAAGACGTTGAGCGTATGGATACTCACTGGTTATGTATGTGGGTGGGTGAAGAAAATGATGTGCCTAGGATCGATCAACCGACACAAAAATTGGGTTGCCTTGACAGTTTGACACAGCAGCAGCTACAGACAACAACATCCATCACCCAACCAGATCTTTTCATCTCCCTTCTACCTAATAGCTCATATACAATGATTTTTATTGATAAAGGATCTCACAATGTAGGAAAAGGGATGGGTGTTTATTCGGGTGGAACATTATCCATGATGGTGTGTGGGAGTTGCGATGGCAACAAGAGCAGTAACGGAGAAAAACGGGCATTCAAGAGACCATGGATGCACCCCGAGATCAAAAGGAAAGAGATGATTACCACAAAAGGGGATAGAATGGAACACTTTATCAAATCGTAAATACACAAGCATACAAGAGATGCAAGTATTATGAATAGTAGGAATAGTGGTAATGATGGTACTATGAATGATCAAGATGATATAAAGAAAGGGACGTGCACACATACATACACACATACACTATAGCAACGCGTTTAATAAAGTAGTGGGGGTTGTGTTGGGTATATCAGTCGATAGGTACAGCGGGCTTGTCATAGGGTGAAGTCGGAAACATCGGATGGGGGTGTACCAAGCCGCGATAAAAAAAATACTCTACTTTCCCCAACCGTTTCCCGTTGATTTTCCAGCTTTCCTTTTTCTCACTTTTCTCAACATGTCCTCTGCTGCTGCTGCCACCAGACGCCACCTCTTGAGAGCTTCCTCAGGACTTCGTTCAACTGCTCGCATCTCCTCCTCGCGTGTCGCTCCTCTCTTGGCTCGTAACGCTCCATCGGGTGCACGCGCTTTCTCTGCCACTGGGTAATAATGGGAAACACCCAAATGTCAACATCCATCTCATACCATCTCCCTCATTTCAACTAGCAACACAAAGTTCATTGCTCTCCGTGCTCTTGTGAACCCTGCTTCTCCTGCCAATGTCAAGTTCTACAGCTCAAAGTGTAAGTAGTATGGGGTGGGGGTGGGAGAGTTGAGTCTATGTGTGTATTTTGGCGTATTCCCGATATTGATGTATTTTCCATCCAGCTTTCCCCGAGCACAATGTGATTGCTATGCCTGCTTTGTCGCCCACGTAAGTAACTTAACTTTTTTCTTTTTCTCGCTCTCTCTCTCAATGTCAATCATGGCATATCAATAACTTGATGGATAATGATGATTGACCGGGGTATTTGTTATAGTATGACGCAAGGTGGTATTGGCACTTGGCAAAAGGCTGTTGGTGATGAGGTCGTTCCCGGTGATGTCCTCGTCGAGATTGAGACCGACAAGGCTCAAATGGACTTTGAGTGTCAAGAAGAAGGTTACATTGCCAAGATCCTCGCTGATACTGGTTCCAAGGATTGGCCTGTTGGCAAGGTATGTTGGGTGGATACATATACAATGGATCAACAAAATACTCACTGTATACTTTCAATTAGCCCATCTGTGTTCTTGTAGAGAACAAGGATGACGTTGGTGCCTTTGAAAGCTTCACTTTGGAGGATGCTGGTGGTGCCGCTGCTGCTCCCGCTGCTCCTGCTGCTGAAAAGGCTGAAGAGCCTGCACCAGCTGCTGCTGAAGAACCCGCTAGCAAGCCTGCTGCTCCTGCTGCCTCTGCTGATAGTGGTGGTATGTAATCACATTCATATTATTTATCCATTAGCTAAAAAATTGTATGCTATAGATCGTGTCAAGGCTAGCCCTCTTGCCAGAGTAAGTGCTTTTGATTATTCTCAATAGGGGATGAATGTATATATTGATCAACGTGTCATCTATTATAGAAAACTGCCAACGAGCGCAACATTGACATTTCCCTTGTCCAAGGCACTGGTCCTGGTGGCAGAATCATCAAGGAAGATGTTGACAACTACAAGGCTGGTAAGTGATTTTTGTGTATGAGTGCTTACATCTAGGATAGAAGACTGATCATGTTGTCAAATAGCTCCCGCTGCCGCTGCTGCTACTACCACTGCTGCCACCCCTGCAGCCTACGCTCCTCAATCTGCCACTGGTGATGCCTTCACTGATATTCCTACCACCAACATGCGTCGCATCATTGGTAGCCGTTTGACCGAATCCAAGCAGACTGTTCCCCACTACTATGTCACTGTTGAGGTTGATATGGATAAGATCAGCAAGCTTCGTGAAGTGCTCAACAAGTCCTCTGAGGGCAAGTACAAGCTTTCTGTCAATGACTTTATTGTCAAGGCCTCTGCTCTTTCCTTGAAGAAGGTTCCCGAAGTCAACGCTGCTTGGCAAGGTGATTTCATTAGACAGTAAGTAATAATGGGAAGGGATGTAAATAAGGAAACAAAAGATATTAATCATGGATCTATGTGCAGGTACAACAATGCTGATATCTCCATTGCTGTCGCCACCCCCACTGGTTTGATCACTCCTATTGTCACCAACGCTGAGTCTCGTGGTCTTTCTGATATCTCCAACACTGTCAAGGATATGGCTACTCGTGCTCGTGATGGTAAGCTCGCTCCTCACGAATACCAAGGTGGTTCCTTCAGCATTTCCAACCTTGGCATGTTTGGCGTCAAGCACTTCACCGCCATCATCAACCCCCCTCAATCTTGTATCCTTGCTATCGGTGGCACTCAACAAAAGATTGTTCCCGATGAGACCAAGGAGAACGGCTTTGCTGTTCGCAACGTTATGGAAGTCACTCTTTCCAGCGACCACCGTGTCGTCGATGGCGCCGTTGCCGCTACCTGGTTGAAGGCTTTCAAGGGATACATGGAGAACCCTCTCAAGATGTTGCTGTAAATAACACATTCCTAAACTTTTCCAATATTCGCTCTCTCCGTACTTTGTCCCTTCCTACTTTCACCAATCCTTCTTTTTCTCTTTTTAGTTGTAAGCATGCCTAGAAAAATATAAAAAGCCTTCTCTTTGGCTTAAGCATTATCCAAATCGTTCCATTGACTCCTTTACATCTTATTGTTTGACAACATTTGGAGATACAAAGCTATACACATTTATTCATCTTCCATAAGTAAAGCTTGATCTTGATATGGGTTGTTTATCCGGTATACAATCTTTTCTTTGAGCTTCTCTGTAATCGGAGCATGTCGTACTTCGAGAGCCTTGCACACAACATGATATGCATCATCATACTCGTCCAAAGTATACAGCACCTATTTTACTCACTTTTTAGTCCCTTGTGTAAACGCTTTGCCATGACTTGCTTACCTCCGCCAATGTATAAAGAACCACTGGTTGCCATGGATGTAACCTTGCAGCTTCCATCAACAGTGCTTTGGCTTGAGCAAATTGTTCCATGCCTTGGTAAGCTGTTGCCATTCCATACCTAAAAAGATCACATTCACCATCTCAATGATCCATCCAGAGCAACTGCACTGCCCAGGTCCTATACTTACCATCCCAAATACGATCGCTTGTTCGCCACCATGCAATTTGAAAAATGTAGCTTGGCACCAAGACAATTGCCCTTTTCCCATTCCTCATAGCCCAATAAAGCATGTCCATAAGATCGACCCGGGTCCAAATCCACCGCCTTTTGGAACCATTTGCTTGGTTCGTTGCCGCCTTTGGCACACTTGCTCCAATTACCAGCAGCGACAAATGCTTCGTATTGATGTGATCGGTTGTCCCTCATGTGATACGCAAGTAGATTGAGCTCCTTTTCTCGCTCGAGATACCATAAACAAGTCGAATAGATTGGGATGCCATCACAGAACCAGGGAGCAATGTAAAATGAACGACAAAAGAATATCCGAGCCTAATGTGATTTATGAGTATACACGCTTTACCTTTAAAGAATGGGCCCCACTTACACTTTCATAATCACCAGCATCGTAATACGCCTTGCCAAGAATGCATAACACACGAGGAGTGTCGTATTGTCGATCATCCAGCTTTTGCAGTGACAATGCAGCCTCCCGACAATGATAGAAAGAATGGTACATGTATCCTCTTGCAAGAGTGCGTAGCACACCCATCACCTTGTTCATTGCACGAATCACAGATTGGGTTGACAGGCCACCATCATCGCTACTCGGTTTCTGAGACGTCGATCCATCAATGGCAAATATGGCAGACAAATCCTTAATAATGCATCAGTCAATATGATCAACATGTCACGTGCTGATAAAGAAAGAGGTACTTACTTGATCCTCGTCCCCTTCTTCTCGTAATCGTTTCTATAGTTGATAAATGCCATGTCATTATGGGATACACACATGTACATGTATATGATACTTGCCTTGCCTTTTCGTAATCTTGTCAATTTGGTGGCAGGTTTAGCTAAACTATGGACCATCTTTAGCTCTTGATCACATGAATCATAGCATCCACACACACATACACCCTCTCTTTTTCCTCACCTTCCCTCCTTTTGCTGATTTACTCTTAGCGGACTCGGTAACTTTAGCGGTTTTGCTGTGTCGAGGAAATCCAAATCATCCAATTCTGGTAATTCGACTTCAAGTTGCTGTGGTTTGTCTTTGGGAGGTTTCTTGTGCAAGCCATGTTTGTTCCTGTACGCCTCCTCTGTTTTCATCTTTTTGATATCCAGATCGATCATTTCAATATCGGCATCCTTTCGCTCTTCAATGTCACTCCTACATAACACGGATGGGTAAATAAAGGGCCATCATCAGCGAAGAGACTTGCTTGTTGGCTTACCGATGAGGTTGAATACCCGATAGATCAGTGTCACGCATCTTGTGAGAGTAGTGTACAAGTGAACGAAGCTGATCCAATGAAATGTTGTCACTGTGGCCTTTACGTAGAGATGGCATATATAATCCAAGCGATGGCTTATCGAGTACATTGATGGATGGTTGATCTTCAATGCCGTGCATAGATGATGTGGGTAATGAAGGATGCTGTGCTGTTGCTGTTGTTGAATCAAAAAGAGTTGTACGAGGGGAAAAGTCTTTAAAGAGATCATCCGGTGATGCAAAAGGTAAAGAGGAGGACGGTGATGATGATGATGATGATGATGATGAAGGATTGGTTGTTGCTGCAAGATCAAAGTTTGCAATATCAGGAGCAATATCACAAAGATTGGTGTATGCGGATATTTTGAATGGGCTGTCATTGAGTGCCTGCCATAGATAGATTGAAGATGCTCGAATGTTTTCCAGCTTTGCATAAAGTTCCCCAAGAAGATTGCAAATGGATCCACGACTCGGTAAATGGCTACGTCTCATTGTACTCTTCAAGTCTATTGGAAACGAGTAAGTTCTTTGTTGTGTGTGTATGTGTTCATTGTCTAATCCAATTACCGTTGCTCCAATGATGATCCGATGGGTGCTGTTGGTTGTACAACTCGAGAGCGCCATGCAACGCTTTGACGCCTTCACTCCAATACGCTTGCCGATCGCTAAACGAGGCCACTTGTCGGTTACCGAGGTCAAGACAACTGCGAGCAAACAAATGGCGACACACAATGGACTCGGATCCTTTCAGGACAGCATAACTGCCATCGTAATCGTTCAAGAGATGGAGACATTTGGCGTATAAGAAGCGGTAGTCTTCGTTTGTCTGGTCGATCGCATAAAGTCGTTCTGCTAACATGAGCGCATTGCGATAGTCAAAGTCGTCCAGATCCTTGTATACAAGCGACATGAGCACCCATGCCTCTATCGATGACTGTCGTGTAGGTGGATCGCTCATTATTCGAATGAGGGGTGGTTGAAGGAACGCGAGAACAAAGAAAGAGAAAGAGAGAGCGGGGTGTGCTATATGCGTCCTTCGCGAGGTATGTTGTGTAGCCTACTAAATAGGTCTCAACTATAAAGTCTATCCAATGAACCACACAAAGACGACTATGCTTTAATTAACGATGATGAGGATAATGAAGATACGTATTTACAAATGTTCCAATGAAATCTATAGCCCAAAAAGGATCTTGTCACAATAAGCCCTGTATTCGTTAGCTTCTTGAGTAGTCGGCTCAGCTTGATCCCAAGTAGTGATGTCTGAATCAGATAGATCCTCATTTGATGCCTCTTTCTCTATTAAAAGATACAAGATACTTAGATAATGACCTTCTTTTCATGCCAATTACTTTACCTTCTGGATCATCAAACAATGCACTTATGTTCAAAGTGCTTTCACTTGGGAACAGTGGGGGTGGGACAACCACTGAGGATTGTTCTTCGGCGTCTTGTTGTTGTTGTTTGGCATCATGTTGTTGTTCATTAAAGGAGGATCGTATGTGTACGATATCTCGTTGACGTTGTTGTCGACGTTGGGCAAAGACCCGCTTCAACCAGTTTAATTCGACAGCTCGTTCAAACACGGATGCCTTTGCAGGATCTTGACTTTCATCCATCATATCGTTATTGGATTCCAAGGCATTTTGTCGTGTCGTATTTGGTTCGATGTTGGGTGGAGGAAAAGCTGGCATGGAATGATGATGGTGTTGTTCCACATTAAGCGGAATGAATTTGTCTTTTCGGTGAGGGATCATGATCTTTTTACACCACTTGACAAGGGTTTTCCCTTTATCACCTGTTCTCTGAGTTTGATGGATGCGGTGTCGAACACCACGATGAGTACGCATGATTTATATACAAGTATATATATATATATGCGTGGTGTGTATGACCAACAATTGAAAAGAAAATGTGTATGTAAAAAAAGCAAAGATAGAACGAGTTTATATATAAGTGTATACTATTGCTGATACCGCCAAGATTAATTCACCTGTGTATTTGCTTGACGGAGAAAGCAGTACTATGTAAGCAAGAACAGAGCAAACGCAACAATATTTCCCTTATCCCAGATGTTGGATTTTAGACGCTTTCCCCCTCGGACAAATATCATTCACACGTTTACACACACATTATGTTTATATCTTGACAGGCGGTCGAGCAGTGGGTACGACTTTGGCTTTGGGAAATGCACTAGCAGGTGGCCTTGATGTTGTTGTACCTTGAAGCATGGATCCGGTGCTTGTAGTTACAGCATCACCATCCCAATCTTGTACTGTGATCATAGGAACTTGGTTATCAGCATCGCCTGAACATCCAATCACCATCAACGAAGATCGTTTGCCGGGTGTAGTGGGGGTTGTGGTAGCATTGACATCTTCCATTTCATCGTCACTGGACATGGGGCTTTCGAGGCGGAAGTTTTCCAAATCATCATCTACAACATCCGAATGATGATGAAAAGTCAGGTCCGAAGCAAGCACAGCTGTGTTGGGTGGTGATTCAGTTTTCTGTTTCCAATCTGCAAAGGGCGATCCTGGAGGTGAGATCAGAAAGTTCTTTTCGCTTTGTGGCACCTGAAGCTGGAACAATCGCGGATCGGGATTGATTGGATTATGCTGCATAAACAAGTGTGTGAGTATCAAAAGTGCCCTGACAGTTTCATCCCTACAACTCACTTGTCCAAAGTATAGCCGAACAATCATATCCTCATAACGTCGTCCTGGCAACGGTGATGAGGGTGGCTGTTGTTGTTGTTGTTGTTGCGCTTGGCAACCCATGCTCGAAATGTAATCAAGTGACAAGTCCTCCACAACACTATGGTCAACGGTGGTCCAAGAAAGCATCCGCCTATCCAAAAAGTCGCGAGCCTTTACAGCACTGGTGGTCTCATTGTAGACAATCATGAGTCGGCGGAATCCCTTAATGACGACAAAGGTATACAAATCGCCAAACGATTCAAAGTGCTGGCGAATGGTGCTGATAACTGTAGGGTTTTGGAAGAAGATAGCCGGGACGTTGGGCATGAGCAAAGTATTAGTTGCAACAGTGTAGCCGTTCATGATGGTAATAAAATGATATGATTGAATGCGGTAAAAGGAATATGGCTTCAAACACACACACGCACGCACGCACAAAAGAGAAGGGGGGAAAAAGTGATAAGGTACAAGAAAGAGACAAATGAGTTCAAGTTGGGCGCAAATGCGTTGTGCCTTTTATTGGTGCGAGCTAACATACACACACACACGCACAAGTGCAGAGAGGAAAAGGGGGGGATGGGGGCTATTTTTTTTTACGTTGATGCTGCGTTCCAGTTAACGGTGAAACGTTTCTCTCTCCAACGCATGTGCGCATATACACAACAACAACAACAAAAACAACACACACACGTAATGATCCATAGGGGACCATATCTTCTCGAAGATTCGCATATTTAACCATGGACTTCTTGTCAAGCCGCAAGGTGAATTAAATGCACATTATCGCTTGTATGTTTACTTTTCTTGACGCTGTTGCCTGCTTACTCGTACATGCGGCGGCGTCGTCGTCCTTTCAATATACTACATCAGGATATTATGGTTTTGATGCTGCTGCTGCTGCTGCTGCTGCCGATACCGCCGTTGATGCATGTCCCCAATGTGTGGGCTTCGATTGGATAATTCTTGTTTTTCTTTTCGGAATAATCGCAACAGAGCATTCGATGCGCTTCATACATGTATGCGCACACCTTATCCGTATCATTATTATAGTTTCTTTTCACGAGGATACATCTCTAAGAGCTAACGACATGGGAGCTTAGCGCATGCAACTAGTTCCAAAACGAAATCCTGGACCGATGGAACGCCACATTAAGCCATTCATCGACACAAGAGGGAGTCAACGATAAGGAGATGTGCTCCATATATGATACCATCACAGACCGATTGTAGACACCGCTTGTCCAACTCCAATTTTCGCAGCACATTACAACAAACAATGTGATTTTCATATACACAATGCTATCGGCACTACATTGGATCATATGGCCCTATTGATCCTGTTGCTATCCCTATGGATGATCTTGTGTGGGTATGATAATCGGTCAAAAGATATCCATGGAAGAATGGTCATGTGCTGTTGACATCATATGCATCATCATCATGCTTGAGAACATTCGTATCTATGTATGCGAGAATGGCAGAAAGATGAACCTAGGTTACATTGCATACACGATATTTCAAATGTCGCTGTGAAAAAAAGCATTTGCTTCTCGCTGACTCTGATGCTGCTGCTGCATCCGTTTCCATCCTCCTCTTCTCTCCGATGCTACTCCGGATGCAAAGGTTGCATAAATGTAAATCATGTAATCACTATCTATGCTTCAACTCCCATTCTTCATCCACCATGACCATTACATGCATATGTGAGTGTGTATGTGTATCCATCATCATCATCGTGGTCATCATGGGCATACTCAGGAACAAGAATGATGCATATGGAGAAAAAATTAAGAAATGGAAAGCAAGCGAGATTGGGGATATGACCGGGAGCTACACCCACATACACCTTTTGTACATCATGTGTGCTGATCGTGCTTCACAAGCAGCCCATTCGGGCCGTCGTTAACCGCTTCACATATCTTCTCTCCAGAAACATTCCAAATTCTTTTGAAAGAACAAGGTTTACAATACAAACATCCCCTTACAGAGATTTCTTTCTCAATTTCAGGATCGAAAACATGAATATGGACTAGAGGCGTTTATACCATTGTAACAGCGAATAGCACTCTAGCATGTATTGAATGCGTATGGGATGGAAAAAGGGAAGGAGAACATGCACCTGCTGCTGCTGCCGCCGAAACGGTGCTGCATGGTTGTTGTGTTTTTCTTTCCTTTGTACGCTAAAGATAGCTCGTCTTTTCCATTTCTCCTGCGTATGTGTGTATATTATTTATATGAAATGCTTTAAAAAAAGAAAATCCTCTCTCGCTCTCTCTTTCATGTTCTTTGATTCATTGTTGTTGTAGATAACTACCTTTTATCACAATGACAAAGGAAGGGCTCGCATCCATGCATAAGATTGCATGTCAAATTTGGGAATGGTGCACTCGTATAGTGTGTAGATACGCCCATGCTTATGCGTGTGTGTGTGTGGGTGGTGGGTTGCCCATCTCTTCTAGTAAAAGCAGCTCATTTGAAGAGCTTTTGCTTGACAGCAACAAAATAGGCGCCGACTCAAAAGCAAAGGCTGTGGCTTTGTGTCTCCGGATTGGCAATAAAAAGCACGCTGCCATGTGCAAACCTTTGTTTTCTTCTTTATTTACCATATTTTTCAAGGCTCGAATTATGCATGTGCATCTCTGCATTTGGTGGATGGGCATTCCTGAGACGAGACGTGATTAATAGGATCAACTTACTAATACTTGGTTGCCCCCTTTTGTTCCACGGGCACTTGAGTTTCGCGGTTGATCGAAATTTCCTATACAACATCATTGAAAGAAAAAGATAAACTATGCTCATAATGGCATCTGCACTTGTGTGCGTGTGTGCGTGTGCAAGCGTTAGCGTAAGCGTAAACGAGAAGCTCAGGGCAAACCCAATGGTGGGTGATCCTTTTTAGAGCCTTGGTGTGGTGGGGGCCCATTGAAAACTATGATGTGGCTTATATCGCTGATGAAACGACAATCCCTTGGTGTGTGGTTGAAGAAGGGATAATGCATCCTATGTCTCCTTTTCACACGTACACATACATACTCTTGCTCTTTAGCGCACTTTTCACTAAACATACCCCGTGCTGCGTGCACCCTTACATGTAAAAAGAGACCCCTCTGACAGTGGAGTGTGTATATATGTACAAGCAATTTCTGTTTCTTTCAATTTGGGTGATGATTATTGAAAAAGAAAAAGTATTCGTACAACAGAAGGGAAGGGTGAAACGCATTAGGTGGTAAAGTTGGGCAAAAAAAAAAGGAGTGTGGATGTAGGATATCTAGATTGACACTTTGGAGAGGGTGAGAAAAGGGGGTATTAAGAAGAAGCAGTGGTTGGTGGTTTTTCAATAACGTCAGTCTTGGATGATCGTCGTCGATCCGTACCAGTGAACGCATACGCAAAAGGAATACACACAACAAACATCATTCCCAGAGTAAAGCATAACCAAAAGAATCCCACGGTGCCATACAAGAATCCAGCCAATATTGGGCCAAAGCTCATGCCTATGTAAAAAAGAGGATGTGAGCACTCACATAACGTGTGTGAGAGAAAAACGAGCTTACCTGCACCATAGGCTGCATTGAATAAGGCGTAGCTGGTAGCAAGCCCATCACGCTTTTTGCCTTTGTGTCGTTCATTTTCACGGGCAACGACGCTTGCGATCTCTGGGAAAATGGGTGATTGACACCCTGCCATGGTCATACCACCCACGGCTAGCAATAGCACCAATGGCCAAAAGGGCGTGTTGCGGTTAGGTATACCAATGGCAACACAAGCTGGAGTAACCAATGTCAAGGATACGAGTGCCACAATCTTGGTGCCGTATCGATCACAAAGCCATCCTGATACAGCTCCTGATGCAATGGCTGGTAGCATATAGGCAATCAATATCAAGCCAATAGCCGCCTCATCAAACTTCCATTCGGATGCAAGTTGCATGGTCAATGTCGACTATGATGCAAGCTATGTGAGATTCATGATTGTTTCAATGCATGGTTGTTGTTGTTGTGTTACCTCGAATGCACTCATGACAGCGGCTACTACCACTGTCGTATGCAATGCAACTAACAACCGTGGTCTTCGTAAGAGTTGTCCAAGGGTCACTTTTTTAGCTGTGGTATCATTGATATCACTTGCAAGTGGGTCATCGTGGTGAGTGGTGGTTGTGGTGGTTCCGGATGCTTGCAACTCATCACTGGTTTCACTGTAACTGCAACAGCTGCTCATGTTGGTGTGCGTTGTTGAGATTTCAGGCAGCCGATGGTGATGGTAATTTGATAGGGGTGGTGTACCAAGCTGTTCTTCTTCATTGCCTGCTGCTGGATCTCGTTCAGGGTTGATGAACCATTCTCGTGGAGCGTGGCATCGTTCAACAATCACGACCCGCATGAAAAAGTCGACACCACACAAAATCATGGATGCAATGAAAGGTGCTTGGTGACCCAATTTGCCATAGAGGACTAATATCAATAGAGAATTGAAAGAGAGAGAAGAGAAAAAAAAGAAAAAGAAAGGTATAATGATGGATGCGTAAGGATGATTGTGGTATACGTAACGGCCGATTGGCTATGTTGTTAAAGCTTACCACCTATAAACAATGGCATTAGTAACATGCATTTTGTAAGTAATAAAGGAGTGCTTACCACCAATTGGAAGCCCGGCCATCATGCCGAGCGGATAAAATCCAACCAACTTGCCCATTTGAAGCCCTGAAAAAGAGAGAGCGTGTTAAAAGTAAATTCACAACCAAAAAACGATGAAGAGAGAGCATGGATAACTTTACCCAGTTGGTTCTCTGGCCAATTATCAGCAATAAGACATAGAGACATGGTCCAAACAGCTGCATTGGACACACCCTGCAGAAATCTTGCCAAAAGCAACATCCAATATGCAAAGGCGAACATGAACATCAAGTTGGCTGCAATGGATGCTGAAATCCCAAGCAACATTGGAATACGCCTTTGCTTGATTTTATCACCCAGCCATCCAAATATAGGTGATCCAGCTATTTTGTGTGTGTGTGTATGTGTATGTTTTGAAAAAAGAAGGGGTGTGGGAGAGAGAAAGGAGAGGTCAAGGTTAATCATCGTTAGTTGTTTGGTCGTGGTCGTAGATCAGAGTGCGTGTATGTGTATGTGTATATACCTAAAAGGCCGACTGCATAAAGGGCAACAAGGATGCCGGTGTCTCTTGATGTTTCAACATTTGCACTGCTGATGGTGGATGGCGTCAATGTGGAATTATTGCTGTCAACAAGCTGGGCATCATCGCCATGATTTATCCGATTGATGATAAAGGGTGATAATGGAAAAAGGATGGAGTGCACAAACGTCTATAATGGGCAATCGCATTTTGTGTAAATGGTCGGCATGGGTTGTGCTTTAGGAAAGACTCACACTGGAGAAGAGGCCAATGGCTGCTGTGGAAAAGATAAAGTAATCGGATGATCGTACGTTCAATAAGATGGGTCGCTTTCGAATCGAAGGTTTTCTACTGCTGCTGTTGTGGCGATGTTGTTTCTTTCTATCGCGTGCTTCCTTGCCATCAACAGGAGTAACTGCACCCGTTGTAAAGGAAGGAAAAGGCATTTTGAATATGGAAGGAAGCTACGTAGTAATAGTAGTAGTGGTGGTGGTGGTGGTAGAGGTGGTAGTAGTAGTTAGTGGTAGTAGTGAGGGGGACAAGAGGTAAAGAAAAGAGAGGGAGATTCCGTGACACCGGTCCGATGTTGCCACCCTCAATATATAAGGAGGGATCAAAAAAGAAAAATGATACACGCAGACATGTTGTGTTCTAAAGCTAGTAAAGCTTGCTCTTTCAGGATTGGGAGAGAAGCCGTAGGGGTTTGCAGCAGGAGGGCACTGAGTTGAGGAAAGGGGTTAGTGATGATGTTGACTTCTATAGGAGAAAACTAGATGCACTTTTTTGTTAACCTTTTGCTCAATCACACATCGGCATTCGGGAGGTGTTCTCGTTACCCGCGGGCATAAGTAATGTAAACGCTATGGTCAAGTGTCAAACTTACTACATTTACCTGGGGGAGTTGGAAAAACATGTTGAACCTTATGCATCCGATCGTCGTCATCCACTCATTCATTGTCATGCTTTGTTGTCATCTAAGCATTCTCCAAAAGCCACGTTGCCCAATGCGTTACATATTGACAGCGTTTTTGTTATGACCCTACAAAAGGCTTTTCATGATGATTAATGGGCGCGCGTTATCATCAATAGCGAAGATCAGTGTCAATCCAAAACCTTGTCACTGTAGTAGTAAGCTACTAGGTTTATGCAGCTCGGTGATCCTTTACAGACAACCCGTTTGAGAAGGTCTCCTAAAAAAATTCAACATTGTTACATGGCATGAGCATCCAAGCACACCTTTTGGCTTGCAAAGCGAGTACTCCATTTTTAAGAATAAGCATTCACAAATACGTGGGATACATTAACATCATCATCATGTTGATCCTTTCATAAGCACATTCGCTTAATAGTGACGATGATACATGTAGGTGGTAGTGGGGGGAAATAGTTTCACTCTCATATAATTTATCTGCAGGGATTAAAGTTATGTTGGCCGCGTGTATGTACATGTTGCAGTTTACAACGATTATTTCTTTATGTGCAGGTCTTCTAAGTATCATAATAATGGCGTACATGTGCCATGGCATCATTAATTTCTACTCAACATCTCCATGACTACTTCATAGACATAAAAGGTGACTGCGTTGACAGGGAAACCTCGAACGATGGTTGGCAAGAGACCACGGACAAAGACAGAAGGGCCTTCAGCTCGATAAGAACGAATGATACAATCTTTGATGGAAGTGTAAGGTCGCTCCGATCGTCCTGTTAGCAATGCCGCCTCCGATAGTTGTGCTGTGTTGTTGATGCTGCCGGTCGATTGGGTTACACTGCCGTTTTGGGTAGTTGCTTGGGAACCATGATATTGTCTCACTAGCCGAGATTGATGTATTGTCGATTCTGTAACATTGGCTATTGAAGGCATTGCTCGATTTGTTGCCGATGATGATGATAAAGAAGATGACGACGATGAAGATGATGACACCACTTGCATCTGAAGCCTTGATTTGATAACATCAATAGGATATATGGATGACCATGACACAGCCCCTGCCATTCCCCCTGCGACAAGGAGTTTCCATGCATTTGAACTGTCACTGGAGTTTTGTGATTGATCGAGCTCAAGGATACGTTTCATTCCCTCGTAGACCCAAAAGTAAATACCATAGCTTGGAGCATCACGAATAACAGTAATCCATCCACCTTGATAGAAGCCTACAAGGAGTATAGTATAGGATGTATGTGTGAGTATGAGTGTGAGTATAAAACAATGCATATCCATGTGAGAGAGAAGTTGAACCAGGACATAAGGTTGGGGGAAACTACTTTTCGTCGTTCTTCTTTGAATCAAGAATAACAACTTTGTTTGACTTGCCTCGCAGACCGCTCCTTGCAAATATCTCCTTTGACACTTCCCACGAAGACTTTGGAATGCGTGAGACTTGAGCTTGAATCTTGACAAGTTCGGTAGGGGTGGAAAAGAAGAAACATGCGATACCAGCGCCGCATCCTGCGATATATATCTGTGCCAGACTAGGCATGAAGGGCTCTTTTTCTCCTGTGAATCCTCCTCCTCCTCCTGCATAATGTTGATGATGCTGCTGCTGATGCTCTTGCTGCTGCTGATGATGCTGCCGCTCAAATACTCGAAGCAAGCTGCCATATGACACAAACAGAATTGCGTTCAAGCCTGCCAATCCCACCACAGGCGCCAAAACACCTTTGAAGAGCGAATTGATCTACATTGATGCAACTTTTTTTTAGTTGTTGCCCCACACATTCCATTCCATCTGCATTATCCACTTACTCCTTCATATCGGACAAGGCGCGTCAATGTTTGCCATGCACTAGGTGGTGCCTCATTATTCATTGTAGCTGTGGATCTGGGTGCTTGCAGACGAGCCTTTTTGCGATACAAACAAATAAACCACCGTTGGTTGGTTGGTTACCTCTTCGTTGCCACCCCCCTCATTCCCTTTTTACTACCTTCAATACATCGAGAGGACTACCGACAATGATGCCTGCTGCACCTCCAACCCAACCTAATGTAACGCATTAGAACCCAACATTGCACACAACCACCACATGCAACGTGGCATTCTTTCTTACCGGCAACAAAGTCATTGAAGCTCTCAGCTATACTTGTTTCTGTCAGCATGATATACCATCAAAGGATTCGTTAGGGACGCTTACCCATGGTATGAGAATGATCTTGAAGAGATAGGAAGAGCAATGAAAGGCTGACTTTCCCAAATCCTGGAACTCAGGCACTTGTATTCACAATCCATTCATCCATCCATCTATGTACTCACATGCTTATTGCTAAGCAACCACCAAGACCCTTAAACAACCCTTCCTTCCACTCTTTTTCATCCATGAAGTATCCCAGCGTCAAACCCTACTTTAGCTTTGCATATGTCGATAGCATTGTAGTCTCCAAGAAGTGAAAAGAAAATAAAGTTCAGCTGCATTAACTCAAAAGTATTAGAGCGAGATCCCATCTGATCTTTCTTACTTCAATGACCCAATGCATGATATCGTCCCATTTGTTAATTGGAGGATAGTACGGATAGCACACGCTGTTGAGAGTACACTCTAAGAATCCAAGATCAATGCTATAGCTGGCAACCCAAGATTCACCCACCATCAGTTAATCAACAACAGACTATGTACGTAGCGAATTGCTATCTCGAAAACCACATGCTGGAATACCACCATCAATGGACGTGTTGTTGGGCTTAGGTGTGAGACGCATTGACAACATTTACCACTACGCCAACATTATAAATGAATCAATAGTAAGCAGTAATAAGGATAATTGCTACCTATGTCTCCATGGCAACCCCCTCTCAATATGGGTGATGAAAGGTTCCATATGGGTAATGATGGCCAATGTCAATTCCCATCCCCAAAAAGTAGCTAGGTTACCAATGGATCTACCCGCGTTTCCAAGGTTCACACACACCTATGGAAAAGGTGGGATGCATCACAATGAGGGAATGGAGCTTGTATTACGTCAGGTGGTACTATTTGCCGATTGGCTGGAGATTTTATGGCTAAAATGCGGGAAAAACCAACATGGAGTGTGTGGAGCACTCTAGTGTTCGGGAAACTTTGTTGCTTTATAAAGAACCACCCGCGCGTTTTTATAACGACCACACTCTTTCTCTTTGTTTACAATGCCTGTTACCAAAACCACTCTCGACGCTGCTAATGGTATCGACCAATATACCCTGATTAATGAGAAAAAGACCCTCTCTGTGATGGTGTTGAACTATGGCGGTACCTTGACCCATATCTTGGTACCCGACAAGGATGGCCATATTCGTGATGTGTGCGTTGGCTTTGACGACTTTGAGACTTACAAGAATCCTAAAAACCCTTACTTTGGTGCTTTGATCGGCCGATTTGCTAACCGGTGAGTAGTAACATGTTTGCAAATCATATATGCGGGTTTTCGTGCTGAGACTAACAGCCAGCTTCTTACATAAGCATCGGCAAAGGGCAATTTACTCTCAACGGCACTACGCATCAACTCCCCATCAACAACGGCCCCAACGCGTTGCATGGTGGTATCCATGGTTTCGATAAAAAGATCTGGAACGTCTCTATTTTGTCACAAAACCCTGCTAGCATTCAGTTGGATCTCACCAGCCCTGCTGGTGATGAGGGGTATCCAGGCGAAATGAAGACCACAGTAACCTATACAGTCACCGAAAGCAACTCGCTTGAGATTACCTATAGTGCGACGTCATCCGAAGACACGATGGCCAATTTGACCAACCACTGCTACTTCAATTTGGCTGGCCTTTCCAAGAATCCTAATGTGTTGGATACACAAATCACCATGACTGATGATGTTCAGGGCGTTTTGGAATTGGATGAGAATTCTCTGCCCACTGGCAAGGAGCTTAGCTGGGCCGATGCAGATTACATGTGCTTCTCGGTATGTATGAGGAAAAAGATGTAAAGCACATAGAGGAATAACAACGTGACTCATGTACGCATTATTCTGTACGTAGGGTGACAAAGCTGGCACAACTATTGGTGCACGTAAAGACAAGCTTGCTGCTTCCAAGGGCTATGATCATCCTTACGTGATCCATCATGACTATGTGATCAACACATCACAGCTTCCTCTTCGTAAGGCTGTTACTGCATTTGCCCCCGAAACAGGTATCGAGATGGAATTTGCTACTACGGAACCCGCTTTCCAGTTTTACACAGGCAACTTTATTCCCTCGGGTGTTTTCCATGGTAAAAAATCACAAGACGAAGTTGCTTATGGTGAACACGCTGGCTTTTGCTTGGAAAGCTCTCGTAACCCTGATGCTCCCAACAAGCCCGGTTGGGTCAGCAGCGTTTTGCTCAAAAAGGGTGATACATACGGTAGCAAGACCATCTTTTCATTTGGTGTTCGCACCTAAAATCTCTTCCCTTCCCTTCTATCCTATTCTCTTTTGTCCTTTTTCATCAATGTATCATACTAGCAGCACTTGTAGCATAGTGGTAAACACGCGCCAGCGAATAAACATTCATTGCCGTATTGCAAAATGGGTGGATGTAGATGATGATGATAGATGGCGTCCATATGCCATGCTTTAGAGCATACAAAATGTCGGGCACTTTCAGGTCCAGCCACACCCAGCAAGTCGTCAATTTGGACATCCTGTTCTTTCCCCTCTCCCCTTCTTGATACGCCCATTCACTCACACAATTATACAACAACAACCCGTCGATCATGTATCAACAGCCACATATGCCACAACCAGGCATGATGCCACCCCAACAAGGAATGCCCAATCAGATGCAGTTTCGAAAGCGTCCTAGTGAAGCTGATCCCATCACAAAGCACATCAAGTGAGCAATCTCAATTCTCTATTCGACACACACGCGCGCGCGTAATAGTATACTCACTTTTGACGATATCAACAGGAAAAAACGACCTACCGATCGCAACATGCCAGCCAAAGTAAGTTGTCGTATGCTTTATTGCAGCTATTGTGTTTGACGGGGACCACTTACAAATATACATAGATTGAAGCCTTTGTGCCAGAGTGCAAGTTGTATAGCGAGCTCACCGAATTCGAAAAGAAGTTGGATGGAACAATCATGAGAAAGCGTCTCGATATCCAGGAGGCATTAGGAAAGCCCACCAAGGTACATAGTGAATGCGTTGTATGCTTCATTATCTAAACATGGGGCGGGTCATTTTCTAGATCAGAACCACGTTACGCGTTTTTGTTTCCAACACGTCTTCCAACCAGCAACAAGGCATGAATGAAGATGGCACTTTTGATATGAACAGTGGAAATGCACCTTCATGGACGCTCAAGATTGATGGCAAGCTCTTGGATGTATGTCATGTGTGTAATTGGATTCATGATTGGTTATCATTGACAGAATCTTTTTGTAGAAACCACCTACCCAGGCTGGCCACAGGTTCACATCCTTTTTCCGTGCTATTGGTGTAGAGCTTGATCGTGATCCCAAATTGTATCCTGAAGGAAACGTGATCGAGGTAAAGGAATGCGGGTCATGAATGGGTATCATTTGGGTATGTATACTCATATTAGTGTATAGTGGCATAAGCAACCAAACGCTCCAGAGCATGATGGCATTGAAATCACACGTCGAGGAGATGCAAATGTGAATGCACGCATTATCCTTGATCCCGAATACATCCCCCAGAGGTTCAAGATCAGCCCTGCGTTGTCAGAGACTGTGGATATGGCGGTTGGTAACAAGCCTGATATCGTAATGGCACTGTGGACATATATCAAGGTAATATATAGGAAGGGTGTGCATACATTGTAGACTCATTTGGTATGTCTTTAGCAACACAAACTACAAGATGCCGACGATAAACGGTTGATCCATTGCGATGCACGACTCAAACAGCTCTTCAACAACAGCGACAAAGTTCACTTCAGCCAAATCCCTGAGCTTATCAACCAACATTTGTCACGGCCAGACCCTGTAGTGATCAACTATACCATTCGGTAAGCAAGGATTTGGACCTGTGTGTATGTGCCAGAATGGCTCATTTTTTGGTGCTTTAGCGTGGATAAGGAACAACATCAATCACCCCAGGCATACGACATTGACGTGGAGATTGAAAGCCCAGTGCGACAAAAGATGATGAATTGTTTAGCAGCAGGACAAACACAAAAGGAGATTATGGGATTGGACGAGAAGATCGTACAATGCGTGCAAAGCATCAACAATTCAAAGATCAAACGAGACTTTTTGCTCCAATTCTCTCAAGAACCGGTAGACTTTATCAACAAATGGATCGCTAGTCAAGCTAGAGATCTCGAGGTATGGGAAAGAGCATCGCATGGGTTTGCTATGGTGCTGATGTTGGATATACAGGTGATATTGGGTGAGAGCAAGATCAATTTGGAAGAGATGCGTCGCAACGATTTTTACAAACAACCTTGGATCAAGGAAGCTGTGTTCCATTATCTCACTGCCAAGGTAAGAGAGTTATTTGGAGGATGTTAAAAGGAGTATATGGCTGATTGTTTGATGTGATATTTTAGGTCCAACAACGAATGCAAGATCTTATCAATGTGCAGCGAGGGGCACCCCCACCACCACAATAAACACACACGCTCTTCGTATAAATATCGTTTTCAAGTCATTGTTTATGATCCAATAATAATAAAGGGAGAATGAAAAAAGGAATGAGAGCAATGTTGCTATGCTAGGTTTAATCTTCTTCTTCACTGCTATCATCTTCGTTCTCACGCAACCATTGCACAAAAGCAGCCATTTGCTTCAAAAAGACAGTCTTGCCTTGGGGCTTGTGTGCCTTGTCAGCCCAAAAAACGATGGCATTATCGGAAAGCACATCGTTCTTGTAGAGGAGCTGCACAATTTGGCGGAAGAACTTGGTGAGTTTGGCATCCTCATAGCAGGTGATTTGGACGTTTTGAAGGAGGACAAGTTCGGTCTTGGGAGAAGTAGTGAAGGTTTCCAAGACATCCGTCCAGCTCTATATTACGTATGCCAACATGAGAAAATGATGAAAACAAAGGATGAAGAAAATAAACATACCTTGATTGCACGTAAAGCCTGCACCTCCACTTGATCTGGTCGAGCATTGATCACGTCGACTGTACTAATAACAGCCATCCAGATAATTTGGATCATTTCAGGCTCACTGATCTTGTTGTCCTTCATGACTTGCTTGATTTCAGTGATGACCTATGATACACACACAAAAAGTCAATACACGAATGGATCTATAGATTATGTACAATCATACCTCCTTGGCGTTGGCGTCCTCATCAGTCATCATGGCATGCAATTTAGCCAACAGATCCTTCTTGATAGAATCCATGACATTCTTTTGATGGAATTCAACGAGCTCCTTCATATCCTGTGCTTCGAAATGACGCACAAGACAATCCTCCTCACGCTTGTTGGGTGGGAAGAGCTCAATCAGCTTTGAATCCATATCAGCGTTGACGAGCATTTTGCCCAATTGGTCGATGCCTTGTTCGCTCAAAATCGTTCGAAACACCGAGGTGGCAAACTCAAGCGATGCACCTATCATGTTCGAATGAATAAGAGGGGGATCAATCACAATGAATACACACACACACACACACATACCATCTTTGACCAAATAATCCTTCAAAAGCACCTTCATGACGGAAATTCCTGTAAGCTGCGTGGTGATAATGTAACCCGTGGCCATGGCGAGTTTGTTGCACTCCTCGGACTTCCACTTGTTGATAAACTGCAACACATGCTTGAGGGTGTCATCCAATGATTTTTGAAGATACTTGTAGCGACGGATGAGCTTGTTAAAGACCTTGACATGTTTCTTGATGACTTCAGGATCATCGGGAGCAGAAAAGAGACAAAAGGAGCTTCGCTCGGCACTGGCATCAATGATACCTCCTGGTTCTAAATATACGTACGTGCATCCTGTTAGTCAAAGAAGAAGAAAAAACTTTTTTCATGACCCTCAACCTACCAACAATGCCTCCAGTAATAAGGATTTCCCAAAGAGAGTCGGCGTACTTGCGATATTCGAGTGTATTTCCCGCCGCGTCGAGTTTGGACGAGATGGCGTCAAAGTTATCCTTGTCGATCGATGACAGATGCGTCAATAAGTTATCCCTGAAGACTAGAGTAGTTGTTCATGGTCAGATGACAGCCTCATCTCGTTCACTAATAAAAGGAATTACCTTCAGGCTCGTGTTTTGCTTGTGCTTTTTGAACACCCTAGCAACAGTGAGATGAGCTTTTTTGGTTACCATAATACCGCATGTGGCTTGCTTACCTTTCTTTGCTTTATCTTGACACCATGCAAAGCAGGTTTGGTATTGGTAGTAGTTTGAGATTGGGGAGAATTCATGTATTGTTGCTGGTTCCTTTCTTCTTGTGCCGAACTAGTGGAAAGTCTCGTACAAAGGGAAAAAAGATGTAAAGTGGAAAGTAATGGAGAAAAAAGTTGCTGCGTGGATCTGCAGCAAAAGCGTCATGCTTTTAACACCAGTCGATGCTTGACCAATGCAATCATGCATATCACACTTTCACTTCCGCCTTTTCCGATAATTACACGCTATCCCGTTCTTGTATGTCCCTTATAGATTATACCGTCACGAACCATTGGTGGGGTGTCTATCTATGTACCCATCATTTTCCACCACCATCACCACACATGCATACATACAACATATCACATTGATCACCCGTTTCCGGGAAAAACACTATCTTCTATTGCATCATGTTGTCATGGGAACAACATACACACTTGTAGTCTCGGTGAAACTTTTTGACGCTCATTTCGTAGCAGAAGTTTCTTGGATACTGCCACCTTCCTCTTTTTGCAATGGATATGGATGCTTCGAAGTAAGATGGGAGATTGCATGATTAGGAATAGTGATGCGCCTTCTTGCTAAAAGCAAGCACAGGGTTTGAGGATTGCAATGGAAAATGAAAGCACTGACCTGGTGGATGTACGCGCTATGATTAACCACGTTTTAATGCATGCCACCCAGACCAAGTCGAAATTTCCCTTAAGCGTGAATAATTGTTAGCTAGCACTGTATAGGTACGCGTACATTACAAAATGCATCTCTTATCTAGTGATGATCTCCATTTATCTATTTACTAAGGGTGATTAAGGAAATAGCTGGACTCCAATGCGATTGCTTCATGTATTGCTGTTGTCAAGGAATATGGTTGTTTGAAGATGCATATAACTATGGATGGTGAGATGTATACTCAGAGCAAACGATGGATGCTGGTTCTCATCAATGGATCCTATATATAGATACTTTCAATGCTCGGGATCAGGTTTCTCATAAGAAAAGCAGTCAAATCACATAGTCGGATTATGCATGTGATGGTTTCGGTGAATGTCTTTCCAGGATCAAGGAACATTGGCTTGATTTTAACGTGACCAGGAAGATTAGGAAGAATCATCACGTAGTACGAGTTGTCTTGAAAAAGAAAAAAGGTCGCATTTCTCAACAGCTTTATATATCGGGGTGAATCCAACTAATGTATCAAACCACTTACAAGTGTTTGCTGGGTGGGATATATTTATACATGTGTTGACGCATCCTTCAAAATAGCAGCTTCCTTTTGCTTGGGTACATCATTTTATTATACTATACTACGAGTAAATACCTGTTGCGATGGGAGTATAGGAAGCTTAAAAACAGGTATCTCATCACATTGCATAATGGTACTGCACGTATGGGTCTCCTTGTCAAAAGCGCACGTATGATTGATGACTGTTTTGACATGCCTTTTTATATACTTTGTACAAAAGGGGTTTGGGGAGATGCAGTGCTGAGCCAAGATTCTCAAGAGCAATCTCGTTAATTTGACCATTCTTTTTCGTGGAACCATCAACATTGGGCGATCCACCTATGATAATCCATGATCATGTTCTCTCGCTCTCTCTGTTTTTCTTTATCGTATGTGCATGTAATGTCCCAATAATGACATCAAAAAGTACATTGAACCATGAGGAATAAGAGGCAAGGATTAAAAGGAAAGAAGGAGAGTAATGAAAGTGAAGGATACCAAGTAAGCATGAAATTGACCAAACTCGATTTGTAACCTAGTTGTTTTTGTATCTCCCTTCCCGCCTTCTTTGTCTCGTTGCCGCTTTCATCCCCGCACAGCAGCTCTCTCTCTTGTCTTTGCTCCTTTTATCAAACGCTTCTTTTGCTTGCAGCTCATTCGACGAGCAATGAGCACCTCCGTCATCATCCCTACTTCTACATTGGACGATCGGTCGATACCCCCTTCTCAGGAGACCACTTCATACCACCAGCACACCGCCAATCACCAAGACGACGACACTATATCCTCCCATTCTGACAATCACAACACCAGCACAGAAACAACGGCAACAACACATATACCAACAACTATTGACAAGGGAGAGGAAGAAGAAGATGATGATTATAAAAGCATAGTCTCTGTCAAACAAGAACGACGTGAGTCGCAGGTGACCATTCAGGAACTGCCAAACACCACAACAGGTAACCTATGACACCATAATCAGTTGTCTCCCCGCCTTGAATTCCTTACCCGCCATGTATTCCTATAGTACGACGAGATAGTATATCCAACAAGAGCATCTCAACCACTCACAGCATCCATAATGATGATACCAGCAGCAGCAGCAGCAGTGATGATGATGAGGAACAAGAAGAATTCCAAGGTTTTATACCACAACAAGACAATACCAGCAGCAAAAGCCGATCGGATGACACAATTCCCTCGACTCCTTCATCAAAATCACCAAGTTCATTTGATGCATGTGCCAACCACAGTGATTATTCCAATGCAACATCAATTCAAGATGAAGAAGAGGAGGACAATTCAAAGTTGGATCACAAACAAGCGGAGAAACAACATGAGCGGGATGATAAGGAGATGCCGACGACGACAACGGAGGATGCATCATCATCATCTTCATCCATTGAAACAAAGGATTTACCTGCCATACCTTCCACAACACCATCCCATGATGAGAAACCACATCCACCTAAACCAGCAGCCATCGATACATCAAATTCCACCACACCATCTTCACGATTATTTGGTATTTGGTCAAGTATCAAGAGTGCATCAGGACGCTGGCCGTCTCAACAACAACAACCATCCCAACAAACGGCTATGATCATTGAGCATCGTGACAAAAAGAGCAAACGACTTTCTCAACAACATCGCAGTGCTTCAGAGCCTGATCTTGGTCATGAAGATATATTGACGCAAATGGAAAATCTCAACATTGCCAATACGAGTGATCCCAAAGTACGAATGCTAGTGGGTCTCAAACGTCAATCCGTAAGAGATAGTCTCAAGAGTCAATACTTGGGTCGAGATGATTTTGATTGGGGTAAAATGTCAAAAGCCGTGATTGTGTGTTGCTCCTCCACTAACCTCTTTTGATAGACTTTTGGGCAGGTCTCTTGTGTGATTTCGAGCAGACATTCAAAGCCAAGCAACCACTACTCCATCACGTGCAACATGGCATCCCACCTTCTATTCGTGGCATGGTATGGCAACTACTCGCCAATTCCAAAGATGCAGTGATCCACGACAAGTATATCGAGTTACTCAAGGCACCGAGCGCATACGACAAAATGATCCAACGCGATTTGGCACGTACTTTTCCTGGTCACAAGTTCTTCAAGGATAGAGATGGTGTTGGTCAAGAAGGGTTATACAACGTGGTGCGTGCATACAGTGTCCTGGATCAAGAAGTTGGCTATTGTCAAGGCCTTGCATTTATTGTTGGCCCTCTGTTATTGAACGTAAGTTAAGGGATAAAGTATGATACGCATCTATATTCATATGCAATAATGTAGATGCCTGATGACGAAGCCTTTTGTGTGCTTATCCGGTTGATGAATGATTATGGGTTACGTGGTCACTTCACACCTGACATGGAAGGATTGCATTTGCGCTTGTATCAATTCGACATGCTTGTGGAGGAGCATTTGCCACACATCGCACGACATTTGAATCAGCAAGGTGTTGGTTCAACCATGTATGCATCACAATGGTTTATGACACTCTTTGCATACAAGTTTCCATTGAACTTGGTGTTCCGTATCTATGATTTGGTGCTCGTACAAGGCATTTCATCCATCTTTCAATTCGCCATTGCTTTACTTAAGCGCAATCAGACGACTATCTTGGGCCTTGATTTTGAGCATCTTTTGAATTTCCTCAAGAATGGTCTCTTTGAAGAGTACAAGGTAACGCTGAATTGAATGATGGATGTTGTTCTATCATACTCATAGGTCATTTCATTCTAGGATGATGATCGGCAATTGGTAGCGGATGCATGTACCTTTGAAATCACTGCTCGGAGGTTACAGCAATTAGAAAAAGACCACAAGGTGCAAATGGCAAAAGAAGTAGCTGATGCACGAACGCTGGACCAGTTACAAAGGAACAACAATGATTTACGCAATCAAATCAGAGCATTAGAGCAAGCATCGAGCAATTTACAAAAGGAGCATGGCGACATTCACGAGCAGCTAAGAAAGACGCGAGCGGATTTAACACATGCGCACGATGAACGTTCTTCATTGCAAGATCTGGTGGATTTATTGAAGCAGGAAGTGGACACACTACCAAAAAGAATCGAAGCCCAGTGCAGGACACAATTTGAGAGCCTCTGTGTAGAAAACGCAAAGTTAGTGGAACGCAATTCAATGCTCGAGGACCAATTGGCAGGGATTGAAATGCTGGTCATTGATATGAAGATGAGATATGCCCAGACGAAGAACGAATGTGGCGAACTACAGCAAAAGCTCAATGATATGAAGAGAGTAATTGGATGAAATCAATAAACTTATTTATACACAAAGTCGAGCTTTTTGATGGTTTACGAGGATAGTTGGGGGAGGCATTTTCTACATTATGTACATGTACTCTTTGAAATAAAGTATACGCCATTATTGACGCATTTTTTGTACCGTGGTATGTAACACAGGATCCATGCGATCCGAGGTATGTTAGATCACCGTGTTCTTTGTGTCACCATGATGGATTACCTTCCACCCCCCTTGTCAAATGATTGTCACCTAGGTATGTAGATGTCTTTCTGACACAATCTTGGACTTGACCGTAGGAAAATGCATCTTGGCATTATTGCAACCCATGTTGATCCCCCAAGCTAGGGTTGTCTCGGAATTCTTGCTGACATGGGTTCCCGACGACCATGATGATGATGAAGATCCTTGACAATTATAAATGCTGGTGATCTACATGTCAAAGGTCGCGAGTTTTTCCTTTTCACTCTTTACGATCAACATGCAATTCAAGACCTTTTCAACTTTTATTGTTGCAGCTTGGCTTATGGCTGCCGTACGTTCAGTTGATGGTAAGAAAAAAGTGTTCATTGTCAACAACAATGATGCTCATCCTTTTATTGTTATCCTACCACCCTAGTGCCGGCATTGACCTCATTGACCTCAGTGTAAGTGTGATTTTCATACACATATACAATGGCAAACAATGATTCTTATGCGTATGTTATAGGATTGAATCGATCACGGCTGCTCCATCAACCAATACGCCCTTGTTGTCGTATGCTCAATCGGCTTATAGTCGTGTTTCTTCTGAAGTACAATGGTCGCAATCACAAGCTGCTGCTCAACAAAGTGAATCTGCCACCACTGAAGCTAATCCTTCTGGCACCGATGGAGCTGCTGGTGCTTCTGATACAAATGGCGCTGGTGGTGCTGGTGCTTCCGATACAAATGGAGCTGGCGGTGCTGGTGCTACTGATACAAATGCTGGTGGAGCTGGTGCTACTGATACAGCTGCTAGCACTGGTGGCACCGGTAACGAGAATAGTCAATCCATGGGCTCTTCCACCCAAGCCATGCTCTTGTCAGCTTCTGTGAGCGTTTTCCTTGCTAGCTTTGCTGCCATGCTCGCTTAAACAACATGTGAATACTGTTACTTAATATAATAAAAGTGAGATTCGGAGATTTGGAAACGAATAAGCTTCCATTGATGAAAGATGCATAAACATCCGTCGCACGTGGCTGCCAAAAAACCCGAGACTTTCAAGGATGCCCAAACTTTTTTTCTCTCTCTCTCAAGTTTCATTCTCCTTTTTCCTTCTTCGACTTTGGCACAAAAAAGACGATGGTCTCACCTCGCGTTGAGGACGATGAACGCTCATTACGAAAGACACGATCCCTGCATTCGTTGGCGTCGGCAGCAATGCCACCACCTGTACACTTTAAATCGCTCAAAGTATCAGAGGAACAATTACGGTGTATCAAGAAAAAGTCTGTACGCAAGTTTTACGAGGTAACCACCCAAACATATAAATGAACATGGACTACAATGATTGAATGGTATTTGACAGCATCAAAATGATATGATCAATCGCTTTATGGAAGTGGATCGCGTGGTCAGTGAATTGAAGCAAGGTATCCATGGACACAACGATTATGCAAATGCCCTGTCACCTGTACCACCGCCGCCAATCATGATTGATGAGGAACATGCTCTTCCCACTGGTGGCATGGATGAAACAACACGGCTACTTGATGATGGACGTGGTGCATCACAACAACAGCAACAACAGGAAAAGGGGACATCACGACCATGGTTGATTCATCTCGCCATCAACGTATCATTCATTGCCAATGTGGCTCTCTTTATTGCAAAATTCCTTTTGGCTTTATACTCGGGCTCTATGGCAATCCTCGCTTCAGCGTTTGAATCATTCCTCGACCTACTCAGCAATGGGATTATCTTCATTACCGTAAGGATGATGCGAAATCAGGATTGGTACAGGTACCCAGTTGGAAAGGTGATTAGTGGAATATGGGCTTTGTGTGTGAATGGGCAAGGATTAACCAATTCAATATGTAGGCTCGTATGGAACCACTTGGGATCATCATATTTTCAGTCGTCATCACCACCTCGTTTTCTCAAGTGCTCATTACATCCGTTGAACGTTTGACAGCTGGCGAAATCGAGACCATTGATTTAGATCCCCTCAGTGTGGCTATTCTCGTATCCAACATACTGGTGAAAGGTGTACTTTGGCTCTGGTGTCGATCAATCAAAGGAAGCTCAAGCGTTCAAGCTCTTGCTCAGGATCATGAGAATGACGTTGTATTCAATATTGCAAGCACTGTATTTCCTGTAGCAGGTATACATTTACATATGGCTAGCGTAAACAAGATCTATGCATGAGACTAATCTCATTCTACATAGCTGTGTGGGCGAAACAACCATGGCTTGATCCAGTGGGTGCCATTTTATTGTCGCTGTACATCATTTATGAATGGATGGTGCTACTTGTAGGCAAGTGATGTCGAAACAACGATGCATGGATCGTTGCTAATACGCTATTATTGGTTATTGCAGATAATATTAGGCGGATGACAGGGCATGCTGCTAGCGTCGATGACCTCAAGCAACTCACGTACATGGCTTATCGCTTTTCCAGCAAAGTTCAAGCAGTCGATACAGTAAGTGGCCTTTATGATCAATGCATTACCAACACGTTTCATATCTATATATGTATGTAGGTACGTGCATACTATGTTGGGGATCGGCTTTTGGTGGAAGTGGATATTGTGTTACCACCAGACTATCCTTTGAGAGAAGCACACGATATTGGCGAGGCATTACAGGATGCATTGGAGTTGATGGATAATGTGGAGCGAGCATTTGTGCACCTTGATTACAACCAAGTCCATGCCATTGAACACAGAAAAAAGCCGCCACTCTCAATAGGCAACGTATAATCAGATCGTCAATGACGTTATACCAACAACATCCATGTTCAATATATCCAATCCATGTACATAGTAGTATTGTCATTTCGGTTCATTAGGTTGCAAATAAACTGCTTGATCCTGTCACGGTATGCTTGTTCTTGCCATAACATGCGCTTCCAAGGAGCTATTTCATTATGAGCATCTTCTTTGAGATGATCATCCATCCTTTTTCCTTGTTTGTTCCCTGCTCTTCTTGTTCATCATCGTCGTCCTGGATTCTTGAAGAATCTCGTTATGTCGTCAATGGTGCGTGCTCGATGATTGCTTTTGACGATCCATTACTACCGGTATCATCCTCCATGTAAACGCGTTTCTGGTAGTCGTTGCCATGGGATCCTCCAACGTAGTAAGTTCAAAGTGTGATACGCCTTATATCAAATAAACCATCCCCGTTTGCTTTGGATTATGAAAAGGAATGGACGATACCTTGTTACCATAAAAGCAGGAAGAAGGGTTGTGTTGCTCCAGTCATGAGGGGATCGTAGTTACTCTCTTGGTCAATGAGGAAGGAACATAGGTCACGCACCAAGGTTGCTACTTTCACCATTGACTTCGTTTAAAGGCAATCATCATCGACATCCATTTATGCAGCAGCCTGTCAAGAGCATGTGTGTAACCACCACGTGCCATTCTTTCCATCGCTTCTTCACCTTGCTTATAGTGCTCTCAACACCATCCATCAAGAAGCGGACCCATCGCCCTTACAGCATATGTAAAGTATAAGGATATCTGTTTCTTAGAGTGTACATGATTAGGGGTGCGGTCTTTATTAGAACAAAGTTGGTCAATTCCCAAGAGCATCTTGTGTGAAAGTTTCAGGTTCGAGAGCTTCAACAAATCTAAGTTCAAATCGTGCTGTTGAGAAAAGCATGTCCACTTTGACACCGTTCTTCTTCCGTATCATTGGGTCAACGGCTGCTAGTGTTCTCCCGTGATTGATTCTTTCAGAGGCAGCTTTGCTCGCCTTTTCCCCGCTACGAATCAAATAATAAGTCATATTGCCGCATTTATACCCCATCCATCCTCCACTACCTTAAGGCAATAATATTGGTCATTTCAAAGCATGCATAAATAAATGACCACACTCTCCTCAACAAGGAGGCTTCCACTCTGGCCTTGGCCTTCTCAAGATGCGTGCCAATCTAAAGATCGAGCGCTTGAAGAATTGAATGATGTACCCAATGTATATCAGGCTGCTCATATACGTGGTTGAGTTCATCCTATGACGATGTTAGTCAACCCATTGCTCTCTTCATATGATGTAACATACCTTGCCATCAAAGGTGTCAATAAACTCCTGTAACTCGCGTGGTAATGCTGCAACCTCAGGTGCATTGCGGGACCTCATTTCTTTTCAACTCGTCTTCAGTGAAAGCGGTTGCCTACACTTTGTCCCATGGATCCAAGATTAAGGAATGGATGGACCTACACATCAATAACGATCGCGTCAATGCACGACATGATATCAGTTATGGATTACGATCGATGATATTAACGTTTCCTCTTTACTTACATCATGGTAAATATTTGGTGAGCCTTTTAATGCCGTTGCCGTTTGAAGCATCCACCCACCGGGAAAGCGAGCTACAAGCCCTATATATATAGGTTGTAAATACCAATATGATCATCTTTCAACTGTCATAACCCTTACCGGTCCATGAAACATTTTTTTACATGTTGCTTCATGATCGATTCCTTTGCATAGCCGTTCCCGCAAGGACCAAATCGCCCTAATCCAAGATCGTGTCAGCGATATGACATGAGATAGAAAGTGATAAACTTACGGCATACACCTCTGCCACTTTGTGTCGGTCCTTGTATGATGTGAAGACTTCACTGAGATTTTCGATTGGACATACCCAAACTCAATGATCACGCAGTCGGGAACCATATAGGCCATCAGGATGCAATGTGATGATAAAAGCACACTGCCAAGGAAATGTAGCACGAGTGCTGTCTTCTAGCTCACTCCATGAGGAACATGTGCCAAAACGCCGGTTTTAACGGTGACCCATTGACATGCCACTCCCTCGCCATCTGACTTGGACATCATCATCGGCCGTGGTTCCCGAATGTTGCCAATAGGACACCATCTTCTTCTGTAAAAGCGAGGAAAGCATAGACCATAGAATGATGGAGCCCATACTTGGTAGTCCGCCGTACGAATAAAGGGCATCTAGTACTTATGCCATCAACAAAGGAGTCCCGGACTTCCCATCAGATTGAGGTTGCCTTTTGCCTACAATTATACAAGGCATCCTTTTAATAACATTTATCGATATATAGATGACAGCTATACCTACCACAAAGGGTCCATCAAGGAATACAGCCAAATGCCATTAGGCACCAACGATCACTTTGAGTGTGGTAAAGCAATGAAATGAGCTACATAGATGGAAACAGAAAAAGATGGATGCATGAGCACCCTCATTTTGGGGACCACATAAAGACTATCCTTGGGACTTACCAAAGGCCATTGATGATGTGCGTACAAGTAGAAAGAAAGGGCGTATGATAGTGTTGGTGACAACAGCATTGTTTATACATGAGTGGGCGTGAGAATTGTTGTCATGATGGATCGAACTGATAAAGTGGCCAAGCATCTTGAAGCACTGTGTCGAAGGGATGGAAAACCAACAGCTGATAAATCCACTTGCGGCTTAAAAGGTGATATGTTGTAGTTGGCATTAAGTATGTCCCGAACAGCGGATGTATATTTGAGTCCAAGCAGCACCGTGAGTCGCAGCGATTTCCACTAACAAAGCATGGTCGTCTCCCATAGGCAGTATACTGCATTGGCTTCCTTGACATGCTGCTGTGATAATAGTGATACGTATTGCCGAAAGAAAGTCTCCACTCTATCTCTTTTCGTAAGTTCACTTGAATCCAACCGATTCCGAATGATCCCATTACCTTGAGATGTCTTTCAATACCATTGATGTTTCAAATAACTTGTATCCATCCGATCTAGTATGTGTTGCTGCTATTACATTGTAAAAAAGCTCTTTAATTAGCACATCTTTCTTTGCAGATCCAATCCTAAGCGTACCATTGAACCAACGTACAGCATTCTTGCTTTGAGATCAGCATCTTGTTGCTGCCAGAGGTACCATCATCATCCAACATGTTTAATCTTCCATTAACGCAAAGTAAGATAACAAGGTCGGCTTTTACTTTCGTATCAACATACCCAAAGTAACAACGGACTTCTCCTTGAAGACAACCATGAATACACTCGACACTCGATGGTTCCCTTGGGTGTGAGATAAACGAGAGAATAACAGACTACGTGTAAACTTTAGTATCACGACGTCGATTCTGAACAATAAAGAAATGCAGCGATTGAACGTACATGTTGTATTGGAATGGAAGCTTGAGTCATGGGTAGATCGCGCGCGTACTTGTTGTAACTGAAAAGTGTTGTCGTCATTGACCACTTGTTCGCCCATCGACACTATGCATTGGAAGCAACAATGGCAGCAGTTAAAGCTTTGTACTTCGCAAGTGGAGTTATCCTTACCTTGCTTTGTAAATCGGGAGAGGAGAAAAAGCAGCTCTTTATCCTCCCTTTCGTTGATCTCTATTTGTGTGCTCCACGCCACCCCGCTTGCTACAGTTATTGTTGTCAACATGGCGCTAACTTCTACACTTCGATAAATAACGATCACCACTGCTTGAGATTTCACATGGGCTTAGTTCTTGTAATCAAGGTACTCATGATTTTACTGTGGGCAGGGTTGCCAATAAATCTGTCCGTGCGCTCTTATGCAGCTAGACTCCTGGATTTGAACAATCAACGAGTGACCCTACACCATATATGGATGTGTATCAATCCACATGTGGTATTTGCATATAAATTCATTGTTGTTGCCATGATAGATATAGTTTATTCAATGGGTTTCCGTGTACAAAGAATCACCCTACTCTAGGCAGTCGTTATCCATTTGTGCAGCAACCTGCCAAGAACGTGTTTGTGTAACCATCACGTGCCATTTCACTCAGCTCTTCATCTTTCCGTTAATGCAGCCGACACCATCCACCATCCACTAGGAGAAAGCAACTCCACCACGCTTACAGCATATGCAAAACATAAAGATGCCTGTATCTCTAAACTTTACAATGAGACGAGGGGTCTTTAATAGAACCATGTTGCTCGGCGGGGTGAAAGCGATCTTGTGTCAAACTATGAAGTCCATCGTGGCCAATACCAGATTTCGCAATGTCGCTACCAGCCAAACTGGATCTGGGGGTCGACCTCTTCGACGACGACGACCAAAAAAATATTTTTTGGGCTAGTTGCGACATTGAACGCGAAACTTTCACACAAGGTGCTGTTGGCCAAGCCGAGCCCATTGCTCTAATAAAAACCCCACGTTTCATTGTAAAGTTTGGAGATACAGGCACCTTTATGTTTGTAAACGTGATGCTATATGACAAGTGGTCTTTGTTTAATGTAAAGTAGCTGGACCCTGACAGAGCAAAAGATGCAGAGGATCGTGTTGTGTAACACAGCTACGTTTGCATAAATGAAAAGGTCAATGTATAATTACTTTATGGATCATCTAGGAACAGGCATGTATTGCCAGCTAACGGCCACTTTTATCCAATCATCATTGTTGCGAGATCCACTGCATGGGAACGATGCCCCTGCTCTAGACATTCATTTCCATGAGTACAGTAGGTTGATCCGAGCTGATTTGGCTGAGCTACGGTCAAAGAGAGATTACATCAATCCATACATCAGCATACGTGCGAATGTCTCAGCTGATTAATCCTTGTTCGACCGTAACTCAACCAAATCAGCTCGGATCAAGCTACTTGAATCATGGAAATGAATGTCTAGAGCAGGAGAATCGTTCACCTACAATAGAATGCACAAAAGTTGTGAATGCACAAAAGTGGCTATTAGCTGCCAATGTATGACATAAAAGTGAGGGTTGCGTACCTGTCATGCATGGTCCCTGAAGTCCAAACTTTTTAACCCAATTACACAAACACGTCCCTCTGCATCTTTTGCTCGGCCAGGGTCCACCTACTTCACAATGAACAAAGACCACTCTTCACATAGCATCACGCTTACAAACATAAAGGTGCCTGTATCTCCAAACTTTAACATGAAACGTGGGGTTTCTATTAGAGCAATGGGCTCGGCTTGGCCAACAGCACCTTGTGTGAAAGTTTCGCGTTCAATGTCGCAACTAGCCCAAAAAATATTTTTTTGGTCGTCGTCGAAGAAGAGGTCGACCCCCAGATCCAGTTTGGCTGGTAGCGACATTGCGAAATCTGGGATTGGCCACGATGGACTTCATAGTTTGACACAAGATCGCTTTCACCCCGCCGAGCAACATGGTTCTATTAAAGACCCCACGTTTCATTGTAAAGTTTAGAGATACAGGCACCTTTATGTTTTGCATATGCTGTAAGCGTGATGCTATATGAGAAGTGGTCTTTGTTCATTGTAAAGCAGATAGCCGTAGCAGAGCGAAAGATGCAGAGGGGCGTGTTTGTGTCACAAAGCGAGAGAGCTGATCTTGAAGGGCCAATCCTAATGGCGGAGAGTGCATGAAGGACCCCTTTCCTGCCTGTCTATACTAAGGTCCACCTATGGTAGCCCGTATGGAGCCTTTTTCAAGCTAACCATGGCATGGTCAATAAGTTAATATGACCAATGGATCCGGAAGTAACTTGTGTGAAAAGTGCATGTTGCATGAAGCTTGAAAATGTAAATTACTGTTCATCCATCGTCTTCCATCCTACACACAGCATCCATTTACACCAGTCAATTGAAGCAATTTGCTCATCTCATTTTATTGAAGCTCTTTAAGACCATCATCCTTTCTATAACCATACCCACTACCATGCTAATACTTACATAGTACAAGCCGGGACACCACCATCCTCCTTTGATGTCCAAGGTAAAATCATCCAAATCTTTATAGGTGTTGTTTCCATGCTTGGGATCTCGTTTGAGCAAAGGACAGCCATAATCGGATAAACCAAGTGTTCGTCCCAAAGCGTTCTTGATCCTGTCACTTCACTGTGTCCTTGTTACCATAGAAAGATACGTCTACAACGGGTACTTCAATCCATCAACATGCCGTGACTCCTTGTAAAATAACCTTACCACTTTTTATCTTATTTGATACCACCATCATCCATCATTCCCCAGGGATACTTGGTGAATCGTATCATGTTATCAATGTTGCGTGCTCGATGATTGCTTTTGCCGATCCATTGCTACCCGTATCATCCATGTAAACGCATTTCTTGTGATCATTGCCATGGGATCATCCAACGTAACAGGTTCAAAGTGAGGTACGCCTTATATCAAATACACCATTCCCTTTTGCATTGGACCTTGTGAAAATGAATGAACGATACTTTGTTAGCATGCTGGCCGTTTAATAAAAGCAGGAAGAAGCGTTTGGACATACCTAGTTGTGCTGTTCCAGTCATGGGTGGGATCGTAGTTACTCTCTTGGTCAATGAGGAAGTTACATGGGTAACCAATCCTTGTTTGACACGCTCCTCGATTGCTTCTTTCACCGTTGACGTTGTTGTTGTTGCGATGGAAATGGCATCAGTGAGTGCTTTGGAGGAGTCGGCGTTGAGTTGGTGCTGTGAAGAAAGAAGAAACGCTGCCATGGAAACCAACCTGCCAATTCATATACAGCTGCTGGATATATAAAGAGAGAGGAAAATCAACGTACCCGTATGCGTATATGGCAATAGTAGATACGTCTACGACACGCATATTCTCTGCTACAATGATGCTTCAAGCCATACCTTGCACAAAAGGGACTCCTTGAGTGTCTCCGATATCAGCTAAAACTCAACCACTGTTGCTGGTGATCCGTGCACGCTTCACGCATTCCCACCTTCCCCATATAGCAATGGCCCAAGGTACAAGAAGTGTGTCTTTGTGTATGTCTTTTACCATGATCTCTTTAGCTAACATGGTATAAAGAAGGCAACCCATATATGGAATTTTGGTGTCACGCTCCTTTTCAGCCGCAGCAACCATCCGCAGCAACGGCTATAAAAGAACCGCCTTTTTCCTTTTCTTTTCTTTACCCTTCCTTTCCAACGAGGTTTTGGCGCGCAAGACCCGGCACCTGATTCGAGGGATTTAGTTGTAGGGGGCTCCAACTACTTTTCTCGGTCTTCAAAAAAGGTACAAGCGGTGTCCCCAGCACTGCACCTTGTCGACCTGATATTGGTGCCCACAGGTAGAGGTGGGGATGGTTGAGCAGCGACCTTCTCGTGGTCATCCCTGTAAGTACTTGGCCTTTTGGCTCAAGGAAACCAACAGCTGCTTCTTTATAGTATTAGTATTAGTACATAATCATAAATAAACTCTTTTTTAAAATGCACATACTCTTGTCTTTATACTCTAATACCTTGCCAAAGTAACACTGATCGTTGCTGTGATCTCGGTTGTCAAAGTACAACCCTTGACCGATCTCTGTTATGGCCTAAAATAAATGAACATGTCTCTCGTGTCGATTGTAGTCTTGAGCAAGCCGGGGCTATGTGTGTGCGTTTCTTGGTTGTTGTATGGATGTGCTTGTTTGGCTTTGGTTTTCTTCCCCCTCCCCCTTTTCCACATACACAAAGCTTAAACTTTGACAACTTTGACCACCATTCAACCTGCAGCAACATGCTGGCTTATTTTATTCATAATCAAAAAGAAAGTGACTATATTGAAAATGAGATGTGTTTATGCACTGCGTATGGGTGATTGTACTCGGCAAAAGCATGGCTCTCTCGTCACTAACGTCTGCTGGGTGATAGCCAAGTATCCTATCAATGAGACAGTTGCTATGCCGACCTTGACAAAACGTATCACGGCAACGGTTGTTTGGAAGCCTGTTTGGTGTGTGGAAAATTGTCGTCATGTTCCATACAATATACGAGATAGTCAAAGTAGTGGTATATTTATTTCGATAGCCACATAATATTGCATGTAATGTCTACGGTATCGTTCTTGCTTTCGATGTTTTGTGGTAAAAGGAGAGGTGTCATCCTAACATTGAGCTTCCTGGATGCGCCCAAAACATAGTATCACCACTACAAATGGCCTTCTTGACACCATGTCATGACATGCAAATAGAATCGACCCAGGACCTTGTTGAAAGATGCAGCCATGATACCTTCATCACAAGTCCATCTGTATGAAGCACTTTGAGGTTTGCGGATGACGCATGTCAGATCGCTTGAATCCCAAAACAGGAAGTGATGCGCTGGTGTTGACTCAAATTGGGAACCACCGTACACAGGCACATTCTTTGTTTCTCCACACACTCTATACACTGCACCACATCCGTCATCGTAATGCTGCGTCTTTGTTCTCGACCCGTGGCATCTATGTTCAATGGTGTTGCTCGCCGACATGATCCAGCAATGCACAACGCCATCCGCTCGTTATCAGCCTACCATTTTGATACCTTCAAATTCGTCGAACGATTAGAAGCTGAAGGGTTCTCTCGTGAGCAAAGCGAAGCTATCATGGCCTCTTTACGTGAAGTTATCTCTGAGAGGTAGGTGGTGACATCTTTGTGTGTGTGTATGAGATACCTATCTTTGACATCTTTCAAAGTATGACCGAGCTTACCAAGGGCATGGTTACCAAGGCAGAACAAGAAAAGGTAATGGATGATGAGGGATATGTATAGGTTCCAGAGATTAACGTGGATGCGGTAGACTGTATATACATACAAGGTCGACTTTGCACACCTTAAATCCGAGATCCAGCTGTTAGAAAAGAACGATTTTACGATGATGAAAGCTGAAAACGATCGATTGCAGGGTGAGGTGGAAAAGTTACGGCAAAAGCTACGCGAAGAGATTACCCGTACGCAGGCGAATGTAAGGCTTGATTTGCATTTGGAGAAAGGACGTATTCGTGATGAAGCAAGTGCACAAGAAATCAAGATCAAGGAAACGGATACCCGTATCGAGAGTGAAATTGCAGGTTTGAGAACCCAAATGGAAGCCATCAAATTCCAGATCCTGCAGTACATGATTGGTAAGTATTACATGTGAGGGATACTATGGGCATCATGATTGATCATCATCTTCTTATATATCCATTGCAGGTACAATCACTGGTGCTGGAGCTTTATTCCTCGCATACCTCCGCATGTTCCGATGACCAACCAACTACTATTGGCTACGGCTTCCAGATAGACTACTGCATTTCCAATAAACAACATAGTGTACATATAGAATCAATGTTTGAGTGGGTTTATATTATACATTTGGTAATACGCAAACTTTTTCATGAATAAATGCAATGATCATGAATTATATACAAATCTAGTCGTTTTCAGCACGTAGACGCATTTCCTTTCTCAATTGATCCGTCAAGGGCAAGTCCTTTTCGCAACGTTCGCATTGGCACTTGAACATGTAGCTCTTGTCGAGATAATTGGTGCGAGTTTCCTTATCCCAACGGGGGTTTACGTATGTCTCACAGAGTTGATCACCAGCCTTGATATCACGAAGAGCACGGACAGCAAGCTTGTACTGTGACATACGGCCGGGATATTCGATAGCAACGTTGGGCCAGCAGCTGTGGTTCATATGAGATTGAACAAGGTACATGCCACCATTCTGGTTGTTGATGTTGAATTTGCCGAGATAGTTGAGGAAAGTATCTTCGTCTTCAAACAACTCCTTGGCGAATGCTTCAGGCAATGGCACATTAATCTTGCATTTTTTAGGTGGAGGGTTGTATGCCTTGCTCAACAATGTTCTGGCTTTGGTCCACAATTCACGTGTCACGTGTTCCTATATGTATGCGTGCATGCATGTAAGTGCACATGACCTTTTTGGATGACAAGAGGGTGATTTGCTTACCATAAAGATCCATTCCGTTTCCTTGGCTTGACGTTCAGCTTGGTTGACAGTAGCAAAAGCATCATAATGACCCTTGACGGATTCAAGGTTGCCCTTTTGGTGAGCGAGGATCATGTGTGCATACATGCGAGAAACGGCCATAGGCGCTGTCCAACTCTCTCCCTCGCAAAAGTTCATAAAGGTAGACATGGCAGGGTTGAGGCGTGTACATTCGAGTTGATGGAATGATTCCCAGGCGAGGGATTTGCATTGCTTTGTACAGTATACAGTATCACAGTGCGAGCATCGAGCAGCAAGACGGCTTTGACGAAGGAAGGGCTTAGCGCACAGACCGCAAGCATTGCCATCACGAATCAAATTGAAGCCTTCCATAGGTGGGAAATACATAAATGGTGTCTCTTCGAAAATAGTCTCGTTGGCTGCAATATCGCGTGCTGCAAATAGACCTTTGCCGGTTACTGGATCAATCATTTTAGCCTATAGAGCAAACTTGGTTAAGCTAAATGACAACACATTATGTATCACCCTTTAACTTACCACCACATTTGTTGATACGGACTGTAAATCCAATTTGGGATCAATAAAGGAAACGGGGATAGAAGGATCATCTGCCACACCACTCTTCACAGGTTGTTGTGTATTCGTCAAGCCATTCGCCTGAAGCAACTTTTTGACGCGCTTCTCGGAAACGGTCCACTTGGTCTGATCCTGGCTCAATTGCTGGGTCACTTTCTTAATGCCATATTCAGGGTTGCTGATTTTGATCTTTTGAATAGCTTCGAGGAGCTCATCCTGCGATGGAATGATCTTGTCGTCTTCGGCCATTGTGTAAGGTACGAGAGAGTGAAAGAAAAAACCTTGTTGTGGCGGTCTCTCATCCATGTGTGTCACCCGCCCCGTCACTCCGATGAATGGGTTTGCTGTCAATTGTATCCAAGGATACCGGTCAATCATCCCCACCACTACCCTTGGGACAAAGGTCACTACCACGCATTCTCTTGCATCACAATATGAGAAACCAATATTTTGATTGATGAAGTACTCAATGAAACGCCATTGGGACAGCACAGCGCACGTTGCTATGAGATAGAGTCCTTGCTTAAATAGGGCAGGCGATAGTATAAGTCATCAAACAATAAAACAAGCACATTTTCATTACAAAGAGGTTTGTCATTGTCGGGCTGATCCGGATGATGGTATGTGTGTACATGTCTACGTGTATTTGTTGAGTAATCCATGATCCAAATAATCGCGGGGATGGATGAATAACGCTTTTTTGCTGTGTATCCATGATCGAGATTTAGGAAATCTATAGCAAATGCCACGCCCATTCTTGGTTGCTAAAAAAGAATAATGGTGATGCTGATCTTGATATGCGGCTTTGCGTTTTCATGTTGGGCAAAGCATGTGATTTTGCCGTTGGATACAATATAGGGGTGAATGAACTACATCTTTCCGGCTTGGAGACCGGCTCATTGAATGCTTGATACATAGCTAGGAAGGTATCACAGGATGGGCTTATTAGCAAAAGACGTATCCTATCATGATGGTCAAGCCATCTTCAAACATGTATCTATCATCACTCATTTTCTCTATCAAACAACAAGTAAATCAAAGCCATGATAGAATGTGACCATCATGCATTCCACTGGTTAAGGTTTGCAGATCTTGTGAAAATCAACATGTTAGTTTTTGCGCCTCCTCTCCTATACACAAGGGTGATGCATCTTGCAGCAAGTGTGTATTGGTATGTGCTATGAGAACATTTTTCTCCAACAAGCATGTGATATACTGGAATGCGTTTCATCTTGATGACACCGTATCTTTGATAAGCTTACATATGACATGCTTACTGATTTGATGACATTTTGCTATGAAAAGGATTAGTTGAAGCATGCCAATTTGTGTGTGTGATGGTATCGTTGTTGATGATGGCAATAAAGAGAAGAGAGAGAGAGAGGGAGTTAGTTAATAAGCAACACGGACTGTCCCATCTTGCGTAACCATGCTTATGATCCCCCATGTGTGTGTGTGTGTTTTGTGTGTGTGGCAAATGCATGGTATACAAAGCGTAAGGTGAGACAATGAGCACGATGATGCAACTTTTTGGGTTACTGCCAAGAAATTCATTGCAGCATCAGCAGCGGGATAAAACGATGGGATAAGAGCGGCGGGGGTAATATTCACTTTGAGAGTGGATGTGTGTTATAGCTGTCAAAAAAACAATGGGTTTGTGTTGAGAGAAAGAGGCAAGCAAGGAGAATGAATCATCCAATCACAAGGCCCATGAATGGAAAAGTAAAAAAAACGATGGGGGAGAAGGAGGGAAAGATTTCCCCGGCGTGGGATATGAGATTGGGAGTCGGTTTTACATGTGATTTTGCTATTGACTAGATAGCAATTATTGGATGCATGTTTTTAAGAGTTCACCCGTGTAAAAGATAAAGAGAATGGGATATCTGTTATAACATGGAGAAACGATACCAAAGTGTGGGGCAATAGAATAAGATCACATTTCAGATAGCGAGAGAGGAAAGGGGAATAGAAAGCGTGCACATGTGGGCTTTCCCCAACTGCGATCACAAGAAATGCGAATATGTCAAATCAGGTCGGGACCTTGCCTGTTGTGCCACCAGCGTGAATTTTGTCCTTGTCTATCTACTACTCACACACCACCCTTTCTCTCTTTCTCTACTTTTTACTACTTTCTCGCTGTTGTCAATAGCTCATTGAGCGTGTTGCTCTCTTCTTTCTTCCTCATTCAACCTCCTCCTCCACCACCTCCTCTTCCTCAATCGACAAAAGAGAATACCACAACACTATGACTCAGCAATCGCATTCCTCGCCAATGTCCATTACACAGCTGTGTAATTCCGAAGACAAGCCCATTGTTACAGCCAATGGAGTAGACGAGAATGATCCTGATGTTCAATTGGCAGTAGAAGCTCTTGGGGATATGGCTAAAGGTATGTGTGTGTGTGTGTGTGGGTCTATTTATGAGGGTGCCCCAACATCTTGAAACAAAGATACTAAAATAAAATAAACCTGTTGGCCACGTGGATTCTATCGTTTCAGTTACCCTCCCACCTTTGATGACACACCAACAGCAGCAGCAACAACATCCATCAGCTCCTTCAACAACACCAAGTTCACCTCTTCCAACACCCACCACGTCATCTCTTTCCAATTCACGCTTTTCTTTCTCAAGTGATTCTTCGATTACAACCCAAGACGATGAACAATATCCACCACGAGCATTCATGAATCGTATGTCAGATTTGCCTCTTGTGAATTCAGCTCTACGTGCATACGAGAGCGGGAATGGAGCTATCAAATACAGCGTTGACATGGTCGGATCATTTGCAGATAAATTTGGAAACAGCAGTAGTCGCCGCGGCTCATCTGCTAGCTCAGTCGAGGTACAAACAAAAGAAAGAAGAAAACAACATGACATCCATGAATACTTAATACAAAACAATCTTCTCTTAGGAGGCATCAGAAGACGAGGCTGCTCTGGCAGCGGCCAGTGCTCTTGCAAGAGCTTCACTTTCAGACAACAATGAAGGATTCAGGAGGCGACGTCCCGATGAAGATGCACGTGATGATAAATTACGTATGTATTACTAAACATGCGCGCGCTCACTCTCCACTCTAACATTCTCACTCACTCACACTTTTATGTCGTACAGACAAGAAACGCCCTACTTCTCGTTCTACATCGCCTCTTCGACCCTACGCCCTTGCTCCAAAATCAGCTTCAGGTCCACGCCACCATCATCCTCATGCTTCGCTTCCAAGAAGTCGATGGCAACAACTCATGGTGCATGCTGGCTCTGCTGCGGGTACTACAGCTGCCGTCATTAGCGAAGAAAGCATGAAATGTCTCCGATATTGCCTGAGTTGGCTACAGGTACCGTACTTTTTTTCTCTTCCTCTTTGGGAACAATTGCTTATTGTCTTTTATAGTATGCAATCCGACACATTGAAAGACAAATGGATATTGTGCGTAACTACTTGGTGTCGCTTGCTTCTTCCAAGGATACGAAAACCGTTTCCACGACAACATCATCATCAACGCTATCCAATGTGAAAAAGGAAATTGTGGATACACTACGCAAGGTGGTAGAAGTGGTGAGTCGATATGCCGGATCGGGGCTTCCGGAACAAGCCAAAGCAAGCGTACGCCGTTTTATCTTGGCACTCCCTGGTCGTTGGGCTACGATTCAAACTTCAACCACGGCATCACCTGCATCATCGCCTGCTTTGGGACCTCATGTACAGCCTCATGCTCAAGAAACATCTATCAAGTTGTTGACGTTTGGTGATGAGTCCATTGAAATGTTGCGTTCTGTCTCTGGTGTCTTTTCTGATACAATCGATCGTGCTGAATTATGGATTCATCGATTGCGTGTGGTGGGTGTGGCAGGTCCGTCAGCTCGTCGACGTCCACAAAAGAACGTTGCTTCATCATCATCACCACCACCATCATCGTCGTCTGGTAGTAACAGCCCTCAACATGAACAAGATAAAGATGTCATGATGGACACTTCTAGTTGATTCCCCTGTGTCTAGCTTATGATACCTAACACACACCACTCTCTTTTTCACTCATCTCTCTTTTCTCACTCGCACACATTCCATATCACATTCATTCCGTACTCTTTGTGTATACATACATTTCCTTTCCTTTCACTTTTTATCCCTTCTATCATCGAATATATCTCTGCATTCTTCTAAAACAAGTCGTTTTTATTAATGTGCTTGAATGAATGGATGGATGGGACACAATGCAGCAACAACAGGCTATTTTTGACCTCAGATCCTTAATCCGTGCTCCTTAAATCCTTTTCTTTTACGACCCTTTGTTCTATGAGCCAACAACAAAACTACGCAAACTTGAGAAAGATAGTCTCTGGTGATATTATCGTCAAATGTAAATACCCCAACGCCTTCTCATACATGCGTCATTGCTCACTTTGTAGACTTGCAGGTCGTTTCGGTAATGACATTCGGCGTGTGCCCATTAACCAAGCACCAAGCTATGACGAGTAAGTGCATGGCTCCTTTACCAATGAAGCGCATTGAAGAAGCTAACTCACCAGTGTTACTGTATAGACTTTGTCTCATGATGTATCGTCTGTTCAAGAATCGGCTGTCGAATCCCGAGCATATTACACTAAAGTATACTGACGATGGTACGTGTATAGCTGGGCCAAGCTCATGTGATGGATGATGATGTCTCACTCACTAGTAATTTCTCACACACACACACATAGAGGGCGACCTTATCAGCATGACAGGTAACTTAGCCGCTGCTAAGGGTAGGATCATATGGATCATTCAACTTGAATGCAATGGTAGATGATACAGACGTGAATCATGCTATATCCCAAAGTCCATTACTCAAGATTACGGTCTTTGACAAGGTATAGATAATCATCTTTGATGTATTGTATGGTTCTCACCCATTGATTATAGGAAACGAGTGATCCTGAAGTACCCAGCTTACAAGATCTTCAATCACAAATCAAAAAGCTTTCCGAAATGCTTGAAAAAGTGATGGATACAGCACCCGTTGCCAAGGAAACCAACAATCCCTCAGCAGCAGCAGCAGCAGCACCTGAAAAGACATATCGTCAATTGACAACGGCTGAGATGGGTATGTAAAAAGTAGGAGCATATGGATTATGAATAAGGGGACGATATTGATCATATTCGTATAGCCGAGTTTTTGGATGAGCACAAGTTGGATCATATCAACAAAAAGACAGAGACCACATCACCTGCTGGACCCCAACCGATTCCCTCATCTTCTTCATCACAGCAGCAATCAGCTGTTCCTACACCTGCATCTCAGCCGATACAGCATCAGGAACCACAAAGAATACCACCTACTCCTCATACTCAGCAACAACAACAGCACATGTCTTATCCTCCACAGCAACAACAACAACAACAACAACCATATCCTCCTCCTCAGCAACCACCACAACCAGCATCTACTTTTAGCAACACAAACATGCCTCAACCACAACCATCACCTTCTTATCCACCACCTACACCCCAAACACCTGTGAACTATGTTCCTGAACAACAACAACAACAACAACAACAACAACAACAACAACGTCCACCACCACAACAGCAACCACCACCACCCCCTCCTGTACCAGCAACTCCCAATTATACACAACAAGGTGGATATCCAGTTTCAGCACCATCTGCCCCTCCACCTACATCACAATACTATTATCCTACCCATCAACAACAACAACAACAATATATACCTCCAGCTGGAAGGCGATAGATGATGGATGTAGTAGTACATAGTATTGGCACAGAATAAATTGCTCCAAGGCCTCTGATGTTTTATCGTCTTTTAATTCATGCCTCGAATGGATCAAATGCTTTACAAACTATTTACAAAAGAGGGTTTTACTTGAATAGAGGAGTTGTGTGTGTGAGTGAGTGAGAAAAGACAAGTGTAAGACCCAAAGAAGAGAAAGAGGGAGAAAGGAATGAATGGTTAGGAAAGGTCATCATTCAGTTAACTTGTGTCGTTTGATTGAATAGAAATCATCCGGCTAATAAAAGAAGGGGATGGGTTAGAAACGACAAAGGCTGCTGCTGCTGTCAATCTACTTACCATATCATAATCGAAATCTTGGCCATTGTCTTGATCAAATTGATCAAACGAACGCTTGTCACCCGTCATCATCGGCATATCCACTAATCCATATGCTGGTTGATGCTGAGGAACCATGGCCTCCTGTTGTTGTTCATGAGGCATCATCATTTCATGTCCTGACAAATCGGTGCCTGATGTTGGTGGTGGTGCTGCCAATACGGGTTGAGGTTGAGGTGGAGGAGGAGGAGGAGCTTCACTGATAGGCACTTGCTTCAATCCCTTTACAGCACACCACTTGTTGAACTCGGTTTCCAATGAACGTCCCATTTCAGATACGACATCGTCTGGCAAGTTGAAGGTGAAACAATTGATAAACACTTGTTGGACATCAGCCAAGAATGCATCCACATCTGGGTATTGACCACGGTTGAGTTTGTTGCGAATCGTACCGAAATCCATTGGGTGCTAGAATAAAAAAAACTCAATAAGGACATGTTTTTTGTTTCCATGGAAACACACAACACAAATTACCTTGATCACGTCAAAGTACGTAGGGACTTGCAATAACACAGGATCAACGGGAGCAGCAAATGCAAAGTACGATTGATGTTGACTGATCTTATCCAATACGTACTTGTACTTTCGTACTTCAGCCTTGGGACCCTCTGCTTTGCTGGATGATTGCTTTGAGCTACTGCTACCACCACTTCCTCCACCACCAGAAGATTTCGCCTTGGGTGCAGAGCCATTGGATGCATTCGAATGGGCTAAATTCTCCTCCATCTTTCGCAAACCAGGCACTTCCTTGTTAAAGATCTTTTCCAACACCTTGGCACTCTGTGACACTGGATGATCGAAACCATTGAACGTATAACAGTTGGTAAAGATCAATCGCATATCCGTCTCAAAGTCCTTCACAGTCTTGTATTCTCCCGATCTCAATTTCTTATCCCTATAGATATTAGAATTAGCCATGTGCGCAATTTTTCGTGAATTGGTTCATTCAACAACATACATTGTACCAAGATCCATAGGGTTCTTGATAATGAGTGGATAATGGGGAATATTCAAGGCAACGGCATCAACCTAAATAAATCACGTATGAGTCATTTACCTCATTCAACATGTCCACCAATATCCCACTTACCGGTTCCAAGAATGCAATGGCAGAAGCATTATTCATCAATTTGACAAGTAAAGACTGCAACTTGGATTGTAACGATGGATGAAGCTTGGCTGGAGCTGCGGGAGACGTGGGACTATTATTGCTGGTCGAAGGATGTTGCTGCTGCTGTTGTTGCTGAGCTGGAGCAGGTTGCTTTGTAGATTTGGATGGTGCTTTGGCAGGTGTCTTTGCTGATGCTTTCACCTTGCTGCTTGTACTTGGATGTGTCTTTGCAGGTGGTTTAGCAGCTGCTGCCGTGGTGGCTGTGGTTGTGGTCGTCGTTGCCGCTGTCGTAGAAGATGAAGAAGGAGCAGGGGAAGCGGATGTACGACGTTGATTGGCACTCGCACCTGAAGCGTTCTTGACACGTTGTCGCAACTCTTTGCCGATATTGCTGTTGTAGTACTTTTCCAATTTCTTGCCAAGCTCATACGCATAAGTGCCTGATTTGTTGTATGTGCAGCAATTGGAAAAGACTAATCGAATATCCGTATCGGCTTGTTGCAAGCTCGTGTACTTTCCCGATTCAAGCTTTTCAGAGATGGTACGTAAATCCATGGGTGTCTTGACTACCTTGGTATAATCCGGGAAAATATCCAAATCCACAGGCTCATTAAAGAACAAGGATGCCTCGTGTTGTCGTAACTTGGTAACCACTTTGCGCACAAGCTGGAACTCTTCACCTTGCAACATGTTGGGATCACCATATTCCCGACGCCATTCTTGATTAAATACAGCTTCCAATTCTTGAGCTTGTTGTCCAATCCACGATGCGATATCATTGAATCGATAACAATTCCAAAAGATTTGTCGAATATCTCGCTCAAACTCCCATATCGTCGAAAATTCTTCGCCTTCAAGATTACGACGCACCGAAGATAAATCCATGGGTCGTTTGATCACCTCGTAATACTGTGGGAGGTTCAACGCCTCAGCATCAACAGGCTCATAAAAGGCATTTGCTGATGGCATAGACCAAAGCTTTTTGATAATTCGATCACATATCCGCATGTTGTTATCATCCATACGCTCCTGGATGGCGGCTCGTGGCTTGGGTGATGATGTTGTTGTACCATTAGTTGTTGTTGCTGCTGCTGCTGTAGTAGTAGTAGTTGTAGTAGCTGCAGGGGATGGTGTTGGTTTGGTGACCTTTTTAGTCGACGGCTTTGTTTCAGTAGCTGTTTTAGTAGGTGTGGTGGCAGCTGGTTTGGGTGTTGTCTTGGCAGGTTGAGAAGATGATAGTGCGGTAGATGTTGACATAGTAGCATTTTTCTCAATGGATGCTGACGATGGTGTATGTGGTCTTGGTGAGTCGGCTGCCTGCTTCCTTAATGCACCAAAGCAATTGATCCACTCTTGATTATACACTTGCTCCAAATGTTTGCCTTCATTGTGTACGATCGTGTTGGGTTTGTTGTATGTAAAGCAATTGCTGAACATCAGCCGAACATCATCATCAAATTGCTCAGCATTCGCATATTGATTGGTCTTGAGCTTGGACTTGATGGTCCCCAAATCGATAGGCTTCTTGATCACATTGAAGTAATTGGGAATACCTTGCTTCTTTGGATCAACAGGTCGAAGGAATTCAAATGCATGCTTGTTCTCCATCGTCTTGGCCAAAACCAATGCACACTTTTCTCGATCATTCTTTGGTCGCTCAGGCTTCTTTTCAAGCATCTTGGGTGACACCGTCGCAGGTAGTTGAGTCGATGATGCATGAACAGGTGAAATGCTACTGGCAAGTGATTCAGGGCGTGGCTGTGCTGGTGAAGAGATAGGTGATATGGAGCTGGGCACTTGTCCTTCTGCAGCTGATGTTGGTTGGGTCTTCTTGGCAGGTGGTGATGGTGGTACAGCAGCAGATGCTTCAACTTTGGATGGGGCAGGAGATCCTTTGGATGGCTGTTGTTGTGTTGTAGCAGCAGCAGCTGCTGCTGCAGCAGCCTTTTCCTTTTCCATTCGCATCTTTTCCTGTAACTTGGCACGTGCGGTAGCGATTTCCTTTTCAAGAGCGGTCTCCAAGCTTTGGCCAGCATCGTAAACAGGTGTACCAGGTCCATTGTACGCAAAACAATTGCTCAACATCAACCGAATGTCATCCTCAAGCTCTTTGAATGTCTTGTAAACACCCGTTTCCAATTTGCTCTAGAAATATTTAATTAGCACCATTATCTTGCTTGAGACATCAACATGCTGCATGATTAAACATACCCTTACAGTACCAAGATCCATGGGTCGTCTAAATAATACAAAGATAGGTTAGCATGAAGACTCTATAAAAACATGAATCACAATGTGGACGTACTTGATAATTGTATAATAATTGGGAGCACCATCCAATTTCTCATCCACAGATTGCAAGAATGGAATAGCTGATGGATGACGCATGATCTTCAATAACACCCGCTTGCACATCTTGAAATCAGTCGATGTCATTCCCTCAGGACGTTTGGTAGTGATCTTTGGAATATTCAATCCAGGTGCCTTATCTCCTGAAGGACCAACAGCTTGTTGTTGTGGTGTTGCTGCTGGTGGTGTAGGTTGTGTGGACTCGTTGTTGGTAGGCACAATAGCTGGTTGTGATTTTGATGGAGGCGGTGCCGGAGTAGTGGGTGTTCCAACTGTTGTTGTAACTGAAGATGTAGCAATACCGGGCGATGAAGTAGCTGGCGAGGATGGACTAGAAAGAGCTGGAGAAGAAGAAATACTTGCGCGATCGGCTTTGGCAACTGCTGTAGATAATGCAGGCTTCTTCTCTGGTCGCACGCCATCTATAATAGAAAGGTCAACACATCTTGTATCCAAGAAATGATTAAAGTACTTACTTTCTTTCTCTTTTGGCGTAGAGGGTGTTTTGGATTTGTGAACCTTGGCTGGCTTTGAAACAGGAGGTGAGGGCGTGGGTGGTTCTGATAGCTCCTCTGGTATATCTTGTACAAGTGATGGCATACGGATTGTAACTTTGATCCCAACGTCAGCTGGCTTGTACATGTATTCACAGAATTGTAGCAGATGCTTGCGAACAGAGTGATCCAGCATCGAGTTTTCATCAGTGCTATTCAATTGACTTGCCATTAGTTTAGTTCAACAAGGAAAGCAATATGATTTTAGGTACTCACTTTAGCATCCTCCATATGGTATCTTGCAATTCCACATTCGATTCAAATTGCTTCCGAAGATTCTCAATATAAAGCTGCTCGGCAGGTTCCTTGGACTTTGAATGTCGTTTGTCATCGAGGATCACAGCACGACCTTCTTCTTCTGCAAACTCTTCAACAAAACGATTTTGCGGCAATTCGGATTTCAAACGCATAGCAGGGCCAAGCCAGGTGAGCATTGCACGTGCAACATAGTGCGATACATCGACACATGGATCATCCTTGATCACGTTCAATAGGTACTCCGTCAACTTGTTATCGTTCAAGCCGCAAAGCACGAATAAGCTGTCGAAAGCACAAAGTCGAATGCCAACAAAATTCCCATATCTAAACGATCGATGTAAGTATGAATTTTCCTCAACACCCATATACCCGTAACTCACCTTGTGTATTGCATAAAGAGCTTATAATTGGGCTCAAGCACGCCATTCAACATCATTTTTGTCAACGTCTAGTATATAGGTATTAGTGACACAAAGCACCTTTTCCCATCATTGGTAACACACCTTAATACAGCTGATAGTGACAATATTGTGATAAGTAGGGATCACGCAATCAAGTGTCCTGAATCGCTCAATCTCGGATACTGCTGCTGCTAAAAGCTGCTCATCTTGAACCGTTTCCACTGGCACCATGTCAACATCCATATCGTTCGTGTTCTCTTTGGCGGGAATGAAGGCGTCACCAACAGCGGATATAAGGGTAGCAATGTAGTAGCTATCGGAATACTAAAGAAGGAACATAATGTGTGAGATCCTAAACGAAACTAAATAAATGATCCCTTCTTACCTCATTGCCAATATTGTCATTGTACTTTAGCAGGTCTAATAACAATTGGCGTACTTGAACCGGTGTTCGACCATGGTTGTCGCGTACTTGTGAGAATGCAATGACCATGCCTTTTTGCACAAAGTAATCTGAAAAGTTGCTGAAATTGTTTGGCCTGGGTATCATTTGGGTGACAGGAACATCATCGTCAATTTCCATGGGTGAGTCTTGTTGGGGGAAGCAGTAACGCGACTGGAACATTTTGCATAATTGGTGTAACCCGACCCATTTCATTTCTTCACCACCACACTATAATTGTGTGTAACCTGTCAATAAACCTTGTTTCTCCCAAATACCGATCACCCATGATTTCTTTACCTTGGCCAATGCATAGGCAGCTTCCATCCGGATTTTGTAAAAGCATTTTGGATCAATCAAAGCACGAAGCAAGCTGGTTGCTGTCGGTAAGGATGGCATATTCCGAAGAGCCATAATCGCCTATCATCATCATTGCCACAACAATGAGGATTGCATTGTACCTCCATGTATGTAAAAGATTGAATCTTACCTCGTATTGTGCCACCACATCTCGATCCTTAGTCAATTCACCAGCCCACATATAATCAGGTTGTTGGAAATCAATCGTGCACAGCCATTCAAAGTCGGCATCAAGGCGGATCCAATCAAACATAGCACTAGCAGCACCACTGGTATCTTCTTCATCTTGACCCCATTCCACTACCTTCCACGATTGTCGTTGCTTGGGATCTTCAAATACGGGCATACCAAGACCAAGTGCAGGAATAATGCCGAGCACATTGGTTGTACCACCCTCACCATCTTCCTTGTCAGCGGCATCTTCTTCAGCTACAGCAGCGGCAGCAGCGGCTTGTTTGGCAAGGAAACGTTTGGTGTTACGACGAATACGCTTATACTTGGTGTTGAATTGAACCTCAAACTTGTGCTTGTTGGATTGAATGTCCAAAATATGCTCATAGGGTGTGCCGTCGGCTTCGTGGATACGCACTGTCAAGTTGCCGGTGAACAAAGGCGCGATCATGTCCTGATAGTCAATGGTGCCACCTTCAATATGCATATCGTTGGGAGACTTGGTTCGATTTTTGGTGCCTAAAAGCTGATGGTTGCTGTTTTCTTGTCGCATGTAAAACTCAACCACCATCTTTTTGCGATTAAAGTGGAATGAAAACGTAAACTTTGGACAACCGCTGCGATAGATCCACTGATCGGCAAACGTCTTGGTGTCAAAGCCGCTCACTTTGCGACATAATCGTAAGAAAAAGTGGGTGCTCAAAGCGTTCTGGACAAGTTCTCCACTGATAGCTGATACACGGATCTTCGGGATGACACGTGACATGCCAAGGGTGGCTCCCAATTTGCATATCCGCTTGTCGAGCATATAAAGAACCAAGGGTGCTTTCAATTCAATAAATTCAAGGTCGTCGGCATCGAGTGGTGACGGCAAGGCTGGATTATACAATGGCGGTCGATTCACATCAAGCTCACAACAAAGTTCCATATCCTATCAAATATCCATGAATATCCTATCCTATCCTCTTTCCCTTGATAACATACCCTTTTCATGCGTAGCCGGAATTCACTATTACCCAAATGTCGTTTGATAAAGAGAGCACCCATGAGGTTGGCAAGACCATAAATGAGCCAAGCGTCGGCCCATGACTTTTGTACAATGTGGATGCCAAACCATTGCCGTGCCAGTGCAAGACTAAGGACGCGTCGCGTTTGGTATGTCTGATCAATGATATCACCAGAATGTAATAACCGTGAACTACAAAAAGGTCGTTAATATTCATAAATCCTCTTTCCCCATCATTGAATGAGCGTACCTGCAGATGGCAAGTGAAGCGCTTGAACTAGTTTCACACCATACATCCTCAACAAAGACAAGCTTGTAGTCATGGAAAGGATAAGAGCCATATTCTTGAGGATAAAAATGCATTGCCTATCGTTTTTATTTGTGTCAGTAGTTGGATCATGGTACGTAAAAGAAACAAAAAGAAACTTACATGCATCAAGAACCCGCAGCTGACAGCCAATTCTTCTTCTCGTCCAGGAAGTCCAAAGGCGTATATATTTGACATCATGTTGATTTCGGCCATCAAGCTTTGTTGTTGACTTTCATCAAGATCAGTGCCTGTCAAGACCTCCTCTTGGAATTGTGCTGGGGTGAACTTAAGCATCTGGAAAGGACCCACTGCAAAGCCAATAAAAGGTGCAGCTGTTGGCGCCGACAAGTTGTAATGTACAATCTTTTTGGATGGATCCGTTGGATGGGCCACCTGAACAAACACATGTTACTTAATGGCGTATTCTCCCATAGATATCCTCGTAATTTCACATACCTGCTCCACAACTTCACCACTGCATACAACCACAGTAGGATATTCATCATCACCCATGTCACCATTTCCACTGCCATCGTAATCTCCAGCGAGTGCTCCCAGCTTATTCGGTACAATAAACTCCATATCCCAAGTACAGCGATCATGAATCCGGTCCATGCATGGCAACCAAGCACGCGTTGCTCCAGGCAGCGGTTGATTAATGGTATATAAGTGGTGGTAACGCTACATGTGTATGTTAGAAGAAGAAGATCGATTCAAATGGATCATGTATACACTCACGTAAGGTGCGACGACTTCATCGGGATCGACAAATATTAAACCATTCCGCGGATTTTCCAATTCGTAATCAATCCGAATCACCACTGGAGCAAAGGATGGTGTTGTTTGAGAGGTTGTTGTTGTGTTTTGCAATGGTGTGTCATCTGGCAAGTCTATAGGTGGATTATAAACGTTATAAGCATGATGGTTCCATACCATTCGATTCGATATCCAACACAACTTGCCTGATATTGAATACATGTCGCTTGAAATCATCCTTGCATCGGCATCAGATATCTAATGAATGGAATGGGGATTTCATTGTTATTCAATACCATGACCCACTTTCCTCATCCCACCCCCCTTTTCATTGTCGTTGATCTGCCAATGCATGCTCCCTTTTATAATATGCCGTCGTACCTGTTGAATGCATCCCTCGGGTATCCTCACAAGAAGCTCTCCTTCATCAGCCTCTCTCAAGGCATTAAGATATCGACTTTTGTAGACATGATGGTGTGCAACTGTGGTATTCTCGCCTAGCGTGAGTTCCGACACTGGATCCGAATAGCTATATTCTGCCGGATCGCCATTGACTTTGACACGTAGGATCTCTATAGTCGTAGGGTGGTTAGAGATATTATCCGTAGTAGTCTAGCTGTTGTCATTCAAGTAAACGTACTGCATTGCCGACTGTTGATCCGTACATTGGGCAACTTTTTTTGGAGCGGCTGGATGGTAAGCTCTGCAGAGCCCTATTCATTGTACACGTGAAAGAAAAGAGAGAGAGAGAGAGTATCAGTCGCATGTTGCTTTCATCGAGTTGCTATCACTATTGCAATGTCGTCGTTCTCGGTGGTGTATTGTATGGTATGGAGTGGTGTGTGTGGGTGGGCGATAGGCTGTACCTTTATAAAGCGCCTACTTGGATCAATGTCTAGCACGAACCGTTCATGACTTGTATAAAGAGCCAAACAAGAAAACAAGAACGCAATGTCAGTCTAAATGCCGTGATGGACGAGTGGAATAGACAAAGGATACTTATAATGTGAGTGTTTTCATCACAGTAGGCCACAACTGCGAGACGGGTTGGTGGTTGCAGCACTTAAGACTTGAAGTAAGGAAGCACCTCTCAATCCGCAAAGCTGAGTGACGTAAGCAATCAATCTCAGAGAGTAACCGTGCGCCTCCTCCCCTTCGCTTGTCCCACAAGCTGCATTGACTTGGCACCCTCCCATTGACCATCCTACTACTACAACTAGTACTATCACTCATACCATTCAATATACATGTATTTCAAGTATGCCTATGATACTCCAATAAATTGTTATACAATCGTTTTGCTATACCTTTGAAGACTCTTTTGGTATGCTTGACAACCTCATTCTTTATTTTCCCACCGTTTCTTTAACCACACAACTACCACGTGATCTTGTACTTACATTCGTCAACCTTTCTTTTGCCTTCTGCCGATCAGGAGTATACTTCATGGTCCAAATGGTACCAGTGCCCTCTTGGCGTTATTAAAGTAAATCACTTGAATTGATAATGGTGCTATCAGGTGTATGAAAAGTTGGCTCACGTCTTGGACAAATCGAGACTATGGCTACTCAACTCGCTGCTACCTCTTGTATCAACATCTGGAAGGCGGGAAGCTGTTCGTGATTATCAAGCATAACAATGCCCAACATGGATTACACACAAGAATTTGGAAGGAGGCATCAAGATAATACCAGGTTAATATTATGTTTTTTCATTGTAAGCTAAGAGCTATCAATTGAGTGAGGCAGTTTATTATGTATCAATGTAAATGTTATATGTCTATTCTTATGTTACAAGAAGCTTGTATACACCTTTATTAATGGTAGAGTGATGGGTTGTCAATGTTAATGGAAGACTACAGGTAAAACATGGCGAATGACGAGACGCGTTGTCGCGTGGTATCTAATGACTGCGCCCTGTGTGGCATTTTCAAGCGCGTATGCACGCGTACCTTAAATCTTCATTTCGGCGGAGAGGGCATGGAACAACACTCTTTCATCGACGTTGCACGCTGATATCAGGGAAATGAAGCATGGTCACCACTGCTCGAACAGCTAAAAGAACACAAGTGGCTAGCTCTCAGCAGAGGAATAAACGTCAACGCGATAACAGCACTACTCCTTCATTGACCTTGCAGCATTACTTTAAAAAGACATCGTCTTCCTCGCAACACGATAACAGCAGCACCCACAACACGCAACAACAAACTTCCTTTGAAAGCGATCTGGAACGTGCAATCGCCTTGTCATTGGCGGAATCGGCTTCAACATGCATAGCAACAAACGATATTGACGACCCAGCAGCATTGTCACTTCACCATGACGACGCAGGAACTGCGCACTTTCACGCTGATACGGCCATATCCGATGACATCGATTCACTTTTGGATAACAACATTGACAGCAATATAAAAAAAGAAGCAGATGATATGGAAGCCAACGTTGATATCAACATCGCCAAGGAAGCAGGAGATGATCCAGTTACGCCTATTGAAGACGACGTTGCTACGGGCATGAAGAATGAAAAAGCGACAAATGATACGTATCAGCAGTGCCCAGTATGTCAAGCTTCTATCAATGCCGAATCGATCGATACCATGAATGAGCACATCAATCGTTGTTTGGATGGAAGTTTGGTAAAGGAAGAGGTGCATAGCAACAGCAACAACGTCATGGCTACCAATGATGCGACAAAGAATGACACAAAGTCTTGGTTCCGAACCATGGAAAATGCCATCCGCGGTGTCCTCGGCCCAAAAGAAAACAGCAATACGATCAACAACCCAGCAACGAATCATTCATCCAACGACAAACCATCATCGTCATCATCATCAACAAAGGGCAAACAAAAGCGCACATGTCCATTTTACAAATGGGTAAAAGGTAAACAATGAAAAGTACGTTTCTTTGTGTTCAAAAAGCTAAATGATATGATTGAGCAGATACGACCCTTGTGGTGGATGCCTTTACGTATGGCAAGATTCCCGATTGCACAGGTTATTTCTTATCCCATTTCCACAGCGACCATTATGGTTACCTCGGCAAGAAATGGGCTCATGGCACCGTATATTGTTCACAAATCACAGCCAATCTTATCCAGCAGAGGTTGGGTGTCGGCCGTCGTTATGTGTGTGCGCTACCTATGAATGTCAAATACCCCTTGAGTGATACTATCAATGTCAGCCTCATCGATGCCAATCATTGTCCTGGTTCAGTTCTTTTTCTTTTCGAGATATTGCGACCGGATGGTGTTGTCGTGCGACATTTGCATACCGGTGATTTCCGTGCCACGCCCCAAATGTGCCTTCATCCTTTGATCCGCCAACCCATGAATCCACCCATTGATACGCTCTATCTCGACACAACCTATCTCGATGGTCGTTACATGTTTCCAATACAAGAGGACGTGGTCCGTGCAGCATGCGACATAGCTCATGAGCAATGTTTTCATCAACCCGTACAACAACAATTGCAGCTGAAACCTGCCACAACAACAACAACAAGCAAAAGTAGTGCCCTTGTGGGATGGCTTCAATCATCACAAAAGCCTAAGGTTGACCTCGTCACGGATGAATCAGAAGGCACATTGGCAGCAATGAAAATGACAAATGCACGACCCAAGTCCAAAGTCCTTGTAGTGGTTGGCACTTATACCATTGGCAAAGAAAGGGTGTTTTTCAGTAAGTTGGTAGTTGGGGGATATCAAAATAGACCACGTATTCATCCATGCTCTATATTAGACATCGCAAAGAGGCTTGGAAGCAAGATTTATGTAAATGAAAAGAAACGCAAGATCTTGGCATGTCAAGAGAACAAAGAGCTGGACTCCCTCTTGGTAACCGATCCACATCAAGCACAAGTACATGTACTGCCACTGGGAACTTTGAAGATTGATGTATGTATATATATTGTGTATGTCATTGTGTTCTTCCTCTAATGCATATATAGTTATTGGAGAACTATTTGAAGGGGATGCGACCTCATTTTACATCATTGATTGCTTTTCAACCAACGGCACAGACTTTTCGACCTTATGGCTCACCATCAATGGGGCCGCCATTATCAGAAATCATTGCTCAACCTCCCAACCGATCCATTGTATTGAAACCATTAAGAGCATCCACCGCCACAGTCAAGCTGTATCCTATACCCTATTCAGAGCACTCAAGCTTTCGCGAATTAGCAGCATTCATTGGAAGCTTAGAAATCCGACGCATCATCCCCACCGTCAATAACCGAGACGAGGCTTCCCGAGAACTCATGTTTGCTATATTAGATGGATGGCAACAAGACAAAAAGAAGGAACAACTAAATGGCATTGTGCCCTATCAAAGCGAACATTACTGGTAAAGGACGACATGATGATGCCCTCTCGTTTGTATTTATCATCCACCACCATTCCATATGTGTATAAATGTATTCACTCCCATCATCCTTTGAAATTAAAATACCATTTAATAAGTATTTGTGAGAACGTCTACCAAACATTTTGAACCACAGGGATTTCTGGAAGATTGTATGGATTCTTCAACTGGTATATCCACCATTCTGCGGTTGTTTCGATCGTCTCAACATCAATCGAGGTTTCAATTGGGTCGGATGATGATTTGGTGACATGATAAGTGATGGATACAGGTGTCAGTGAATCGAAATTGGCATGGTCACGGTAATCGATTTCAGAGGTGGCTCTTCTTCCATAAAGAGGAGGAGTAATTGTAAGGTTGCTTATGGGCTTGGCAATCTCCAAGTTCTTGTTGACGACTTTTGTGAGGTAGAGTTCAAGTAGGATATGAGGCTCCTCTGTTGTCGTTGTTGGTGTATCGTTGGGTATGGTGATGGCACGCCCCTTTGTTGATTTGGCGGCTTTGAATTTATCTTCTTCGTCCAATGGCATGGCAACGAAGCGTACACACAGCGTATCCGGATCCACGCTCACGTGATCTCCCAGTATCCGACGTTCTTGGCACACAATATCATGTTCCTCACCATTGGGCGTATCAATCTCACAAGTAACGTTAATCTACAATAGCCATCCGATAACATTAGTGAACGTGAAGATGTTGTTTATCTTTTGCTCTCACTTGCATATAGCTTCCACCCCTCATTTTGCACATGGCGCGTGATGCGATGGGTCAAGATGGGTGCGGACAAATGGGCATAGAATGTATTCAATCGTGCCATACAAAGAAGGTCTCGGTCAGTGGTATAGTCTAGTATCCTGTTAAGGATTTCATGTGGAAGAGTGGATAACTGAGTAGGTGATAGTAGGGTTGTCATTCGAAAGAAAGTAAAAGTAAAAGCCTAATCAAGGATACGCACAAGGGTTTTTGTCCTGGAGACCACATGATTATGCATTTCTGCTCTACCCATAGCTCTCCCTCTCAGTGAAAATGACAACTCGGAACGTCAACAAGCGGCATTATCTGACAAGCCATTTCCGGTACTACTACTTTTTCCCCTTTTATCACCGCCGACACTTTTAACAGCTTTCTCCTTCACGTTGATCGATTACTAAGCATGAGCACTGTACCCCATTCCGAGCCCCAAATGAAGGCCGATCTTGAGTCATTGGTCTACTTGGAAGAAATGTAAGCGTCTCGCGAGAATAACAAGAGAGTTGGTGCTAAGTGGGTCCTTGACTAGGTTCCAACACTATGGTCACGAGGATGGATTACGAGATGGCAAGGAGTCTGGTGAACTTGAAGGGCGTATCTTTGGATGTGAAAAGTCATTTGAATTGGGAGTTGAAGTGGGATTCTATGAAGGATGTGTACAAACATGGCGTGAGTTAGCCGAAGCTCATGGAGACAAGGTTTCTAGCAAGTAAGTGACCCATTTCCCTCACCCACATGGATCTATCTCGAGATTAATTCTACTATGATCGTTATAGAGTATCAAAGCATCTCCAATCCTTACAAAAGATGATTGATGAATTTCCTCGCGAGAACTGCCCGAATACAGACATGTATGGTGCACGCGACAAGATGAAGGCCAAATTGAAAGTGATCACATCTCTGCTCGGCGTACGACAAAAGTTCAACATGGAGGATCCACCTAAAATGATCTATTAAGCATATCAACCATCTCTCGCATACCATCCAATTTTGCTCTTTCATCGTACATTAATGGCCTACAATAAATAACATCCATCACTATGCATCTACGTCTCATTTATTGTTGTCATGGAAACGGCTTTAGCCTAACTTGGATCATTTCATGGAATATTTATCCTACTTGACAAATCATAGATCAACATCTTAATTGCCTTATCCAATGCTTGCTCACAGGGACATCGTTCAATTATACGTGTGCTGAAGGTGGTGTCGGCAATCGGTCCGAGACACTATCATCCCCAAGAACAAATATCAATGACACCGTTGTTCTTCTTTGTTTTGTATGAAATCCAATAACGAAACCAATATTACATCATTCATATAGATCATATGGCTTGCTTTGAGTGACAATGTATACGCACAAATTCATTCATTCATTCACTTTACCAATCTGTGTCGGGCCGATGACCCGTTTCACGTGGGGGAGGTTTTCTCAGGGGATCAAAAGTTGCGGCTGTAAAAAAGGATGCCCGCCATTTCTTTGTGAACCAGCTTGATGCACGATCACTGTCACCAGAACGTGCCAACAAACAAGCACACGCGCACACACAGATAACAATACAAATTTAACTTGATCATGTGCCCATTTGAGAAGAAAGAGAGAGAGAAATGAAGACCATAATACAAATATTTATGCTGCATCTCTCAGCAGGATCACCCTTTGCATAATAATTGCTGCGCACATACAAAGCAGCAGCTGTAACAGCAATAATCACGTTGATCCATGCTCAAAACACACACATGTGCATACATCGATCGCCCAAACACTGGAACAAACAGCAAGTCAAGCATATGGGATGATGTATTACAGATGAAAGCAGGTACAAGTGTGCGTGTGCGTTTGGTATGTGTGAGTTGCTAAAGAGAGGTTGGGTGGTGGTTGATCTGTATGGTGCTAAAGAAGGATATAGATAAAAGTAGGGTGGTTGTTGGGGGAGCGTGAGGGGATCCATTTTCACAAGGAAGGTAACAATACACGGCAGATACGGTACCGGATCCCGAGATATGAAAGATAATCAGCGCCAGGAAAGACCCGTATACGCTCAACACCAGGAAAATGGCTATCTTGGATATCAACGAATACACCATCCAATTGAAGCGTTCTTTCCAACTTGAGGTGACTTTGAGTATCCAATGGGATCCATTGCGAGTTACTGAAAAACATCCATTGCGCTTGAAAACTTGGAGGTTTACTCCCACTGTTACTACCACCTCCTCCATTCCCCATGTTCCTGCTGCTGGTTCTTGTAGCAAGGTAGGCTTTGGAGGTATGAAGCGGAATTCCACATGCTGAAGATGATCTTTGAGGATTTTTCAATTGAATTGATGGGAGTGATACAGCATCATTGCACTTTTTGTTGCATGACGATGACGATGATGATGAGCTGGTTGGCATTGTAGCCTTGGTACGGTATCGAGGATAATGAGTGGTTGCCGTTGTAGTAGTACCAGCCTTTCGAGAATAAGGGTGTGGATGTATAGAGTGCCGCTGCTGGTTGTATCCAATGACTTTGGTCTCACCAGGTTGAATGGATTCTCTCATGAGCATATAAGGAAGGATGGAAAGGGAAAGAAAAGAAAAAGCAATTGGATGGTGGACCTGTATATATAAGCTGAGAAGAAGAGTAACAAGAACAGCAAGGGTGTACAAGAAAGAGTATTTGTTGGCTCTCCAATAGTGGAAGCACCATAGAAAAAAGAGCAATCAATTTTTGTTTGTCATGAGATCATTTACATTGCCTTCGATTGTCGGTTTCATATGACCACCTTGGCAGAAGAGGAATTGCATGTTCCCCTGATCATAAAAGTCTAATTGAAGATGATGATGCTATATCCACACTAATAGCATTGCCGAGCCATGTTATGAATTATCCCTTTTAATGTCGATTGTTGCAGCTTTATGGGAACCGTGGTGCAACTGCGTGATGCAAATACACTGTGCAACGCTTGGTGGTGTATGTTGTATTGGTCTCCAAAGTCGCGTGAAGCATCATGAGCATCGGTTTGTTATCGCCCAAGCACTCACGTACTTTGCCCCTTTTTGTTTTATCGTTCACGTGGTCACTTGCAATAGAATTTGGTGCCTTCTGATCTTCATGTTGTATTCATCAAATGAAATTACACGCTGCCATGTCGATCCTCTCTTTGCATTCAATGTAATGCTGCTCACCCGCTCCTTCCTTTTAGATAGATGCGAAAGCAAGGTATGCAAGAAATGCGTTATTGGTATTTGGGCATTGATCTACCTTGATTATAGGCACATGTATTGAATCCTATGCATGCATACATTCATTGTGTGTTGTTGATAAAGCATTATCTTTGTCTCTCTCTCCCTTCATCATCAAAACACATTCGTTGTATACAATCACCAACGTTTTCCTTTTATGGACATCCTGTAAGTTTCCCTCTCTTTTTAAAGGAGGCAAACCTAATAACCTATCATTTTCCACAACAAGACAAAGGTAAGCTTTACACGTCATGGTACAAACAACAAGCTGGAATAAGCTTGTGTCCCATTACACCAACAGCTAGCTCTAATGCAATGCACGATGCAGCATATGAAAGAATCCATACACCCACACCCAACCATATCCACAATCCTGGATGTGGAATCATCATCCTTTGTGCCAATGTCACTGGATTACTTTATATTTACGGCATGTGTGCCCAAATGCGGATTGTTGTGAATATCAGCGTGGGACGTGTGTCCTTTGTGTAAACAATCCAGAAACTATGCTATCATAAATCACTCATACTCACACCACCAGATCAATAAATACAGCATGTTCATGGCTCGTCCCAGTCTAAGCATATACGTGTTGCACCTAGGATCCAAATACGTGATCATCTTTACAACTTTATACAGCGCTTTTGCGTGGTAGGCTTATAGTGTAATGCATTGATACGCATTCGATTTTGCATAGAGTGGGATCATTGCTTGCCCCATTGCCACTTTTTATGATTCTACAATGGTAGACTATCACGTTTATACGATGGCAAATAACTGTTTATTAGTCAAGAATCGAACAACCATGGCTGATATTGCCGAAATCGCTGCGATTGCGCCAATTGTTTGGATAGAAACAGTCCAACCATGGCGAGAATGAATGTAAGAAATAAAAGGATCGCCGATAAGACTACCAGGTACCGAAAGCAAATAAGACCAACTAATAGCCTTTTGTGCTTTTCTCATGCCTACAAGGTCGCTGACAACTACAGGTCTCATGTTTGGAAAAATACCACCCAAAAGACCAAGGGATCCACAAAAGACTGCAAACATTGGGATTGTATCGGCGTGCTGCCATAAGGTCATGATAAGGAGGGCTGCAACAATAATGTTAATATAAAGGTAATGAGCGTCACGTGAAGCTGGTGGTTGTCAAGTTATCCGCAAAAACCCATACCATTAATAGATAGAGTTGCCGTGAGCACATTGAGTCGCCCATATCGATCAGCTATGAAACCGAAACCAATACGCGAGATAGAGGCCATGACAAAGACGATGGTAATAACGAAAGCAGCCAGAGTTGGTGAAGCACCCACATTTTGAGCATAAGACGGTGCAAGAAATAAAATTGTTTGCCAGTGGAAAGGGAACGTGAAAGATAAGAGGAGGATCAGCAAGAAACGTATACTCAAAAGAGAATTGTCCAAGCATTCATCTTTTGAAGAAACCTTTTCATCTTTGGTTATCTTTTTGGTAGATGGTTTGTTCTTTGGTGAGCGGAGTACAGGATATCGTGGTCTTGATAAGATTGCAGACATCAAAAGCATAATGAAAACAACACTAGCCATGATCGTTAAGGTTATTTGTCGTCCAAAAGCCAATAACGATGCTTGGAAGCTATTAGCTAATACTATTGGACCCATGGTCGCTCCGCTCCATGAAATGCCTTTGAATGAAAGTGTTACATTCAAAACTACAAAGCGTTTATGCATCAAGAATTTACCATTTGCCAGCGCACGATTCTTCACAAACCATTGAGAGGTCAACGTTGTTGGCGTATTGAATACCAAGCATAACCCAATCCCATACATAAACCCCTGGGCTGCAAAGAGTTGCCATAATTTGGTTGCAAAACTAGCAAGGATCAATGCCACTGTGGAAATCAATGCGCCTAACAACATAGTATAACGAACACCAATTCGACGTATCAATGGCGTTATTAGAATGCCTAGTTGCAGGATGGCAACTGTCGTACTACCGATAAAGGACACAGCAACCTCATTTGAATACATTTTGATATAGCTAGTAGGCAATTGTTGTAAGCGTGTTTAGCTTTGCAAGCTTTCCGGTGGTTATGAAACTTACTCTGCCTGAAAGATACCCCAAGAATTGGTAGAACCTGTGCTGACAAAGTACATCATCCATATCCCTGCTACCGTAACCCATCCTGGATTGCGTATCCCTTCAGTCCAATATGCCCCATCATCGATTGATTCTTTAAGTGGTTGATCTCTTTCTTCATGATGATCACAATCACTAATGCCGTTTGCATTTTAACATTAGTACATGCATCATTGAACCCGTCATCTTTATTACGTTACGCTTTGGCCGCTCCTACTATGATCATCAGTGCCCTGGACATCAGGTTTATGCATATCAGTGACAGCTATTGGGTATAGGGTTGATGAAAAAACAAAATGATGGAAAGAGAACGATACATCCAAACGCCTTGTTGGGTTATCAACTTGATGTACATATGTTTACATGATGATGCATCCCATGCATGCAGAAGATTGCGGGCTTTCTTTAATCCATCATCATCATCAATGCCTAACCAGGACCAGCTGGCACGATAGTAGATGCATCGCAATGGCGTATATGAAGCATCCTGTGCTCTTTTTAGCACTCGATCTACACACGTATGTAAAATCTTGATTACACAGAGTCACTTTGCCCATGCGAAAAAGCCCAAATGAATGTCTTTGATTGATATTGGCACCTTATCATTGTTGCTCCACAATCGAACTTATACAGCATAAAGGTCCTTCTACATACCGACAAAGAAGGATACAACATTGGCACAATAAAATTGTATATTTATATAAGATGTCTTGTCCAAATTTCTAACCATGCATCTACTTTTATAGTAAAAGGTCGTTCCTAACACAGCAGGGTAAAATGGCGCAAAAGCAGGCATTGTTGTGCTGCTAAACTCCGGTGATTCGAGGTGCATCATCATATCCACATGGAATTGTATTTCGTGTGCATGGGAGCCTCCTAAGGAATTCGAATGCATACCTAATTTGATCAACCAGCAAAAAGGAATGATAAAAGAACAAATCTTATGCAGACACGTGATCGAATCCAACATGTGTGTTGCGTGATACCAATTGCTTGCTAAGCTGGATCTCCCATCATTACACACCATGCATTGATAAGGTTTTCATTTTCATCGTAGCCACTACTACTCACTAAAGACATGCTTGATTGCATGAAGACGTGCACGATGATGCATTTGTTTATACAAACGGAACTACCTTTATTTCATCTAGGCTATAACCTAACGAGCTAGAAGGGAATAGGCCGAATTCAAGTGGATAACAAGCAATGCTTTCTTCTAGCTATCTTGCCATCATCGCCGTCGCCATCGTCCGCCAACATGCATAGTCATCATCGTCTTCGTGACAATCTCTAAAACACACAAATGGGAAAGGATGGGTCTTGCAGGCTTCCTTTTGGATGTCAACGAGATATGGGACTTGATTAACCAACATCATATTGGCAAGAGAAAGTGGATAACGTTTATTGTACCATTGTCGTTATCGTCATTGTTGTGGATCTCGTTGTTGCTATCATCGTTATTGTTGTGAATGTCGTAATCATCGCAGTCGTCATTGCTGTGAATATGGTAATCATCGTAATGTTCGCCTCTATAAATAAAAAGGAGCCAAGTTAGATACCGCTAGGCGATCCTCTCAAAGGAAGAAAGCAAGTCAGAAGGAATTCACAAACCAAATCACCCACCATACGAGCAACGTCGGGCGACCCCTTGTTCTTGAGAAGGCACTGCACGAATCACGCAAGGCCAGTTCGATCCATGGCAAGGAAGGACATCACTTACGTAAAGTCCAGGCTCATAGTTGTCCTCATTCATCCTCTCCAAAGAAAGAATGACCCCCAATCCTTCCAATCATTTCCCACCTCATGAAAAGAAATCCTCAAGGGAAAAGAACGAGCCTATCACGAGAAGGCCGTGTTAGTTCAACACGTTCACGAGCTATTGCAAATCCCTTTTTACCTCAACACGGTGACCATGCTCTTCCAAAAATCCATCGTCATCGACCCATCCTCAACTCAACGCAGGCCTATAGAGCCCTGGACGCGTTCCAAGAAGCTCTTCCAACAACTGGCCACTTGATCCAGGCTGGGACTTGAACCCAAAGAGATGATGATGATGCCCCCAAGTGGCATTGCCTGACCAAAGAAACCTATTCAATTCATTATTAGCACACACAATAAACACCCTTTTCATTGTTTGTTTCATTGCACTTGCCTTTTCCATATACACAAACCACCCCTTTGTTGTTGGTTACTGGAAACCGAAAGCCATGGTGTAGTAGTGTAGTTGAGCCGAAACAAAACCAGCCAACGTCTTGACACCAAACTTGCCCTCTATACAAGCTAACACGTCAATGGAACCAGTTCGGCTGCAACATTCGACTCTGAATGTACCTGTTGACACCAGCAAGCGTAAGGCGGGAATAGCAGCAACGAACAAGAGGAAGCAACCGTATCGCCATGGCAATAGCCAACCCACCCACCACGCTCATTCCTCCACACTCACTCCTTGACAATGCATGTCACCTCACAACCAACAAGAGCGCTCTTTGATAATACATTACCTTGATCGATACGTCGTGAATGGAATAAGGAAAAGTGGGAGAAAAAGAAGAGAAGCGCTGTCTCAAGTCGTGAAGCTACCGTCCCCAAGTTTAAATCCCCTACTGCTATTACACTGAGGCCACTCAATGACTCTATACATACCATCCACCCATCGTCATCATCACCCTCATGATAGAAAATAGGCACGCGTAAATAAAAGAAATCGCATAGCAAAAGGATGTGTGCCATTTTACACTTTACATGATAATGATGATCCAACAACACCCATTGTTGCCATGCTACCATGTCACCTCGAAACAAAAAAAAAAGGTGAATGATGGGAATGATGGGCTGGAGAAGGACAATCATTCACATGCATTGGATTGGGCAACAATGATTGAGCTAATGCTGTATAAGCGTTATTGATGTATTCACTTTAAATGTGGAAGTAGGAAAGGAAGGAAGCAGCCTTAATAAGAAAGAGGTTACGATCCCCGCGAGATTAATAAACACGGCGTAATAACATCACGTTGGCATTCGATATAGATGGTCTATCAATCATCATCTTGGTGCTTTTCATCGTCATCACGTTGCTCAGCTGGTTTGATATGGCCTGGCAGCATGAATTTGATACGGATGAGGAACCATGATAGCACAACAGCAACCACCGCTCCGCATCCAACGCCCACGTTTGAGATCTTTCCCAACCCTATCGGTGAAACCTTTAGCATACTGTAATAGGATGTCACGTATGATTGATTACTTACAGAATACTGGTGAATCTGTGACAACCCAAAGCTTGACCTTTGCGAAGCTTGGAATGAGAAGTCCGAGACCGTTCACAAGGCCAATTGCCAAGGCGCGTGAGTTAATATCACCTTTGTAAATGTCCATTACCCACACTAAAACAAGGGCTACCAATGTATCCACGATGATTAATGCGTAAGCTGCCACAAAGACGAGTGCTGCAGGAGTATTCCCATGATTGACTACAGCAACGATAATACTCCAGATGGTTCCCCATACTGTGACAACTCCAGTATGGATGACACGATCATTAAACCAGTCGGATGAATATCCAACCACAAGTGATACCAGGGCACTGAAGAGGTTTAGCGGGGTGGACATGTAATTGGCAAAAGCGCTGTTGTAGCCCATATCCTTCAATATGACTACAAAGAAGTTGGCCATACAATCCATGAAGAATGCTGACATTAGAATGTATGTCATCAACCAGGTATATGGCTTGAATAGGATTTGCTTGAAGCTACAAGTTAATATCATTAGTGATTGTACATGTGTATTGAAATACAGCACAATGGGTACAATAAATATCAATGACCCAAACAATACATACATTCTCCAGCTATAAGGTGCCGCTGATATCTCCCTTTCTTGTGATGCTTGCCTTTCCATAGTAATCGTGCGCTCTTGCTCAGTGATCCATGACGTATTTTGATGTGGATAATTGGGTACCATGAAATACCCAAGGATTCCGACAAAGATAGCAATTAACCCTTCAACAACAAAGAGCCATTGCCATGCACGAAGCCCTGCTTTGTCGGCAATGGTTTCAACAATGGAGCCAGCAATAAGACCCCCAACCGCTCCTATGTAGCCAAATCAGCCGTTAGTGCCAGGAATTCATTCGTACGATCTCAACTGGTACCTGAGACTCCCATAGATGATTTGTAGATGCTAACGCGTTTTGTCACTTCTTGATCGATATACCAATTCCCCAAGAGAAATACAATTCCTGGATGAAGGGCCTGCCATAATAGGTATCAACATAGGGTCGCGTTTTTCTCCAAAAGTGCTTACCGATTGATATAGACCAAGGCAAAATCTCAAAGCTAATAAACCCTGATGGTTCTTGACAAGAGACATGCAACATTGGATGATGCCAGATAAGAGCGGGAGTGGGGGAAGAAACCATCGTGGATACACCTTGGGTAGTAGCAGACTTCCAGGGATCTGAAACCTGTTATTTATGGATATTGAATGATAAAAAGTCGATTGTATTGCTTTGCTTTATACTTACAAATTGTACCCGAGGCGCAAGACGGTATCAGCCCAGTTGTAAGCCGACGATTCAAGGAGCAAATCTTCCCTCATACCACTAACGTATGCATTTGCTTGTTCACACTATCAGCATCCCGTCTATTTCATTCTTGTCATGCTTCTTACGCAAGTTGCTTCGATCGAGGTACGTGGCAAAAAAGCCCAGAAAAGCCCATACAACGAATCTCATATCAAGTTTTCGTTTTAATCGTCGTCTCACCGCTGTTACATCCGTTATCGTGGACGCTTCTTTGTCTACATTGGTCTCAGCAGTGGTGGAGCAAACGTCTGTATCGCTTTTACTATGTGGCATATTACAACAATGGGAATGGAAAGCAAGTGATGGGTCATATCATATTTAATGTGGCGCCCTTTTTGTTAAACTATGATAGCGTGACACAAAGGCGTTGCGTTTCATTGTATGTAAATGATGGTGGATTACAAAAACGCCAGCAAATAGTAAACAGATTTCAGTGTGTTTCGAATGATCCTCATCAAACTTCGGATTCTCCAACTTTAACTTGAGTCATGCTTTTTAGGGCACTAAACCTGGATCGATGAATACTTCTGAAAGCGATGAAATCCATAATCAACATGAGGCATGATGGATCTTTATTGGAACAGCCCATAGATGTTGGGCACTGTAATCAATGGGTTTGATGGGCTGACAACATTTTTGTATCTAGAAGCTAAATCGGAAACTGGTGAAGGT